ATGCCAACCAAATCCAGGAGATTGATTAAAGTTATGTCCCTGTAATATATCCCCTGGATTTGGTTGGCATTTTTCTCCGGTCACGATTTTCTTGGTATTTCATCGAGCCTTGATGTTCGTTTGCCGCAACATAGTTACTGGCGTAAAATCTTCCATATAAACACAACCGACTGCAAGAAATTACGCCGTTAGTTACTGGCGTAAAATCTTCCATATAAACACAACCGACTGCAAGAAATTACGCCGTTAGTTACTGGCGTAAAATCGTACATATAAAGCAACCGACTGGAAGAAATTACGCCGTTAGTTACTGGCGGAAAATCCTACATATAAAACAACCGATTGGAAGAAATTACGCCGTTAGTTACTGGCGTAAAATCCTATATATAAAACAACCGACTGGAAGAAATTACGCCGTTAGTTACTGGCGTAAAATCCTACATATAAAACAACCGACTGCAAGAAATTACGCCGTTAGTTACTGGCGTAAAATCGTACATATAAAACAACCGACTGCAAGAAATTACGCCGTTAGTTACTGGCGTAAAATCCTACATATAAAACAACCGACTGCAAGAAATTACGCCGTTAGTTACTGGCGTAAAATCTTCCATATAAACACAACCGACTGCAAGAAATTACGCCGTTAGTTACTGGCGTAAATTCGTACATATAAAACAACCGACTGCAAGAAATAACGCCGTTAGTTACTGGCGTAAAATCGTACATATAAAGCAACCGACTGGAAGAAATTACGCCGTTAGTTATTGGCGAAAAATCCTACATATAAACACAACCGACTGCAAGAAATTACGCCGTTAGTTACTGGCGTAAAATCCTACATATAAAACAACCGACTGCAAGAAATTACGCCGTTAGTTACTGGCGTAAAATCGTACATAAAAAACAACCGACTGCAAGAAATTACGCCGTTAGTTACTGGCGTAAAATCCTACATATAAAACAACCGACTGCAAGAAATTACGCCGTTAGTTACTGGCGTAAAATCCTATATATAAAACAACCGACTGCAAGAAATTACGCCGTTAGTTACTGGCGTAAAATCTTCCATATAAACACAACCGACTGCAAGAAATTACGCCGTTAGTTACTGGCGTAAAATCCTCCATATAAACACAACCGATTGCAAGAAATTACGCCGTTAGTTACTGGCGTAAAAACCAAGATGCTATGGAACTGCTCCGTATTGAAGTAGAGAGAGAGAGGAGGAGGGCCCGAGAGATGAAGGTAGAGAGAGACGGAGGAGAGAAAGAGAGAGAAGCAGACAGGAGGATAGAGAAAGGATAAGGCGAGAGAGGGTCGAGGAACGGCGCAGAGAGACAATTGTTCAACCACGACAACCTTTACGGCAACCTCCACGTCAACCTACACGTCGTCCCAGTAAGTAATGTAAACTGCTTCCCACCGTTGGATATATTTTTAACCTTTTAATTTGGTTTTCCGATTTTTCAAATCTCAGATACGCGATATAGCATGGCACGTTAAAATACGAAATATCCCTTCGAGTGTTGAACATGTCTCAATAGTGCGAGAAGTGAATTAGAGAAATATTGTTTTCCCATAAATTAAAATGAATTACATACAAAGGGAAACACCGAACCATTTCCTTTGCGTACGAATTACTTTGTATCCAAAGCCTCGGCGTTCACATGTCAAAATAACATGTTGCACGTGTCACATTTTTGCGGAAGGTCTTCTAGTACTTCCCTGCTAGTTGTTTAGTGAAAAGGGAATATTACATGGCCGCATGGAGATACGAGTGAGTCTCCTTTAATGAAATGGTAATCCATTCTAATTTCGTTGCAAAAGATACAACTGTTATTCAGCCGTAGACACTGTGGAATTTTGAAGGTCACGTGGTTGTTACTGCTATTGTTATAACAAAAGTCTTTATTTCCTTGCAGAGAGATGTTACAACTGTGGAAACGTCGGACACATTCGGGCCCAATGCCGAAGTCCGAAGCGTCGCCGAACAAAAGAATACAGAGGGGACAGTGACGTGGGTGCTGTTCACTACCACTTCCACTTCCTGTCCGAAATCTAAAAATTTCGAAATAAAGAGTTTTTTGAATGTGAAATTTGTCATAATGCATTCTGCCTAAATCCAAATAGCAGGGGATAACGTGGGTAATGACTGGTCTTGAAAATGCGAACTGGAACGATAACACATCCTAACACACGCACACACACACAAAAAAAAGCCATACAAGGCATTCGAATTCAAAGTAAACTGTAATCATTTTTTTAAAGTTTATGGTAGAAGCACATCTACGACTCTACAGTAAGAAAGTTGTAACAAACGAAATGCCCGTAGAAGCTGTCCATACCTTGTCCCTTGTCAAGCTTAAATAAAAATTTGTCGCACCTCTTACTAAGGTGGCCTCGCTAAAACATGATAGAAAAAAAATGAATATACCTTCCCGCTAAGTAATTTTTCACGCCAGCCGCAAACGGCGTAATTTCTCCCAGTCGATTGTCTTAAATGGAAGATTTTACGCCAGTAACTTACGGCGTAATTTCTTCCAGTCGGTTGTGTTTATATGCAAGATTTTACGCCAGTAACTAACGGCGTAATTTATTCCAGTCGGTTATCTTATATGGAAGATTTTACGCCAGTAACTAACGGCGTAATTTATTCCAGTCAGTTAACTTGTATGGAAGATTTTACGCCAGTAACTAACGGCGTAATTTCTTGCAGTCGGTTATGTTTATATGGAAGATTTTACGCCAGTAACTAACGGCGTAATTTCTTCCAGTCGGTTGTTTTATATGTAAGATTTTACGCCAGTAACTAACGGCGTAATTTATTCCAGTCGGTTGTCTTATATGGAAGATTTTACGCCAGTAACTAACGGCGTAATTTTCTTCCAGTCGGCAATGTTTATATGGAAGATTTTACGCCAGTAACTAACGGCGTAATTTCTTCCAGTCGGTTGTCTTATATGGAAGATTTTACGCCAGTAACTAACGGCGTAATTTCTTCCAGTCGGTTGTCTTTATATGGAAGATTTTACGCCAGTAACTAACGGCGTAATTTCTTCCAGTCGGTTGTCTTATATGGAAGATTTTACGCCAGTAACTAACGGCGTAATTTCTTCCAGTCGGTTGTGTTTATATGGAAGATTTTACGCCAGTAACTAACGGCGTAATTTCTTCCAGTCGGTTGTGTTTATATGGAAGATTTTACGCCCGTAACTAACAGCGTAGTTTCTTGCAGTCGGTAGTTTTATATGGAAGATTTTACGCCAGTAACTAACGGCGTAATTTCTTGCAGTCGGTAGTTTTATATGGAAGATTTTACGCCGGTAACTAACGGCGTAATTTCTTCCAGTCGGTAGTTTTATATGGAAGATTTTACGCCAGTAACTAACGGCGTAATTTCTTTCAGTCGGTGATATATATATATATGTAACAATTTACGCCAGTAATATAAATTAATTATATTTTAATTTATTCACCGACTGGGTTAGTGGCGTAAAATCTTACAGTATAAAGAAAAACATTAATTAATCTTTATTCTCATGGCTTGTCTGCTTGATAATGTATTAATATTGTTAGGAGAAATTCTGTCTTGGTCATTCTTGGGAGTTAAAGGGTCAAATGACGGATCTTAATCATTCAATTTGCATTTGTAGACAAAAAGTTTTGCCGTGAGTATCAGTTGATTACTATAACATTTGCATCGGATGTAACTGAAAGCAAAAATGAGGAATGGGGAATGGTGAATGGGAAAATAAAATGGGAAATTAAAAATGGGAAATGACTTTTTTTGGAGATTTAATGTTTGTAATGCGGCAATAAATATTTATTAGCGTGTGAAGTGATCTGTGGACTCTTTTTCTTTCAAAATGTCAAGGATTTCCGGCCTTTATTCCTGGTTTTGGCGTGTGAAGTGATCTGTGGACTCTTTTTCTTTCAAAATGTCAAGGATTTCCGACCTTTATTCCTGGTTTTGGCGTGTGAAGTGATCTGTGAACTCTTTTTCTTTCAAAATGTCAAGAATTTCCGACCACATCAGCGTGAGCGACAGTTTTTCTGTGCTACTGGACGATTCTTTGAAAGAAAGCCAATCATTATGAGAACAATTGAGGCAGCGCGATGAACAAAATGCCTTAAAGTTCGAAGAGCTTTCAAACAAAGTGGACTCTTTGTGTAAACTTGTCGCCGAGAAAAACTTGGGCAGTAAGGAAACGAAATCAAAGAAAGGTAACTCAAAGGTTCATGTGCCTACAAGCTGTGCGAAACCAGTGAGACATTTCGTATATCTATGTAAAAATATTTATATTTATGATATTTGTATTTTTCAGTTCTTATCCTGTTTATATAAACCTCTTGCTACGTTACTGTGAAAATTACAAAATTAAGTTAAAGAGTTATGACAATAAAATAAATTGCAATGTGTAAAACACGAGTTGTTATATATGGATCAGTTCTTGAAAGGCATGTACGGCATCGTTTTACAGAAGCGTTAAAAAATCTCAAACGTTCTCAAAACGACTTTTGGCAATACGCGCTAGGATAGCGCATTACGTTGATGTTGTCACGAGCTCGCATTCGTTATAGTCTGATTAGCAAAAGGGAATGTTGCCAAAAAATTCAGACCAAATTCGCTTTACAGTCGCCGTAAAATATCGTAAATATTCTCTATACGACTTTTTACAAGGCACGTAAAGATAACGTTTTTAGTCTCTCTCCGTGGTCTTTACGTACTATCGTTTTCAGTGCGTAAAGACATTCTTTACGAGAGTGTAAAGAAGTTCGTAAAGACGCGTAAAGAGGATCTTAACGCTTTCTTTACGGCATCTTTACGGATTCGTAAATTTATAATTTCATACTGTATCTTTGGTCTTAGCTTTCGTGACCCCCGACTTAACGGCAACATTTGCGTACGTATAATAGGAGATTCTAAGATAGCCAATAACGCAACGACTTAAAGGGCTACTTTTTAACCAATAAATATAATTTTCATCAAACAGGTTATGTCAACGTTTGTCTTTACGTTGGCCTGGAGGCAGTCATCTCGGTTCTGTCATATCAGGCCGATCAAACATGCCACTTCTAATGTCTTGTCTACAAAAACAAGTTCAGTAACAGGCAGTATTTTTGAGCAAATTCCTAAAGAGGAGCTGGCACCGAAAACAAGACCACGGCTGCGAGACAGGGAGTTTCTCCCAGGCTCAACAGGTGACGGATTCCCAGAGTTCTTGGCAGAGCCAAGTGACTCTTTCCCGGTCGGTATGCGAGTCAATACTGGAGACAAATCCTCTCTCTTAGAACTGGGTGCAAATTGCATGGAATACATAAAGACGAACCTTGCTAATAGCCAGGCGATATTGTTCCGCGGACTTCCAGCTGAAACAGCAGAGGACTTCTTGGCCTTAACCCAAGGAATGCGAGGCAAGCCTCTGAACTACGAGGGTGGTGCTACACCCAGACCCAAGGAATTGAAAAATTCTGACATCTACTTCGCCACTACTGAGCCCGGAGCGTACACCATCGAGTTACACAATGAAATGGCGTATCTCAAGACTTTCCCCAGGAAGGTATGTCTAGAATGAAATAAAGGCGAGTGATGCTGAGGTGCCGAGGTATTTTGTGGGCGCCCCACACCACCCCAATCTGTCACCAGGTTTATGATGCGCTATCACTAATTCAGTAGTTCTTTCGCTAATCCATACATTCGTTCATTGTGGATAAGTTTACTTGAACTTTGGTTTATTTGTTTTCTCGTTTTCTTGTTCTTTCGTTCATTCACTTGTTCACTTGTTCACTTGTTCACTTGTTCACTTGTTCACTTGTTCACTTGTTCACTTGTTCACTTGTTCACTTGTTCACTTGTTCACTTGTTCACTTGTTCACTTGTTCACTTGTTCACTTGTTCACTTGTTCACTTGTTCACTTGTTCACTTGTTCACTTGTTCACTTGTTCACTTGTTCACTTGTTCACTTGTTCACTTGTTCACTTGTTCACTTGTTCACTTGTTCACTTGTTCACTTGTTCACTTGTTCACTTGTTCACTTGTTCACTTGTTCACTTGTTCACTTGTTCACTTGTTCACTTGTTCACTTGTTCACTTGTTCACTTGTTCACTTGTTCACTTGTTCACTTGTTCACTTGTTCACTTGTTCACTTGTTCACTTGTTCACTTGTTCACTTGTTCACTTGTTCACTTGTTCACTTGTTCACTTGTTCACTTGTTCACTTGTTCACTTGTTCACTTGTTCACTTGTTCACTTGTTCACTTGTTCACTTGTTCACTTGTTCACTTGTTCACTTGTTCACTTGTTCACTTGTTCACTCACTTGTTCACTTGTTCACTTGTTCTTGTTCACTTGTTCACTTGTTCACTTGTTCACTTGTTCACTTGTTCACTTGTTCACTTGTTCACTTGTTCACTTGTTCACTTGTTCACTTGTTCACTTGTTCACTTGTTCACTTGTTCACTTGTTCACTTGTTCACTTGTTCACTTGTTCACTTGTTCACTTGTTCACTTGTTCACTTGTTCACTTGTTCACTTGTTCACTTGTTCACTTGTTCACTTGTTCACTTGTTCACTTGTTCACTTGTTCACTTGTTCACTTGTTCACTTCTTCACTTCTTCACTTCTTCACTTCTTCACTTGTTCACTTGTTCACTTGTTCACTTGTTCACTTGTTCACTTGTTCACTTGTTCACTTGTTCACTTGTTCACTTGTTCACTTGTTCACTTGTTCACTTCTTCACTTCTTCACTTGTTCACTTGTTCACTTCTTCACTTCTTCACTTGTTCACTTCTTCACTTCTTCACTTCTTCACTTGTTCACTTCTTCACTTCTTCACTTGTTCACTTCTTCACTTCTTCACTTGTTCACTTCTTCACTTCTTCACTTCTTCACTTCTTCACTTCTTCACTTCTTCACTTGTTCACTTGTTCACTTGTTCACTTGTTCACTTGTTCACTTGTTCACTTCTTCACTTCTTCACTTCTTCACTTCTTCACTTCTTCACTTCTTCACTTCTTCACTTCTTCACTTCTTCACTTGTTCACTTCTTCACTTCTTCACTTGTTCACTTGTTCACTTGTTCACTTGTTCACTTGTTCACTTGTTCACTTGTTCACTTGTTCACTTGTTCACTTGTTCACTTGTTCACTTGTTCACTTGTTCACTTGTTCACTTGTTCACTTGTTCACTTGTTCACTTGTTCACTTGTTCACTTGTTCACTTGTTCACTTGTTCACTTGTTCACTTGTTCACTTGTTCATTAGTCCATTAGTTCACTGCCTCATTGCTTCACAGGTTCATCGGTTTATTCGCTAGCACGATTATTTTTTCATTCGTCCACTTGTTGATTCTTCCATTCTTTTATCCGTCTATTAATTTTCTAATGCATTAATTGATCTTCTTCAGGTTTTATTTTTCTGCCAAAAAGAGCCTGGCGAGAGTTGTGGTGGCGAGACTCCTTTGGCTAAATGCAGCGACATTGTATCCAAACTTGATCCCGAAGTCGTGAAAAAGTTCGACGTAAAAGGGGTCATGTATGTACGATATCTGCCGGACAAATCACGGTCAGACTACATGCCCTGGCAGCATCAGTTTTACACTGACGACAGAAAGGTAATACAACTTGGTTCACATCAGGAATCCCATGTAAGAATTGATTGTCCTTTGAAGACAAAAAATATTGTGGAGATTTCAAAAGAAAATGACGATTTTCAATCTCGAACCCGGTATAGAATTTACAGTGATGACCTTATTCACTCTTTTAGGTAGCAGAAAGAGGAGCACAGCAGCAAGGTTACACTGTAAAATGGGACGATAACGGTGATATGTACCTGACTTACAGCGCACCGGCCTTTCTTTCTCATCCAGTAACAGGAGAAAAAATCTGGTTCAACCAAATAACAACTCACCACTGTACTTACTCGAAAGCACTGCCACAGTACAAAGGTTCTGATCTCCCGGATGAGAAATATCCCCATCACACCTATTATGGAGACGGAAGTGACATCGAGCCGGAAGTGTTACAACACATCAGAGCAGTTTCATGGTCATGCGCAACTGGATTTCGGTGGAAGAAGGGTGATTTAATAGCGCTTAATAATCTGAACGTTCAGCATGGACGAATGGCCTTCACGGGAGAGAGAAAAATACTGGTGCATATGACGGCAGATTAAACCCGAACCTGAATTTGTATTTTAAAGCTAAGAAAAGTAATTTCCGCATATTGTTATGTAACATTTTTGTTATGATGTAGTTAGATTATCTTGACATCCTAGAATCTAGAGGGAAAGTTTGATAGCCACGAAATTTTTCCTTCTGAAATTTTTCGCAGAAAACAGTTTTATTTTGTCTTTGCTTTGGGCGCAATAATTATAAAGATCCGCCCAAGGTAAACTTTGCAAACACATTGTGTCTTTTTGACTTGCAAATGTTTCTCAGCTATTAACTTCAAGTGCTCTGAAACAGGTTATATATTAATGAGGCGCCCAGCCGTCTGAAGACACGTACAGTGGTCTGCTTTTCTGCTTTTATTTTAAACAGAGCAGTTAAATCAAGGTACTTGTTTTGACGTGGAAGCGGAAGAACTTTATTTTCATCAGTAACAAATTCTCAGTCACGCAATGCAGCGGAAATAAGTGGTGCAAGATATATAATAGCGTGCTTTTCCATACTATTCTTCCGATGTAATCAACGATCGCCACTGTCTGCCTTGCTATAACTGAATAGAACTAAAATATCTTTAACTACTAGAAATTCCAGTTTTCCTTAAAACGTTCTCACCGTCAGAAGTCATTTATAGGTAATATCACTACACAAAAAGTTAAAAGTATAGAGTAAATTGCCAGCTTGTGTGTTTTGGTTGATAAAACACAGAATTCTTTCTATGTTTAGTCATTTTTTTTGCTACTATTTGTCGCTCTGTGTCAAAGATTGTTTTAACTTTGATTACGAAAATGTTAAATAATGGATCTTAATCATTCAATTTGCATTTGTGGACAAAAAGTTTTGCAATGAATATCATTTGATTAATATAACATTTGCATCGGATGTAACTAAAAGCAAAAATGAGGAATGGGGAATGGGGAAATAAAATGGGAAATTGAAAGTGGGAAATTACTTTTTTGGAGATTTAATGTTTGAAATGCAGAATAGATATCTATCAGCGTTGATAATCGATAAACAAGCTTTCTTTCAAAAACGTTCAGAGGCAAAATTTAAGGGACGGAATAATTAATGATAACGAAAGAAATGATACGAGACAGCTAAAGAATGTTTTAAAACCAAACTTCATTTGTTTCAGTAACAAGTTATGTGTCAAATTAAATCTATTGAGAAGAATGAAAGAGCTATTTTAATGTTTATATGACAAGTAATAAATTGGAACTTTCAAAGAGGTTAGCCATTGAGGGCTTGAATTTTTCAGATTCCAAATGCAAGTAACTTCTCAACACCAAGCGACATAAGGAACCCACAGTTGAATATCCATTTTAAAATAGTGATCGTTTTATTTTTCGGAAGTAATAGATGTATGCTTCACAGAGAAATTCCGATAAGCAAAAGCACTTGCCTCACTTTCCAAATTAGCGGCTGCAGCAAAACTGAAACCATCTCAAAGAACAATTTTACTTTCACGACTATAGGACGCGCCAAGTAGATAATGAAGCTTACAGGTTCCAAACAGTACTTTGCATGAATATTGGTGGCAAGCGTAAGGCCAACTCCTGAACTTCCGGGGGTTTCCCGCAGTCACGAGTAATTTCGTCCTTGAAATGTGATCAACAAGTATATTTTCGTGCCAAATAGAGGCTACTGTGTTTATTATCCTACAAATATACTTGTAACTTACGGGGAAAAAAGTGTTAACGAACTATTGACAACCACAAAATTATCTTAAATTTAAACTCAAGTTTTAAACGAAGACTTATCGTAATGGACAAAGAGCTTGAAAGTTAGGGAATATTACTTGAGGTATATTCTCGTGCACGCCCCAGTTTCAGGTGGAGGATAGTTGGGTCAAATGAAGCGTTTAGACCAATCACACGCGACGAAAAATATTTGATGAATTATAACCAAAATTATTCCCTTCTCATAAACAGTAAATCTACCAAAATAGTGAATTTACCATTTTCAATTCTCATCTTATTTTGCCATTCCTAATTCCCTCATTTTCGATTCCACATTCCCCATTCCATACGTTCCATTCTTTATTTGCCATTCGCTTTTAGTGACCTCGCACTTGAGAACCAACCATTAGCAGCTGTTTGATCGATCCTTCTGATCGTAATGTCACGCAATATCCACAGTCGTTAGGCTGGCGAATTAGATGCATATCTGCAACGGATTTGGAGTGGAGAACAGTTTGCCCTTGTCCGAAGGAGAGCCATTTTTTAGCAAGTTGGTTAAAGTTAATTATTTTTGTTTTCATGAGTTACTTGTGATATGTAAACCAAAGAGTGATTTTGTAATCTGGGTAGAGAGGCAAGCGTGATACGAGTGAATAATTTCCTTTCGAAAGGACGCAGTTTTGTAACTGGAGCCATTTTACAGGGATCGGCTAGTTCTCTCACGTCTTTTAAGAGTTAAAACATTGTGCTTGTCAAATCGCCAGTGTCTGGTTTGGATTATCAAACGAAATGTGGATTAAACCCGGGCCTCAAAGCGAGCACGCAGTAGTTTCAGAGTCGGAGTTATGATGTATCACGAATCAAGTTCGCATTTGGGTCAAGTAATGGTGTAATTCATGATTTCATTCGTCTCTACACGAGAGGATTTCATTTTTGGATATTATATATCATTTGTAAACCTGTCACTAATCGTGTTCTGTGACGTCACTCTCATTCACGCAAAATAATCAAGTCACTTGATGTTTTTTGCGAAGTGGCACGAGTTAGCGTGAAGGTGATCAAGATAAACAACAGCATTATAGTGAATTCATTTTTCATTTTTCGGGTAAATTTGCAATTCAGCGTCCGAGTTCAAATATATACTTTGCTTTAATGATATAGGAAAAGATTATGAGCGATTTTTGGTATACAGTAAGAGGGGGACCAATGTTAAATTAGCATAGCGCCTACGAAACTAGATTTCAACGTTCACGCGGTTTCTGCTTGCATTTGTAAACAGTGTAACGGTAGTCCAAAAAAGTTGGATCATTTACCGCAGGATCTTAAGGTTTTTACACATTTCTTTAAGAGATAGTTACGCTGCAAGCGTGAAGAAAGAGCGACTCTTTCCTCAGTCAAAAGAATCGCTGCAAGAAACAACAAGCTTTAATTTAATAGCTTGGCAGCACCGTTCACTGAGACCGAAGTTGAAGGCGGACAATCCTCTTGGCCTAAGAGGAAAACTTATGTATGGCTTTCTGCTGTTCTTCTTGAAATTTCTCTATCCCAAAAGTTGCGCAAACTTAAAACCTCGTGGTAGATCGCTGTTGTCTGAAAAGTTGACCATGAAAGTATTTTGTTCACCATCTTGTTCGTTAGTATGGAAATAAATTACCAACTTTAGCCAATCAGAATTGACGAAAGAATCGACAAAAGGGGTTAACCGATAAAAAGTCATTATATATTTTCTTGCAAAAGATTGACGTCACGGAACACGATTAAATTCAGGTTTGCGTAAACATTCCTCCGCATCTTTTGGGGGGGGGGGGGGGAAGGAGGGTGCGGCTTCACGTAGGCTACAACCTGTGCGATTGTGAGAGAGCTGGTCACGCAATGACACCATGACCACCTCTGGGTCTGTATAATAGGAGAGTCCCAGAGAGCCAGTAACGCAATGACTTAACGGCTACCTTTGCGTTGTTTTAATAGGAGAATCTCACACAATCAGTAAAGTAATGACTTAACGGCTACATTTGCGTCGCCATAATAGAAGATTCTGAGATAGCCAAGAACACAACGACTTAACGGCTACTTTTGAACCAATTAATATCATTTTCATGGAACAAATCATGTCAACGTTTGTCTTAACATCGGCCTGGAGGCAGTCAACTCGTCTCAGCCATCTCAGTCCGACAAAACTGGCCACTTCCTATTTCTTGTCTACTAAAACAAGTTCAGTAACAGGCAGAATTTTTATGCAAATTCCTAAAGCGGAGCTGGCACCGAAAACAAGACCACGGCTGCGAGACAGGGAGTTTCTCCCAGGCTCAACGGGTGAAGGATTCCCAGAGTTCTTGGCGGAGCCAAGTGACTCTTTCCCTCACGGAGTGCGAGTCAATACTGGAGACCAGTCCTCTATCTCAGAACTTCTTGGCCTTAACCCAAGGAATGCAAGGCAAGCCTCTGAGCTACGAGGGTGGTGCTGGACCCAGACCCAAGGAACTGAAAAATTCTGACATCTACTTTGCCAGTGCTGAACCTGAAGCGTACACCATCGAGTTGCACAATGAAATGGCGTATCTCAAGACTTTCCCCAAGAAGGTATTTTTAGACTAAAAGACAGACTAATAATGCTGAGACACCAGGGTATTTTGAGGGCGCTCCTCACCACCCCACTCAGTCACCAGGTTTATGATGCGCTATCACTAATTCAGTAGTTCTTTCGCTCATCCATACATTCATTCATTCGTGGATAAGTTTACTCGTACTTTGGTTTATTTGCTCCCTTAATCAGTTCGTTCTCCCATCTGTTCAATCGTTTACCCATTCATTCGTTTATTCGTTTTCTTTTTTATTTATTTACATGTTCTCTTGTTCACCCGTTCATTTGCTAATCCTCTCATTTACCCTTTCGATTATTACTTCATTAATCAATTGGTTCTTTGCTTCATTGCTTCACAAGTTCATTGGTCATTCATGGTTTGTTCATTAATACGATTATTTTTTTTATTTGTCCACTCGTTGATTCGTCCATTCTTTTATCCGTCTATTAATTTTTCTCATGGATTAATTCATCCTCCACAGATTTTCTTTTTTTGCCTAAAAGAGCCTGGCGAGAGTTGTGGTGGCGAGACTCCTTTGGCTAGATGCAGCGACATTGTATCCAAACTTGATTCGTAAAAAAGTTCGACGTAAAAGGAGTCATGTATGTACGACATCTGCCGGACAAATCACGGTCAGACTACATGCCCTGGCAACATCAGTTTTACACTGACGACAGAAAGGTAATACAATTTGGTTCACGTCAGGAATCCAATGTAAGAATTGATTGTCCTTTAAAGACCAAAAAATATTGTGGAGATTTAAAAAAAAAATGACGATTTTCAGTCTCCGGTTATTGAATTTACATTGATGACTTATTTTACTCTTTTAGGCAGCAGAAATAAGAGCACAGCATCGAGGTAACCCTGTAAGATGGGACGATAACGGTGATATGTACCTGACTTACACCGCGCCGGCCTTTCTTTCTCACCCAGTAACAGGAGAAAAAATCTGGTTCAACCAAGCAACAAGTTACCACTGTACTTACTTGAAAGCACTGCCACAGTACAAAGGTTCTGATCTTCCGGATGAGAAATATCCCCATCACACCTATTATGGAGACGGAAGTGACATCGAACCGGAAATTAATTGAAACAAATTCAGGGTATCTTTTGTTAGCCTTCATTCCATCTTAATGTTTTCTCCGCGCCAACGGATTGTACCATCATAGCTTTTTATTGTATTGTCATACCATTGAAACATCCTTTCCTCCCATTTGACCGTAACCGCTGTATACCATTGGATCTTTCCTCTATGACATTGTCTTATACCTCTATGTCATTAGTTGTATCTTTACATCATTCGATCATAACTGTATGCCATTAGATTGTTTTGCAATGCCAATGTGATTCAATATTCTTTATGGAGGGGGATTCTGGACTAAAATTTGATAAGATTAAAATTTTGTCTTTTGAAACTGGAAATAGATTTGAAGGATGTTTTGAATTCTAGGTCTTGCAACAACTGGTGACTAAAAACAATGCGCAAGCCAAGTTAGTTTATAAGGACCCTGCGGACGTGAAAAACCTAAAATCCTCTGCCATATAGTTGTTGTTGTTTGAGAGGAACTCTCATTCCCCACGGCCGGGTTTTTTTAATTCTCTTCAGTAACACTTTTCTTAGAATTGTGGTCCTCCTCGCGAAGAGTACCCCTCTAAAACGAGGTGTTGATCCATCCATCTTCCACGACTCTTCCCAGTAGGTTCCATTAACTCTAAAAATTAAATTTCAGTGATGTATCACAGTATTTAGGTAACGTCGAACCCAGTCACTCAAATCGGTGTTTTGCCTCGGTGGTCGGATCAAATATGATGCGCGATCAAATGACATCCGGGAACGATCGAATGGCATACGGATAAGATCGAATCACATTGATTGTGGCCCGATCTAATGGCATACAGTTACAGTCAAATAGCATAGAGATACGATCTAACGGCATGGAGGTATGATTCAGTGGCATGGAAGTACGATCTAATGGTAAACAGTTTCAGTAGAATTGCATGGAAATACGATTTAATATCATACAGATATGATCTAATGGCATGGAGATACGATCTAATGGAATATGAAGGTATGACTCAATGGTATGGAAGAATGATCTAATGGTATGACAGTGTGATCCAATAGCATGAAATTACAACGATACATGGAATGAAGGCAAAGCATCATGTTAGTCCAGAATCCTCCTCCATGTGTTCTATTGTAAATTCTTCCATCCGTTTGTTCATACGTCCATTTCTTCATTCGCTTATTCGCTCATTGCTTTATTCAATTATTGCTTCATTATTTTTCTTGCGTTTGCGTTTTTCATTTTGGTCAGGGCAGTTTACACGTGTGTTTCCTTGCATTTGCATCGACCTTTTTTGCTGTATTGAAGTATTTTTGTTGTTTCTCGAAAAACATTACACAAATTTTAAAATATTTAAAAATTTGACAGTAATAAAGGGAAAAAAGATATATAGAAAACATGGAACAAAACAGATTCACATCGCTACACTTGGATAATTACAGTAGGATAATCATATATATATAACCATGATATTAAAACAAAAAACACTACAAGTACATTTGGTTTAAAAAAGAAGTTGATAAGTAAAAACTATTAGAGAATTGCGAACACAATAACGAAAGAAATGATACGTGACAGCTAAAGAATGTTACAAAACCAAATTTCATTTTTTTCGATAACAAGTGATAGGTCAAATTAAATCTGTTGAGAATAATGAAAGACCTATTTTGATGTTTCTCTGAAAATTAAAAAATTTTAAACTAAGACTTATCGTAATGGACGTAGAGCTTGAAATTCAGGGAATATCACTTGAGGTATATCCTCGTGCGTGCCCCTGTTTCAGGAGGATAGTTGGTCACATGATGCGTTTAGACCAATCACGCGCGACGAAAAATATTTGATGAATCATAACCAAAATTATTCCCTCTCAAAAACAGTAAATCTACGAGGAAAAAATGAATTTACCATTATCAGTTCCCATTTTATTTTCCCATTCCTCATTCTCCATTCCCTATTCCATATTTCTTATTCCATAAGTTCCATTCTTCGTTTGCCATTCGCTTTTAGTAACATCTCATTTGCATTGCACCTGAAAATCAGCCCAAAGCGGCAGTTAGATCCCTTTGTTCCTAATGTCACGCGATATCCATAGGTGTTATGCTGGCAAATTAGATGCATATTTGAAACGGATTTGGAGTGGATAACAGTCTTGCCTGTGTCCGAGGACAGATAGAAGGAGAGCCGTTATTCAGCCGGTTGGTTTAAGTTAATTATTTTTGTTTTCATGAGTTTCTTGTGATATGTCAACCAAAAAGTGATTTTGTAATCTGGGTGGAGGGTGGACGCGATACGAGTGAATAATTTCCTTTCGGAAGGACATAGTTTTGTAACCGTTGCCATTTTACAGGAATCAGCTTGTTCTCTCACATCTTTTAAGTGTTACTAACGCTGTTTTGAAAACACTGTGCTTTTCAAATTACCAGTGTCTGGTTAGGTTTAAACGAAATGCGGATTTGCAGTTAGAGTTTGGGTTGGCAGTTAGAGTACACGGGCCTTAAAGCGAGCACTCAGTAGTTTCAGAGTCGGAGTTCTACCGTATCACGAGTCAGGTTCGCACCTTGGTCGGGTTCGGCGTTAAGATAACGGCGTAATTCGTGATTTCATTCGTCTATACATACGAACTTTCATGGTTTTTGGATATTACCGGTATAAATTATAACCAACCATAATAAAGCCACTAACACATCGAAAAGATATCTACCTTTGCGTTCGTACAGTAGTCTCACATTGCGAGTGACGCAATTGTAAGAATGACCAACTGGCTATCTCTGGGTCTATATAATGGGAAATTGCCATAGAGCCAGTAGCGCAATGACTTAACGGCTACGTTAGTATTAAAGGGGAATCTTATATAACCAGTAAAGTAATGACTTTACGGGGGTGTCACCATAGCTAAGACCTAAGACCTAAGACCTAAGACCCCTAAAAAAATTAAGACCCCTCGATCACTGAGACCTCTCGAAAACTAAGACCCCTCGAAAGACTGGTGCAGGATTCAGGTTTTCGCACTTGAAAGAAAATACAAAACTAAGACCCCTATTTGAATTCATGGCTCATTACAGCGCAACACTTGACTACAGTTCGAGTCACGACTTTTGAGAAACGTGACACATCGAGAGCATTCTTTGCTGCGCTGACGTAAGAAACTGTTAATTACGCGCTCTTAATTCAGGCCACGTCCACTCTAATGCGTGGTGAATTTTATTCATTAAGAAAAGAGAAACAGAAAGCTCACTTTTTCATTCTGAATTAAATATAGTGTAAATTCAGCAGTGAAAAGTTTACTTATCTATATTCTACGTTTAATTTTGCAGCTCAATAGCCTGAATGTATACACCTCAAGTAAAATTCACAATCCCTCCGGGTTGTAAAGATCACCTTGGCTTCTTCTTTCTTTTAAAATATTCCGTACCCAAAAGTTTTTCGAGGGGTCTTAGTTTTCGAGGGGTCTTAGTTTTCGAGGGGTCTTAGGTCTCACAGCATGAAACCGCAAATTTACGCATCTTTAACTCTTGCGTAAAGAAACTTAACCAATTTATATTTGGAGAAATACTCAAAGTGAAATAATTATGGCTCATCCATCTTCAGTAGAATTACCGAAGTATTTTGACCAGTTTCGCTTTTAACACTTTATGCGTCTTTAATATTCTTTACGCATCTACGAACCTTAAGATTCTTTAACATTCTTTACGCACAATCAATCTTTACGCGCCGTTAATTCTCTTTACGAATCTTGATTATCAATGGTTCTAGCATTGTTTTAGTCCTCGGGACGTTTGATGAAGAGTCCCTGGGGACGAAAATACATAGAAACGAGGCTGCCGCAGATCGGCAGGAGAGTATAACAGGTAATTTAGTTCGTGTAGTGTGATCGTCCGGGTGAGTGTAGTTCTGAAAAGAACTGTTGTTGTACTAGTGTTAACAACTGAGTTGAAAACGTAAATTAGCCACCGTAAAGAGTTAAAAGGCTGACGTTTCGAGCGTTAGCCCTTCGTTAATCGCTCTGATGAAGGGCTAACGCTCGAAACGTCAGCCTTTTAACTCTTTACGGTGGCTAATTTACGTTTTCAACTCAGTTGTTAACACTAAATTACGTCTTTAATTCGGACGATTCTTCCGACAAGTTCGGTACTGTTTGATAAAGGATCGTGTTCACGAGACTGCAATGAGCCTATCAGGAGGTGAGACATATATTTGTATTCATGACGCGAATAGTAGCGTCCTTTTGGCGTCGTTTGCGATTACTTCTGGCTTTACTTTTAACGTGTGAAGTGATCTGTGGACTCTTTTTCTTTCAAAATGTCATGAATTTCCGACCTTTACTCCTGGCTTTACTTTTAGCGTGTGAAGTGATCTGTGGACTCTTTTTCTTTCAAAATGTCAAGGACTTCCGGCCTTTATTCCTGGTTTTGGCGTGTGAAGTGATCTGTGAACTCTTTTTCTTTCAAAATGTCAAGAATTTCAGACCACATCAGCGTGAGCGACAGTTTTACTGTGCTACTGGACGATTCTTTGAAAGAAAGCCAATCTTAAAGAGAAAAATTGAGGCAGCAAAATGCCTAAAAGTTCGAAGAGCTTTCAAACGAAGTGGACTCTTTGTGCAAACTTGTCGCCGAGAAAAACTCGGGCAGCAAGGAAACGAAATCAAAGAAAGGTAACTCAAAGGTTCATGTGCCTACAAGCTGTGCGAAACCAATGAGACATTTTGTATATCTATGTAAAAATATTTATATTTATGATATTTGTATTTTTCAGTTCTTATCCTGTGTATATAAACCTCTTGCTACGTTACTGTGAAAATTACAAAATCAAGTTAAAGAGTTATGACAATAAAATAAATTGCAATGTGTAAAACATGAGTTGTTATATATGGATCAGTCCTTGAAAGGCATGTACGGCATCGTTTTACAGAAGCGTAAAATATGGCAAACGTTCTCAATACGACTTTTGGCAATACGCGCTAGGATAGCGCATTACGTTGATGTTGTCACGAGCTCGCATTCGTTATAGTCTGATTAGCAAAAGGGAATGTTGCCAAAAGATTCAGACAGCTGGAAAATGGCGAATGGGCATGTAAATATTGCCCATTTACGATAGTTTAATAACGCGTAAAGATCGCTTTTCTGATCGCTTTACAGTCGCCGTAAAATATCGTAAATATTCTCTATGCGACTTTTTACAAGGCACGTAAAGATAACGTTTTTAGTCTCTCTCCGTGATCTTTACGTACTATCGTTTTCAATGCGTAAAGACATTCTTTACGAGAGTATAAAGAAGTTCGTAAAGACGCGTAAAGAGGATCTTAAAGCTTTCTTCACGGCATCTTAACGGATTCGTAAATTTATCAGTTCATGCTGTGTCTTAGGTCTTAGCTTTCGTGACACCCGACTTAGTGGCTACATTTGCGTACGTATAATAGGAGATTCTGAGATACCCAATAACGCAACGACTTAACGGCTACTTTTGAACCAATAAATATAATTTTCATCAAACAGGTTATGTCAACATTTGTCTTTACGTCGGCCTGGAGGCAGTCATCTCGGTTCTGTCATATCAGGCCGATCAAACATGCCACTTGTAATGTCTTGTCTACAAAAACAAGTTTAGTAACAGGCAGCATTTTTGAGCAAATTCCTAAAGAGGAGCTGGCACCGAAAACCAGACCACGGCTGCGAGACAGGGAGTTTCTCCCAGGCTCAACGGATGAAGGATTCCCAGAGTTCTTGGCAGAGCCAAATGACTCTTTCCCGGTCGGTATGCGAGTCAATACTGGAGACAAATCCTCTCTCTTAGAACTGGGTGCAAATTGCATGGAATACATAAAGACGAACCTTGCTAATAGCCAGGCGATATTGTTCCGCGGACTTCCAGCTGAAACAGCAGAGGACTTCTTGGCCTTAACCCAAGGAATGCGAGGCAAGCCTCTGAACTACGAGGGTGGTGCTACACCCAGACCCAAGGAATTGAAAAATTCTGACATCTACTTCGCCACTACTGAGCCCGGAGCGTACACCATCGAGTTACACAATGAAATGGCGTATCTCAAGACTTTCCCCAGGAAGGTATGTCTAGAATGAAATAAAGACGAGTGATGCTGAGGTGCCGAGGTATTTTGTGGGCGCCCCACGCCACCCCAATCTGTCACCAGGTTTATGATGCGCTATCACTAATTCAGTAGTTCTTTCGCTAATCCATACATTCGTTCATTGTAAATAAGTTTACTTGAACTCTGGTTTATTTGTTTTCTCGTTTTCTTGTTCTTTCTTTCATTCACTTGTTTACTTGATCACTTGTTCACTTGTTCATTTGTTCACTTGATCACTTGTTCACTTGTTCACTTGTTCACTTGTTCACTTGTTCACTTGTTCACTTGTTCACTTGTTCACTTGTTCACTTGTTCACTTGTTCACTTGTTCACTTGTTCACTTGTTCACTTGTTCACTTGTTCACTTGTTCACTTGTTCACTTGCTCACTTGTTCACTTGTTCACTTGTTCACTTGTTCACTTGATCACTTGTTCACTTGATCACTTGATCACTTGTTCACTTGTTCACTTGTTCACTTGTTCACTTGTTCACTTGTTCACTTGTTCACTTGATCACTTGTTCACTTGTTCACCTGTTCACCTGTTCACTTGTTCACTTGATCACTTGATCACTTGATCACTTGTTCACTTGATCACTTGTTCACTTGTTCACTTGATCACTTGTTCACTGGATCACTTGATCACTTGATCACTTGATCACTTGATCACTTGTTCACTTGATCACTTGATCACTTGTTTACTTGATCACTTGTTCACTTGATCACTTGATCATTTGTTCTCTTGATCACTTGAACACTTGTTCACTTGTTCACTTGATCACTTGTTTACTTGATCACTTGATCACTTGATCACTTGATCACTTGATCACTTGATCACTTGATCACTTGTTCACTTGATCACTTGATCACTTGTTTACTTGATCACTTTTTCACTTTATCATTTGTTCACTTGTTCACTTAATCACTTGATCACTTGATCACTTGATCACTTGATCACTTGATCACTTGATCACTTGATCACTTGATCACTTGTTCACTTGATCACTTGATCACTTGTTTACTTGATCACTTGTTCACTTGATCACTTGATCATTTGTTCTCTTGATCACTTGATCACTTGTTTACTTGATCACTTGTTCACTTTATCATTTGTTCACTTGATCACTTGTTCACTTGAACACTTGTTCACTTGATCACTTAATCACTTTATCATTTGTTCACTTGTTCACTTAATCACTTGATCACTTGATCATTTGTTCTCTTGATCACTTGATCACTTGTTTACTTGATCACTTGTTCACTTGTTTCTTTTGTTCACTTGTTCACTTGATCACTTGATCACTTTATCATTTGTTCACTTGTTCACTTGTTCACTTGTTCACTTGTTCACTTAATCACTTGATCACTTGATCACTTGTTCACTTGATCACTTGTTTACTTGTTCACTTGCTCGCTTGATCACCTGATCACTTGTTCACTTGATCACTTGATCACTTGTTCACTTGTTCACTTGTTCACCTGTTCACTTGTTCACTTGTTCACTTGTTCGCTTGATCATTTGTTCATTTGTTCAATTGTTCACTTGATCACTTGATCACTTGTTCACTTTATCACTTGTTCACCCGTTCATTTGCTAATCCTCTCATTTACCCATTCGATTATGTTTCATTAATCCATTAGTTCTTTGCTTCATTGCTTTACAGGTTCATTGGTTTATTCGCTAATACGACTATTTTTTTTACTCGTCCACTCGTTGATTCTTCCATGCCTTTATCCGTCTAATATCTTTTTCAGATTTTCTTTTTCTGCCTAAAAGAGCCTGGCGAGAGTTGTGGTGGCGAGACTCCTTTGGCTAGATGCAGCGACATTGTATCCAAACTTGATCCCGAAGTCGTGAAAAAGTTCGGGGTAAAAGGAGTCATGTATGTACGATATCTGCCGGACAAATCACGATCAGACTACATGCCCTGGCAGCATCAGTTTTACACTGACGACAGAAAGGTAATACAACTTGGTTCACATCAGGAATCCCATGTCAGAATTGATTGTCCTTTAAAGACAAAAAAAAATAGTGAAGATTTCAAAAGAAAATGACGATTATCAATCTCGAACCCGGGTATAGAATGTTCACTGATGACCTTATTTACTCTTTTAGGCAGCAGAAATAAGAGCACAGCAGCAAGGTTACACTGTAAGATGGGACGATAATGGTGATATGTACCTGACTTACACCGCACCGGCCTTTCTTTCTCACCCAGTAACAGGAGAAAAAATCTGGTTCAACCAAATAACAACTCACCACTGTACTTACTCGAAAGCACTGCCACAGTACAAAGGTTCTGATCTCCCGGATGAGAAATATCCCCATCACACCTATTATGGAGACGGAAGTGACATCGAGCCGGAAGTGTTACAACACATCAGAGCAGTTTCATGGTCATGCGCAACTGGATTTCGGTGGAAGAAGGGTGATTTGATAGCGCTTGATAATCTGAACGTTCAGCATGGACGAATGGCTTTCACGGGGGAGAGAAAAATACTGGTGCATATGACGGCAGACTGAACCTACCCCTCAGCTTGAGTTTTAGTTTGAAGAGGGTTATAATTAATCATCAAGTTAAAGTTGCCAGTTTTTTAGTTTTTCGACTAAGTTAGCGAACAGGAAACCCAAGTTCATGACACTGGAAGAACCCGAACGTGACACATAGCGGCAATGTGGGGATGACTTTTACGGCCAACGGTTAGGATTTTGGCCATTTTACAGTTAACGGTTAACCCAAATGGCACATTGTAGAAATAGAAAATTTTTGCATTTATTTTTTTTTACGACTTTATATCAAAATTTTCCAATTTTTACGCCTTACGGTTAAATTATTTAGCTGTTTTACGGCTAACAATTAAACCATTGAGACCCTCTTAGCGCTCTAGCGCATAATCATTTCACTTAGCTTATTTTTGATCGATTAGTTATGCCGATAAAACAAAAGACTTCGGAGAGTTTTGTGTTTTAAAACAAATTTACATACCAGATTGTGTCCATAGCGTTTCCCACAGTCAATGACTTGTAGCGAGTTGATATATATTCAGAGACAGAAATAGAAGACTAGCAGAAATAGCCCGAAAGTCAGTTTTCTTCGCACTAATCAGCCATGAATTATTATAAATTAAGAATAAGAGACATGATCAACAGCTAAAGAAGCTCTTGATTGTGAAACAAATTCTCCTTTTCATAACCTTAAAGGGCATGTAAACCCAAAAAACATTCATTTTCTTTTCACATAGATGTTTAGTAAATATATCAAGTACACCAAAGGTACCATTCGTTTTTTCTCAAAAGTCGATTTTCACTTTATAAAAGCTCTTCCAAATTCGAAACATTCGCCATCTTGAATGGCGCCATCTTCCTGTGACGTCACGGGTGGACCCTCCAAAGTCTCGTTTTATAATCGCGTGAGGCACGAAGGAGTCTTTTTTTACAGCCGTTGTTTGCCGGTCTCGTCATGATTTTTTCACTTACAGTTTGCTTCGATATATTCAATTTTTTCGTAATGGTAAAGCGTTGTGTCGTCCAGTTTTGTACTGATTCAAACAAAATTGGGCATACTATGCAAATATTTCCAAATGACGCAAATTTGAAGCGACAATTTGAAAATACGACAAATTTGAAAGCGACAAGTGAAAATACCCGATTTCGTCGAGCCGTTCGAACATTCTGTTGTTTGTGGCAGTCATTTTTCTTCCTGGTGCTGTACCGACGATTCAAGCCTTACTAGAAGCAAATTATTCGGAAGTATAAAAACGACCCATGCAGTCGGTAGACGACGAGGGTTCGGAAGTGGCCGACCGAACTGAGAAAGAAGTTGAGCTCTTCAAAAGTTAGAGGTCAACGGAGACAGTACAAAATCGATTTACACGAAAACGTTTCGTTAATTAAACAACGATAGCTTTTTTGGTTCTCTAAAAACATCTTTTTTCTCATCTAATGAAAGATTATGGGGAAGCCAGTTGTTCGATAGCCACCGCTGAGCCCATAAAAGACACTGACCCTTCTGATCCTTTGCCTGAATTCGAAACACGTATCAAAGAAAGAGAATTCGTTGATGTCAGTGTAATAACGTGATCTGGAATTTTGTTGGTTCGATGCAAAGAATTCTATACAGGATCCCATAATCAACCCTTATGTTCTATAAGAAAATCCATGCCAGCCCCACTTTCTGCTTCCTTTGAGAAACCCTGCAGAGAAACAGCAGAAGAATTTTTGTTACGATTTTCACAGCAGTGAAAATACATTCAAAGGTCAGTAAGACAATATTTATCATTTTTAGTACAACTTAAAAGATCCTGATTTCAGCTTGCAAAACTATCTTTTCAGTATTTCAAATAGAAGCAAACACAAACAGGGTTGGATAATTATGAAGGCCACACAAGGAAATGTATATGGTACAACTTGTTTATCGATAGAAATGCTTCGGAGATGAAGGAAAGCAATACATAAATATCTCATAAAGAACGGGCACAACCTCGAGTGCTGTAAGACATAAATAACTAAGATCTGCATTAACATATACCTTTGTTTCTCTCAAAGGTTTGGCGGTTTTAATCCAGTGTAAGGCGATCCAAAATTCGCTGGAAAAATGTTTCGGATATTGTTTACCGCACAAGATGGCACAGCGACCCTGAAGTGTTTGCCGAGATATTCCTAACACTAACGAACAAGCTATCTTTAGGCAATTTAGCGAAATTTCCTGCCAGGAAAGAAGCGGAAAACAACTAGCTCTTGTACTGTATTATTAAATCAATGGCAGAAACAACCCGAGCAAATCGATCTCAAAATGTAACAAAACAGATGAAACAGAAAACATTTAGCTTACTCGTTTCCGGTGTGATTATCTGTGCCTTGCTGCTGCCTGTACGCGTAATTGGCCGTCTTCAGCACCCAGAAATCAAGGCAAATTGACTGAAAACCTGGATGCTCAGTGATACAACTTATCTGGGTTTCAGGCCCTTGCTCCTCTACTTTTTGCCACAATTGCCCGATTTCCGTACAACAAACACTTTCATGAGTTGTCGGCATTGGTTGACAAGTTCCACACTCGCACCTTTGATAATTTTATGTAAAACACTCTCAGAAGCTCAAGTTTAAAAAATTTCTGTTGCATTCTTTTAGATTGTACCCTCGCTTTATTGGATTTTCGTGTCAAATACAAATAAATCACACAGTAAATTAAATACCAGTCTGAGTTTCCGAGACGGTCGCATCGCTGTCGACATGTTCTGTACTGTCTTCGTGCGGATCGCTTCGGTGAACCCTACGCAGCTCATATTGTTAAGGACGTGGCCCAGACTCTCCTGAAGATTCTGGATTATCCCCATCGCTGTCATGTACTAAGCTTAAGGCATTCGAGTCGCTATCTTCTAAAAAAACGTCTTCCAAACTACCGCTGCTTACACGAACTCCCACACCAGTTCTACTGGGGAATATGTGTTGCGCAATATTTTAGTTCCACCGCTTACGTCACGACTTCTCGCTATTGTTTTTACCGGAAATGGAATTTCAGTTGAAAATGCCGATTTTCTCCTAAAATAAGTCGAATAGGACAAAACGAATTTCAAATTCGTTTTCTACGCCACTTTTTACATAGTATAAGAAAAACATGTATTTTTTGGTTTACATGCCCTTTAAGAATTGTATAGAAAAAGTATGGAGCATATGCATACTGATGTTAAGGTGTAAAGGCTAAAGCTGAATTATAAACGCATTTTGATTGGTTCTCACTTATGATCTATTTGAGGACCGACAAATAGATGACGTCACCTTTCACAATTTTTGCTTTTTTATTACATAAAAGAAATAGATTCCATGTTACTATTGGTCCGTTTAATAATAGATCACAGATGACGTCAAAATGTGGTGAGAAAATCAGTGACAATTTTTGATCTTAGCACATTTTGACGTCATCCGTAATCTATTCCTGAACAGAATCAAAGGAATGGTATTCCATCATGGATGTCACGCGGAAAACGTTACGTGACATGCTAAAGAACGACTGCAAAGGATAACCTCTGTGAAACACGTAACGTCTGAAAATCAGTTAATGTTTGAAAAACCTCTTAGTTTATCCAAATGATCATATCTCGTTTTAACCTCGTGATTTATCAATCATAAAAGTTAACACTGCTCGTGACCACGCGCACGTATATTCAGGTAGAATCAAACATGTGACGTCAGCTGACTTATTTTGCCGGCGTCTTTCACAAGCGATAAGAGAGCTTTTCAACACAAGCCTGAAATTTTACGGGTCAAAACCCACGTTAAAACGTTTGTCAAGGAGAAACCAAAGGAGAGTGACCATTACATAAACGTTACTTTAACCCAATCGTGAGCACTATCACGTTTATCCACGATTTTTTTCTCGTACACGTGATGTCAGTGGACATGCTGGACACTTCTTCAGAAAGCTCGTAACAGAAGCAGCTTCAAAGTTCACGGGAAACACACCTTAAAACTTCTGTCAAAGGAGATTTTAAAGAATACCGGCATTAATTTTCTAGTAGGTAAGTCGTATCTTTACTTTCAGCTCATTCGCAAAGGAACAAGTTTCACTTTCGACTCGGCTTATCATGGAGGTCTTCAAAAAGCTGTTTTCATCTGTTTACTCAATTGCGCTCCGACTAAAATTCTTTAGCTGCTTATGAACAAGAAGACAAAAACTTACGCCTTGATTTGATGAAAATTTTGTATTTTAAAGCTAACAAAAGTAATTTTCGCATATTATTATGTAACATTTTTGTTATGATGTACTTAGCTTATCTTGAATCCAGACATCAAAGAATCTAGGGGGAAAATTTGAAAGCGACGATATTTTTTCTCTCTGAAATTCGTCGCAAAAAAACAGCTTTATTTTGTTTTGCTAGATGGGCACAATAATTATAAAGATCCGCCTAGGGTAAACTTTGCAAACACCTTGTGTGTTTTTTTGACTTGCAAATGTTTCTCAGCTGTCAAACTCAAGTGTTCTGAAACAGGTTATATATTTATGAGGCACCTAGTCGTCTGAAGACATGTACGGTGGCCTGCTTTTCTGCTTCTATTTCAAACAGAGTAGTAACATCCAGGTACTTGTTTTGACGTGAAAACGGAAGAACTTTATTTTCATTCGATCAAATTAATCATTTAATCAGTAACAAATTCTCAGTCGCGCAATGCAGCGGAAATAAGTGGTGCGAGAAATATAATAGTGTGCTTTTCCACACTATTCTTTCGATGTAATTAACGATCGTCATTGTCTGCCTTGCTATAACTGAATAGTACTAAAATATCTTTAACTACTAGAAATTCCAGTTTTCTTTAAAATTTTCTCACCTTCAGAAGTAATTTTTAGGTAATATCATCACACAAAAAGTTATAAGGAATAACTAGAGTAACTTGCCAGCTAGTGTGTTTTTGTCGATAAAACACAGAATTATCTGAGCCAAGTTATAGAGCAGCTGGTAGGAATCTTTAAAGGGATGTAGGACTCTGCTGTTCATCTCTCTGGGATATTCCTGATTGTTTTCTAACAGCACAACATTGTTTGAATGTGTTGTGTTGTTGATTGAGACAGAGTGAGGCAGTGACTTCTTTGAGATTTTCCTTTCCTCATCTGTTTTGACCCTTTATGGTCTAAAATCAGTATGCATATTCTCCATACTGTTCTCTTCACATTTCCTTAAGTATTTAACATCAAGAGATTTGGTGATCATTTCCTTTCTTCTTGTGACCTTCCATTGTTTGATTCAGGGGTGATATTGTAAGGAGAAATTAGGTGCTGGTCACTCTAAGGGCTCAAGAGGTTAATTATCTGTACCCACACTACTCCTCTTTGGAATAAATGCATTGGCAGGGTGGAATCTTCATTTAAAAAAGTTCCTGTCTGGCTTCAGCTCTGAGAGTTAGGTATCTCAGATCCTCACACTGTGCCTCTCTCCGGCTGGGAGTACAAAAGGGTGTCAGAAAACTTTCAAGCAAACTACAAACCCCATCACAATTGTTGAAACATTTTCCCCTTCCCTCCTTGCTAACCTTGGTAACAAGAAAGAGAAAGTGATGTGTCAGTAAAATGTGATGAAGGTTTGGGAGAATTGCAAGGAAATCTGTGGTCAGTATCCAGTCTAGAGGGAGAAATGATTCATGTCTGAAATTGCAGAGTTAAGCTTCAGTAATGAGTCGGTAATTAGGTCTTAATAGACTTAACTCTTTACTACAGCTATGTAAAATCCCTTTCTTGATAGATCTTATTCAGGATGAAATATGTTCCTTCACAGGAAGTATTATTAACCTTCTGAGCTGCTTAAGTACTCAGTACTTCTCTGTACATTATTACTGCATTGTTTAGCAGACAGATGACAAGTTAGAAGCAATGGGGTGTTTTTGTGAAATAAATTCCTAATATTGAAATAACAGGAAATATTTAGATGCTGGGATGATTCTGAGGATTGAAAGGTTTGCAAAATGAATATAATCTTTGAAATATCATTTTTATGCTGTTTACAGTATGTTGAAAGACTCTGAAGAATCTTTTTTCGAATCAAACAAGCAGATAAACTAGTATTTAAGATTCGCTCAATTACATGTATTATCACAACATGCAGACCTTTTAGGATTATAAACAAGTAACAAATTATGAAATCTTTATTTGACTTACAAAAATGATCAGCCCATACAAAGTAAATTAGGCTTGAGTAAACCCACAAGTAGCTGATCTAAATAAATATGCTAAAGGACACAAGATATTTAATACACTAAATTGGTTATAAAATCCCTGATGTTTGCCTGAAATTTAGAGCCTGAGTACCAGAACAGACCTAGAGGAAGGGTACAGGGGTGCACACCCCCCCAAAAATGACCAGCAGGTTTCTAATATAACTAGCACTCTGCAAAAAATGGAATCATGTGGTTTATTGGTGTTGAGGTAAAACATGAGATAAGGTTAAAGAATTTATTTTAATTGTCATGAAATTATAGTTTGAGTTTGGCACTGTAGTTTCTTCTTCATTGCTTGCCTTTAAATTTTTTTTTTTTGCCATCTGTCAGTGATGACATAACTTAGTTGTGCACTCCCCTTTAGAAAAATCCTGAATCTATCCCAGTATAATTCACTTGAGTAGAAAAGACATGGAGACTCAAAGCCCTGGACCAGGCCTGAGATGTGATCACCCTTTTTTCTTCCAACAGCTAAGGACTATCAGAGGTGATTCTAACTTGTGATTGCCATGGCCAATGTACGAGAGAAATTGTTGACGGCAGTCTATGAAGAGGAGCATACAGCCCCAAGTAAAGTGACAATTGTTGGTGTTGGACAAGTAGGGATGGCATGCGCTTACAGCATAATGCAGCAGGTTGGACTTTACATTTTAAAGTATACATCCATTAATCAAATATCATCCCTACTTCTTAATTAGCCCTTTCTTTGTCTTTTCATTGTTTTCCTTTTCTTTCCCCCTGCAGGTCAAGCTTCTCTAACCTTTTTATTCCCATCGGTGAATAATATCACCCTAGGTGATATCTTGATGTAAGACCAAATTCTCTTGTTCTATTTACAAGGAAATGTGTGGCAGTCAGTAGGAAGAGGTATTGGCTATATCTTCAGAGGGTAATGGGAATGAATGGTTAAATGAGGAGAGATATACTGAAAATGTTTGTAAATGCACTGCTCCACTAGGTTGTTCATGATATATAGCATATGTCATTTTCATCACTGATCAGGGTATTTGCCGTGAACTGGCCTTGGTTGACATGATTGAGGATAAGCTGAAAGGGGAGATGTTGGACTTGCAGCATTGTCAGCGGTTTGTCAAGAACGTCGGCATCCGTGCAAGCACTGGTATAAATTATTTTTCTCTTGTTCTTTGTGGTCTGATTAAGGACCAGTTTCATGTTTGATGCCAGCATGTGTTTTATTAGCCTGCATCTCAGCCCCATCTCCTTTCCACTCAGATTATGCTGTTACTGCAAACTCCAACTTGTGCATTGTGACTGCGGGCTCGCGTCAGAAAGAGGGTGAAAGCAGAAGGGATCTGGTACAGAGAAATGTCAACATCTTCAAAGGTAAATAATGGTATGTCTTTGGCTGGAGTCTTTCTGCAGAATGATTCATGGAATAAAAGCAACCACTTGACAATAACATTGTGGATGCTCATGCAATTTTTAATGCATTTTCTACTTTTCAGCAATCATTCCACAGCTGGTGAAACACAGCCCAAACACCATTCTGATGATTGTCTCAAACCCAGGTAAACAATCCAACAATATTTAACAATTACATAATAAGATGAATTCTACACCCATTTTGATTGACTTTAATGTACGATCTATCTGAGGACAGACGCATAGATGACGTGACCATTAACGACATTTTGCTTTTTTATCATGCAAAACAAACTGATTCTTTGTTTTGATACATCTGTTCAGTAAAAGGTCACAGCTGTGGCAAGAACAAAAAAACTGTGGTAAGAACAAAATAGGGGCACGCGAGGCGCAGCCGGGTATGTTACTGATGGGAGTGAAGTGTCTTGCGCATGCCCAAGAATACAATACAATGACCCGACTTCGGCTCAAACCCAGACCTCTCGACATTGAGTCCAGCACGTCTCCTTTCGAGTGTCAGCTACGTGTACAATGTTAGTAAACATGGAAATGAATTTTTCATTATTATCTTACAAATTCCATTATTATCTTAGTGGACATTTTAACTTATGTGGCATGGAAAATCAGCGGACTTCCCCATGAGCGCGTGATTGGAAGCGGAACGCACCTGGACACGGCCCGGTTTCATTTTCTTATCAGTGAAAAACTTAACATTGCGCCAAACAATGTGCATGGATGGATCATTGGGGAGCATGGCGATGCTAGTGGTACGTTATCAATACTCCTTTCTTAGCTCTTCATTGGTAAGGGCCACTGATCATAATCATAGGGGTATTACATTTTAGTTCAAATGGTAAAACACACCAGGTGACAGCTGACCTCTGATATAAGCTGCTCCGTTTGTGCTTCTTCCAAAAGCAAGTCGCTGCGACTCAGTAGTACTTTCGAATCAAAACCAGCCACAGTTTGAATAACTTGTTTCGACGGCAAAGTTCTGTCGTAGAACTTAAGTCGTCTCAGAAAATTTCCATGTGGGGTTGGTTTCCGCTCTTCTGTGGAGTCCAGTCTTTACTCCTCTCGCACTAACATGGGCCCTTTCCCAAACAGCAGGAAGTTACTAAGCCAATTGTAGCTGCGACCCGTTGCCTAGTGACTAAATCTCAACCAATGAGCGCTCGTTTTTTTTTTACCCTCATAGTGAATCTCCCATATTACTTCGGGTGAAACAAGCTCTCCCTTACTGTTTTGCAAACTTAAAATTTTTGGGCTCATTCGTCAAATGGTTGCTGTTCTATGTATTTCCTCGTTTCTCAGTGCCTGTTTGGAGTGGTGTGAATATTGCTGGAGTTAATCTCAAGGATCTCCACCCAGACATCGGGTCTGATGGCGACCCGGAAAAATGGAATGAAGTACACCAGAAGGTTGTGAACAGGTAAATTTTTTGGAATTGTGCATAGTATTTTGAACACTGCGTGATCTGACGTTTAACGGGCCAGGTCTGACTTCCTGCGTTTCAAATTTCCCAGTGCAATGGCTTTGGGTAAAGAGGAGGGGGGGGGAGGGGGTGGGGAAGAAATCGACTGTGCCCGAGTTAAATTCATCTTCCAGTCCTCGAAGGAATTAGTAACGTCAGCTCTTTGACGATTTTCGACCTTGTGTGTGTACTTGCGTTGATCTGTCGTGTTTTCCTATTATTTGTCCATTTTTAATTGGATACGTTATCCTAGAACAAGGTCTTCTTGATGCATATTATTATTCGAGGGAGAAAAGGTGTTTGTTTTTGTGAAGTGTTTAATGTTAGGGGCTCACTACATCGAGATTTAAGAGTTCAGATCTTGAAATCATTGTAGTAACCTATTGAGCTTTGACTTTTCCAATGGTGTAAGATTTCACGCGTAAACCTTGCAGTTTTGCAGAAAAGCGCCACAGCAACTGAAATTCTACTATAAGATTTGCGAGAATCTCTTAGAGGGCAGCGAAACGCAATATATTGTTCTTTCTCCTGTTCAATTTAGCGAGACCTTGACTCCGTCAGTGATAGTGTTCTTACTTCTCCATTTAGTGCCTACGAGGTGATCAAACTGAAAGGTTACACATCCTGGGCCATCGGTTTGAGTATCGCCACCATGAGTCAAGCGTTGCTAAGGAACCAGAAGAACGTACATGCTATTTCAACCCTTGCTAAGGTGAGGTTTAACACGTTACAAGGAAGAGTATAGATGGAACGTTAAGAATAAGGGGCTGAAATGGAAGCCAGGTGGTAAGTCTGTATTTTATCCAGATGGCCCATCCAGCCGGAGCTTAACCCGGTTTCCACAGCATGAAGCGACTAAGATCATTACTACTTCCCTGACAATTTGCCGGTACCCATTTATACTCCTGGGTAGAGAGAGGCACTCTGAAATTAAAGTGTTTAGCCATGCGAGACATGTGCGTTGTGAGATAAGTCCTCTTGATTGAAAATTTGCTCTAGAAATCGACTCAAGTCCCTTTCAATGCTTTTTCAATTCAGGGTTTTCATGGAATCGAAGAAGAGGTGTTTCTCAGCCTTCCTTGCGTGCTCGGCTCCCATGGCATCATGTACGTCATCAAGCAGACTTTGGACGAAAACGAGGCGAAGAAACTTCAGACCTGCGCGCGCACGATGAACGAGATTCAACAGAGTCTTGAGTTCTGAGTATATAGTGGTTGTCGCTGTAAAAGCATAGCTGTAAGTTATTAAAAAGATGAGCTGTTTGTAAGTTATTATTTTCTAGCTATGTATGGAATCATTGGCTCTCGCTGTCGCTCCAGACTACCAGCAGTCACTCCTTTTCTGAGTCCTTCGCGCGTGTTAAAAAAATTCAGTGAAGAAAACAAGTGATGTGAGAGCGCCGCGCGGAACTCTGTTCGTGCGCCTCATTCCCGAAGTTTCAATTTTATTTTTTCACTGATTTTTTTTCGGGACTCACGCGGCAGACTTTGCCGAAAAGCAGGGACTGATCCACTAGTAGTTTACTCTTGACCCGTTTTACGTTGCAGTTGTTTTTTCGCTTCTCCCAGGGTGGACAGTGAGAAAAAGGAATTGCTCTCATTGTAACCTTGAATTAAAGAAAACATTTGCTTGAGATGCTCAAATGGCCGACTGTAGACAAATTACTGTAACTAAAAATTTGAATAAAGCAGCTTAAACTGGACAACGAAACAAAACATCTTTTTATTTAGAGAAATATATATACAAAAAAACTACGCTGAGTAATATAAAAACAGCTCCTGTCGCATAAAAAATAAATAATCATCAAATCTCAAATGAATGCCACGAACGAATTACTGTCTTTCAAATTTACAAAAGTATAAAAATATGCAGCTGTAGTTCCGAACAATCAAATCGATAACTACCATTGAATAGCATTTAGCGAGTTGTTTGCAACACAGAAAGAACAACTTTAAACTGTGTGTATTTTCTGACATAATTATCTCCAAACAAGAATTCATCGAAGGATCGCGCTTTCCTTTGCCAATCGTCCAAGGATTTCACGTTTAACTTATTTCGTTTAAGATGGCAAACTGATTTTCAACGTCGGCAATTTCAACTAGAACAAACGAACTTCATGACAAAAACGACAGCTATTCTCTTATATTTCTGCTGTCGGCTCTTGCGATCCTCATGGTTCAGATAATTTCCGTTTCACTATCGCTCGCTACCTTTGTCTTTCGTTCAAACCGCCCTCTTCAGCAGGTGACAAAGTGCAAACGTATTGCAGACCTATGTTGTGACGATATGTTCGTCCTTCACCACTTCGACCCCGTTTAGCTCATCCGGCTCCATTTCTGATCGGTGGTGCCCAGGCCCTTCTTGACTCGGATTTTCAAGAAAGTTATGAACAAAGTTCTGGATCTCCCCTCTAGCTTCTGTCATGGAAAAAAGATCACTGAGTTAAATGCACCAATCACAAGCGCTGTACATACAAATACAAGAAAACATGTTCGCTGTAAACATCGGTGGTGAAACGTTTCCAAAGACATTTGTTAACCCACTACACCCCAACATCAGTATACATATTCTCCATACTGTTCTCTTTGTATTTCCTATGGTACTGACAAGGAATTTTTTCAACATCTGCAGATTCTTCGGTTTTCTATAATTCTGTAATGTTTGATTTATGAGAAAAAATCCACAGAAAACCTGGATGCTTGTCACTCTCAGAGGTCAGAATTAAGAATAAAACCTACTAAAAGATTTAATTCCCCGAGCCACAAACGATTTCCTCGACAAGGGTTCTTTATGCCATCTACAACAGAAAATTTCAACTTGCACGAGTCATTACTTTACGTGATTAATGTTTTCACGTTAATAACCTGGCATGGGAGCTTTTGAACTTATCATCTTGCCTCATTTAAGTTAAATCTTTTTGAAAGGAAACCTTGCTGATGATATCAAATAAAGAGAAATACAAACGCTCCATAAAAAAAAAAAAAAGAAAAAAAAAAAGAATAGCGCGTGTCACGCACCTAGCTTACCTTTAAGCTTCCTCTCAGCTTCAATTTTGGCGCAGCGTTCTTTTTCCAGCTCTTGGAGTAACTCATCTACAAAAGGCGACAAGAAGGAAAGCATAAGTCACTCAAAGAAAACTGCAGAGAAGTCAACCAGATATGTTAATTTCAAAAAATGGGTGTTGAAGGGTCGTTGAAACAGAGAGCAAGTTTTAAAGCCCCCTTGGTAATTCACCCCACCCCAATCCCCCTCTTCCCCTCTAGCATACATGGGACACGACCCCATGAAAACCTACCCCTGTCAGCACGAAAAAGGTTTTTCCATTTCACCGGCACTTTAATATATCAGGATATACCAATACAGGTATGTGATCATCTTTCTTAATCCATAGCCCCCCTTCCTTCCCCCTCCCCTCCCTCTCCTTCTTCTCTTCTCCCCCCCCCCTTCTATCTCCCTCCTCCCTCCCCCTCTCCTAACTCAAGGAATTCCACATTGTAACTCGAATGTATTGTTGGTTAAATCACGTTGGTGGTATTTTCCTTCTTTAAACATTCTACGAGGCAGTTAGGTGAACTTCTTTCAGAAACTGTCTATACATAGCTTGCTCACCGTTTCGCTGTTTAAGAGCATCTTGGGTCGTTTGTCTCAGCTGTTCTTCAAGCAGCTCACATCGTTGTTGTTCCTCTGACGAATTCGAAAGAAAAGAATCAAACTCAACGTTCTACCAGTACTCTGTTACACTTAAACACTCTAAACATCGGTTTGCAAAATCTCCATTCTGTTCTCTATACTTTTCCCAGGGTACTTAGAGGGAGAATCAGCTTCTTCAGTGATCTCACGATCATTTCTTTTATTCTCATGACCTTAAGGTTTGATTTAGGAGTGATAGTGTTGGGAGAAATAAGATGCATATCAATCTTAAGGTTTAAGAGATGTGAGATAATATGGCTACTATTTGATTTCTAGTCGAAAATTATACTCTTCCATAGAGGAAGACGAAGACTGAACAAGGAATATTAACTTTTCCTGTCACACTACAAAGTTCTTTCGCTATTAAGCAAACTACCCAGGGCTTAACAGTCCGCACCAATTCAAAAGAGAAAGTGAACGTCTTTCTCTAATTTCCAGTGGCTTACTACTGAAGATACTTAGAACTTCTACAACTATATTGCAGGAAATAATTGATCACTTAAAATAGTCGCTGATAAGAAGAATTTGAAAGGAGTGTCCAGAACTTACCAAGGAGTTGTTCAGCGAGCTTACGCCGCGCTCTCTTTTCTTTCTTGAGTTTCTTTTGAAGAAAAGCTGAAGGAAAAAACCGAAAAAATATGAGTGGTAAAGCTATAATCAGCAACACAAGTCTTGAGCAATTCAGTAGTCTACTTCATTAATTCACGCTTTTCTTTTCGTGCTTATTTTCAAACTGAAACGCAGACATACTAGCTGTGCCTAACAGACCGAGTTTCAAAACAGCCGGTGGCAATGACATGCGCAATCATGCTTACAGAAGGGAAACTATCCGTATTTACGCTGCTTCGTCACGGTTCAGGCGAAAAAAAAAAAAAAACGCGTACACTTGTAGGAGCAGAATCGCAAGAATTGCATGCATACTTAAAGTTCCCAAAAGAGTTCATATCCTAATAAATAGCTCCTGTGACGTCGAGTTTAAATAATGAAACATATATAATAATAAAGCCCGATAGAGCTCGCCACGTATTAATTACACTGACTAAGTCACGGGATGCGAGAGCATAAGACTTCCTTTTTTACCGTGATCGAGCGTGCGACTACTGGCGCTGAATTTCGCATAACGGCATGGTTAGCCTGAACTTGAAGCAAACTATAACCAGTTTAGATTAAGCGGATTTTCGTCAATTTTCGTTTGTGAATACAATTTTTCGTGTTTGATTAAAACAACCCGAATTTCACTTAAATCAATCCGTCCCGTCTTTTGAAGTAATCACATCTGCCTTCTTGCAAATCGATACACCTCACCACGACAGTTTTCTTGCTGCCACCAGTTTTCCTTGATATAATACTTAACTCTAAGAACTGATACACGAAAACTGTGAGGCAGTCGGGAAATGAAATAAACATTGACAAATTGGCAGTAGGAAGAGTCGAAGATAACGAATGAAGGCCCAAAGGGAGAATTACCTTTTCCTCTCTGCAGAGCAGCGGATTGTCTTTCGGCCTTCTCTCGAACCTCACGCTCGCGATGAATGTATCGGCGAAGTTCATCTAAGAAGAAAGGCATAAAATAGATAAATTAGTTTAACCCTTAACTCCCGAGATCTGATTGTAAATTCTCCTCTCTAGCTGCTACACATTTCCTTGTGAATTAGTTACGAGAATTTGGTGTTAGATCGAGATATTAACTTCTAACTGATAAGTTTGAGTATTCTGATTACCTGTTTGCGGATAATGTATGGATATTATTGGAAGAAGTTACATGTTAATCACTTCTCGGAGTTAAAGGGTTAACTCGATTGAGACGTCATTGAGGTACGAACAGGAATCGGACCGTATTTCTCGATGGCGTTACTTACTTCTTTCGTAAACAGCCTGTCTCTCGTTCTGTCTCGTATTTTCTGCAGCCACCTTCAGAAGACCCTGTATGTTTAACAGAAGACTTTCTGCAAAAGGAAAAAGGCAGTAATAATTTGAGTAATGTGCGAAAGATAAATCTTGTAGTGAAAGATTCATTTGTAGCTCTGTTAAAGTTACATCCTGAAAATCACAGCTAAAACTAACCCGTGGATCCAGGCTCCCTGAATTCAGGCTGAAGAGGAAAATTAAATCAAATTAGTGATAGAATCTAGTTAATTGTAAAATGTCTAAAAATAAGTTATGGTCTCAGTAACAAACCTCTCGAGATAACACGTGTGGCGAAGAGACTGACATTTCAGAACCCGTATCATTAACAGCGGCATTCCTGAACTCCACATGCTCAGATGTGCCAGTGCTACTGACATGAGGTACCGAGGCTTCAACGTTCATTGCCTCTCCTACACTAGGAGACCTCCCTGGGCTGCAATTGGCCACCGCTGACGCACCGTTGTTAGGTGGACCGCCATTCGTTGCTGGACTCAACACATTTCCTTGTGGACTCAAAGACGCCTGAGGACGAGGTGGAAAGTTGAACGCGCATGACTGAGAGTTTGGCGGCACAGCAACGCCATTGGGCGGGCTTATGATACGTGATGGCGGAGCGTTCGTTGGAGAATGAATTACGTGTGTAGTAGAATATCGCGGGCTCCCGTGAAGACATGGTGGCGTGAGATTGGACGGTGTCATGTTCAGAGCGCGCTCAGGCGGTCGGGAAATTGGCGTCCTGAACTGTGGGTCTTTCCTTTCAGCCCCAGTTGAATTGTTGTTGGCATCACGTGACCCTTCAATCGTCAAAGTTACACCAGCATTAGGCGACGAATCGCCCGAAATGGACTTGTTCGTATCGTCTGTCTTCATTGGTTCTCCGTTCGACATGTTGACAGGTCTTTCAGCGTGATGATCGACTTTGAAATGCTTGAACGGATTGTTTAGCAGCTCGGGAGGAATGTCGGGATTCTTTTTACGTCGCCCTGGGCCCCTGAGGCAAAAAGTAAAATAGGATAAGAAACATAACGTCACGTCCCAGTTACCCCCCCCCCCCTCTCCAGCTGAGATACCCTTCCCTTCCCCCCCCAAAAAAAAAAGGATACTCCTCCCACGGCGACCGCCCGCTTCTATGACATGTTTACCTATAGGGTTTCCTCCCGTATGACAGTCAGACCGAGGAGAAAAAATGGAGAATGTCTCTTTGCTGTCTCATTGAACACTATGGAAACTATTAAGCCTGGATTACCTTTTTTCAGGTGGAAACTAATTGACGGATCATAATTTTTTGCGTTTAGGTTATGGATAGGGTAAGAGTTATTTTAATAGGGTGAGTTATAAAATTATGTCCCGTCAGTTGTCGGCTTATTAGGAGTTAGGAATCGTCATGCATCTGATCAGTGGCTCCAAAACTCAAGTCAGACAGAACTGAAAGAGTAGAGTTATTTCCAGGAACAACTGTGCAGTAGTCTGAGCTCAAAAACAAGGTTAAACGTCAATTTCTTCTCTTTTTTTGCAGATAATTCACACTCCGTCTGAGGAGAAATTCTAACTTTTCTTTACTTCAAAACCGTTTTCAAACCTCAATATTAGGGCAAAGGATGGCATAAGTTTTGAAAATGTCCTTGGGTAACACCTTACATTGAAACTTTCACCTGCGAAAGATTTGTTTTGAGTAAAAGTTTCAAAATTGTCTTTTTGAATAGTTCACATGTTGTCCAAATATTCCAGCTGCGTTCACCTTTCCAATTGCTTATCGATTCACGACTGTCATCAGGAGAAGCAATATCAATGCACACTTATACAAATATTATTTTTCGTCTTACTTGACTGCTTGGAATCATCTTCTTTCGTCCCTGATTAAACAAATACGTCTGACTAAACGATTTTAATAGCTGTTTCATTATGTTCACCGCCTTAATTTGGGTAAAAATGCCAACATCTTACAGAATATTTACAATTCAACCGTTGGACGCGACATTTTACAGAGAAGTTTTTGAAGGTCGGAAATGCAAAAACAAACTACAAAACCTCCATTAAGATCACCTATGTTCAAGCTACAATATTTGCATTACATTCCTAATGTTTAAAGCTCATATTTCGGCCTCTTTGAAAAAATTCCATGTAGAGTATTTTAGCATTAAAGCGTTTTGGAGATATAGGTGTTTTAAGTTGTTATTCACAAATACCGATTCCATTGCTAACCAGATCACAAATAAGTATCTGAAATATTTCCCTCCTATCTTGTTCAATATTTTTGGCACATTTTCCTTCTTACTACGTAGAATCAAAAACATTTTCTCTCTAAGTAACAAATATAACACAAGGGGAAAGCACCCGGGTAATCATCATGTTTAAGTCCCTTTTATATGACGTGTTTATTCTTATTGCCTGAAGTTTCTGATCTATCTTCTGCATGTATTTCTGGGCGAACTTCAATTAGCTTGCACCAGTATTTGAATAACGGTAAGAATCACTTCACCGGCTTCCAACCTCTTTTTTAACTCTCAGTCCAACCACACTAAAAAGTGCTAGCCACAAGGAAGCTGCAGTGAAAGATATCATAAAATTACATATTGTACTTTATTCATGACATGCGATTATTTCTTTAGCCGAATTTCTTTTTATCCTGTGGCGAACACACACGCCGAATCACACGACTGGACAGGAGATAAGCATTGAAAAGTCTGTTGTTGTTAAATCAAGCTTTCCGGAGCAAATTCGTTTTAGGTTTAATAAAGAAAAAACAATTGTACTTTCAAATGAGAATCTAAGGAGCCCAATATCACACAAAAAAGAAAAAAAAAAAGAATGTACTCGTACGACCAAAGCGCATAAAGTGCTCGAACACTCTCATAGTCAAGGCGCACAAATTTACACCTTGAGATTCTAAATAAAGTCAAAACTACACTGAATTCACTTCCGTGAGGTTTGTATCATTTCGTACTAGATTTGCGAGTAATTAACTCTTCACATTATTCAAAAGTGTTCAACTCCATTTCCTTTTTCTCATCACTGGAAATTTCACGCTGAAGCTATCTACTTTAATCTTCTCGTTTTAAATAGAGCTTGAGATGTCATTAAACTGATCTGTTTTATCAGCGGGCAAGTACAAAGTGGATTTGCACATCAGCATTTCCGTCTTTCGTATCGAAATCAAATTAATCCACAATTTGTACCTAAACTTCACGCAAAATCCTTCAAAAAGAAAGAAATTTAGAAATTAGAAAGCGATATTCTGGAGGAGAAAAATGGAGTCTTGCAAATGCCATTTGCAATCTCCATTTCTGAGCATGTTCTTAAAGAAACAACACAAGTAATCCATCTCGTGGGCAAATTTGCGTGATTCTATTTTCGGATCAATTCTTTTGCTTTCACTCATCTCTCTACTACTCAAAAGATTTGAATTCGATAGCATTGTGGAACAAACTAATGAGCCGATGGAATTTATATATTTTGATCTACAGCTGATTGGAATTTTCGAACACAATATTATCACGCAAGGGATTAATTTAATGAAAAGCTGTGTTCTTAGTTTGGCAATATTGCCCGCTCCGGATAACTCTCGAAAAGTTCCAGTTTGCATTTTTAGAGATTAAACAAAATGTCAAACACTTGAAGGCTGTATTAATTCGGCAAATGGCACGCATCTGCCAAACCACAACATTTATATAGCATCGCGCTTCAAATAACATATATTTATCTTCATCACGACACGTTTGGCGTGTGGCTTCGTGGCTAAGCATAATTTATCATTTACACTAAGAACAGTGCCATTTCACAGTGAAACCATTTTAGTGAAAAATCAACGAAAACATTTCAACGAAAGCCCTAACTTACATCTGAATAAATTTTGGTCCCTGAGCCACGTTATCAACGTACAAATTCTCTATAGTGCCTCATACTTAATCCATTCAGCATTACTGAGGAGAAATTGCAATCCATTCCTTGAAAACCACAAATTTGCAGTCTTCGTTTCAATAATTGTTTTCACCTGCAAAACTTGTAAAACCTTGTATCATCTTTGGGATTTAAAAAAAAGGGAAAAGAAGAAAATGGAAGTTGGTTTACCTCATAATGATATGGTGCGATGGAGAAACCTAAGAAAATAATATAAATTAATTGTCCTTTATTTTTCTACTTAGAATTGAAAGAGAAGAAAGCTTTAGGAAGTAATTTCAAGCTCACCACGTTGCAACTGCTAATCGATTTTACAATTTGCACGGTAAAAAGACCATTTCAGTTCGAATTTTTGAGAACACTTCCTAGAATGACTGCTGACGTTTCAAGAATCGACAGCGAATGAACCTCATTGGTCAACGAAGAGTTACACAAATGTCTAATATTCAAGAAATATCTTTCAATTCAAGGCGAAACTTCAACCTGTTTTTTTTTTCTCTCTTTATCTTTTTTCCTGTCAGTTTTTTACGTTTTTTTCATATCACTGTTTAATTAGGTAAAATTTCCCTCAGGAGGTGCGGCACCATGGTACTCTGAAAGAGACGGGGCTCCAAAACGCAATTTCATGGAAGAGACATCAAATGGATGAGATCATTCCTCTGTTTGATTTTTTTTTTTTTTCCATCGTGTCCAAAACTACCTTTTGTTTAAGGTAGTCAAAAAAATTATTGTTGGGTGAGATGCAGAACTGATGACAAAAAGATGGTTAAGAATTGAGATGATTTTAAAAACGAAATATCGAAGGTTAAACGTGAAAATTTCAACCTACATCTTAAAAGTAGCACAGATTGTGACTAGGTTCATTTCAAGATCCCTAAAGTGTTCGAAAACCGAAAATCCACATTACTTCATTCTTATTTGGTTAGACGCGTCACATGGATTTTGAATTACTAACACTTTTTGAAATTTAAATTAGGCCTCGCAAATGAATAGGATGGAAAAATTTAATGAACATTCTTGGTAAACATAATGCTAATTCAAAGCTACCTGTTTAACGCCAAACGATCCATTAAAAACTTCGAGTCAATTAACATAAACACTTTGTTTTCGACTGGAGTTTTCCTATTGCGAAAAGTAAACAAACTGCCTTCGCACCTACTGAAAACAAAATTTACCTTTTCCCACTGTGAGATAAAAATGTTTGTCCAGGGCAGTTACAAGATCTAAAGTATGTTATAATTTACGCCGCAAAATGTGTTGTACCCTCCCTGAACACAATAGGAAATAAGTAATTTAATGTCCAACAATGGCTTATTCAAAAAGTGTAATTACACATTGTGGGGGTTTCCGAACGAGTATGCACATTTACGCTTATGAAGTGGTTCATTACGACAAACTCTTCATGAAAATTCGAGATTTCGTTTCAGAATTCTAACTTAATTTAAATAGAATTGTAAAATCTGAAGCTTAATGTCTTTGAATAATTGTAACGAGCGATGTTATTGTACCTGATAATTTCTTACCTGTAAAGCAAACAATCTTCGTAGAGTCTGTTGAAATCTTCGCGCGAGATCAACTTGCAGCGATTTACGACTTGACCTATGGCTCCAACACTTCGCATCATGCGAACTTGCTCCACGTTGCAGTTCTTTCCTTGAATGTTCATCCGTTTGAGTTTTGTGTACACAGTGTGCATTCCAGACACAAGATCCTTCAGAAAATACTCATACACTTGCGGAAAGCAAAGCAAATCTTCCCCCTCGACGTTGAAGGCGGCGATTTCTTCCCCGTTCAAATTTACCATTTTCAATTTGTAATCGCTCCCGTACGGTAATGTAGGAGTTTCCACTTCAATCGACTCGTAATGGTTTGGCGTTTGAGGAGAATACACTGGCGGCTCCATGTTTTTTTATGCCGGAATTGCTGATCGCCGCAGTGCGCAATTGTGTAACCGGCTCAGCGCATGCAAAAGTACTAATAGTAAACTCCAAGAATCAACAACTGTTAAATTTTGACAATGTCTAACCACGTGGGTAAACTTAAAAATCCCGCAATGCTCATGCGTTAGAAGGTAGCCACGCCCAAAAATCACAGGCCGCTGATAGGCGATTGGTAGAAATTAGTGAGACTGTCATCAATCAGTCTGAAGTTAGATTTGTGATGTTTTCTTCTGCTGGGAAGAAGAGTTTTTTCTTACACTAACAATCGCACCCGGGAATCAATTTTCAGATTTGATATTTGCCAGTGTGGCGTGGGTAGCTCTTGGTTTGCGTGGAGCGAATCATAAAGCTTTCGTGTGTTTGGCATATTTTTATGGACATTCCAAGACAAAATTGAATTGACTTAGATAATTACACATCAGGAAAATGGGTCATTTAGTAAATAGCTCGCTCCCGGAAACGCCAAGATCTGTAACAGTGTATTGTTTTCATGATAATCTGAGCTTGCATTTGCCAAATGGAATATGAATGATTTTGACAGATTTGCAGACTTGGGCACAGGCATTTTTAACGCGTTGATCGAAATGTGTGCTTCTGTAGGCGATATTTGATCAATATCATAGATTAATGGTTAAAAATAGAATGTTTTGGTTGTGAACTTGATTTGTTAAGTCAATTCTGTGTATTATTTGTGAATTCCTTTCTCACGGCGTATGATTTTGTTGATAACAGAATTCAGCGACATTGAACAGGAATACGTCAAAATCAAATCTGATTGATCCTTTTTCTACCAACAGTAACTCAACTTATTTTCGTCTTGCAGATCACGTCTCAAAACCCTAAATATCATTCTATTTGAAAGAAACACGACCTAATTTTGTAGATTCATTGGGTTTCTTTGTGTGGTGGCAAAAAGCATTGCATAAATACACCCTTGAACCGTGCTTAGCTTTGTAAAACCACATTAAACAATAAGAGACTGAGGTGTCAGAATTTCAATTAACGTGAAATAACTCAGTCGCCGTTTTCAATAAATCAGAAACATTCTGAGGAATGAAACTTGAGGAGAAAAGCCTCAATTATTTCGAAAGCTGGGCACGAAAGCCAAAGATTCTTTCAAAACGTTCTAGCTCTTGCAGTTTCCAAATTTTTAAGCGGCAAACTTTACTCGACATTAATTGTTTTCTGTTCAAACATTTAGCTAAGTAAATTCTAAGAGTCCTGTTGGTCGAAATGTGATATTTTGACAATACATATTCACTCAGCGCCAGTGTTATTATTGTTTTGTATTCTGTGATTTTCAGCATGATAACACAATTGCCGGCTTCCCTTTTGTCACGGTAATTTCAATGCATGGCTTATTTGCTGATTTGAACAAAAGCCTGCTCTGAACTCAAAACCCCACAGGCGAACGCGTCTCTGGAAAACAAACAAAAAACCCAAAGTTTTAATAAAGCCATGATCTTAACTTAAACATGATGATGCTTCTTGGCATACATATTGAAGTCATTACCTTTGTTGTCAAGCCAATATCATTTAATTGCCCAAGTTTCATTCAAAAAGCGCCCGTTGCATTCCATTTCAAAATGCTCACGTTATCTGTTGAGAAATACAGAAGCTCTAGATCTTAAAACGTATATTTCATGCAACAAGAAAGACGAACAGACGAACAGACTAACAGTGTTAGCCAAGTTTGCGTCCTACAGCACGACAATTGCTGACAGTCATTGTTGCATCGCATAAAATGAAGTGTACCATTAAACTGTTTCAACTAGGGTCAGCTGAATGACCAGTCATATTCCCCATTCAAGCTGTCTATAAGCAACGTCGAACAGCAAGTAAATTGTACCTATTTTCAGTAGGCCGACGCTTTTATTAGTCCATAATCTTCCGAGTCCACTCCTTTCTCCATACGCGGGTTGATAAAAACAGTTTCCGGAAATATGTAGATCTTAAGTACCGGAAATGACAGATTTTTCCCTGAGTTTCCAAAAGCAAAACGTCATATAACGAGGTAAAATATATTTGGGAAAGAACAGAAGTAGATCCAAACTAAGACCCACTACATGGTAACTGGGGCGCCTAAAATCTCGCTTCGACGGGCCATGATCCTGTTGGTTTGAAGAAAACCATGCCAAACGGCTTCTCCAAAGTTGCGCTGATTTCACCCGTATTATGGGTAAAAGCGCGCCTTCCTCTAGGTTATGACGTAGCCCCAAAACGTGGATACAATAGGCAATCGATTTTTCAGTAAAAATATCTTAGTTTCGTGGTAGCTGCCTCCAGATTAATCGTTATGGGATTCTTAAAAGCAGCGGGAGAATCGTTGCACCATTAAGATTAAAAAGGATTGCCCTACAAGCGGAAAACCAGCAATGGATGAAAGAGAACTTCTTATTTTGTTTTTCTTTTTTTTGTAACGAACACATTTTTATCTGAAAACTTAAAAACAGGAATATGCTTAGTGCAATGGTGAGAAACTCGATTGACGTGTCGGTAACGAAGACAATTAAGAGAACTGACAAATTTTTTTAGTTTAATTAATTGTGACAAATGATATCTTCTCAAGAGCCTTTATTAACGGAGCCAAAACACAAGTCTGACTGTAAAAACAAAGTTATGTTCCAAGGCGACTTCCACGGAAAGTTTATCACAGCACGAGTTGAACCGACAATTACACTGAGAGGAAGTATCACAGATGTTTCCATGGCATGAACAAACATAAAAGGAATTTAAGCAGGAATTTCGAAAAACTGTGAGAAAAAGCATTGTCTGACAACAAGAAAATAATAATGATCTCAAGCCGACAAGGAGAAATCAGTTTTCGAGATGTAAAACATTTCGTGACACTGATAATAGCCACTAACGTCATGGTAAGTTTGAGCTAGGAAAGAGACTAGTATCGGTCTGCTTAAAGTTCAACTGGAGTTAGCCCTTTCCCTCGGGCCTTTTAATTTCGTTATCCTTAAAATTCAAGAATTAATTAATAAGCAACTTTATCAAACCATTGTAGTTCTGTTACCAGCTACAAATGAAGTGAATAGCCAAAACTTTACAGCTTTAACGTGTTGTTTTCATGTAAATCCAAATTCCTTTAAGTAAAGTACCAGAAAATGTGTTTCAGCTAGAGGGGAGAATTACTAATCAGATACTGGAGTCAACGGGTTCATTGTGTTGGTTGGCGATTAAATTCCGTCATTTGTCCGGCATGGGATAAGCACGAGTTACTTAAAAATCTGTAACCAAGGCCACGACAGTTATACCCTGCGTGGCAAGCTCTGGATGAGAATACTGAGTACAAGCCGGTAAGAGAGCAGATGATACGTAGATGGAGTCTCACTCGCGTGTCTTCGTAGCAACCACTTGGGCGACAATGCGAAGTAAAGAAACGCACAAGAGCCGATGCAGAGTAGATGAAATCTCACTTGCGCTCCTAGGAGACAGGCTGTCGGCAAAAATACAAAATAACACGCGCGGAGTAGAAAAGATGATGAGCAGATGAAATCTCACTCGCGCGTCTTTGCGCCAAGCGCTCTGCGAAAAACACAAAATAACACGCGTGTAAGAGAGCTGATGAAATCCCACTCGCGCACCTGGGTGACAGGCTGTCGGCAGAAATGTAAAATAGTACGCGCGCAAGTGAAAAGATGATGAGCAGACGAAATCTCACTCACGCACCTGCGTGGCAAGCTCAGCAAGCCTCTGATAAACAGCTTCTTCAAGCTTTCCAAAAAGCCGCCTTCTGAGTCTCTCAGCATGCACAATTCAGGAGTAATACAGAAAGGAGCGACCTCAGTATTTGCGCCGTAAGATTCAGAGTAAGAGGGTGTGGTTCAAGTTTAGATCTCGCTCATGTTTCATCAAATTCCTGACTCTTCCACGTACGACTTAATTTAGTAAGAAAGAGGATGAAAAAGAAAATAAAATTATCACACTGACCAAGTAACCTAATAAAACAAGACAAAAATAGTTGATGAAGAACCAGAAAAACAAACCAAACGAAGGCTAAAATCTTTCCGTGAGCGTCGGAACATATTAATATCCTTTAAAACACGAATCAATGGTGTTTAGAAACACAGCGAACTGAAGTATGCAATTCTACTCTTATCTAAACATGGGAAATTCCTCGGAGCTGTATGAGTAAGGTTCTTCCGCTAAATAGTCCTCGAGCAAACATTGTTCTATGTAGAGTAGTTTCGTGAAATTTCATTCCGTCACGTAAAGGCAAAGCAAAGAAAATGAAGTCGTGAGGACATTTAGCTAAACTAGTTCAAGAAACTCCAAAGCAAAAGTATCCTTCGAAATACAGAGAAAAATGCACTACATGTAATTATGATATTATACAGAAAAGGTAGAAACTTCGGTGTCCCTCCATCATTTAATATTTTGTCATGAGGAGAGCTGCACGCATCCGTCGCCCACATCTGATTTCCCTACAGTTTTCAGCAGTAATAGACTTTCACGGTGACACCCACGTCATCAACCAAGTCCGGCCTATTAGGGTGCATTAAAGTAGCCGGGCTGAAAGTCCTTTCGTGGCAGAAAAGTTTCAAAGGAAACATGGAATTTCGTATCGCACCACCCCTGCACCACACTCAGGCTTTTTAATGAAAACTGATAGTTTTAATCCTTAGCTAATTTTCATCATTTATTACATCTTTTCTTTAAGTTCTTTTAACACGAGGGGATTATAAGATTTACAAAGTCTCTACACGAAAGGTCAATAGCATCGCTTAGTTGAAACACCAAATGATCGCGGTATTCTTACGTCCTCAGGTAGTGCTTGGCTGAAGGATTTCAGTGAATTCCTGGTTATTCACTTTTCTTTGCGCAAATATTCAACTCTTTCTGTAATTTGAGCATGCAATTCAAAATGTACTTAAGATGGTATAAATGAGACTTGGCGTTTTTAACGTGATTTACGGATTAAAGAAGAGATAAACTAAAAGAGAATTATCAAAAAAATTCGCAACGTGATAATTTGAGGGGGAACATAACGAACGCAAATCGGGTAGTTTATATGAGCGGAAGAAGCCCACGTTTTATATTTGGTGAAACAAGACAATGCGTGGCATTGTCACAGACAATACGTGGCAGAGCAATTCGGTCTATAATTCTTCAAGAATTAGACACCACCCAATTTTAGGCGCTTCTTGACTTTACGTGCTATCCAGTTAGAGGCGCCCTAAGCGCCGGACAATCGTCGGTGATACCCCACCCAATTTTTAAAGCAATCAGATTTTTGGCGATTTCCCATTAAAAGGCGTCACCCAATTCTGGGTTCAGTTCTATTGTAGAAACCAATTAGTTTTAGACGCCGACTAGTTGATGGCGCCATTTTATTTTAAGCTTTATCCCACTTTTGAAAAGCCTAATTAAAATCGCAGGCAAACTGAGGGCGATACCCAATTTCTGGTGCTTGTGAAATGAGGCTTCGAGCAACTCCAGAGATCATCATCCAATTTAGCGATATATGGCTTATGGCCAAAATCGTGTTTTTTACATGAAGCGGTTTAGAAAACAAACAATTCAACAAACTCCTGCTGGTTACATTGAGAGTTCAAACGATTAAATTCACCGTTGTAAGCGTGGCCATCCTTAACGAGATTTCATATTTCGGAGACGCAATCAAGCAAAACAAATGTTTAGATTACTAGTCTTGCTAGATTGGTAATTTTTTGATAAGGAAATCAATAAATTCTGAGAAAGAGGTTTTTCCCTCGTGGTCGACATCCGAACGGGAAGATTGAGATGTATATGTTGTGGTTCAATTTTATCCTTGGTTCAAATTTTATTTTCCTTTGTTTCAAATTCGTTATAATATATTACAATACCCAAAAACAAAAGAAAAGAAAATTTTGAACCAAGGATAAAATTGAACCACAACATATACAGCAACAGTGCGACCAGGCCTTCATTATTGGCGCTTCAGCAAGAGTATTCCTTCGCCTGTGGGGTAGTATGAGGTCTTGAGCAATGCGAGCTGGCAAGAGGTCTGCAAGGGGTCTGGTACTGTCTCATTATTTGTGCCAGACCCGTAGCAAACCTCTTCAAACTCTTCTCAAATCTTCCTGCGGGTGGAAACGCGCGTTCAGCAGGGGCTACAACATAGCAGACAAAAAAGACAGAGATACAGCTTTACACATGAAGGATTAAGAGGCGCTTGCCAATTTTAGGTTTCTAAATCATCTGGTAAAAATTTCTAATTGTGATGTACACTTCATACATGAATAGTTTGTCTTTATTACGCACACTTTGGAGAGGACAACATTTCCTTGCCAATTCAGAGATGATTAAGATGTAACTTCTCCCATCAATATCCATATATTACCCAGCAAACAGGTAATGAGAATGCTCAAAGTTATCAGATAAAAATTGTTATAGAGTTTCAGTCGGTATCGGGTGAGAATAGACTGACCTTCAGCTGGGGATACTCTCTGTATACAACACCAAATTCTCTTCACCAATTTACCTAAAGAGTATAGCAGCTGACCGGGAAAATTTCTACCTTTGTATTAAGATTTCGAGAGTCTATAGCCAATGACTCGACCCCATGCCGTCGTCGTTCGTTAATACAAGCTCAGTGACATTCAACTTGTCCAGTAGTGTTGTAGTTTTGGAGCCATATTTACACCTTTCCTTTACCAAGGTTGAAGATAATAGATCGCAGGTTCAGAGCCAAAAAGGCATTCTGTGGATCGCAAGTTCGTAACATTTCTTGCACTACGGCGGATATCTGGAAGGCTTCGAAGTATCGGCGATTAGACCTGCAAAAAATCGAGCTACTGAGAGGACAGCCCGAAAGTGTGAAGTGGAATACATCTGGATGATTCATTTTGTTTCAGGAGAAGGATTAAAGATTGTGTTACTTACTTGATTTTAGAGAGTCTTTGTAGGACAATGCTCAATTTTTCTAGTATTTTAGGATCCAGTCCCTTGTGTTGCAGCAAATTCACGGCTGTCCTGAACCAGAGTTCGTTTGAACAGCTATCCAGAAACACCGCGGTGAATGCTAAGAGTGTATAACCAAGGGGGGGTTAGTGTCTCTTCGGAAAACATTCTTCGCCGCCTCAATTACATGCATAATGCAGGACGTTATTCGAATGCCTGGCTAAAAGCCATACTTTAAATCTATATCTCTAGAGGCATACTGAAAGGAATGGGTCTTGGCTCAAAAACCAGTCCATTGGTTCGCTTCCAGATCTCTTCCTCGATTGAAATTAAAAACGTTAACATCACGATCTCGAAAGTTAACACGTCATATTAAAAAAGAGAAGAAGAAAATATATTAAAAAAGAAAACATTAAAAGCTTTTTGTAAAGCAACTGCTTAGGGAGCGCATGTTATAGCTACAAAGTACCGCAATAGTTTGTAGACCCACAATATTTGATCTTGGTTATAGTGGATATGAATGGGTTGAGAATTACCACAACGCTGCTCTCGTTCTCAAAGTCGCAAACTTCCAAGGAACAGCTGCTATTTTCTGTTTCTTACTCTCAATTTCGTGCCATTCCTTTAATATCCCACCACTTCTTAATTTCAATAAGAACACAGGCGCTAATTCGAGCTTAAATGAGCTACAAAACCCCTTCTTTAGAACGAGCGAATAAATAAGTAAATAGGACTTCTGAAAATGATTCGTTGTAAAAGGTAAGAGTGTAAATCTTTGACTCTATACATGGCATGGCATGAACCGCATCAGTTTATCACGAGCTCAAACTTACGTGAATCGACAGACATCAGTAGCATTACATCGACAGCACTTCCGAGGAGAGCCTGGTAAGGAGAAAGATGCAGAACTTTCAGCTGAAAAAACCAACTTTTTAAAAACGCTCTGGATCCAATTATCCTATCCAGTAATTTTCCTGTAGATTAGTGCAATGATTTATCTAAAAGATCATGTCCTGTTCTCTCAATATGCTCTCCCTCTAACGACCTCCGTCTGAAAAATAGTTCAAAACCTCCCCTCAAGGAGTGATCAAAAGTAATAATCAAAAATCTCTTCAATGAGAATTAACTTCCCTGCAATCACTGAATTCTGACCCCCCCCCCTCCCTCACCTTATGCACAGGCTTCATGTATGATAACACCACGTATACTCCCTCGTAAGTAAGAAAAATCTGCTTGCCCTGTCACGGAAAAAGAAAATGCAAATCATCTATAACAAACTAGAAATTACAGATTATATCAACCTGTGTTGGAATGATAATTATTAGAGATAGATTAGCATCTAATTTATCTTTACAACATCACCCTCGAATCAGACATTAAGGTCTCAAGAATAAAGGAAAAACATCAACAACTTAAGATTAAAGCTCTTGATTGTTAAACAAATTCTCCTTGTCAGCACCTTAGAAATTGTAATGAGAATACGTATTGTATGGAGAATATGCAGCCGTTTTTCATGCTGTCATGCAATGCTCTCCCGGAAGCGTTGCAAACAGCGACTTGTATTCATCTCTTTCACCGTTACCGTTATTGTCACTGTCGTCATCGTCGTTATCATTTCAAATTATAGGATTTTCAGCCCTTAAAAACCTTCCAGCTGGTCGTTGCATCTTAGTTCTATTTACACCCAAGTATTATAACGCTTGTTTCGAAGGCCAACTCACCAAATCGTCTTTCAAGTCAGTTTTTAAGACATCAAAGACATGTGCCAAATAATCGACTACAAGAGAACAACAGGATAAAAAAAAAACATTGGTTAAAATATTTGCCTTTCAAAATCAATTTCAATTTGTACTCACATCATTCACGTAAAGTTGAAGGTGGCTCTTTGGCGCAGTTTCATTTACAATTGATTCAAGAAGAATTCACTGAAGTCAAAGACCGTGGTCTGATGTGTAACAAACTGATACTAAATTGCAATGAGTTAAAAAATTGACACGAACAAACAGACAAAAATAGCTGAAATTGAAGCAGTTGTCTCACCTCTAGCGAGTGTTTTGAGGATAATAAGAGACGAAAGAATCCTGACAGCAATTGTGGGGCTATGAAAGTAGATGTCAACTTTCTGCTTGTCACTTTTCAGACAAACTCCTTCCTCTGAAATTTTTGACACCTGAAAAATAGCCAGTGTTTTAAAAGGAATCTCTGTATGAACAGTTCACTCCATTGCATAAATTTCCGTCAAACTTTGTCCGGACTGACCTGTTCAAAACAAGACTCTGACGCAACCGTCTAAAATTAGACGAAACCGTCCGGAAAGAGACGGAACTGTCCGAAATGAGACGGAACTGTCCGAAATGAGACAGAACTGTCCAAAATTAGACGGAACTGTCCGAAGTTAGACGTAACCCTCCAAACTTAATAGAAGCGGCAGGGAAGAGACGAAGCCTTCCGAAATAGGACGCAACCAAATTAAAACCAAAGTTATGCTTGTTAAATTAGATATTTATTTATTCATTGATAATTTCTCCAACCCACGCAATAAATCAAAAAGAGACTATTTAAAAGGGAAGTTTTTCTACCTGAGGTTTGTACAGTTCTTCACCAATATGTCGCAATGTGGACGCCAAAGCAGTTCTCTGCAAAAATGACAACAAAAAAGCAATTGAGAGGGAAAAAATGGAAACGCATTTAAGACACAGGGTCGTTAGTCCAAAAAATGAAAAATGCCATTGTATTTGGTGCGTTTAGGTACCTGCGATCCTTGCACTGTCTGTTCCATGTAAACAATACTCCAGTAGGTGAACTGTAAGCAGGGCTGTTGTAGGCGAGGATTAACACTTGGCAGAATACTAAGTATGTCTGACATGCCGGGTAAAATCTGCATAGCAAAAAGGAAAAAAAAAATAACAGTAATAACTAATTCATCTTCTGACGTTTCTCGAGAAAGACGTCTGGTTAAAGAAACAATCTTTTGGAATTTTTCTACCAAGGAACCAAAACTATGCTATATAGTGTCGAACACACACGTTGTGTTCACTTTTTTCGTTCTGCCCCGCAAAAATCTGTCAACTTCCCTTCTTCTCCTTATAGGATCCAGGAGAAGAAGGATCCAGCCAGTTCAGTTCAGTCCAGTTTTCATTGAACATCAATCAAGCTGACTTACTTTCAAACATTTTTCATGCACCAGAGACGAGGGAATGTCTAATTGCTGTTCTTGCAGTCTTCCTTGTGGCGAGTCCTGAAAAGTTGGCATCTTCTGAAGATGTACTTCTGAGGTCCAATCCAGCAATACAGCCAACACTTCAAATAGACCAGAAAAATTCACCTGGAAATAAAAAAAAAATCCTTTTAACTCTCAAGATATTATTTTCTTATTCATTTCAAAGGATTCTAAAACAAGATGATTGTTAAAAAAAAACAACAAAAAAAAAACGAGGCATTGTGGCAATACAAGGGAAAACAATCATATTACTATTTACAATTAACATAACAACTTTTTACCTTGCTTTGAGAGAAAGACACTGACTTGGCCACTGTCTCTGAAATAAATGAATATAGATCATTGATTAAAACTATTTCTGAGAAGAAAAAAAAGGGACACAACAGACTTCATACACTAAGTTAGTGTGCTGGACTCCAAGTCAAGGGGTCTGTGTTCAAGACCTGACCATTCTTGGACAAAATCTCTTATTCTCACAGTGCCTGTCTCCTCCCAGGAATGAAAATGGGTACCAGCAAATTGTCAGGGAAGCCTGATGAAATGCCTAATACCCCTAGTAGCTTTATGCAAAGGAAATTGGGACAGTCTCACTGGATGGACCACTTGCCTTGAGTACAGACCTTTTTTACACAAAAATGCTAATATTTCATGTACATTGTATCTGCAGGAAAAATACTGGGTACTAGAAAGTGAGAATCATCTCAAATCACTTTTTCGTGAAATCCCATTTAAGGACTCCTAAATATATTTCATAAAGTTGAGAAATCAAAAAAAGTTCTCTGGCACTGGCAGTGGGGAATGCAATCACTAGAGAAAAGGGAGTATTGATTTGAATTTATTATTCCTGAATTCTCTTTAGAGGGTAATTTTTTATTAGGAAATATTGGAAACAATCTGATCTAAACAACACATCTTGAACAAGAATATTGTAGGAAAGTACCACTTTTGCCATGCAAAGTAAGCTTGTTATTTCTTTCTTTTTCAATCTCTCTATCCTCTGGCTTGGAATTTCTCTGCAAAAATTCATTCTTTCTCTGAATGGTAAGATTAAATAAAAAAAATTAATCAAAAAAAATTTTTATTGACCATAGGTGAAAAGAACCTCGTAAAATTGTTTCAGCTCAGATTTCCCCAAAAGGAACTGAATGATGTAAACAGAATTGCTATTTACCTGCAGGTTAGCCAGTCTGTGTTGAACACTCAGAGCTTGTGTCTCAAGCTTTTTGTTTTGAATTTCAAGGTCAGAGATCTAAGTTGATTCAATAACAGGAAACAAAAGACAGTTCCATGAGGATTCTTCCATAGAAATTGAGTGACAGGAAAAACTCCATTAAAGGAACAAATGTTATTAGTATAGGTAACAACATGATTTTGAGTGTAATTTGGTGTTAGTAAGCACAAGTAAATTTTTCAAAGACAAAAAAATTGCACAAGCCTGTCGGGCAAGTACGATTGTAGTCTTTAAAAACTTTACAAGAGCTTACTAACAACAAATTACACAATAAATCATAATGTTACTTGTTAATTATTTACAAAAAAAATGCATAACAGAAAGTCAAGATGAAAAAAATTTTTAGCAGTGCACTTGTTATTTATAATTTGCACCTGTGTTACAACATTGCACTTGTTTCTCAATTACTCTAACGGCTTTTCATATTACAAAGGCACTTATTAATGATCCCTTTACAACGTTTGAGTAATGTGAATTCTCTCTATTACCTGTTTCTTTAGCGAGTCATTTGCAGTTTTTATAGTATCAAATGACTCTTTAATCCTCTTGAGTTCCTTTGTTTTCTTATGGATGATTTCTTCAAGCTCACCAAGCTTTTGTTCATATTCCTACAGATTGTTGTAACAAAATTTTTTTCTTCTCAATGACAAACATCAATATGAACTGCTCTTTCTTGATTAAGCTCCTAAAGCTTTTCAATTACAAATCAAATAGATTTCAAGTTGCCGTGCATCTTTTCAGTAGTAGATCACAGCTGATGACATTAAAATGTGGTAAGAACAAAAAAGTGACACACAAGGTGCCACTCAGGAGTGTATCACTGATGTTCTTAGCACAGTGTTATGTCTTTTTTGATCTATTACTGAACAGACCCACAGCATGGAATCTATTTGTTTTATATGATTAAAAAGGAAAAGGTCTTTTAACCCTTTAACTCCCAAGATCTCATTAGTAATTCTCCTCACTGTCTGCCATACAGTTTTTGCAAAGTTAATTTTGAGAATTTGATATTGGATCAACTAATAATCCTCTAACTGATATTTTTCTTTATTCTCATCACTTGTTTGCTTGATATTGTATTGATATCATAAAGAGAAATTCTGTCTTGGTCACTTATCAGAGTTAAAGGGTTAATGGTAATGTCATCTATCCATCTGATCATAAGCATGAACCAATCAAATTGCTTGTGCAACTCAGCTTATCATAAAATCAAAGATGGTACTCAAACCAGCCATTGACATTGACATGTAGTCAGGAAAAAAACTTCACCTCAGTCACAGCTTGGCAGCGATTCTCAACCTCTTGAGTCACCACTTTGTCAATAATAATGTCAGTTGTGTGGCTGAGCTTTTCTGCATCTCGTAATGCCCTCTCCCTTTCACGTAACTGAACTTCACGTTTATGAAGAGCTTCACTTTCTTTCTGTTAACACACACACACACACAAAAAGAACAAATTCATTATGGAACCCCTCACAACATTTTTGCTTGGTACATAATAATTACCTCAGTCGACAAAATTAAGCCAACAAACATAAAGCAATGAGTGGAAAAGACAAAACATTTATACTGAAGCATCATGTTTCAATAATTGGCCCCACACACAGTAAACCCCTGACACAATATCAGAGCTTCTCTCCATGTAGGATTGCTAGGGAAACTTGGCAAAATGCTGACAGACCAGCTTGACCTACTTATCCAATCAATGGGGAGTAGCCAAGAATAACAGACATGATCACCAACTCAAAAACCTCATGATTGTTTCCACAAATTCTCCTTGTCAGCCCCTTGACATATGTATACAGAACAGTATAGAAAACACACATACTCCATGAGTGTTTGAAGCATGCAACTTAATGAAAACCATGATAGGTTAACTTTGGCAATGCAATGTGTCAAAAACTATGTGCACACATTTTTGCCAAGCATGCTCTTTGGCAGGAAAGCTGCTTTGCATGATGGCATGATAATTGTTGCCATTTTTAAGCTCATTTCTTTTTTACCTTACATTAAAATGGCTTCCTGTAAATGTTACGCTAACTTTGTAAAACTAGGTCATCTTCCCACTGTGTGAAGGATTAATAGCCCATTAATCCTTCACACCCAAAAATGAGTAAGCTAACCAGGAAATGCAAAGGCAATTTCAGCCACCAGGCATTATGTGCAGACTCAAGGTGAGTCATGGTAATTTTATATCTGTAAAAAAAATGCTTAGCACCAACCTGCAGCATCATGCTAATCTTGTTCAGTTCTTTGTGTACCCTTCTCACATTTTCTGCCTCCAAATGATGCTGTACCTTCAGTAAAAGAATTGCAATAAGTAACCACCTACAGCAATAAAATGTCTTGCCTCTGAGGTCCTATACATCAGAGATATATTTATTTTTTTAAACAGTACAGATTTTTTTAATCAATGGCAACATTCTGGTATTTAACTCCTTTGAATGTTTCATGTTACTTTTTGTTACAATATCAAATCCAGCAGAAAAGTCACAAGAACTCACAAACTTATCAAATACAGTACAGCTGAGGGTGTTTTCCTGATAAAAAAAACAAGTTAGCCAATTGATTACACCTAGAAAGGTAGCACAGCTGGAAGAGAAAACTATTTATCAGATAATAAGCAATTATTGGATGAGGTTGAGCATGACATCTTACAAAATTGTTTTATTATACAGGTTTAACCAATCTGCAAATTAAGAACAAGACACTTCTCTCTGAGTTTGCAAGAGCTTGAGAACACTACACAAATGAGAGGCTTGAAAACTAGGCAGACCTTGAACTTGACATGATGACCCAACAGCTTCTGTAGATATTGGGTTATCACGTCAACTTAGCACGCTGTTATGTATTGACTGCATGCTCTTGACCAATCTGAGTTTTCATTGCAAATGTGTAATCATAAATGATAACTAACTACTCAAGGAGCTGACACAGACCACATTTTTAACACTAGGCCATTTAGCCGAATGTCATAAGCCCCTGAATTTGTGCATCCTTTCAAAGAAGCTCCTACTTGTTGAACAAAATTTTTCAACAAACACTTTCCCTCAAGAAAGCATCTCCCTTTCCCCATTTCCCTGCCACCCTTTTCCCTGATTGTTTGAGCATTTTCACATGATATTTTCACCACCCAGAATGACCTACAAAGACATTGTTGCATAGCAGAAAGGTGATAATAGAAATAATGTCAACCAGGGGAAATACTGGGGTGAAAAACAAAATTCCCTAAGCTAAAATTATAAGAAATGTATGGCAGTCAGTACAGAGTACTGATATTTTCATCTTGGGTGTGAAAGGGATAAAAGAGTGATCAGTTCACCAGATTATCAAATTAAATGTTTGGTTTGAGTACAATTGAAGTTTGAAAAAATAACAACAAGTACCAGGCAAATATGAGATAAATTTGGATTAATGCTACATATAATGAATAGAAAATTCTTAACACGATTCTCCTGTCCCCTTTTTTTTTAAAGCATATGGAGTCACTGGTTGCATAATGAAATACAAAATCAACTGGATTTTCTGCCAAACACACAACTTACATCTTTATCATATGATTTTGTTGCTGGTCTTTGTCTTGCATGAGAACTTGGAGACTTCATTTGAGCTGAGGAATAGTCTTCATTATCTAATGTTTCAAAAATCAAAGGCAGTGTGATGTTATTAAGTTGATATCTACTGTGAATAGAACAAGAGAGATGGTAAGTTTTGAGCTCAGCAACAAAATAGAGAAAGATGTTTTTTTTTGTCTTGTCACAAGCATAGGGCAGAGAAAAAATTCTGAGTCCACATGAGGAATTGAATCTCAGACCTATGCACTATGCACTGCAATGCTCTACCACTGAGCTACAGAGACTTTATGGTGAATAAAGACTATTACAAAGTTTATTTATCACATGCGTCCCGCATACTGTTAGGATAAGCAAAGTCTTTAACCCTTTAACTCCTATGAGTGACCAAGACAGAATTTCTCCTTACAATATCAATTCAATATCAACCAGATGAGTGATGAGAATGAAGAAAAATATCAATTTGGGGATAATCAGTTGATCCAATACTAAATTCTCTGAACTAACATTATATGAATTGTATCGTTGACAGTAAGGAGAATGATAAATTTGATTTGGGAGTCAAAGAATTAACGCCACATTTTGATATCTTCTGTGATCTATACAGACCCTCTGCAACATGGAGTTAGCTTGTTTTATATGATAGAAAAGCAAATTGTTGTTGACGGTGACATCATCCATGCATCTGTCTTCCAATATATTATAAGAAAGAACCACTGAAAATGTGTCTATCATTCAGCTTGTCACAAAAGCTAATCATAGTTTTTGCATGAGTCAGTTAACATTTATGTCTAAGTAAAGTCACAATAAGGTTGTTAACAAATCTTAGAATGCAAACCACAAACCATCAACATCATCTTCAGTTTCAGAAGTTTCTGTCACAGTCTCAGGAACTACACCATCACCCTCAGCTACTGAACGCTCCAATTGTTTGGAACCCAAACGCACAATCTCATACATAGCTTTTAGAGCTTTGTTGTACTGTCTCCTCTCAGAACTAGAGATACCAGAGGTTGCATCCCTGGCTGTGTGAGGTGGAGTGAAAAGATTTTGATCTGGGGAGGGAGGATCGGGTTTCTCATCTGCATGAGAGAACACGCCATCCATTCTAAATGTAACGTAAAATAGCGTGTTATTGAGGAAGCCTGGCAAGCTTCAGTACCTTACTTCGCTTAATTACTTACCATTGCCAAGTTAAATGGGAAAACAAGCGAAAAACATCTAAAATCCCATTTTCCTTTGGTGACTGTTATCTATAGCTACAAAGAAAGTTCATTTCTACGTATGTCTGTTCAGTGGTACCACTTTATATAACTACAAAAATATTTAATTTTTCCGTGTGTTTGAGGTAGATAACGGATGACGTTGAAAATATAACCACTGCCCGTTTCGCAGTATTATAACCATGTAAACTTCTAGCAAACGATTTATGGCTAAAGTCACTTCTTACCTCTAAGCATGAGGAATTTTAGAACGAATGACAACTTTGAATCTCAAAAAGGTTCACATGAGAAAGCCCTCTTTCTACTTACACAAATGAAATATGGCGGCAAAACAAAACTGAGTGACCAGGCCAGATAGTAACACGCGAGAAACACGCGCGCCTACTACGAGACCGCGCCGAGACGATCAGATGATTTGTAAAGTACTTTCCTGCGAGCTGGGCAGTGCGGAGCACACTGCTGCGGCTTTGTTAAGATACGAAGGAAGAGGAACCGACGTTCAGAGAAAGTTGGAAAGAAAGGGCTAAAAATTACCAATATGGGATTGGCCCTGCCCTAAAAGGACTTTGAAGGAGGGTTGTTGCCCCATCTAAGTCTGCTTTTATCTCGTGGGTAATGCAAGGGAGGTTTTAGCAAACACTGTGCTATTATCGTGCTTAATTTCAATTACCCTGTCCTTCCACCTTCTAAGCATGTCATTCAGCTACAGTAATCAACAACTGAGGCTTTCTTCGCGATAGAAAAAAGTTGACAGGTTGGAAAAGAGGGCAGAATACTGCCCGTCGATTACCCTCGCCTCAACTTCGTATGATCGGCCTCGTTGATAGTCAAACACAACTACAACATTTCCATGTACAAAATCGTTCTATTTTTCACGGATAAACCTTCCCACTTTAGGAAGCTACAGATAAACCAACCTTACTTGCACACGCTCTGTTTCCTTAAATTTATAATATTCTGAATCGCTCCGTAATTATAAACATTATAGGAAATTTTCTTTAAAAAAAAAACAGCGCAGAATTTCTTTATGTACAAAAATAGAAAGAACTCTGCACTTTATATTATACGATATGAAATGTTTTGTGGAGTGAAGATCTTCGCAACAAAAAACCTACAGAAGTACATGTCTGCTGCAAACTTTAAAAACACAAAGATTTCTCGCATTAAAGAGCTCTCAAAATAACTGTCAGGTTAAATTATAAAAAAGTTCTCTATATGAATAAAACCAAGATGGCAACACTGCACAATATATTATACGATATTAAATGTTTTGTAAGGCGAGAATCTACCGCAACTTGAACCTCCAGAAGTACATGTCTGCTGAAAAATTTAAAAACGCAACGATTTCTCACATCAAAGAGCTCTTGAAATCACTGTCAGGTTCATTATTAAAAGTTTATGCATATGAATAAAACCAAGATATGAATTTCCTTTATCGTAAAAAATAGCATATGATGTCGAAATTGCAAGAGGAGCCTTCCAGAGCGCAAAGTTATAATACGATATCTTTACAAAATAAATTCGCTATACATCGATTTCTAAATTAGATTCATTGTCTGATATGGACGGCGAATGAGTCAAGTCTGAGTTTGATCCATCGTGCGAGTCTCTGCGCAGGTGCAGTACAGGTACGTGCATCGAGGACGGCCGAGAACCGGATTTGGGCGTGGTCCCTGAAGTGGGAGAAAATGCCGGGGTTGATGCTCCTGTGTCCAAAGGAGAAACTGAAGGAGAACGAGTTACTAAGGGCGTAATGGCCGGAGTAAAGTTCGGTGAGAATGCAGGGGAAGTGTACCGTGTGGAAGGAGGACTAATGGGTGAGCGCGGAAGTGAAGACACCGAAGAAAGCATGTCCGTTGTTACTAGCCCTGTTGGAGGGTTTCGGGAATCACGACTCGAAGGCAAGCTTAAACTCACAGTTTTCTTTGGATGTGCATCGTCCTTCATTTTACCAATTTCAAGAAAAACATCCGCTAACGGCTGGAACTGCGGGCCCCAGTCCAGAAGGTAATCCCAGTTGTAGCTTCCTGTCAGCTCTTCCCGACTGCCCACAATCGAACTCAACGATCCACCGTACGAAGGATGATCGTGTCCTTCTTCAACAAACGGTCGCATCCCATCGATAATCGATTCATCTTCGTCGGCGTCGACTTCGGCTAGCTTGGCGTAAAGTAAATTGCTGACGTCAACACCGCCGTCCGCTTCTCCACCTCCTTCCTCGCCGAAGACATGGAGACTTTCTTGACTTCCAAGCCGTGCCAGCAATTTTTCGATTTTGTCCGAGTGTTTATCAATCGCCAAACCTTCCCCTTGCATCATGCTACTTGCGTCGCTGATTGTAAGTTGAGAAACTTGATCAGAATCCTGCTGAATTCCCGAATCAGGTCCCACAACAGTTTTGACATAATTCTCGGAGTGTAAACTTCCAATATCTCCGTTTACGATCACCGGATGACGCCCGTCTTCAAAATCAACGCCTTCTGAAGAACCTCGGCCGCTCGACGCGCTATTCGGTGTATCCGAAGAGTCGGTTCCACAAGCCGGTGAGTCACTCGGGCCGTTCAGAGGCGAACCTTCCTGAGAGACACCGCGAGGCGTAGAAACATTCTCTAGGGATGAATCCACGTGGTTGATATTCCCATTTGGAGCTGAATACACCGTAATCTCATCGAATGAACCATCATAACGCAACCGAGGATGCTGACGACTTCTTTTCTTCTTCTTCTTGCGTAAAATAATGGCCGCCATGACGATGAAAGCAATCAAAATTACCACTACTAAGATTGCTAGGCCAATAATGATGTAGGTGTTTTTGGATATTCCTTCGTCATCGCCATCACCTCTTTGTTTCGTAGTTGCACATTCGGCGCAAGCAAAATCAATTCCAAACTCTACCGATGCCAGCCCCTTGAACGAGTTTGGCTTACCACTGTCTACCTGCACGCGAAGCTTGACCTTTGTCACGTCAATCTCTCTTCGAAACCTCCGTGATCCGATCGATACATCATCGGTTTCTTCGACACTTCTTCGTTTTCGCCGTTTGTTGTTCACTTCACTGAGCGACTTGTTGACGAAGATAATTCCAGTGGTTTCATTTATCGCAAACACATCTAAACTGACAAAGTCGAAGGAATAACGCAAGCGGCCATCTTCGCCGTCATCTTCGTCGGACGCGACAACCTGACCGACAACGTAACCAATTTTGGCGTTTCCAGGAACTTCTTTGAACTCATAGCTCGACTTTTCAAATGTAGGTTCAAATTCGTCCACGCTTTTGATGTTCACTGTTAAATTTACCGTGTTATCTAAAGGAGGTTTCCCTTTATCCACGGCTTTGACTAGCAGCCAGAAAAGATTACGAGCCTCGTAATTGAAAGTAGCGTTAGTGCTGAGCCTTCCGCTGTCGCTTTCGATGATAAACAGACCTTGTCCACTCCCTCCAATGATGCTGTACATAACGACGTTGTTTTCGCCTGAATCCCTGTCTTTCGCGTTAAGCTCGTAAAAGAATGTTCCGACGGGGGAATTTTCTTCCACTCCGACATCTTCGGGATTTGGTATGTGAAATTCGGGTTTGTTATCGTTCACGTCGCGTATCTTGATACGCACAGATGCAAGCTTTGACTTCGGCTTAAGACCTAAAAATGTTCATAAAGAAAAAACAAAAGAAAACGGTTTGAGATTGTCTCCCAGCCGTGAGGAACATATCTGAACTTCAGTAGTGATCCAATACCAAATTCTCCGAACTAAACTCATAAGAATTGTATGGCAGATAGTAGCGAGAATTACTAATTGGATCTTAGGAGTGAAAGGGTTAAGAAGTTTGTTACATCTTCATTTATTGAGTTAGATCTTTAGCCTCTTTGTCGAAAAAGCAATTTTCTTACTTATGCTCAGCTGATCACCTCTAAAAAACTAGGCGAAGTATTAAGTAAGGTTTTACTTGGAGGGCGTTTTCTTTTTTATTGCACGGTGAAGCTGCAAATTTCATCTCTCCTCAGAGACTTATCGTTAAAACCTAAGATTTGAGTTTGCTTACCTTCATCACTGGCTTGTATCGACAATCTATGTTCCTTAATACTCTCATAGTCCAAACTCGTGATCGTAACAATTTCACCAGTCCTACTGTTTATTCTAAAAGACTGCTTGTCATTTCCTGAGAGGATGGAAAACACCAGCCGCCCATTGGCTCCGGAGTCTTTATCCGTCGCATTTACTCGGACAAGAGTCGTTCCGATCGATACATTTTCGTACACTTCTTTGACATATTCCGTCGGATCAAAGACTGGTGAATTGTCATTGACGTCAGTAATAGTAATGTTCACCTCCACAACAACACTCTTGTTTGTGCTTTCATCTCGCGCTTCAACACCCATTAAGTAATTCTTTTCCGATTCATAATCCAAGCCAAATTTGCTCACTTCGATGATTCCACTTCGAAGTCCGATCCGGAAGAGACCTTCTGAGTTTCCAAATTTAAACTTGTAACTTATCTTGGCTACGTTCATTCCTGAGTCATCGGCGGCGGAGACTGTCAGAACTGTAGTGCCAGGTAGGGCGTCTTCGGCAATGCTCTTTTTATACGCTGGCTCCCTAAACATTGGTTTTCGGTTGATTCGGATTTGCACCGTTACGAAAGCACGCTGCTGAGGCACCCCTCGGTCAATGGCCGAAACCACGACGAAGTAAAGCGATTCTCGATCACTAGTTTCGATCTTTTTCGCCGTGTAGATGACACCCGAGGTAGCATTTATACGGAACACGTCTAGAGAGGTCACGAACGCGTATCTCAGTTCTCTGTTTGAGCCATCGTCCTTGTCTTCAGCGCTAACTTTTAAGATGGACGTACCTTGGGCAGTTTCTTCTGAAAGTGTGGCCTGATAGGAGCTTTCCAAGAACTTCGGAGCATTGTCATTCACATCTTTCACGTTAACAGTCACTGTGGTGTGGGACTTGTAACGGCCGTCGCTACAAGTTACATTTAGTTCATAAGACGTGTTACGCTCGTAATCCAAAGATTCCAATAAGGTTATCTCTCCTGTCAACTGATCGATGCGAAACACATCATAACTAGTCTTGTCGTTGCCAAAAGAATACATCAAATTTGGATGTTTGTCCTTGTCAGTGGCAGCCACGCGCCTAACGAGGGACCCGACTCTTAGATCTTCGTTAACGTTCACTGAATACGGCCCTGAGAATGTTGGGATATTATCGTTGACATCGACAATGTTGACAACCACATGGCTTAAACTGGACCTAGATGGGGTTCCCTTGTCTGTCGCGTTAACAACCAAATCGTAAACTGGGTGCTTTTCGCGATCAAGGATACCATTGGTAGTAAGTACACCACGCTGTGCATCAATGACAAACTTACGATCCACGTTCCCAAAAATGATCTTGTAGGTCACTTCCTGGTTTTTCCCAGAGTCCTTGTCTGTTGTAGAAAGATTGGCCACAGTCCTTGATGTAAAACTGCTGGACTGCAATGCATCATCCTCCGACAGTTGAACAGAAATATTTGCGGGATAAAAGACTGGATTGTTGTCGTTTACATCCGTTAGGTTCACTTGCAGTGTTAGGTAATCATTTCTTGACGGTTGGCTCTTTCGTGACACAATGATGCGAAGGCTGAAGTAACGCAATCTTTCAAAATCGAGGTAGGCCGGGTTTTGCACTGTCATGATGCCGTTTTGGGCGTTGATAAGGAAAGCGTTACGACTGTTACCATCGACTATGCTGTACACCACATCGTTCGATGGATTTGCCAGTACTCGGGCCACTTCGCGACCCTTTGGGCTGTTCTCAGGCAGGGAAACGAACACTGGCGTGCTGTTGACGAATTTTGGTCGGTTGACCGCGGCGCTTCCAACTATAATTTCCAAAATACCTCTCCCGGTCAAGTTACCACCGTCATCAGCGATGATGTTCAAAACATAAGCTCCGTCGGGTATATTAGAGACACCTGGTTTAACTCTCACATTTCCACTGTTACTTTCTAGCTGAAAGAACCGATGCGAACTATTAGCAAGCCTATAGGTCATATGGGTTATTGAGCTAGAATCTTTGTCTTTAGCGTGCACTGTCACTAAGGTATTTTGTGTCACAGATGAACCAGATGCGATAGTAGCCTCGTAAGGTATCTTCTCAAACACAGGGGCGTGGTTATTCTCGTCGATGATTGACACCGTCACTCCAACCGATGTCTCTCTAGGTGCCACTCCTTTATCCGTTGCCCGGCAGAGAAAGTTGTAAACGTTCCTGGTGTAGTAGTCAAATTCTTGCAAGGTGTAGATAGTTCCTGATTTGGAATCGATACGGAAAATACCCAGCGCTTCAGTACTTAAAGAAAACGTGATTTCTCCATTCTTTCCCGAATCACCGTCAGTGGCTTTCACGCGGAGAATAGAAGTACCGATTTTGGTAAGCTCTCGGATGTTTAAGCTGTAAGAGGTGTTCGCAAACTTTGGCGAATTGTCATTTTTGTCGCCAACAAAAATTGTCACGTGAATACTGGAGTTATAAAACGGAACAACGACGTTCCTTGCCTCTATGACTAAATCGTACCGAGATTTAATTTCTCTATCGAGCTGACCTGTTGTCGAAAGTACACCCGTTAACTCTCCAACTGAAAACTTCACGTCTTCATTACCACGCTGAATAATGTAGCGAAGGCGACCATTCTGTCCAATATCAGAATCTAGAGCTCTCAACGTGTGAAAATCGAAAGGGGCCGTGTGCTCTAAAACAGTCAAATTAAGCCGAGAGGGAATGAAAACGGGCCTGTGGTCGTTCACGTCAAGAACTTTAATTTTCACTGTGCAGGTTCCCACACGACGAGGATAAACGTTGTCCGTAGCGTAAACAGTGAGAGTGTACTCGTCTTTTTCCTCGCGATCAAGCGTCGAATTCGTATAAAGCACTCCACTGCTGCCATTAATTGCGAACTTGTGATTCAAATTTCCTCTGGGAATACTGTAGGTCAAGGCACCGTTTTCTCCGCTGTCGAGGTCGTACGCGCTGACCGTCATCACAGGGGTACCCACGGGCTGGTTTTCGCTCACGTTGCCGAGGAACAAGCTCTGGTTAAACTCCGGTCCATTATCGTTCACATCTACAACGAAAACAGTCAGCAGCTGGAAGGAGGACCGGGGAGGAGTGCCTTTATCTGTGACAGAAATGTTAAGAACATACTTGGGCGTGGTCTCGTGGTCCAAGGTCCCCAGCAACTCGAGCAGCCCCGTGTCCGCATTCAGGGCAAACTTTTTAAAGCTTTCGCCATTCCCATCATTCTCTATTTTGTACGTCACTTCACCATTGCTACCTAGGTCGTCATCTATGGCGGTGATTGTGATGACGGGGTAGCGAAAGCCTTCGTCTTCCATCACAAACGTCTCGTTCGGCGACACAAAAGTCGGCTTGTTGTCATTGACATCGCTCACGATGATGAAAATCGTCAACGTACTCGATAAACGCTCGGATTCTGTAAAGGCCTGATCGGTGGCTCGGATGTTTAAAGTGTACTCGTCGACTGCCTCGCGATCGATTCTTCCGATGGTCTGAACGACGCCTGTCGACGGATCAACTTTAAATTTTGGGGGCCCTGGCGACTGAGAATCGATTGAATATCGAATCCAGCTGTTCTGACCCGAGTCGTAGTCATGAGCTTTAATGATGGTTACGTTGGAGTTCGGAGGCACGCCTTCCCGTAACTGCACGGTCACGGGGTTCATCTCGAACGTGGGTCTGTTGTCGTTCGAATCTAGCACGTACACTGTAACATACAGGTAGCTGCGCTGACTGTTCTGACCCTGATCGCGTGCTTCAATCCTGAGCTGATACTTGCTTTTTTTCTCGAAGTCCAGTTGTTTGCGAAGGGTGATAACACCGGAAGTTGCGTTGATTTCGAACACCTTTCCCCCGTTACCTTGATCGATGGCGTAACGCACTTTGCCGTTGTTTCCGGTATCCTTATCTTTGGCTGTCACGGTAGTCACGACAGTTCCAATGGCCTGCTTCTCGGGTATATTTACAAAGATGCTGTTGTTTACAAAGCGAGGTGGATTGTCGTTCACATCGAGCACATGAATAGTGACGAAAACGACGTGAGATTGATTAGGATTTCCATGGTCTTTGGCGCCGATGCTTAACGTATAACGCTCGTGTTTCTCACGGTCTAATCGAGCTGTAGTGGTGATAACACCAGTCTTGGCATCTATGGTAAACACACTGGGATTACTGGCAGAGAAGTAGCTAATCATACCATTGGAGCCTACGTCTGGATCAGAAGCTTCGACAGTTAGGACAGACGACCCCACGGGGATATCTTCCGGAACAGCTTTCTCGTAGAACGGTTTCTTAAAGGTGGGCGCGTTATCGTTCAAATCTTGAACCGTAACGGTCACGCTAGCATAGTCTGTTCTAGGACTCGCACCGTGGTCTCTCGCTTTAACCATAAGCGTGTAAGAAGAGCGCTGTTCTCGATTTAAAACTTGATTAGTTCTAATGATGCCTGTATTGTGATCAATTACAAACTCGACGCTTGGGGGCTCGAAAGTGTATGAAATCCTCGCATTGGCACCAGCATCTTTGTCTGATGCAGGAACCTGACCAACTAATGTTCTGTTTGGTTGATTCTCATCCACAGAGAATATGTACGACTGCTGAGTAAACTCGGGATTGTGGTCATTAACATCGTCAACATATATTACCACATCAGCTGTCGAACTTTTAGGAATACGTCCTTTGTCTGTGGCGACCACTTTAAATCGATAAACATCTTGCTGCTCCCTGTCTAACTTTCTGGTGATGTAGAGCCATCCATTGGACCTCAAGCCAAACATACTGGTGTCCACACCCGACTGAAAGCTGTACGAGATCCATGCATTGTTACCAGTGTCTGCATCAGTGGCTGTTACATTTAAGATATCAGTCCCAGCTGGAGTAAGTTCGTCGACACGTGCAGAGTAGGACGAGTTAGAGAATACTGGAGTGTGGTCGTTCACGTCTACGACAGTTATTCTGAAGGTAGCTGTTGTATTCAAAGGTGGGGACCCACCATCTTCTGCCAAAACTTTAATCATATAATGCCTTGGGCCCTCAAAGTCGATAGAGTGAGTCAGTGTCAATGCACCCGTGCTAGCATTCACCTGGAAGGTGCTGTTAGGGTTGAACAGAAGAGTGTATCTTACACGACCAAACAGACCACTGTCAGGGTCTTTTGCAGTAACATTGTAGAAAACTTCTCCGACTTTGGTGTCTTCCAGAACATTGACATCAATTACACTGCTTTCAAATGAAGGGGCATTGTCATTAATATCAATCACTGTCACGCTGACATTTGCAAAGCCATAAAGAGGTGGTACACCACCATCTTTTGCCTGAATGGTAAGCAACATTTCTGGACTTCTTTCATGGTCAATGTTGCTTCGGGTGAAAATTGTTCCAGTTGAGTTTATGGTAAAGACTCTGTGCATGTCACCACCACTGATTGAATAATAAATGTCAGCATTTGTCCCCAAGTCTTTGCTTGAGGCATACACTGAACCTAGCAATGAGTTAATATCAGAGTTTTCAATTATGGTGAATTTGTAAGCACTTGGTTCAAATGCAGGAGGTTCATCGTTCACATCCAAAACTGTGACTTCTACAACTGCTGAGTTTTTAGATTTCAATCCACCACCATCCATAACCTGAACTTCAAGTCGGTGAAAGTCCTTTGTTTCTCGATCAAGGGGTTTTATCAGAGTAATCACCCCAGAGGATGAACTGATGAAAAAGATACCATCATTGTTCCCATTTGAAAAAGCAAAATTGACTTGTGAGAAGATGCCACTATCATTATCTTTGGCCAAAACTGTTACGATGGCATCATTGATGGTCAGGTTTTCAAAGACTGACACATTGTATGTTGTTGGATTTATAACTGGATAGTTATCATTCTCATCCACCACAGAAATGTTCAAAATAGATTTATCAAAACGTCCTCCGCCATCAGAGGCCACAACATTCACCACGTAAAGTGACTGAGCTTCAAAGTCGATTAGTCCTGAAGAGGAAACAAGTCCAGTGTTTGGATCTATGGAAAATGGAACACTCCTAGGTTGAGTTTCCAAGGAGTAAAGCACCATACCATTAATTCCGCTATCAATGTCATTTGCCATAACTTGCACAACAGAAGTATTATTGGCTGAATTCTCATTAACTGTTGAAAAGTACACAGCCTCTGTAAAGACAGGATTGTTATCATTAGCATCAGTAATGTTCACAATAACGGTACAGTTTGCACCTAAAGCTGGTACACCTGAGTCTGTGACAGTCACGAGGAACTCCAGTCTAGGAAATTTTTCTCGATCCAGACTTGCACTTGTGCGAATCTCTCCAGTAGCTTGATTGATTTGGAACCAAGATTTGTAAGGAGCAGCTTGAGGACTGTAGGAAATATTATAAACTAACTTGGCATTTGAACCTATGTCTTTGTCCGTTGCACGAGCAACCAAAACAATTGTGCCAATGGTAGCATTCTCTGACACTGCAGCAGTAAACACATCTTGATCAAATTTAGGACGGTTATCATTAATGTCTCCAACATTAAAGATGAATCCATCCTGTGTGGTTTGTTGAGGTTGGCCACGGTCTTTGGCATAAATGTAAACTGGAAAAGTAGGTTGTTTTTCTCTATCCAATTCTTTAGCAAGTGAAATAATGTGAACATCATTTAATGCATCATAAGCAATACTTAAATGTCCATTTCCACCTTGAATTGTCACAGACTCAATTTGCCCATTTTTACCAGCATCTTTATCAGAGACCCAAACGCGTGCCACTTTAGTTCCAGGGCTGGCATCCTCATAAACTTGAAAGGCATCGTCTAGATAAAATGTATAGGTGACCTCGGGAGGGTTGTCGTTCTCGTCCAGAACATTAATCGTTACGAAAGCTATATCGTGTTTGTGATATCCCAGAGTGCCTGGATTGTGTGCCCGCACACGAAGCGAGAAACGATCTTGTTTCTCGCGATCGAGGATTGCAACATTTACTATTTCTCCTTTCTCAGTAGTTAATAGTGTGAAATAGCCGTCAGGGTCTGAGCTGGAATCATGAATAACAGAATACAAAACTTTTCCATACCTGCCGATATCTTTGTCAGTGGCGTACACTTCCACTATCGATGTGAACGCTTTAGAGTTTTCGGTGATGTTAGCTGTGTAATATTTTGGGTTAAAAACAGGATCGTTATCATTCAAGTCCAGTACAGTAATATTGACTAAGCCGAAGCCAGTTTGTGGTGGTGTGCCGCCATCCGTGGCAGACACGTTCAAACTGAACAAATCGCGCTGTTCCCTATCGAGTTGTTTTCCAGGCTGTAATTCTATTTTTGCTCTCAAACGGCCGTCACTGTCAAAGTATTCTGTCAGAACGAACATGTTATCTGTATTTCCAGAAACAATACTGTAGTTTTGCACCGCATATGACCCAAGATCGTCGTCGATTGCTCTTACGTACGCCAGTACAGGGTTCCCTTCGTAAAATTCAAAATCGTAAACACTCACGGGAAAGGTTGGAATGTTGTCATTTATGTCAGAGACATTTATAAAAATACTTGTTACTTGAACCGGCGAATGGTTCAGTAGATCAATAAAGTACCTCGAAATCTTTTCGCGGTCTAAAACAATTTTTGTAGTAATGTTCTTGGAGACTGAATCGAGGATCAAGTCATCTTGAGGTTGAATGTGTAATACCACGTCGTATGGCTGGTTTGCTATATTGCCGACATATGTTCCTATTGGAAGTCCTTCAGTAACATTGAAATAGATGGAATTTGTTGTCGATGCATTGACGGAACAACGATGAAGACCAAACACACATAATGTCCATAATACCACAACGTAAAACCGCCATCGTTCTATTTTAAATCGGCATGCATTCCGAAGAATACAAGTCCTCTGAGGGTCATTCATAGCGCATTTCCTCCTAAATCCCGGGAAAAACGAGCCATGTTACATCCTGCATTGAATATGTGATGGTTTCTGAAACATTTCAGGCGCATCCATGGGTCCTTTGGTAGAATTCTAAGCCTTGAGTTTACTAAACGACGCCATTAACAGCCCGATTCGCCAGTCACCAACAAAGGAATCAACAACGCAAACCGTTCAGCGCTTTGCACGACGAAAATAGCTTTGAAATCCCTTCTGATTTGAATTTTGCGCACAAATCTACACAGAAACGTCTCTTACAACGGCCAAAAACAACTCGAAGTAACAATACGCTGTGGCTTTAGCTCTACAATTGATGATTATTCAACTGAAATGATATTCAGAGCTTAGGTCAGCGTTCGGTATGAAATGCAAAGGTCACGTGATCGAATTAGTTGTAACTAAATAGCTCGACACTTCAATGTTTTTCAAGGATATGACATGTCAGTACGAAGAAACTATTATCACCCGCAGAAGATCGGGCAAGTTTGCAAACAAGCGACACTGTGAAGTCCCCGACTGTGAATTTTTAGCATTCCTCTCTTTGCGATCTCGATTTTCTGTTTGGATTGTTTCAGACAAAATAGCACTATTCCCAAGAGGGACGACCGTTACAACACGACGAATGACAGATGTTAATGGTTTTTCGCCAGGATAAATATGGAATAGAGAGCAATTGAGTAGTCTAACAATACACGTACATCTCTCAAAACATATCTCGACGAAAGAAGAATTTCAAATCACTCTACTAAATGAATTACCCCGTTGTCAGATATACTTAATTTGTTACGCCATTAGCTCAACCTAAAAAATCATTTTTATTTCTGTAAATTCATGACGCAGCAGGAAACAAAAGCTGTCAAAACAAGGCCTCCTATTGGCAGCAACGGCTTTAAAGCGATAATTGGCTATGCAAATCATAAAGACATTGTTGCCTGACAACAGTTGAAAGAATGTACAGGAAATATAGAAAGGTGAGCAGAATTAGGAGGTAAATATTCAAATTACTTGTACACTCGGGGTTAAAATTCGAAAGGCATTCGATAATAATACAGTAAGAGGGCTTTGTGTCAGCTGATATTTGATATTTCACCGTGGAAATTCCATCTAATCCAAAACATAAATATGAGTGTATTGTTTGAGGGCTTCCAGTTAAAAACTTGCTCGACCGGTAACCGCGAAATATTGAATTCCTTCGGCCAACTGACCTTCGTGGCAACATGTGGACGCGAAAAAAGCACCTAATTTTTTATCAACCTGTTACTGATTTCGAAGAGAGAAGTCGTTCACGACAAGTGAATTTATGGCATTTTCGCTTTCCTTCATAGAGCATTAAGACACCAGCAGATTTAATCCAATATTTACCCCCAAGCATATGCGCTGAGGGCCATCGCTATTTTCCATCTAAAACCATGCCATGCCTCGGAAGTGAGTTTCAATTATGCAATGATTATTGCTGTAATTTTGTTATTGAAGACAGCTCTCGCCACCTCACTGAATTCTTTCTTTAATAAACATGTTATTGCTGCACATGATGAGAACTGAAGTCAACATATATAAATATGAAAAAAAAATCAGTAAAAAGGTAATGGCCATACTCATTTAACATTTTATCATGTTTATTAAGTCTCCGGCGATAGAAACCGATATTGCCCGATTCCTCTACATGAAAATGCCGTAATTATCAAATCACTTTTTATTAATGGAGTTTTGTGATCTAAACCCCTAAATGAAGACGGGTCAACAAAGACAAATTTCAATTTTTAAGCATTATAAAAGCAGAACTTACAATCTATATGAAATGGTGCTGGAAAAAGCCCTTTTATTTCATTCATTTGTGTCATAAAAGCTACAAAGTGCTTTAATTTTAAGCTGTCCATGATATCGAAAATCGAAAAGGCCATTTATCTAAACTAAATAGAATATGGATCAATAGCAAAGTTGGACAAAAGCGATAGTATTTTATCTATCAATATACGAATTTAATACATTCGCTACATACATATATATATATATATATTTAAATTCTATACGGATTTATGCCGTAAATCAGATAAACGTCAAAACTTGAGAGCGTCTTAGCCAACTACACAATAGTTTCCTTCAGCATTTGCCATGAAAATTGTATAATGGAAGGAAGTCATAAAGGCGGCATATTTTTACATGAAACATGTGTATTTTCAATCAGGAGTTCTCGTGGCACTTAAAACAACTAATTTAACACAATGACGCTGCAACTTTGCCACAGTGTGCGTGATGTGTCGAAATTTCTGGCGTCATCTCAAAATACCGCCGAAATCCCATTTGCCGGCTCAGTTATATCACATGAGCGGTTTTGTCACGCGAAGGGAAATCTGAACGTTTTTGACTGCATTCGGGCTGTAATAATGCGTGTAAATTTGGCATGAAGCTATTACAAGAACATGGAAGGTAAATCGAAACCGCGGAGGAAACACCCAAAGTGAATAATGACCTTGCAGTTCTCGCGGAGTATTGTCCAAGGGCAGAAGTCAACTTGATGAAGTTTCAAAAGTTCACACCTATTCCTGAGAAGTCTGTAATGTTTAAATTGTGCTTAAATCTGTAGACAAAAGAAAGCTACCAGTTAGATTTTGTTCGGTTGTACTAGTCTTACAAGAAGGATTACTCTATACAAACGTCGGCGACGCTGAGAAAATCCTTTGGAAATTGAAAATTCTAGCAGTAATTTCCGCCTTTCCTAGATAATCATATTTTTCGCATCGAGTTGCGATGCCAGCCCTGGTATCCATCGAATTCTATAACATAAAAAAATCTATGTCTGAATCAATGAATGAAATTTAACGTAGAAATCAGTATTATGAGGAGTTTTTCATTTCGCCAGACCTGGAGACACCAACTATCTTATAAGTTTGTCTCAAATTTAAGTCCGTAAGGAGAAGCGGTGGCCAAAACTTTTTGTTTTTCCGTCAGAATCGAATCCATTGAGTGAGCGCGGAGAAATAGAAGAACGTACGTGAGCGGGCATTTTTCGCTCACCGGATTTCTGTTCCGAACTCTTTCCGCATGCACCGCGTTGAGCAAGAGACGACGGGTTGATCGATGCGAGATAACGCGACTGCCTGAAATTTACTTTTGGAACAAAGACGTACAACATCTCTGTGAAAATGACTTATCCGGGAAAATCCGTCTTTTCATCGATCACAACAAAACACTCACGGCGGCAAAAAAAGCAGCATCTTCTGGTTTTCGCATTTACGGTAGCGGAAAACCAAAAGGAAACCAAAAGGAAACCAACGTGGAAATCTCAAGTGAGTAAAAACAAGAAGAAACCCACAGTAGCAAATTCGGCGATATTTTACCCCAAGTCAAGCATAACGCCGGAAAACCAAGTCACGATGTATTGGGTGAAGAGTGATAATATAACTACTTTAGCTGTGATTGGCTTACCCACCCTGTTAAAACAACCGACAAAGCTCAAGAAAGATTTTTTAAACGGAATTAGCATAAAGCTCCGCACAAACACTCAAATACGAGATATCTTTTTCGGGTCGGAAATGCCGCCCCTCTACATCTATGGCAGGAAATTGTGCCAGCCGAAAACTTTGCGTTTGAAAAACGATTGATGTAGTAATATCTGTAGAAATCAGTGAAGAGTGCACTCAATTCGAACGAGGAACGTGCTGGGAATTTTAAATGAAAATTAAAGTACTCTAATTAATTCGAAAGAGTATCCAGATGTGAAGAGGCAATTAAAGATATGCAACATGCAAAGGTTATATTTAGAAACACGGCCAAGAATGAAAAACTTTACAGTATCATTAATAGCTTCGCCTGAGTGCACCCTTAACAAACCCTTAAGCTCTGATTTACACTGACTTACCGAGTCTACACCGAGTTATTTTTGTTTTGTATTGGTATCTTACCCCTCGCGCCAAATTGAGGAAACCATTACAATAGCTTCTAGGAGGATCTGTACTAATTACATTTGAGGCCAACTTCCTTTTTGGTACAACTGGGTGACAATTACACTTCCTGCAAGAATGGTTAATGTAATTTCGGAAGGGCATCTCATTTCACCACCATATTTCCTCTAGCCGCGCAATATTTTCCATTTGTCACCAACTGAAACAGACGGAAGCCCAGTGATCTCAATTACTAACTAAAACCAGAAACGAAGTTAGCAAAAACCCCAAATAAAATGCAGTCACTTTTAAAAATGATAAAGGGCTCGTCTCAGATTTTGGCTTTTTTTTTTGCTTTTAGACCTCGTTTAATACACAGAGGCGATTAAATTTGTATTAAACAGGAGTCAAATACAAGATGAATTGGAGTGATTTGCGTAATCTCTTCATGTTGATTTTTATCTAAGTAACACATATAGTGCTTGATACAGTGGTTGAAGGTCGAAATCCATCAAGGTCAAAAACAGCTCGTTAAGTTTAAATATTCAAATCGCTTCCAAAACAATTCTGGTCGACCTGCGCCTCTACTTTTGTTCAGTATGGCGAACTATGGAAATTTCCGTTCTATAATCGACACAAACCTATGATATGGCGAATTAAGATAAAGCTTTGCCAATGATATGAGGCAATTACGACAATTAACATCTTGGAAGGGGCTCAGCTACAATTTGCAATGTTGTGCTAAGATTGAGAACCGTAATAGAGAAATTACTTGAGCAAAATGGCAATAAAACTGGAATACTTCCCGGTACAAGCGCACAATTGGACCTGGCCGGCTGACGAGGATCCCTAATATAACTTGTTCAAGTTCTCTGCACCATGTTGCTCTCGCTGCCTTACATGGATAAATTTTAACACCTTTAGCTTTTCATTTACCGTTCGTTTAGTACTGAAATCTTAATACGCTTCTCAACTTTTATTCACAGAAAATAGGTTACCGAAGGGAACGTGGTCGTAGCAAATATACAGTATTGTCTTTTTCATACTTTTTGTAGCAAACCTATGCCAAAGTATTCTCGGAAAATGTATTTCTTCCGAAGTCACGCGTACAAATGCCATCCCATACAGCAGCACATTTCGGCTTTTTTTTCCAAATCTCGCTCGTGAGCCGACCTTTCAATCAGACCTCTATTTTAATTTTGATGGTTTGAAGTCTTGAAAAGGTTTTACCTTCCTTCGGCTCCTCGATTTCTCGATTTCGACTCTCTGCAAAGGGAAGATGTTTTTATCGATCGTTTATCTCCGACAAATTCAAAGCAGAGTGAGGCACCAACATATGGCGTTCTTCGCTACTTTTCTAATTCTTCGCATGCGAAATCAGGACGAAAAAGGTCAAAAAATTGGTTTGCGTGTGCAGAAATCTGACTGATAGTATTCTTAAGTCTGCCGTGATTAAAATACGGAATGTCGTAAGGAGATTAAAGCACTGAGTTCGCGATCCAGCTTTTATTAACAGGATTATGACAGTATTATTGTTCTTATATTTCTACGCCTGTGCTTATTACAATTATGGTGGGGAGTTTTGCTAGAGGACAGAGAGGGGATTACTTCAGGCTCATGCTTACATTTCCGCAAATATGCGTTTTATTGGATCAGAAGGCGTTTAGGAGGGCAGAGCTGTACTCTAGAAGTCGATGTTATGTTGGGGATTATATCAGAACGACTCATATTCCTTCAGTTATAGGTTTTATGTTTGGATTAAGAGTACGTGGTGGGCAGGACTGTTGTCTGGAACTTGTATTGTGGACTAATTTAGGAGCAAAATAGAGATCTATTTTGACGGGACTTCTGTTAAGCCTAATCTCAAATATCTTCAAAGCTCTTGTCGGATTTTGCTTGGCGGAAGCCTGTGTCGATTTGGCGATTGCGGCCGTGAATAAAGAACAAAAATATTATGAGATTGCTGTGGACTACTCGGTTCAGGATCAAAATAAAGTTCTATTTTGATGGGACTTCTGTTACGTTAAGCCTAATCTCAAATTTATTTTCGTGTTTCACTTTGCGGAAGCCTGTGTAGGTTTGGCGATTGCGGCCGTGAATAAAGAACAAAAATATTCTGAGATAACTGTGGTCTACTCAGTTCAGGATCAAAATGAAGATCTATTTTGACGGAACTTCTGTTAAGCCTGATCTAAAATTTATTTTCGTGAATAAAGTTTGGCGAACAAAAAATATTCTGAGATAAAAATATTCTGAGATAACTGTGGTCTACTCAGTTCAGGATCAAAATGAAGATCTATTTTGACGGAACTTCTGTTAAGCCTGATCTAAAATTTATTTTCGTGTTTCGCTTTGCGGAAGCCCATGTCGGTTTGGCGATTTCGGCCGAAAAATGAAGAAGGAAAAAAATTAATCGTTGTTCGGCAGAGCCGTGAAAAAAATATAGAAAAACAAAAACGTTGCATTTTTCGCTGGAGTACACAAGAGAGTTGCTCCTCAGAATAGCCAGACAAAAAGCCACTATAGCTAGGGTTCCACCAGCGAGCTCTATTTAGCCAGCATTAACGGCCTTTTTTAGGATCGGCTCCTCCACTGTTGAATCTGTTTTTGGGGTTGATTGCAGAACAATTCAGTAACTCCTATGTGATTAAATTCTTTTGAAAGATAAGAAATTTTCAGCAGTGAATTATCTCTAATTAAAGCTAAGTAGGTAATGGAATAAATTAATTGGATTTTAGTGGTGGCACTTCATGCACTGTCTTTCCTTGTCGACATTGTAAATAAGGGTGTTGGTTTTTGTGGAAGGAGGGAAACCGGACAACCCAAAGAAAAACCCTCAGAGCGAGGAGAAGCCTGGCTAACAACAAACCAATCCCACATGTGAAGCCACGCCGGAGAATCAAACCCAAACCACAAAAAGGGTAGGCGAGCTGCTCCACTTTCCACGAGTATTTTGAAAGTTGACGATATTCAGTGGCCGTGATAATGTACTTACAAAAGCTACGTCTGGATGAACTCCACGCAAAATCACCTCCAAAGCTAAAACACCAAGGAGGTAACGAAAACCGAACTGACAAAGGAAGATCGCTATTGATAAGGAAGATTGGCAAGGATTGCGAATGAAAAACTTTGAAAATTTCGGAGAAGTTTTGCACAGGGACACAGCCCCTTCAACTTGCGACCAATAATTAATTAGCACTCAACGTAATTATAATTTACCAAATTCTGCCTAGGGTTTGTTCAAGCATAGTCTGTATTTAATGTAGCTATTGTTAGCCCTGATTTGCAACCTCCCCGAAAAGTCCCACATTCCAATCACAAATTTGTCTTGTCTATTTTTTTTCTTATTCATTTGGAAATAGATTTTCCACCATCCATAAAATGCAGACTATGGGTTGTGAGTTGAACTGTCAGATTCAACTTGCTCGTGTAATTATGAAATAAATTCAAATAGGCTAAACACATTATGATCAAAGCCAGATAACATTGTGTTCTCTCTCGTTAGAAACAAAAATACGAAAAGCTTTCTACAACTAAAGACCAATACAAAAAGTCAAAGGTGGTTTGGTGTTTGGCACTGTAATTTGGAAATTGGGCGGCAGCTCAGCCAAGAATATTACACCTGAAATGATTTCAAGACTGTGTTCAAATATCAGGAATTGAAATAGCACACAACTTTACCAAACAAACACACGAGGCCGATTTCAAAACAGCTTTGGGTGTGACTACCTCCGCCATGCATTGCCTCTGTTGATCGGCCAATGCGTCGAGAATCAAAACGAGAAAGAACAAAGTGGAACTAAGTTACAGCACTGAGCACTTGAGCAAAAGAAGACGCGACTCCCTTCAAAACAAAGTGCACTTTCAAGTATTAAAATTATATATTGCAAGACGCATCAAGGCACACAATGAAGTCATATCGCGTACACAAGCACCTCATACACATATACAACCAGCCCAGTATAGATTTTGATTTATAGAAAGCCACGAAAAACAAAGTTGATATGGTATTTCTAAAATAACCGAATACAGAGGCAGGGGCAACTTGAAAATATGCTTTATTCAGCTTCCGAATTTTGACTGAGACGCGCCAACAAATGCCCAAAAATTCAATAGTCCACAAAAAATCATGGTTCTTTATTTCCTAGAAAGCCAAGTCATTCAGTTAGTATGTCAAACTGCATACGTGGTGCGTAAATCACACAAAAGGTCCAATACGACAATGAAAAAGCCGCTCACAAATTGCTTGCTCACTTTGAAAATCCTCTTTAGCATTATGTCAACAGTTCCAGGTCGAACGGACGCTAACATTACTTCATACATCAAAAATCTGATCTTTATTTCGTTCTTAGGTCATGAGAGACACATACCTAATTAGCCATAAGAATTATCTCTTACACCCGGAAATTATACAAAACTTTAAATAAATCTAGCAAAAATTGAACTCTCTCGAGGAATAAATATCATCTTGTACTTACAGGAGATGTTTTCCTTGATTGTAACTTACATCAATTTACAGAAACAATCTCGAAAATGTCTGCTAAACTTGTTCATGTTTTCTAGATCGATAACTTCAGATGAATTTAACCTTACCTATGCTACTGAGTAATTCTTAACCCTTTGCACCCTAACATCAGTACGAATATTCTCCATACTGTTCTCTATACATTTCCTAAAGAGAAGACAAGGAGAATTTGTGTACTAATCAAGAGCTTCATTAGTTGGTGATCATTTTCTTTCTTCCTCTGACCTTGATGTGTGAATTGGGGGTGATATTGTAAGGAGAAATTAGATGCTAGTCACTCTAGTACTCAGGCCTACTCACAGTATTAGCTTCATCCCATTCCCACATGCCTATAGGCCAGGGGGATGGGGTGGGGGGAAGCAAAGATGGGGGTGAGAGAGAGGGGGCTCTGTTAAATGCAAAATCAAAATTTAACAAATAATCAAAACATTAAAACTGTTTCACTATTTTACAAACAAAAAATTGTTCAAAAGTTACTTTAGGAGATGGAAGTTGAAGTGCTCAATAAAGCTCACCGGCACTATAGACCGGATGTAACATCCTCCATCATCAAAAATTGTGGTATGCGTGATAATTATTTCCTTGGAATGCATTTACCACTCATATACATGAAAAATTGAAAATCTCATTGTCTATGTGCTATTTAAATATACTTCGTTGGACCAGCAACCATAAGATGCGAAAACATGTGCGTTATGAGTATAATTTGAGTGCAAAAGAAAAGGAAAAAAATCCTTTACTCAAAGGAATGAGAACAAAGTTGTTAAATATCAAGCCTATTGTGGATTACCATAGATTTTCATTCATAATAACCGGTACTATGCATATTCAAACCAATCAGAATGTACCATATGGAAGAGAGAAAATCACACGACATAGAGTCATGAACATCCACGAACAATCAATCTATTTAAGAACTTGTACACCCTCACGACCTATTACAAAAATATTTGCTAAGATTTCTCCATAAATGTGCCCACATGTAAGAAGTCGTTTAGGGATAAATCTTAAAAATAAAGTCTGAGTATATAATTACGAGGAACTTGCCACTGGCGTAACTTCGTCGCGCGCCATTCTGGAATAAACCCATTTGCGAGTGAACCAGTCCCGAGAATAATAAGGAAATACTTTTCCTGGGCGCGCACAGCCACTCGCCTGGTGTTCCTGTCACCAGTTTTGCAGAGCGTGCCTTTGATCAGAAGGGTTCCAAGCGCACTCCATTTCCTACCAGAGAAAATACATTCACCTTGGCCCACATCAGCGCGTGGTTTAACGACATCACGGAACGACCGTCGTTTAAGAAAAACGCCTGACCCTATAATGAAATGCAAGTGATATAAAATGGATCCGCCGGAAAGATCCTGTCACAAGAACAGAGTTTTTTAATAATTTTACACGGTCTGTTCTCTTATTATATGTTGCGGAGGTTCAAACAGACAATTAAATTCTGTCAAATGAATTTGATTGACTAACTGATTGATTGATTGATTGATTGATTGATTGGTCGGTCGACAGATTATTTCCACTTTCACCTTTAAATACATTAAGTTGCTACATTAGAACCGTACCCACCATCTTGACTTTCCTGCCAGAGGAAATCGGACAAACTAGGGGGGGGGGGGGGGGGTAAAGCGGCAAAAGTTTGTATCTCACCCCCACTCTACATACTCACAGTGATTTCGCTTTGTCCCCAAATAATTTAATTTAGTCATCATATCCAAGATATCGGCTCCATGAGAACCTCTCGTGAGCCCCAATTTGATTTTCCCTTAAGCTTTTTATGAGTACGCTCTTGTTTGGGCTCTTAGTCCGTTGATTAAGTGACCAAGAGAGAATTTCTCCTTAAAATTTTAATACAAAATCAAGGAAATAAGTGATGAGGATAAAGAAAAATATTCATTTGGGGATTACTGGTTGATTCAAAACCAAATTCTCCTAACCAACATCAAAAGAATTGTATGACAGACAGTAAGGATAATTACTAATGAGAACTTAGGAGTGAAAGGCTTAAATGCAACTGCAGGATGACCGATTATACACACGAAGAGAAAGTTACTTCATCAGCACCTTAATTCTTTCTCCCGTCAGACACGAAACCTGCACATCTGAGTGACTGGGGAGAAGGGAGCCTGTTACCATGTCTTCGCCTACCAAGCACGCAGATGGCTCAGCACCTACACAAGAAAAAAAGAAAAATATTTATGATAGCAATAGAAAAAAAAACAAAACAAATACATATTCACAGTTAAGAGCGTCAATCTTTCCCAAAAATACATTCCACATCCTTATGGCGTATAATTTCACGTTTCGTTCGCACAATCACACAAAACGACGCTTTATTCTTTATAATCGCCTGGAAAAGAGGTGAGTGAGTAACGTTCTCGCGAATGAGTTTGGTAACCTATAATTTTAATTTCCTTTGAGCTCATTGTCAGCACTTCGGCACCAGCGTTTCCTTGCCCGCGGGAAAGTATGAGGCCTTGAGAAATGCCAGCCGGCAAGAGGTCTGCAAGGTATCTGGTACTAATTATTAGGGCCAGACCCCAGCAAACTCCACCCCAACTTGTCTCCAATCTTACCGCGGGCGGAAAAACTCGCTCCCTGCAGCACTACTAATGAAGACGATGCCGTTGGAAGGTTTTAGGTACTGTTACTATTAAAAAAGATTTATTTAACGACATTTTCTCTCCAGATTGCGACGACATTTTGATGCAAAATGAAAAAATAAATCAACAGAATTTATGGATATCCCTTTTTTCTAAGCTTTTCAGGCTACTACTTACCAACACGCTTAAGTAACAAGTCCCAAACGGCCTTCTGTTCTGGAGTGGGAGTGACCGAGGGACTGGAAACAAGAAAACCAAAGTCAGGCATGGAACGGTGTAATTTATACCAAGCATGTTCGCCTTCTTTTTAAAATTAAACTTCAAACGTATTTTTATAGCGCAACATTCCACTAGTTGTCCTTTTTCATCTTTCTTCATCCATTTCAAGATCAGAGGCTTTGAGAAGACCCTTATAAACTTATACAGAGTACTTACTCGAGTGGCTGATTGAAAGCGAGCCACGCTTCAGATTCTGTGTCGATTTGAGAAGTTGTAACAGCTAATTCTCCCTTATCTTGATGCATTAATTGCCTGAAAAAAAAACATAATTGAGTAAAAAGTCTATAACAAGAAAAAAAGACGAAAGATATATGAGTCAAACCCTCATCCATTTACAAAGACAGAACAATTTTTTAGTCTCAATTGTCACTTCTGGGAGTTCATTCCTTTCACTCCCTAGATCTGATTGTTGATTCTCCCCTATAGCTGCTACAAATTTCCTTATAACTTAGTTATGAGAATCTTGGGTTAGATCAAGATAACCGCTTCTACCCGATGACTTTAAGTATCTCATTGCCTGTTTGTTGGATGAGGTATGGACTTTAGAGGGAGAGGTTACATGTTAATCACTTCTGGTGATTTAAAGGGTTGTGGACTGAAGGAAAATAAGGATTGTTTGTATGGTGAATATAGCATACTCCATTGTATTTGTAATACGTACCTGGCATGTTTGAAGAGAGGGTGAATGATCGGAGTGTATTTTCTCCTTATTGCTAACAGTGCACCAAGGTATGCACTCAGTACCAACAGTTCCTGTCTCTGCCTGTTGATAAAGAATTGCCTGAATTACAAGTAGAACCCCGCTAACGAAAACTGGTTCGAGTTTGCGGTATTAATAAGGAGTCGTGAATCAAAATTGAAGTCTCTCATATGAAAGCAAGACGATTTTCCGACGACTGCGCTTAGCAAATGGGTGGAGTGTCAAACGAAACTGATTCTCCTCCTCTGTTTAACGCCATACCAAGTGATTAGAGAGAGGACTTCATAACTGAAACGAGTCTCTTTGTTCCACCTGTTAATTCTAACTACTTCAATATAACAACATGTTTCATGGTAACAGGTAAAGGTAGTAGAATGTTTAAACTGTCTTGATCTACAGCTTGCCATACTTGGATGTCCTGCTCTGTTGCAGCCGGTCTGTTCTGATACACGACATCCACTGAAGCACGGTTAGTACGTCATCTAAGACCCAATAAGGTTTACTCATGACATCTGAAAAACAGAAAAAAAAAAAGGATAAAATGTCTAAGTACCTGATGCATCTTCTCCTCTTAGTGGTTACTGGGAGCCTACTGGGGGCCTCTAAGAGCCAGAGTTTCATTGGTCCTTTTTCATTGTGCTTTGTGATTGGTCAAAACAACTCATACCACGCTCTCAACCAGTCAGATGCAAAACAAAAACAAATACAAATCGAGCATTCGTAAGTCGCCTTTTCCTCTGCTTGAAGTCGGTTATTGTTTTTTAACTACGAGCTCTCATAAGTTCCTTGTAATATTTTCCTATGTTTTAATTGGCAGTCATGTGTTTTTTATGATGCTCACTAGTAATGTAAATTACTAAGACGGTACAAAAAGAGAGAATAGAGAATATTTATCATTCCTGTCGTAACAACTGTAGCACACAGGTCACGCCGATACGTTTATAATTTTTAAGAGATTTAAGAAATATACGTTCCACGATCATACCTCGAACAAGATTGAGTCCGATGTCGAGCGCAAGCTCAGGAGAGGAAGAAACAAGGTAGTACTTCATGGCGTCTATGAATTTGTTCTCATCACAAAACTGCTGAGCTTTTTGTAAACACTCCTCGACGCTTGGCAATCCAGCCTGATGAACGGAAAGGGGATGAAAGCGAATTTTATTCGTATGTCCCCAGGAGAAAATTATGTTTAAATCATCCGTGCGATTTTAATGCAATGTCACTCAGACAGATAATGAGAATTTAGAATATCATTATTACATAGGCATCAACCACCAAATACCAAAGAAATGTGTTTTCCTCAGTTGGGAGAACTAGCTATCAGCTTCTAAGAAATACACAGAGAAAAAAAGTTAAAAGCATTCATCATTTTCACAATTCCCAGTCACCTTTTCGTGTAATTCATTTACTTCTGTGACAGTCCCTTGACACCTTGCACACGACTTGAAGAGCAGGTTTTCACAAGAAGGCAATGACTTGAGTAGAACGATACACGTATCCCTGAAAACAAGATAACACCACCTAAGTTGTGCCATCAAGAATTTCTTAACACTGTGCGAGCTTTCACACCGACAGCATAACAACCAATTCAATATAGCAGAGCAGGGAAAAACGAAACAAGAAAGCTGGAATGCACAGAAAATGACAGCCAATGATGTGGGCTTGAAAAATTCAACCAGACAGAGAGGCGGGAAACGCGTGCCAAGGGCGGCATAACGAGACCAGAGGGTGGGAATATACATAGCAAATAACAGGGGCGGGAAAAATGTAAATGAGACGAGCAAGTAGAAAACGGGGGAAAACTATGAAGTAGCCAGTGGTGAGCGCGGGAAAAATGCAATGTTGTCGTCAGCGAAGTCAAGAAAATACGTTTTTTGAGAAACATTTTACTGGTAGTCCTCACCATTTCCCAAGTCTTTCACATTTTCTGGCCAGATATTCAACAGCTTGGTGATACATGTGACTGTTGTCGCTAATCACCATTCCCATACTGACGGCCAGTTCCAGTTCATTCCCTCGAATGAGTTTCGACAGTGCAAACTGCGTGAAGAAAAGTAAGCGACTGAACAATTTAAATCAGAATTTCTTAACGAGTAAAACGTGGGTGCTTGATGGATGATGCGCTGGACTATGGGTTTAGAGATCCACGTTCGAGCATGCGCATAACACTTACCTCCCAAAGAGCCAGGACTTAGATACGTAAGAGTCGGACTTAGGGGTCAAGGGGATAAAACTACTTTTTCTCTTCTCAAGATTATTCAACCCTTCCCCCTAAACAGACCACTCCCTTCAAATCAGCAAGTCAACAAAAAATGCCATCAAAGATGGCCATGATTTGATGGCAGCGTATTTCAAGATACAGAATGCAAAAGAGGACTAGTACAACGGACCCGTACTGGGCAACTAAAGAGACTAACCGTAATATCTCCTACAGCCAAGTGACAACATGCGGCCAGCACAGGTTGTCCACTATAAAAATACCAGTCAGCTAACGCAGCACTTGTTGACTGAAGAAGACTGAACACAATAGCGAAACACACTGATTATTATGCAAGTTTCAAAGAGCCATAGATATTATTACAACTTCGTTCTCTTCGTCTATTCCCCAAGTTTTCCAAGTTTTTCATTCTCTCCTTGCCGTTTTCCAACCTGCCACCCGCTTCTCCTCCCTTTCTCTTACTTCGAACTTTTTTCTCCTCCTGGTTTCCTCCGTATAAATATTTTCCCTCATCATTTTCGGTTCTTTGTTTAACAGCTTTCCCCTACCTACTTCCCGACCCTTCCTTCTTTCTTACTTTTACACAATTTTTTTTCACCTTTCTCTTCCTTTTCTCCTCTCTTTTCCTTTCCCCTTTCCTAATTCTCCACTACCCGTCCTTCCCTGGTCTTTCCCTATATCCCAAAATTCCCCATACACCTTAATCCAACCCGAGCGGCCAGGTAAACACTTAGTTACCACAAAAAGCAGATGCTCACCCTTTGTTCTCGTCAGTCATGTGATTGATCAGGGAAGGTAAGACGTCGTTTTTTCTCAGATCAGGAATCTTCTTCTCTTTTTTTTGCAGAAGAGTTGTGAGTCCTCCCTCACACGCCACCTGCGCCGCCAATAAGGCGTCGTGAAGCTGACCGCGTGACGAGAAGAAAGACACGAGCTACAAAGAAACCCAAAGTAAACAAAAACAGTTATTGCACACAGCACACAAGCCTCAGGAAGATATAACTCCCATTCATGCTTCATCGACACCAACTAGTAAAGGTATCGAGTAGTAGGTCTACGTTCACGAGCAGTTTTCAAAAGAGGGTGGAGAGTAATCCAGGCTTAATTTGGTTTTGTTTCGCTTGGATAGGTCATAGGTCCAGGAACTCACAGCATCATCTCAACCAATCAGAGTCCAAACTGATACCAATCGCGACTTGGCCACAAGCGTTTCTGCGCCTCGTGAGTCCACAACATTTTGACAACTCTGATGACGAATATCGTTGTTGATAAGAGTACAGACCTCACTAACCCACTTTCGATTTGTTAATTTCAAAAAGATGACTTTTTTTTCCCATTGTCTTTTGGAAGGTTTACCGATAAGCTTTGACCTCGCGTACTAGAACCAGTTTTCTTGACTCGCATGCGCAAATATGGAGGCCATGGGTTGGAATCCCGTTGAAGCAACGTACTTTAAAACAGGGAACAGGCAAACTGTCATACAGTACCTTTGCCGCATCTCCTAACGAAACACAGTATGGTACAGCGGAGTCGTCGTCTTCTCTCATAAGCTGCGTCGTTCGTCTATAACAAAAATGTAACTGAGTACATAAAACAAGGATGATAACGTCATAACAAAATAGGGTTCATAATGATAATATGGATGACAGTGACGATGCTGATGATTAAAATTATAATAAATGATAAACATAATCATAATAATAATAATAATAATAATAATAACAATAATAATGATAAAGAAGATGCAAACAACATTCATTTTGAAACAATGGGAAAAGTTCCTGCGTTAAGATTTTAAAACAAGGAATTTAAGAAAAAGCTTCATTTTAAAAATTTACCTTTCCATCAGCTCTTTCCAGTAATCCATTGAGATCCCAGGAGCCATAGCGAGTGCTCTGTCCCACTTAAAAAATAATAACAAATAGGAAACGTATTCAGTCTTATCCTTAAATTTTACAGCACAAGACACAGACTTTCTGGATATTTGTTGAAAGTTCACGAAAGTCTCGGATGCTTGAAATTAGGAGAGGAATTGTAGTTTTAAATTTCGTTCGAAAAGTAATTAGGAATTGCATTGGAAGAGAGTAGATGTCAACTCAGTGGAGAGTCCAAAGTGATTCAGCACTACTTTCACTTTGATTTGTGATCGCCTTAGAAAATTTGCACCTCTCTATTATCAAATCAATCATGTGTACAGAAATTGTGCCCTAAACAATGACGCTTCTCCGCGCTTCAGTCAATTACTAACATTTTCTTTGATGTGTTTACTTCGTTTTTGATTTTAAGACACTAAATAAAGACACGTTTTATTTGGTTATGGTTACTTCAAGCATTTTATGGCACCTTAACGATATCACAAGCGCAGTATAATTTTCATTGCCTCGGGTTCTCCCTGGCTCGCTACGTTACACAAGCCTCATTAGTTGGCTATTGTTGTCCAGATATTTTGCTGCTAGAACGCTCAGCTTTAAAACTACCTGGAATCAAACTGCAGAACGGGCGATTTAAGTGCTTTTCTAGCAAATGGAGGGAATAGCGAGGCGTGACCGATGAAAGCGCAAAGGATGGGTTTCCTTTCCCTTCATCCCTTACAGAAAAATTACGCCTACAACATACCTCGCCCAGTTCGACCATTAGCTCACAGTATCTTTGTAGCTGACCAATCTTGACATGAAGATTTGCCGCTTCTCTAATCCTATCCTCTTTTTTGGACATCAGACCTCCTCTCCTGGACATTGCTCGAACTGTTTCTAATTCTTGTGCTTCAGACTATCACAAAAAAATATACAGGAATTCAAAATACAAACCCTCCTTGCCAATTGCAAGAGATTCGTTTTAATATATTACTGAGGAGAACAACGGACATTATTCACTAACGTCGGGCTGTGTTCTTGAGTCAGACACTTTAGTCTCACAGTACTTTCTACACCCAGGCGTATAACAGCACAGATCCAGGAAGCTAGAAGAAGGGAGAGCCTGGAAACGAGGTCGTCAAAGGTCAGGGGAAACTGGGGAGAAATGACGTCACGGTAGAGGTTACCACCTTCTTATCTTAATTTCATTGTTATCCACGAAAGATTACTTACTGCTTTGTGTTTGACAAGATGTTTTGTGTGCATAATCCCTTTGCTGTAAGACGCCGGTAATAAATTGTCATCGCCGTCTCGTAATACTAACACCAAGTCCCACAAATTCTTGGCTCCACATGGCGGCTAAAAAAGTGGGAAAGTCAATGTACACTTTATGCAAGACCATTTGTTTTTGAGTGAATTAGACAAAATATGATGCAATCATCGGCTAATCAGAGCGCATGCGCTTCCTACCATTGCAGAGTAACAGAGCGCTTTTCGATTGAGTGTCGTAAAAGCGAAACCAAAGTAATCACAACAGCCAATCAGAGGAAAGGAAAATACCTTTAAGGGCCAATGAGAACTCAAAGTAAAAAATTCAAACTGCCCAAAGCGCGGGAAAACGCGGGCGACCAAGGAGTGATTGTTTAAACTTTTCCATCTAATTGGTTGAGAGAATGGCGCGAGTTTTCTGAACCAATCACAGAACAAGTAAAGCGAAACCAATGCAATACCGGATTGCTTTCGATACTCAATTGAAAATTGCTCTGATACCAAATTTTACAAACGACAACCTCACTTAAGCTACCGAAATTTAGTGTGAATTATTATCTTACAATGAAAAAGTCCGAGAACAGTTTTATTGCTGACCAATGAGACGCTTCTCCTTTTGTTGCCACAGTTGCTTTCAATTCACGTGAAACTCTTCCATTCAGCAGAGGTGTGCCACTAGATGACATGGCTGCTTCTGTAGGAAGGAAAATGCAAATACTTCATTTCAAGAAGAGACCCGACTTTATGAAAAAGGAAACTAAGTTCAATTGAGAGTAAAATTAATTGAAAAGTAAAAATCTGGGGTTGCCATGCTCGCTCTAAAGCAGCATCACCTAGTATGAAGTTATTTCTAATGCAACAATTCCTTGCACTTAAATCTGCCCACATTCATCTGTTAAATTCACCTCTCCTATGACTACTTCTTCTCTGTGCTGAGAATTATTCTACATTACCTTGTAGCAAAAAAGGGTATTATACTGAATTTAAAAGTTACCCCTTCGTCATACGCTCTGACGAAGGGCTAACGCTCGAAACGTCAACTTAAAAACTCCTTACGGTGGCCAATTATGATAAAACCATATTTCCTTGTTATACTCCCCCACCAACGTAGCACCCCAGGTTCTCCAGAAACCTACCCCTTTAGTCCGTAAATATCGATTTTATAATTTTTCGAGATGTCATTAGTCGTACACTGTTTTGGTGACCAGGCCCCACACCCGAAGACACCTAACACATACCGGTGTTAGTGGTCATAAGATTATCCAGGGGTCTTTCAGCCAGAACATCGATCTGCAAGGAACACGCCAAATGCGACATGGACCAGATTCTGACGGTGGAGTCACGAGAACATGATGCAACAGTGAAAGGTCGATATCTGTGGCAGGTTAAGCCTTTAAAATAAAAAAAAAGACAGCACATCTGTTATGACTGGAAATTGAGAATTTTTAAATTGACTGTCCGAAGAAATCTGGGATTGCATCGTTTTGCTTTACTTCGCTGTGTGATTGGTCCAGAAACCTCGCACCACTGTCTCAACCAGTCAAATCCAAAACTGACACAAATCACGACTAAGGCAATTTGGTTTTACTTTGAATTTTCATTAGCTCTCAAAGGTATTTTGCTTTCTTCAGATTGGCCGTTGTGATTACTTGGTTTTTTGTTTTACGATTCCGTCTACAACTTACGTCAAAGGAAAAGTTCAGAAAATCATCTTGACCACAATTTCATGATAATTCAAATTAGTGGATGGGAAGGGTGCTTAATGTTTGTGGCGCTCTTTTCCACGTTGCAACCTTCGTTAAAACTTCCTTTGTCAAACATTTAGTCAAATAACTTCTTTACATCAGCCATCCTGAAGGAATAACCTCCTCCTAACCTTAGATCAACCCGTAAAATCGATCTCAGAAGATGTCAGAAGAGAGACAAACGATTACACTTTTTCAATAACTTGACGCAGGTCAAGGCTTTCGGATTGCTTTGTGGTTGTCGTAATTAGCTTTACGCAAATAGATGTACCGAATTCAAGCAATACTATTTAAATACTATTTTCCTATGTCCATTTTAAGTAGAGAACTAAAATTGAACTTTTAGCCTCATACCATACACATCCGCTCCGTGATCCAACACAGTTTCAAGACAGGTTCCATCTCTAATAAAAATAAAAGCAACACGGATTGATATCACGAACTAACATAATGTACTACAATCCACTATAATGACCAGCTCCCAAGCGGCTTGTTAGCTCAGTTGGTAGAGCACTGCACCGGTATCGCAGAGGTCATGGGTTCAAATCCCGTACAGGCCTGAATTTTTTTCAGGCCTTACTTCACTACTGCTTAAGTAGTGTGCATTACTGCGAAGAACGCTTTCGTATTCATTTCTTAATCCGCAGTTCACATATATGATTTTCATGTATTCGCAGTCGCTGAATGGTATGCATGCGCCTTATACGTTTAACTTTCCATACACTGTGCAGAGGACATGAGGAAGTCATTACTCACAAAACTTGGGCCACTGTATCAACCAATCAGATTCAAAACTAATCTTAATGGCGTTTGGTTGACCGCGTTTTCCCGCGCTTCAGGTAGATTCTTGTTTATAACTTGAGTTCTCATTGGCTCCTAGTGATATCCCCTTAAATCTGATTGCTCGTTGCGATAACTTTGGTTTATGTTCGACGACACCCAATCGAAATGTGCTTTAACAGTCTTTGAGATGCTAGCGACTCTCATCCAAACGTTCAACAACCGACTAGTATTAAGAGGCAAATTAAGCTAACGGTAAGTTAATGTCACCTCGTATCCCAAATCCTAATGGTAAAGTCCCAGCTGCCAGAAATCAGAAGGTAAGGAATTTCTGGGTTCCACAGCAGGCCACGCACAGGTGCCTTGTGCCCTTCTAACGTATGCACACATGAATCCTAAAGAGGAAGTTAACAGTGTATAAAAAATATGCTCCATGCGTGGACATACTGCAGAGTTACACAGATTGAAAGACTCCCCTCACTGATGCTTACATTACACCAAAACATCTCGTAATACTCCCCCTACTCTAGACAAATACCACTGTTACTCCCCTTACCTCAGTATAGTCCCATACTTTAATGGTTCTGACCAAACAAAAAAAAAAAAAAAATCAGATATTTTTTAAACAATAATAACTGGATAACGTTGAGTTATATATCATGATTTTTCGATGGTAAGCAGATTCATAATTCTATAAAGCCAGAGGCTGAGAAAAAAAATTGATCTTTTAGACACTGATGAAGAATGATAATTTATGATAGCTTAGTCCAATAACCACATTTTGACATCATCTTTCATCTATTACTGAAGAGATGCACGGCAACCTAACATCAGTATGCATATTCTTCATACTGTTCCCCATACATTTCCAAAGAGGCTGACAAGGAGAATTTGTGTAACAATCAAGAGCTGCTCCAGTTGGTGATCATCTCCTCTATTCTAATAACTTTCATGTATGATTCAGGGATGATATTGTAAGGAGAAGTTAGATGTTAGTCACTCTTCGGGGCTAAAGGGTTAAGCTGACATAGTACTGAGAGAAAATCACCTCATCTTACGAGACATTGATAGCATTTTTTTTTTTCATTTACAACATCCACCAAATATCACTTGTTTCCTTACCCATCATCTGAACCACTGCAGAGGATGGCTTCTCTGATAGGACTCCATTTCACATGAAAAATCTTTGCTGTATGACCTGTAATGAAATAATTAGCAAAGCTATCCAGGATGCAACTTTGAGAAATAAAAGAATCTCTGTAGCCAAGGTAACAGTCACTTCCATAGATCATTCAAATTTATTTTAACACCTTAACTCCCAAGATCTGATTGTTAATTCTCCCCTCTAAGTGCTATACATTTCCTTATAAATTAATAACAAGTATTTGGTAATAGATCAGGATAACAACTTCTACCCGATAACTTTGAGTATTCTCATAACCTGTTTGCTGAGTAATGTATGGATATTATAGGGAGAAGTTAAATGTTGGTCACTTCTGGGAGTTAAAGGCTTAACACTTTAGACCCTATACCTTTGTGGGACCTTCAATTGGCCAGAAGAGAACTGGGAACAATTACAATAGAGGCTACTGTCACTCTTACAAACCAACAAACAAATCAAAACAAAATAAAAATAGAACATATAAGTCACTGTGTACATTAATGACAAGGATCATTGCAGCTACAAGATCTATTCTTCCATGAAAAGTGAGGAAATACACAAAATCATTATCTGAGTGTATTATATATGATATTTTAGTTTAATTCTGTACACATAAATATTCTTAAATTCAGTGCTAAATTGCTAATTTATATCAATCAAAACTGCTGCTTACCAGAACATAACTTTTCAAAAAAAGAGGAAATACACACATAATCATTCTCATTTCAGATTTTAGTCCAATTCTGTATGTATAAATAAGCATAGATTCAGTATTTAACTGCTAATTTGAATCTATCAAAACTGCTGCTTACCAGAAAATACCTTTAAAGGTAGATCTGTGCTTGCAGCAACGTAAAATACCCTAACACATTTGTCCTCACAACCAGTTGCAATCATATCTCTGTAACAGAAATCAAGAAAAATAAATATTTTTGGTCAAGAGTCAATTCAAGATCTAAAGAAGAAAACATCACAAATCACATAATACATAGAGAATATGATTACACTTGCTACTCTTAAAACTAGCAGGTTAAATCTGTGACAAATATCAATCTTATCAATTTTATGAATACCTGTTATTGAGACTCCAGTCACAGCCATAGACAGGTCCAGGGTGTTTGTATCTTTTAACTAAAGTTCCATCCACTTGCCTTACAACACTTTAAATAAAGAATATCAAAATTTATTCATTCACTGTGGTTAGTCTTTCATAAATGAAATTGCATAATCCCAGCTACCAGTTAGATCAGAAGATAACATATTTGTTTGCATACAAAATACTATCAGGTCAGTTATTATGGAGAGACTTACCATGTTCCATCTGCACTGCAGGAAGCAATTCTCCTTGAATCTTTGTGATTCCAGCTCACATTGTAAACATGTTGCTTTCCATGCTATGAAGAAAGGTAAAAAAAAAGAAAAAAAAGAAAAATTCTATGTTGCCTTGAGGCTGTTTAGCAATAGATCACAGATGATGTCTGATAACAAAAAGATGGCACTGATGGTCTCATCACATTTTGACTTCATCTGTGATCTACTAATGAACAGCACTAAGGCAACATAATATATGTTTTTTTTAATAAGATCAAAAGGCAAAATGCTGGTAATGATGATGTCATTTATGCATCTGTCCTACAATTGATCACAAGAAAGTACCAATCAAAATGTATGTATAAGTAAGCTTATTATTTAAATAATAAGAAATAACATACAGAGTCTACTGTCAAAAGGGGCTAATGGTACCTTTCTTGATTCCAAGCTTCCTTGCACTTTATTACTAATCAAAATCATCCAATTCACTTACTTCAGTAAATCTCTTAATAATCTTTTCTTTGCTGATATCCCATATGAACACTCCTTGTTTGGCTGTTGCTCCACAAAGACAATTGACATCTCCTGTAAATGTTAAATTAAAGAAAGTTGGTAACAAGACATTTTGCACAAACGACTTTTTGCACAAGTGCAAAAAGACTTGTGCAAGAAGTCTTTTGTGCAGAATGTCCTTTATTCAGAAAGTTGTTTTTGCATGTACCAAATCACTCATCAGGTAAAAAGATTTCTTACACAAAGTGAGTATAAGGGTATATCATGTCCGGATAAAAGATCAGCAACAAGACATAGTAAAAATTGCAAAATTACCAGGTGCCCATGAAAGTGCGTAGATGATTCCTTCATTGCCTGGAGATGAATGCACCTATTGCATACAGTTAAAGTGGATTTAGGCACAGGAAATTCAGAATTATGACAAAAACACAATTTTGAGACATACTTAGAAAACCACACAAATTGAGGAAAACACATGCTGAATGTGGTACTTACTGCAGTCATGGTGTTAACATCCCAGACTTTGATGGTTCCATCAAAGGAGGCTGTTGCTAACAAGTCTGGACTTTCAGGCTTAAACTTGCAATCAAATATTGTCTCTATATGACCCTAAAAAAAAGTTTTATTCAAAGGGCTGTAGTATTTATTTATTTATTTATACAGAATACACTAACTAACAACAAGGAGCAGAAACTGCAAATTCATTCAGATACAGCTGACAAAATATTGCAATGGTGTTGAACATGTGAGGAGTGATTTAACAATACCACTTAAAAATGTTCACTCACAAGGACCACAGCAAACCCAACCCCACTTCCATCCACACAGGTTACTCACCATATCTCTAAGAAAGCTCCATTTTCGTTTCCCTAAGTCATACAATCCAACTCCACCATCCATAAAGGTGCAAAGAATTCTTGCAGGTGGAAGTGCATATGTGATGTGATTTGGCTGAGACGGAGGCTGAACTGCCACTGAGGTTGACGACATTCCCAAGGATGTTTGGTTATTATTAGTTGGTTCAAAGGTCTGGTCAGGTTGAACAACAGTCAGTGCATGAAAGCCAGTCATTTTCAATTTAATGCTGGTCAAAGGAGAGCTTTTGGACACATTCCAAACGCGTAGAATTCCTCCTTGGGCATCTGAAAAGTAACATCAAAGATCAAGTAACATAAAAATGTTGGTTTCACTATAATTACAATATTAACTTATTTAAAGTAATTATTTAATAACCCTTGAACTCCCATGAGTGACCAAGACAAAATTTCTCTTTTCGATATCAATACAGTATCAATCAGATAAGTGATGAGAACAAAGAAAAATATTAATTTGGGGATAATTAGTTGATCCAATACAGAATACTCTAAACTAACATTATAAGAATTGTATGGTTGACAGTAAGAAGAACTACAAATTTGATCTGGGAGTTAAAGGGTTAAAAGCAGAGTATAAGTGAAAGTTAACAAGAAAACCCAATACCATTTTAAAACACAAATTTCAAAACTTAAAACAGTTAGAAGTAATATTTAAATGCATTATTCAATATGATAACAATGTCTATAATGCAGCTATTCATTGCTGAAAAATTGATTTATGACAGGAACTACTGCATGAACAGAATTACATGTTATTTAACCCTTTAACTCCCAGATCAAATTTGTAATTCCCCTTACTGTCAACCATACAATTCTTATAATGTTAGTTCAGAGAATTTAGTATTGGATCAACTAATTTCCCCAACTTGATATTTTCTTCATTCTCATCACTTATCTGGTTGATGTTGTATTGATATTGTAAGGAGAAATTCTGTCTTGGTCACTCATGGGAGTTAAAGGGTTAAAAAAGTTTAGAGATTTCATTGGGTTAAAACCAATCTCATAACCTCTTTTGAGGTTATATTTATTTGTTATGTGTGATATTCATATAGCCTTTTTTATATCTGAAGGAACACTTTACCTCCTGTCACAAATACACCAGGAGCAGAAGAAACCCAAGATAGCGTGTGAATCTTTGTTGCAGAGCTTGGTAACTTGAAATTCATGATGATAGTCATTGAATCAGTGTCAATCAGCCTCAGACTGCCTTGTGTGTTGGCCACCAACAGGTAATCAACTGACAATGGATCCCATTCAAGGCTGATCACTGGATCTTCTTCATCATAATCTTCATAGGGCTCAGGTCTAAAGTAATGTTTGAATGCTTTCTGTCTAGGATTTATGACAGATATACTACCATCATTATGGCCAAAGACAAGTTTTCCAACTTTCCTTTGATTCCAGCGAAACTGACACACTTCGGAGAAAAATGTCATGGATTCTAAATGCTTGAAAACCATAGTGTAATCACGGGTTGTATAGTTCCAAATACACATAGGCCCACGCCCTGATATATAAGCGATAGATTCCAGATCTTGAGGACACCAGCCTATACATGAAGGAGGGGATTTTATACTCTCCAATGTACCAATCACTCTTTCTTGTGACACACTCCATATGTAGATTTTACAATCACTACTTGATGTTGCTAGCACATCAGGGTTTTGAGGATGCCAGGAGATACATGTGATGGTCTTTCTGTGCTGAGCCAAGATCACAGACAAACGGAATTCTTTAAACTGTAGATCTAGCTGAAATAACAATAGGTACACACGGCCTCTTCAAAACACACGCTCAGCGGGCCGCAAAAGACTGACAGCGGGCTGCTAATGCATTATCAGCCCTACAGCTTACATGATGATTTGAAGTGACTTTGAATTCGTCATTCACTTAGCTTGTATTATTAAAACTCGCATTCTTGATATCATTTGGCCTTGTTTATTGATAATAATGATAATGACATGACTTTTTTCGGGAATATTGTTTATTTGTGCCCTTGTAGTGTCATTTGTGGCCCTCGCACTTCGCGCTCGGGCCGCAAATGACACTACGCAGGCGCAAATAAACAATATTCCCTCAGAAAGTCATGTTGTTCCCTTATTTACCAATTTAGCTCTAAGAATCTCTTGATAACCCTATTAACCCCTATGAGTGATAAGCATCTAATTTCTCCCTACAATTACTCCCTGAATTAAACATTACGGTGACAAGAATAAAGGAAATGATCCCCAAAAAAGAAACACTTGAGCATTTTAAACCACTTCTCCTTGTCAGCACCTTAGAAAATGTATAAGGAACAGTAAGGAGAGTTTACATACTGATGTCAGGGTTTTAAGGGGGATACCAAGCAATGTCTTAAAAGCTAATGTTTTCCATCTTCTCATTACGCTTCGCTTCACAATGTATTGATATTGTGCTAAGAAATCAGTTGTTGTTTTTCTCTGAGTGAAAGGGCAAAAGGAAAAAAAAAATAAGAAACATATGCAAGATAGGATGAGAGTGAAAATTCTACATGTAGTAATATATTTTGCCTGCAGCATTTATTTTGAAACACCTTGCTCCTCTTTTATTTAGCATTAAATGATAAACTGAGACATTGTAAAATTATGCAATAAATTCAACTACAAGTGATGCAAATTGGATCATCCTTTTAACATGATTCTCCCATGATCAGAGAGCAGCGAGAGCTACAATTTTAAATTTATATGTAGCTAAGTTGCAATAAGTTATTATCAATCAAGACACTTGAAAAAAATCATTCTCCGTGCCTCAGACAAATGCGAAGCGAAGAAAAAGCACAGTTATGACAAAACAAAACATTTCCGTCATGACAAACATTGTTCACAAAATTTCAACGTTCTTTCCTTTGCATCCCACAACCCCAGAGTAGAGAGTTTTTTATTATTATCATAAGAAGCTTTAGTGTTTCTCGAAACATTGAGGTAACATCACGCTAAACCCTAATCTACAGATTCTGGGTAAAAATCGAAATTACGCTGTCCAGTGTCAAAGTCATTAGTCTTTAATTTGAATATAGACAGACTCGAGTTTAGGATTAAATTAGCGACACATTTATAAAAAGATACACGATCTGTCTCGTTTACCGTTGAGAAAATTTGGGCTGGACAAACTTGGATCGACGAATCAAAAAGGTCACTACTGCTGAAGTTTGTTAACGAGATAATTTGCGGAATACTCTCTTGAGAATTTTGAACGCATGAAAACACACCAAGAGAATGAAGAGTTTAAAAGAACATCAACACTGGATGAGTGTTTGCAGAGTAGAAGAGAAATTCTAAGCAATCACTTAAATTTCTCAAAAGGAATTGCACAACTACTTATTGGGCAAGACCAACGCTTAATTAAAGTTTATATTGAAAACAAGTTCAAAAAAATTCCAATTCCTCTGATTAAGCAGGACAAGTCAAACAATAGACGGCCAGTTGACGAATCTTATATACCATAAATGTTATGGATTAAAAGAAAATCGAATTCGGAGAAAATGAGGTTTTTAAAGGACAGAAATTGTTTGATATTGTTACGGGTTGTTTATTCCTATAGCGACACTAACGCCTCACCTCGTAAACGTAAACAGCAAGAGTCGCACAATAGGCAAATCGATCACCGTTGCTACTTGCCGCGCAAACATCAAGGTTCCAAGGTTGACAGCCAGCTGGAAGAAGGCTAACTTGTTTCATGAGACTCATGATCCTGCTGAAAACAGGATAAACTCAACCAGCTTTAAGTTGATGCTCTCTTCATCGATCTTACCGCCATCTTCAAACTTTGGTCTTGCCCAGGCGCACTTGTCACGCGCGGCCGAGCACTCAGCTGACGCTCGCATGCGATTGAAGCTTCGAGAAAACTAGCTACCGATGTGTAAACTTTTTGATAGGAAGATACACTAAATTATGATATTCAATGCACGCATCTTGATTCAGCAGCTTATGAGATCGGCCTATGAGATGGGTGGTATAAAAAAAAAAAAAAAAACGAAGATAACTTCAAGAAATATAATTAGAGCTTTAAGTAAAGAGAAAAGCAAGCAAAAAAACGTATTTTCTTAGTTAATGGAGGTGCACTGTTCTCACCGACAAAAAAGGGTCTGGGAAATTCTAAGCTCTCGAGGACATATTTGAATCAAAGTCAATATTGAATTTAACTGGGAAGCCATTTGTATACTTTGTCACTAAAGGCGACCCAATGAAAAACGGGATGAGAGCAGACAGAATATGCTATTCATAAAATTGACGACAATTATTCGATTTGATGCTCTTGCGTCAATGACCCGTTTCACAGCTGTCATTCATCTCCACTGGTCAAGCGGCGATCGCAATTTATAGCTTTCAAACCTTACAGTTTCGCCTTAATTTCCTTCCAAAACAATCAGGGTCCAGTTTTTTCGAGAGCATTTTGTTTTTTAATCTTACCGCTTACAGAATGATCCAAGTTTTAACGAATTCATTCAGTTCGTGGAAATGTATCGCATGCAAATTCCCGCCCTTTCAGGATTAATGTGCTGAAAAATTCGTGTTCGCAGGGATTCGACCATCACAGTTAATGTCAACGATTGTATGGAAAATCATAAAGTAGGGATTAGAATTGATGACAAGAACAAGTGCTGTGGAAGTAATTTACTCTGTTAAGTGATCTTCACTTAAGTTGGAGTTATTTTTGGAAAAGAGAACAACAGCGTTTTTGAGGCAGGTGGACAGGGATGAATAGAAATTCAAGCGATCTCAATTGAACAATTGAACAGTCATTGATGTTGGGACTAGAGTACACTGGATATTCTCTTTCTCGGAAAATATAGCAAAGGCTGTGTTTTTCACAGAGCCCCTGCCACTTCTGCGATAAATTTACTCATGTGGGCAGGGCGATATATGAAGGATGCGAAAAAGGGAGGAAAAGCTAAATACGGAAAAAAATCTGTTTGACACCACTGAGACACATCGGAAAAAAACATGGCTTTTAAGCTGGCCTTCGTCTGACAGTTGTTTTGTTTTGTTTTGTTTTTTTTTTTTGCAATGTATTTACTGAGTGGCCCCGCTGGTCAGACTGCTTTTTTCCTCTTGTTTAGTGTACCAAAACTCTAGCTCAAACTGAGTTGAAAACTATCCAGTTAGTAGTATGAGAAGCAGAAGGAGTATATATGGAAATAAAGATGTCATCAGAGTCTTTGAAAGAGGTGACGCTGCTCGATTTTCGCTGTTTTCTTAGACTATCATCTCGGATCCTTATAGATATGAGACGCAGAAGGAGTAGATGTGGCAACAAAGAGATCATCAGTGTCTTTGAAAGAGATGACACTGCTGCGGTCGGAAGAGTTTTCCTGTGAAAATTTAACTTAAAACTCTTACGACAAAGTAAGCAAGCGCACTGTCTACAACAGAAATTCATGTATAAATAAGAGGCCGCTTAAGCTCGATTTTCACCGTTTTCTAAGACCATTCTCAGTACAAGGGAGGAACGTGGCCTCAACTCCTGGAAAGTGGCTAAAAATCGAGCCTTGATAAAGCGTGGCCGATTGAACAGAAGGGAACAGAGCCCTGAACTTGAAGTTCCTTGGTCCCAGGTTCCACCCTGTCACTCACTGGATTTGTTGTCGGTTGCTCCCCAATTTCAGCTCCTTAGCTGATGAGTAGCCTGTCTCCAAGCAGTTAGGATTTTTTACCAATCTTCTGTTTATCTGACATATTTGTTTCTTTGTTAGTAACACTAGCCTTGAAAAGCCACATTGATGGAGATGTCAATGAAGTAATCTATGCTGAACTTGCTGTTCATGAATTTCTCTTTTTCTCCACACAAATATTTTTCGTTTTTGGTAAATGGCTCCAATTTGTCTCTTAGCCCCTATGACTTCCTTTTTTTCCAGGAGAAAGACAACATTTCTATTCAATTACTCGGAAAGCAGGCTAAGTTAAACGGCATGCACAACTCGTAAAAGTGATTGGCTATCATGATCGGATCATCAAAGCAGATATGATCACGCACCAGTTTCTACAGATGACAAACCTCGTGGTCAGCGGCTCACAGCGTTGCAGATTCTCTCATACTCGGGAAATGAGGTAATTTCAAGAAATTAGTTATGCGCGAGGAAAAGAAAGCGAGAAAATCTTGAAAAATTTTATATGCCCTTATAAAAGGTGAGTTGATTAATTTTAGGCTAAATTTAAGAGTACTCCAATGTTATTATTCCTAAGAATACTCCTTACATGGCCATCTCTAGCGAGTTGTGGTTGTTTGGGAAAATTGGGAAAGAGAATGAGGATTTTACAGGTTGAAATTGTTAACATCGTTTGTAACTCTCTCTGGTATACTCTACATAAATACCGCGGGCAAGAAATCACACAATTTTAAAGTAATTACAGAAACCAAGTTATTTTGATTTTTTCTCTCGCTGCTGATACTTTGATGTGAAGTTCTTCGAAAGATTACGAGGCATACGAAGTTATACCGGAAGTAGGCGGTCTGAGGACATCAAAGAAATCACTTGTTCAAGTTAGAGTCATACCATTGCACCAGACTAGATAAAATCAGGAACTGTGTTTTTTTTCGAACAGCCGAAACGATAAAATTTTAGTTTACATCATATAAGCTGCTCCCGAATTTTTTTCTCGAATAAATCAAAAGAATTGTTGTGAGCTTATTCATGTGTAAAACCATCGACAACCTGTCATTACAACAAACGGGTACCCAGACCATAGATAAATCTTAAACTGATCCAGACAAACTCACTATAAACGAATATTATCGAGGCCTACACCGCAATGTATGATGAGATAACGAGTGTATAATCACTGTTCAAACGCTATCTTATCTTTGGAACCAAATTTGAAAGTTTTAAGCGTAAAGGGTGAGAAAGAAGTCATTATTGGTTCATTTTAGTCGTAAATTATCCTTCGCGTAGATTTTTCTCTTTCTTTCCCCCAAAACGGTGTTCGAGCATGGAATTAAAAAGTTTTAATTAGCGGTAATGGTCGCCAAGCATGAAATTCATGTGATAGAAGCTTCTAATAAGCAATTTCGCTTCTATCAATAACTAACATTATTCAATTTTAGAGTTCACTACGCTTTGCTCTCTTGTACAGTGATCCATAGCGTTAAGTCAGAGTATCTTCCATTTCCTTATGGAAACAAGAAAAGCTGCATATTCATTTCCTTCTTGAGTTCCCTTTACACCTTCCTATATTTCTATTATTACATCCACATCGCCTATGGAGAAATATAGAACATTCGTTTACATTGCAAGAATTGGATTTATCCTATCTTGTGCAGTAATATGAAAATTGTTTCACCCGTTGTGAATGGGAGATATTTTTGTTTTTCCACCTAGATCTTTTAGAACCACTAAATCTATTGAAGTCAAGAAGAAATTCGAGAAAGCAAAATCACGGATAAATTTTGCTGCTCGCGTTTTCCATAAACTAATTATCGTCTATTTTTATTGTATTATGGCGTCTGAGGCGGATGTAGATTAATTAAAAATCTGTTTTAAGTTCCAAATACGGTATTAATAACATCCTTAGAAAAAGAATAATTGGAATTGCAATAATCTAGCTTCATCTGTGGGTGATTAATATAGTAAGAGATTTAACACCCGGCTTAACCAGTCTATGAAAACCCCCACACTGCGAATTACGTTAATTCAATTAAGGAAATAATATTTTTTTTTTTTTTCGCACGTCTACACGTTAGTCTGAATTTTTTTTTTAACTTAACAGGTTGAGAACCACGTTTTTTTCGAACACTGCTTTCGCAGTTTTCCCTTTAATTTTTTTTAGATCAAGCGGAAAAGAAGACGAATTTCTCTTAACCACAAAACATGCAATAAATCCACATTATTGTGAACAAATGGCCTGAAAGGCAGAAACCCAAAGATCGATGCTTGCTCTTCGTCGTTTGCATAAACGTGGTTCATATTTCTTTATTTATAAGGACTCAAGCTTTGTTATTTGTGCTTTACTGTTGATCCCTCTTTTATTCACTGCAGGAGTTCAACCCCTGGATGAGTTGAAGTATGAGGGCATTTGTAGTTTTACTTTTGGCTGGATATGTCATACTCTGTCACGCAGGTAACTCTTTCGCTAAAGTTTTTAAGTTTATGGTGCCACAGAGGTATATTCAGGGGGAGGGTCCCGGGCTCCATACCCCGCTCCCAACAGGCCTTTGGGTATTGTCACAACAAATCTAAAGCTTCAATTCTTCCAACGACAGGATCGTATATTGCTGCGTAACGTGAAGTATTTAAAACTCACTAATCTTTCAATATTTCTTAACTTAATTAGCCTCTGGTGTAAAAAAATGTGTTTTACTGAATCCGGCAAAATTTGGATCCCCTCCCCCCTAAACAAAATTTCCAGGATCTGCGCCTTTGCCTGAATGCCATCACTTATGAAATAACTTAATATTATGTTGTCTCCACACAGGTTCAATTAAGAGAAATAAAAGAGGTAAGTTGCGATAGAGATTTTTCACTGTACTAAAAAAATTAAATGAAAACCACACTACTATAACAAATCTATCGAGAAAGGTGCAATTACCATATAAGGTAGACGTTTTTCCATGATGCTTTGTGCGTTGGGACTCAGTGATCGATGAGTCTGAGTTAGAGTTACACCCCATATTGGGTCGTTGCGTTCTTAGGCAAGGCACTTTGCTCTCACAGTGTCTCAGCCTAACCAGGTATGTAGTTTGGTTTTTGAAAACAGTTAGGGTAGCCTTACGAAATGCTGTAAAGTGCGAATATATAGCGAGGAACTGGCGGTTATGTTCTTTTCGACTATCTGTTTTTCAGGATATCTGTCCCGTACCGGTTTGTGCGCAAAACCGGAGAATAACTTCAAGATAAAGGATCCTCGCTTGAATTTTTGGGGAGTCGCTTATGTGCTGCCAGATGACGCCAATCCAAAATGTACTGATTCCGAGTGTTCAGAAGACAGTCACTGTGATGCAGACCGCAAGTGCTGTAGGAACTATTGCGGTGGCATGGTCTGCACTCCCACAAGTAAGACTTACCAGTCTGATTAATGGATCGATTAATAAAATAACCATGTCGAAGTGTATCCTCCACTAGTCTGCGTAATGCAAATCTGGTGGTTTTAAGGGCGACATAGCGATGAGCGGCGAAGCTGAGAGGGGCTTGGGACGCAATTGATTTTCCACTAGCGGGCCCGCCGTACATCGCCTGGCGCACACAAAACCATAAGGCGTACACAAACTCGTCAGCCACGCAGGCTCATTCACAGCCTTTTTATGTAGTTTCGAGAGGAAGCGGGATGTAAGAAGGCGAGAACGGATGAGGAGGGGGGAGGAAAATACCTACCCTTTGCTATCACATCCTTTCTCAATAATCTCGCTTTCGCTGCGAACTATGATTTGAGGGAAAATAGAAGGTTAGCAAACAGACTATTGTGCAAATTGATTCATGATTTTTAAACCCCGTTTTACCATTCCGTTTTAACCCTCTCTATCCTTAGCAATCCTTGATCGATCCCGGTCGGGTTACAATCGTCTCTCTTGTGATTTTCTTTTCTTACAAAGCTAAATATACTAAAGCATCCTGAAGTATCTCCTTCAGGAAGAGGTGTTTTCCCTTTGTGAATCACCTTAACCTCCATGAGTGACCAACACACAATTTCTCCTTAAAATATCAATACAATATCAATCAGACACGTGATGAGAAGAAAGAAAAAAAATATAAGTTTGAGGATTTTCTAGTTGATCCAGTACCAAATTCTCAGAATTAACATCATAAGAATTGTATGACAGACAGTTAGGAGAATTACTAATGAGATCTTGAACAATTAATGGTTAATCGTTCCATTTTTTGATCGAATTTTTCACTGTTTTTTTTTTTAGTGAGAGATCCTGACCCATGCAAGGTAAGTCGTATAAATTATTTTTATCAAGGATGGTTGATAACTCACAGCAGTGTTTCACAGTTCTCTAGCCAATAAAGTCAAAGCAATCAAAGCGTTTAGTGAGGTCGAACAATTCAGTTACCGATTCAGCGAAAACCTGAAATGAAACATTGAAAAAAAGACCACAGAAAGCCAACTTCATTTCCACATCCTCAGGCGGTAGAGAAGAGACGAGGTAGCGTCAAAGCGCATAACGTGGTCGTCAGGTCCTGCGTTTGATTGATTTTTTTCAGTTTGCTCAAGTTTCTTCAGTAACCATGACCAGTTACCAAGAGAATATGAACTGAGTTTACATTCTCTTGCAGTTACAGAATGAAGTCTCAAAACAACTGACTTCGGCAACGAAACCGCACTGGAGTATTTTCTAGATATATATTATTCTAATCTAGAAAAGCTTCGAGCACATTCAGCGGTGCAATTTATTTTTCTTAACGTTACAGTATTTTTGTTACTTTTGTCTCTTGATCAGAAATTCCAGTGTCCAGTTGGCCAAACGTGCAAGGTTCAGTATGTTCCATGTGTAATGCCCAAATGTAAGGATGCCATTGCTGTCAATAGACCAACATGTATCAAGGATCCGTCGGGTGAGTAAAATGATTCACTTTGTAAATCGATTTTTCTTCTTTATGAGCCAATGGGAGGAAAGAAAGAGTTAAGTGGTGAGACAGAGGTGGTACGGAAAAAAATTCTAGTCGTAGTCAGAAGGGGTCTGCGCTGTTCAGAAGGCGGGCCTTACTACACAGGTAGGGAGGGAAAGGCCGGAAAATTTCCTTGTTCCATTGCAGAGCGAAATATGCATCGACAGTGTTATAGTTAATATAAGCCAGGCTGACGGGCTTATCCGAAAAATTCAATCCTCCCCTCCGTTTACTTCGGGAGTGTAGATGAAACGTGTTTAGGAACATCATCTTTACCCTTAGATCATTGATAGCATTAGTTGGAAACTCCCCATCTCTGTTAATATTGGGAATACCTTTCGTACTTTCAATTCCTTCGGAAGTAACAGCTCTCCTTTTTTTTTAGGTATATTCTAAGAGGGGACCGTGAAATTTCCTCCTCTCGCTTTTCACTTACGGGTCAATTAGAGGAGATTACATTAAACAGGTTCTCAGTGAACCGGTTCGTTTCTCGTCAATTGATCCCGTGGATCATGTTTATAGTTTTTAAAACATTTCTCTTCTGTGTCTATTTCGTTTTCATGTACTGTCATGGATTTCTTGGGAGCAGCTGCCGCTCCTGCAGGTAAAAAACAGAATTTTTTCGATTTAAATCAACAAACCTGTCAGAGAGAGAGTAGGCACTAGGAACCAGAACTCTCTTCATCCTCGCACGCATGACTTTTCGCTTTCTCACGCTTGTCAGGTTTAGCCTGCCTCGCAGGGCCGGATCCAGAAAGTTTGTCCACCGGCTTATAACTACTTTAAATTATTGAGACGTACTGTTCTCTGAAACTTGTTCTTAATCCAACTCTTCCTATTCTCTTCCCGAGAAAGTTTGTCATGATAATTGACGACCAAGACTTGCAAAACCTGCGTTTTGACTTAGTACATCCAGTCATAGCTTAAAATGGGTAGCAATGACAAAGGTTAAACAAAAATTTAAAAAATAAAACTGTTCTGTATCCAGCACACCTTACGTTAACTTCCACTCGGTGGACAAGAGGGAATCGAAATTATGTAATGTGTGAAGTACGAGAGACAAAACCTCTAAAAAGAAACAGTTTTTAATACGGACAAAACCGCCAGTCGCAACTGCATATCGTTTTTTTGAACTCACCCTTGACTACCGCGCCTAGGTTTGGTAGCCACCACTACAACACTCGGTACCAGTCTCACTAATGCCTAGAAAAAAGATATTGAAGACGGTTTCCTTGACTGTGTTTTCATCTAACCACTAGCACCTCCACCTGCCCCTCCCTCGATGCCAGCGAATCCTGTGCAGCCAAGTTATGCACCTCCCATGTTCCAGCAACCATCGCCATACCAACAGCAACCACAGGCACCTTTCTATCCACAGCCAATGGCACCGTTTCCACCTGCCGTGCCACCAATGGCTGCATTTCAAAATGACGAGCTCGGCAGTGAAGCCGCCCCACAGACAAATTTTGGCGGAACTCAACCAAGCGCGGAAACAGGATTGAATGACGCCTCTCTTGTAAATGCTTTTCAAAACGAGAATCAGCCTCTGGCTTTTCAAAATGATAACCCTCCTCCCACCGATCAGAATGACTTTCTACAACCTCCTCCGACAGAAGAACAGCAGCAACCTTTGGCTGATGTACCCGAGAGCGTGAATCCTCCCCAGGCTACTCCCATGATTGCACCACAACCCGGCTGGGGCCGAAGCAAGACTCTTCAATAAATAAGTTGCCTTGGAACATCTGATGTAAGATCATCTGACTACTTACTTTCCCTTAATTGTAAATGAAAGCTCGCGCTGTTATCAGATATAACGGTTCTCAGAAGCGAAGTGTTTTGTACTGCCAGAAATCAGGTTTGAACTCATTAACAAAATAGGCACACATAACCATTTTTTCTACCTCTCACAAAGAATAAATGAAATAACGAATGGCTCATCATATGAGGGAAAGCCTGAAGATAACTAAGCAAAGAGGACTCGCCTCGCCGGCGACTAATGCATATTATGACGAATCTTCCTGTCATTGACGATTCCTCATGTACATACCCCTCTGGCTAATTGGTTAAATAGGAGTATAGTGTAGCAAAGTAGTTGTGGCCAAGACAATGTAATGGTAACTGCAGAAAAAGGAATAAACAAGAATCATTTGCAACCGGCATCTTCACTTATATTTTAGACAAGGAAAGAAATAATTTCTGGTCCTAGACTGCCCTGGGTCGGTACAAATTGTCCAAGGTAAGCATGTGTACCTCCCCTAAACTCCCACCGACGCATCCTTTGTTTCTGAATCTTTCTCTCATAAATTCCTTTTCCCTTTTTCTAAGCCTTGTCAACTCAGGGAGCTAACTTCTCTACACTTTTTCCACCTTCTATCAGGAAGAAGTTTCTGGCAGCTATCACAGTCACAACGAATACAATTTTAACAAAAAAGGATACAAAAACAGACAACAAAAACTTTGTAGCCACTTTAAAGTACGTCTTTCTTAAGACTAATTCTCTTATTGAAGTTAATCACTACTTAGAATTGTAAAAAAATCAATTTTCCTTTCACATTAAGAAAAACGATTGTATAATACTCTAATCATATTCGTGTTATATAAAAATTAACATCTTCACGCCACCCTTGCTGATCAGCGCACCAAGATAACCAACGTTTGAACATTATCGTTCGTAGCTTATAAATATTGTCTCATTAGACCTCTAAAGTTTAAGAGAGTCTTAATTTTGAGATAACGCAACGAGTATCCATTGTTCGAAAGATGCAGAACTGTCCTGTTCTCTATAAATATTCTATCATTGTACAAAATGTATCGGGTGGTAGGCGGCAGGCGGGCCAATTTCGCATTTTCATTAATTTAAATCGTTTGATCACGAATATCAACGTGAATATACAATTTTAAGCGGGTTTCGAGTGTTTCACAGTCTTTGTTACTGTACTAAGGGGAAAGAAGGACAGACCGACGCGATAAAATATGTCTATAGGAAAGGAAAGAGAAGAAATTTATGGACGTAAGGACTCTTAAATGACCTGTGGGGGTAAAGAATTGCAACGGTAACTGAATGGATAAAACACCTGGCCCTTTTAAGGCAAAACCCTACAACCAGCGAAGGACTGAAAACAAAGACCAAAAGGTACCCGAGTTGTAATAATGGGAAATCTTGACGTAGCATCTACACCCGACTCGCTTTACCCCCTCCCCTCCCCTCACCTTTCCCCCGAGGACAATAATAAAGACACTATGTGAAATGTCGAAAGATCCCTTAAAAGAGTTGCTTGCGATTCTGTGATTTGCCTTTTACTAAAGGACATAGTTCAGTTCGTATCAATACCTTCCACAATATTACAGCTCTGTTGTGGAATGCGTGATACCAGAAATGCTTACGTAGGCTCTCTTCCTTTGAACTTCCTCGTATGGTGGAGGAGGAGGTGGCATACCAGGGCTACGGGCCCGGTGAGGGTGATGATGATGCTGCTGCGAAGGTCTAAAATCGTCTTCTCTCTTTTTGGATGGGGGACTGTGAGGGTAATAAGGAGTGGACTCATGAGAGCTCCCACCACGCCCACTGTCTGCTTCGTCCTCGCTACTGTGGCACTCGGCTACACCCTGCGCAAACGGGTAATACATGTCTTGCCGCGAGTCTTTTGTGGGGGAAACTGGCCCCGGTGGAGCTTGATATGTCATTGCTGAGTGCATCTTCTTTATCGGGATTGGCGACACGTGAATCGGGTGCTTTCGTGAGGCGTACAAGTAAGCTTCGGCGGCTTGACCAGGATTTGTGGTCGCTTGTTGGAACATTTTCTTGGAAGCTTTCAGAGCATCTTCCCGACTTATATCCGGTTCGTGGTAGCTACCACGCTTATCTTCTCGCTTTTTATCCTTACGCCTGAACTTCAAGATGAAAACCGCGACAAGAAGAATTGAAAGGATCACAAAACCAGCACAGGCTCCGACAATAATGAGCATCTTAGAATCCGAAAAGAACCCTGCAATTCCGGTCCGCGATTCTACCTCGCCATCATCGTTGATAGACCCGTCTCCAGGAAAACTTGGAGGTGGCGGTGGAGGAGTTATGTATCTGACCGAAATTATCAACCTCAGATAAGCTTCGTTCTCAACGTCTGCCGAATCTGCTGCTCTAATGGTTAAAATGTACAATTTTTTACTGAGCTCCTTGTTAAGCGTAATCTTTCCAGTGCGCCTGTTCAAATGGAATACTCGATCCTTATTGCCACTAACGATGAAGTATTTAACAAGACCGTTAGCTCCAGAATCTCTGTCAGTCGCTCGAAGCCTCAGTACAGTTTCCCCAATGAAAAGTGCACCGGATAATGTCATATTATGACTGTTTTCCAAACCAACGAAAATGGGAGCATTGTCATTGATATCCTCCACCTTAACAAAAATGGTAACATTCATGGCGACTCTTCCATCAGTTATAACAGCAATTAAGGAATAAGAGCTGTTTCTCTCACGGTCGAGCGTTCTTTTTGTCGTTATTGTACTCTTGTTCTCACCTATAGCAAATTCCGCAGTATGCGTGAGTAGTCTTATACGAAGTGGTCTGTTGCTTTCGATAGGCTCGAGTGGAACTCTTCCGACTTCAACTCCTTCGGGTTCATTCTCTGTTACACTAAAGTTGTACGTGTTCTTTGAACACGGGACGGAAATTTTTAGGGTGGTTTTACCATGAAAAGGCACCCGGCCGTTATCCCGAACACCAATGTTCAACTGGAAGTAAGGAGTGAAAGCACACCACAACTTTCTGAGCACTCGCACTTGTCCAGTTTTAGAATCGATAGCAAACCATTTTGTCACTTCCTCAACGCTGCCACTGCGCTCACCAATGCGCATGTCCTCCAGGCTATAAGTCAACTCACTATTATTCCCGTCATCCTCGTCGGTCGCCGTCAGCGTGGTGATGACGGTCCCTGGCTTGACGTCATCATTCACGCCTACATTGTAAAGCTTTTGATCGAACCTTGGAGCGTTTCTGTTGCTGTCAGCCACCTTGACAACGAGCACATAACTACTGTTTTGTGAAATTGGAGAACCTTGATCCTCAGCAACGATCTTGATCTTGTACTGATCATGGCGGTCTAGACTCAGCGGGTGCCGAATTTGCAGGATGTATAGCCCAGCGAACATTTCCTGCAGACCAAAGTCATCCTTGTGGTGTTGTAGCGTGACTTTCACGCGACCATTGCTCCCGCTGTCTTTGTCGCGCACTGTTACCTGAGCAATAGACGTCTTAAGGGCGATATCTTCGGGAATCTTGCCTTGTTCGTCGAATTCATCTGGAAAGAGAGTGACAGAGATTTCCGGTGCGTTGTCGTTCTCGTCTAGGACCTGAAAAGAAGTTTAAAAAGTGTTTTTAAAAATATTAAAATAAAGAGCGGTCTTACATTTCTTGGAGGTAGACTTAATATTGAAAGCTTAAAGTCTCAGACACTTATGAAGAAGTTACTTCAGAACCCAGTATGCAACTAATCCATCTTTTAGCTCTTATTGGCGTAAGTATAATAGGCTCACACCAATACTTCCGGGTATTAACTACACATCGAAAACACGCAAAACTATTTTAATTTCATTTTCCTTTGAACCCAGGCTGTCCCTTAGTTTGAATGTTATTTTATAACTTGATATTTTGTTAACTCACTCAGCTTATTATTTTTTTCTTTTACCAAGCCGAGATTTAACGCGCCTTTTACCCTCATGTCTCTACGCATAAGAAATTGAAATGGAAGGAAATCCCTTTACAAGCAGATCGAACGACGATTTCTTGTTAATATCCCATTCTATATTTCCGAGAACTACCCCACATGGGGAGACAATTTCCACCAAGTTCAAAACTCCAATCCGATTTGCACGAAAAGCCTAGCGGAAAGTAAACATCGGGCTTTTTCGGGCGGAAAATAATTAGGATGAAAAATGGGGGGAAAAATAGATTAGAAAGACACAGATTATGATTGAATCATTCTCAGTAAAGGCTTATGAAATTAAATCTACGTTCAATCTCTTTCCAACGTGAATTAGTTTTTATCGAAAACATTCCAATGATGCTAGACGCAATATCAAAATTGCCCTATGGAGCGGGTAGATTGTTAAGAACTGATTAACACAAAACTTTCTCGAAAAATTAAAAAAAAGGCCATTGTCGCCCGTGAAGCGTGACTGACACGACACGATGAAGGGGTCTGTTTCTTTGCGTGGGTGTACTTCACGGCATAAGGCCATGAAAACTCGCAGCTGATCTTCGTTGTCCGGCGCGAAGCTAAGCGCATTTATTGAAACACTGGGCAAAAAAGGATAAAAAAAAACCCAAGTCAAACGTCACCGTATAATTTCGCGAACTAGGTCTTAAATTTGAGCATAACTCTGGAATGTTGTTTTATGATCTTTCCAATTCGTGGTCACATATCTACTTGTTCAAAAAATTTACCGACCAGCTCTGTTTTCAATAACGTCAATTCTCAACATACATGATACAAACTCTAGACAAATCAGACATCTGTCCGGCTAAACCAATATACACGAACGAATTTGGACTGTTTCGGCTGAATGCTCCAGAATATAAATTGCGGTCGGAGCGGTTGAGTCACATCATAATGTATTGTTCGTTTAACAAAAAAAAACAAAGGTTCTTAGGAATTTCTATTTTGGAAAAGGTAATTATTTGGAAAACAATGCATTGGTTCGGCGTTCGCTTCAATTTATTCAAGGTCACAGAGAAACCGTAACCTTTTGGAAACAGGCTGGGCAAAACTCAAAGTATTTGTCGACTCAGAAACTAAAATCACACAGCCTTTGGTGTAAAAACATCCTAAATCGCAGCTTTTTACTTTCATGAATTTGCCTGAGGGAAAGCTGCGTAACTAAGATACAATGATTGGTTAAGACGTGAAAGAAAGAATCGGAAACGAATGATTCTTAAACATGCTATCTATGTGCAGCTAGAGCACGTACCATGTACCCAGCGGTTTGTGTGACCAAAAAACACCCCAAATGTCCTTAAAAACTTTCATTAATTGAGCTCTCTCTTTAAGATGTTTCCGTTTTTTTCAAAAGCACATATCCAGAAGACATGATTGGTCACAACTTAATCGCTAACTACTGAAGAGATTTTTAAATAGCATGGGGCGCTATGAAAGTCAGCTCTATAGGCGACATCTTCATAACAGCTGTGTTGGAAGACTTGCAGGATACTGTCAAAGTAAAATCTTTTCGTTTTTCAAACCTTGCGCACACGAAAAAGACAAAAAAAAATGACTCTTTGGACAGCAAAAAAAGAAAAAAAAAACACGTATTTTTCATGAAAAAATAAGGATTTTTTCCACGCGCAACATACAACACATACAGGGCTTGAATTTGACGCCTGACGTTTTTTTGTTGTAGAAATTTGACTTCACTTCCGCTTTGGCGGGCGATCGTGTGTAGGTTTCACTCATCAGCAATATACTAATTTCATTCCTTTGACAGCCGTCGACGATCAATCCATTACAAACATAAACTCGTCTAGATATCTTTGAACTTTCCCACCCTTTTTCTAGTGCATTCTCAACAGTAAACATAGAACTTAGGGAGACATTTGGTAAACCCAATACATAAATACGACAAAAAGTTTTCAAATTTAAGGATCACATGCTGTTTACATCATTGAATTTTAAACATGAGGAGGTGAATGAAATCAACATGGATTAAATACATCGGCAAATCAGCACGTGGTTTTGCAAAACAAAACTACAAATATACTTCTCTGAAAAAATAACACATATTGATATTGAGTTAAATTCAAAACGAAAATTCCATGAAAAAGAAAAGTGCAAGCGTGAAAAATGGCCCCCACTGTCGCAACTTCTTTCATGTCTTTCTTTTAGTTTGGAGTTTGACAATTCTTAGACAAAAAGACACCCCACAAAGTACACACTTTTTGACATAAACAGCTGACATCTTTTCAAAGCCACAAAATAAATACTTCATTGAAGACTGCCCGAACAACGCTGGAGTCCTTGAAGGTTACTCCACTTTTCCCTAAAATGTAAACAAGCATTTTTGTGCTGACAACATTTGAAGGATTTTGGTCTACACATCAAATACCCCCACGAAACAAGAGGATTAAGAAACATCCTCGATTTCCGGAAAAGCATGCTAGTTTTTAATTGCGTCCTAGCAAATTTGAATATACTGGTGAAATTTATTTAATCCACTTCAAGTTGGCGCGGATGTTTTGCGCTTTCGCCCAACTGCTCGCTACCAGATCCTAGCTGGAATGCATGCGTGGAGGGCCTCACACGAGGAAAGATTGATCGAAAGATAACGTGGCAGCTGCCGTCCACGATCACATCTGAAGAGTACACTAACGAGTACAAAGTGAATGCTACCCTTTTTAGATAAAATGGTTCCAATTTCAGAGGCTTTTAGTACAGGAAAACGCCTTGCAAATATTGAACAAAGACGTGAGTTCCCCGGTTGGGAATATTTACTTTATTTTAAATTATTTGCAAATAAAAACACGACGAACTGAATGGGTCTTTTTAGAACATATGCAAATCCGAAGTAGGCTGTCACTTAGGATTAAAGCGCCGTGGTAAAGCCTTTGGAAACAGTAGTGTCAATCACAGAAGAAACGATAGTGGACCTTTGTGAAAACGGAAGCGAAGCGTGAAGCAACCACGACAGTTTTCATCCGAAAACCGCGATCCATTACAGTATAGAAGTCTTTCTACGGAATAAACACAAAGCGATAAAAACGATTGCTGATTCTTTAAACCTTTTGAGCGTTTAAGCTAAGAGATACTTCATACGTCAAGGCATTAGTCCTTAATCGGCGTGACAAGGCTTGACTGGGTGGGCACAAAACTGTATTGTGGCTAACAAGTTCACATCATTGAATTCACAGCAGGGAATAATAGGGACTTATATGATAAGGGTTCATCAGCGACTGATGTTTATCTCCATCAATGAAAAACAAAACTAATTATTTTTCTCCTGAATCAAAGCATTTAGAAATAGTATACTCGCTAACCACAAAGGTGTTTAAAAAAGTCTAACAAAGGGATCGAACTGTAACACTCGATAAAAGCAATACAGAAAGTCAAGATTTCAATACAAACATTGCCTAAAAATATTCTGAGTTGTCTGTGAACGATAACAGAATTGAAAATATAATATGATGTAATTTGAAAAAGCAATAATCTTTGCCATATCGCAGCGAAGAGTTAATAGCGCTAAGTGCCACATTTCACGCGAAGGCGGCAAGCTTTTTTGTGGCAGATTTCTAGAAAACTATAGAGCTCATTGTTTGTCTCGGTAAAGTTGCTTCGCAGTTTTAACAAGGAACCTTAATTAATTTCGGCTCCCAAAGCCGTGTAGTGTATTAAAAATTAGAAAAGAGATAGAATTAGAAAATCCGTATTTAATTGAAGCCAAGCAATAAATATTTCTTTCCATTCTGCGGTTTAGGAACGATGAAAGCACTTTCAGCGCGTCTTTCTTAGCTTTCATTAGCTCTGTGGTTTGCTTGTCAATAGGTGTTGAGTTCAAGTGCAAATCCATGTGTAAATTTCATCATGGACTCACCAAGCCCTAGAAGTCAAACTGGTATTTATACTACCATAATGATACACAATAAATTTCGAAGTAGCTATTTATCTCCGCGCTATTAACTTTATCACGACATTATGGAGTTATGGATAAAATGAAAGACCGTTGACTTTCATGATAGGGAGCTCCTTGAAGGAAAAATTTAATTCAACTTAATGCACATGCACTAACCTTCACGTTGACATAAGAAGTTGTTGGAATTGAATCCGGCCCTCTGTCTCTTGCTGTCACTTCCAATTGGTAATCCTTAAAGCGCTCATAATCCAAAATAGCTTTTGTTCGTAACTCGCCAGTTCGTGCATCTAAACTGAATAAGTCTTTATATTGACGTCGAGAATTGAGAGAATAGGCAATCTCTCCGTTGGTGCCGATGTCTTTATCTGTCGCGGTCACATTTAACACCAACGTTCCTGCTGGAGAATTTTCTCTCACTTCCCCGACATAGAGATTCTGGCTAAACTTCGGGATATGATCGTTCGAATCCAAGACTGTAATTCGTATTCCTTTGCGACCAACTTTGCGCGGGCTTCCTCCATCTCTTGCTTCGATCTCCAAGAAAAAGCTTTCATTAATTTCTCGGTCAAGCCTTTTCGAAACCACGAGTTTAAGCTTCGTGATCTCTGAAGTTGGTTTCGAGAGTACTAGATCAAAAGTGTCACTGTCATTTCTCTTCACAATCTCGTAGCTTTCAACGGAATAGTTGCCAATGTCGGTATCTTCTGCTACTGTCACGGGGAATTCGGCACCCAACGGAGCAGACTCGGAAACCGATATATTTTCAATCTTCCCCGCAAAAATAGGGCTGTGATCGTTGACGTCTAATACTTTTATTTCTGTCGGTAGAGGTAGCATTACAGGTCCTTTTGAAACCTTCACTTGAATCTGAAATGTATCATCGTCATTCTCAAGAGACAAGTTTTCGCGGTCTAACTTAGCAGCAGTTCGAATAATTCCTGTGGTTTCGTCGATTTTAAATGACGTTTGGAGAGATCCTTGAAACTGGAATCGAAGCTCTCCTTTTAAGTTTTCATTCTCGGACAATGTTCTGACCATGCGACTCTCAGACATGTCTCCCACGAAAGTTCCTTCGTCTTGTTCTTCAAAAACTTGAAATTTCATTACGTCGGTGGACGCGCAAAACGTTAGCAGTGAAAATATGATTACGGGCCGCAAACGTAGTCCTCCCTCCATGACGCTTCTCGATAAAATAAACCAAAATTAGGAAGACACCTCGATTAATGATGACGCCGATGAAAGAAAATTCAGTTTCATTCGTGCATCCACGTAAATATTTGAAGTATGTGGCCGTGTGAACAAAGGAACTAGCCTCAGGACCGTCAGAGAGGCGTGAGAAGAAATCGTGATTGCAAACGAACCGGCGCTCAACGCTTGTGTATACTTCAACTACTTAACATCTTTAAACGAACGCCCCTCGTTATTGTTTTTCTCTGGCTTGACTTCAATCCCGTTATTTTGGTCTTGTCAAGTGCATGGACATTTCTGACGGTAAACTGACCGTTTCTTTTCCTGTCTGCCGCATTAACAGGAGCTATTACTCATGTAAAGTACCCTTTTCCTTCTGTCGTCGTTGAAGAGGTGTTGACCAGTCAATCATCAAACAATTCCCTGAGGGAATTTTAATACAATTAACACAGACAATGAATGTCACACAACGGAAGCGTGTTGAAAGGAGTTGTATACAAATTCTTCTCAGAGTGAAATGACTAATTGCATACCAAACAGTCGAAATGGATCTGATATATTCGCGATCGCGTCTAGGTGTCGAGAATCGAAAGTTCTAACATTTTGCGGTTTTGACTTCGACGCTATTTTTGAAACATTTCCACTCTGAAACGTCCAATACAAACGCGCATTCAAGATCAATTCAATATCATTACTTTATAACAGCAAAAAATACTTCAACTATGTTTACGTCTTCTGACACACGTCTAAATGTAGATCGTGTGTGCCATGTGACAAGCAGAACGCGCGTGGTTGAAGATAAATGTTTTCTTTATTGAGGTTAGTGTTTTTCGGGGAAACAGAAATCAAATTAAATTTCGATAACGCAGAAACTCATTTATACATGCATCAGGAGTAAGAATGTTGTAAATTATTGCTATTGTGAATTAATCACCGCCGGCTTACATAGGTCAAAAAAGGCCACATTATCAAAGATTAATTGCTTCGAAAAACGGCTGGTCAACTGACAGCTCTATAGCGGCGAGATACGCTGTTACATATGCGCCTCCCTCAGCAAATTCACTTTTTCAAAGGAGACTTTCTGGCGACTTTTACAACTACTAACTTGTCTTGGCAAGGGGGGAGTTTTTTTGTTTTATTACTGTATTTATTTTATTTACATTAATTTGAACATGAAGAACTACACTGCAAAATGACGCTCTTGTTGATTATCATTATTCCTATTAACCCTTACGGCTGGCCAGAGAAAATATTATGGCTCACAAAATCTTAGGTTCCGGGCTATTTGCCAGTTATAAATTTATCCTTACTGCCTGAAGCGAACTGTTTATCTCTGAAAGCTGTATGTGGCCTGGACTGATGTAGAGTGCTTTTAATTCAAAACAGCTGGCAATCATTTTGAAACGGCAGGGGTACTGATTCTAAATGAGATATGCATTTGAACATCATCGCTGGATTGTGTTGATCATAGAGTTTTAGTTTACAAGGAAAATAAGCCAGAAAACAACATGAAACAAAGGTCCTTTCAAATTTATTTGGTGCACATATTGCGTGTAACTTTTTGTCTTTTTTGGCAAATTCGTTTGTGGTCTTAAAATAGCTTCCTTATTTCCATCCCTCACGATCTAGCAAGGCACCTATCACTCGCTGTAGCGGCAAAATCGTATCACTTGATGAGGATCTTGATTCCCTTCTCTGGTTAGTAATCTTAAATCATTTTCTCATGAATACACTGAAAGGATAGGCCCTCTCTCCAGTCCGTCTTTCTCAGCTTCGTCTGTCGCGAGATTCAAAAGAAACATTCGTGGTCCCCTTCTTAATCATGAAAAAAAAAAGATAGACGAGTGGTCGGCACTAGTGAGGTGAGAAAATTTGTTCTTAGTGTTAGCACGACAACGAAGTGTTCCCTCTGAATCCCTTGGAGGGATGAGCTGCTTCTACTCCACCTTTCAGGATATTTTTAAGACGTAAATTACCTTCCCGCTTATAGCTATCGAAAATTTGAAGAGAGTATCTGTTTTCCCTTTCATATAGAAATGGCAAGCCTAATTCAGACACTTCACAAAACTGTCATTTTTCTTCCGATTAAAACTTCTGCATTTTGGCCCCCAAAAGTTTTCATAAAGGAAACTTATGATTCAAAGCATTCCAACAGTTATAATGGTTTGCAGTCAAGTCACCTGAGAGTCATCTCGTCCGAAGTCATGTCGCCCGAAACCTGAGTCGTGTTGCCCAAAATTTTAGTTATGTCGCCCGAAAAAAAAGCCAAGTTGCCCGAAGAAACAAATTACTAAGAAGAATTTCAGACTGTTAATAGGCAATAACGTTGAGAAATTTTTAACACTAAAGCGCTCTTTGTTTCCGACAACACCACAAAGATTCTCAAAGCGTTGTTCGTTCCTAACAACAAAGGGAAACGTTGTTTGTTTCCAACAACAAAATGCAGCGTTGTTGGTTTGATATGTAATCGTTTCTTACTCACGGACGTTTCGTCAGCTTGAGGAACTTTTTCTTGGTTTCTAACAAAGCCATGAACACAAACTACATGAACTACACAAAATTCGATCATATGGTCAGAAAGGCCATATGGTCGACCGTAATCGTCGCACTGTAGGGCTTGTTGACGTGGTCTAATTTCATCATCACACTCAATGCAAGGATGAATGCTCATTGTGATCAGTTCGTATTCGTATTGTAGCTAGCTTTACTCCCTTCATATATCCTTTTATCGGATCAAAATATACATGCGACTGCCAGAGGAGCAACTACATAATTTTTGCCTATTCTGAGCCTAAGGGAAATGATGCTATCAGACTGCTACTGTGAAAAAAGTAACAAGCATAAACAATAGACTGTTATCTTAAAAATATCACACTTACCTTACACAAGGCGACAAGTTAATTTTATTTGTATGTTACTTGCTTTACCTTTTACCGACTTGTCGAACGCGACAATCGACATTCGTTTACCAGGTGTTTTCATCTGTTATTGTTAAGAAAGTCACAAATTGACACAACAGAACTTTACTTGTATGTTACGATGCATTTGTTGTTATAGAAACGAACAACGCTTCCCTCTGTTGTTAGAAACGAAAAACGCTTTTAGAGTCGTTACTTTCAACTCTGACCACACAATCGATTTCTGTGTAGTCAAGTCTTCATGGCATTTTAAGAAACAAGAAAGAGTTTTTCAAGCTTACGAATGTCCGTGAATAAGAAACGAGTACATACCAAACGAACAACGCTTCATTTTTCTATCAGAAACGGAGAACGCTTCCCTTTGTAGTTAGAAACGAACACCGCTTTTAGAATCGTTACTCAAACATATGTCAATTCCGAGCATACGATCGATTTCTGTGTAGTCAAAGTCTTCATGATATTGTTAGAAAACAAGAAAAAGTTTCTCGAGCCTACGAAACGTCCGTGAGTAAGAAACGATTACATATCAAACCAACAACGCTGCATTTTGTTGTTGGAAACGAACAACGTTTCCCTTTGTTGTTAGGAACGAACAACGCTTTAAGAATCTTCATGGTGTTGTCGGAAACAAAGAGCGCTTCAGTGATAAAAATTTCTCAACGTTATTGCCTATTTACAGTCTGAAATTCTGATCTTTTTAGTATTTGTTTCTTTAGGCGACTTGACTTTTTTTTTTGGGCGACATTACTAAAATTTGGGGCAACATGACTCAATTTTCGGGCGACATGACTTCGGACGACTTGACCGGTTACCGTTGTAATACATATAAAGGAAAGTGACTCGTATCATAATTCCTGAACAAAAACTTGGCGCTTTTTGCCGCTTCCCGAAGACAAAGAAATTCGCTTTTAAACTGTAGTCACGCATCTGATCAATCTGTTCCTTCTTCTTAGTTGAAAAAAGAACGTTATCAGTCGTTGCTGAATTTGTCCTTTGACCAAGTTTACGTGTTCGAGAGAAGAAGATCTTAACTGTCGTAGACACAGACACATTTGGTCGACAGGAAGGAGTGCTCTCCGATATTGGAAGAGGAAGCAATGAAACCTTTATAAATATTTAGAACTGCATATGTGTAAGTGACTGTAAAAGGGTAAGTTAGTATTATCAACTGAGTTGTTAACGTAAATTAGCCTCCGTAAAGAGTTTCAAAGCTGACGTTTTGAGCGCTAAGCCTTCGTCAGAGCGACTGACTATCAACTCAGTTGATAACACTAAATTACCCTGTTATACTCTCCCACCGACGCAGCACCGGTTTCTCTAGAAACTTAATTCCTTTATGCAAGCGATTATACCCTCACATCCTGATATGGAAGTCATTGTTTTAATTTGCGTTATCCTCCACTAGTAATTAAACGTTCTCCTTTCAACTGAAATCATCACACGCCGTATATGTAAAGATCTGCAATTAATTAAGGGAACATCTGCCCGCAAGTTAATATTAGGGCGGCAAAACTAAGGAAAACTTCCATTATATTGAACATTAATTTCTTTTTTAGAATTTCGCGCAGACCTAAATTTTAGCTAAACGTACCTGAGCAGCGTTGAGTTTCAAATTAGAAGGAAACAAGTAATGGGCCCCCTGCAGGAAAATAATTTGCGGTCGGGGTTCCCATTCTCAGAGCACACAAATGTCGGTGATTTCACGTTGTTTTGCAGAGGACGGTATGGAAAAGTATGAAGTTTTAAAAATCACACACAGAGCTATTCCTCTGCTCATAGCATTGGTTTGCTTCAGGTCCTGAGTACCACACAAAGAGGATCAAACGACAAGACTGAATATCCCATAAAGATCCTATTCCCTAAATAATCTCTCTTATATTATGAGGGTTCCTAGATACTTTACGAAGAGAGAGACTTAGTGTGACCCCTTTCTCAGAAACACCATGGAGGGAATGCGTGAAAAACTTAAATGGATTGGAACAACTCACCCTAATCTCTAGGAAAAGAGGTCTGAGAAATCCTTTCAGGCTGAATTATGGAAAACAAACTCCGTAGATGAAAGGTGTTCTGTCGCACTTTGAATAGAGTAATTGTCGCACTTTGTAACAACTGTCACACTCTGCAATAAAATTGTCGCATTTTGCAATAACTGCTAACTTGTCCCTCGACTATCTACACAAAATTCATTACATTGTGCGACAAGTTTTGTCACAAAGTGCGACAGCTTACTTTATTAAAATGCACAACGGTCTGTTATTATTACAAAGTGCGATAGCTCTTTTATTGCAACGTGCGACAGGTATTACAAAGAGCGACAATTCCATACAGAAGACAGGTATTATAAAGTGTAACAATTAATTACAAACTGACACAATAAAGGGGATCTTTCTCTAGCAATTAATGACTTTACTACCCTGAATAACCCTGAAATCTTTAATTGTAAGTATAGCGAAATGCGAGTGATAAAAATGACTCTGAGTCGGGCCCAAAACATATCTATAACCAACAACATAAATTCTATTGCAGCAGTGTACTTACTTCGATCTAAACAATATTATCCAATTCTTTGTCACGAATTTTACTGACGTGGACATCCCACGCGGCGTCTACAGTAACTAGTTTTCTACCAAGTCACTCAAGCACCACACGCAGTTCATACATCATAGTTCCTCACAAACCTTGAGTTTCAACCGTTCACTCAGGCTACCACGATGCTAGTAGTAATTCTCCTAAATGATTGCGGCACTTTTCTCATAATGAAACTTCTAGGAATTCGGTGTTGAATCAAATAATGATTCCTTTGTTGATATTTTTCTAAACTCTCATCACCTGTTTGCTTGATTTTGGATTAATAATTTAAGGAGAAATTATTTCTTGGTCACTCATGGTAATGAGAGGCTAAAGCTAACTTGAGATGGATTTACTCAACATTAAGGTTCATTCATGTATAGGAAATTTGGTCAATGACCAAATACTTATTTGCAACTTAACTTCTTAGAAAACCGCGCTGTAGCAATTTTCAATTCATCGTCGAATGTACACCGAAATTACATTAGTTTTGGTTTACTTTCTATCTGTGATTGGTCCAGAAAACACGCGCCACTCTCTCAACCAATCAGTTGAAAAAAACTACATCCAATCGCGACTTGGTCATCCCAGTTTTACCGCGCTTTTAATTCATGAAGTTTGCTTGTCTTTGCTTTTTGTTCTCATTGGTTCCTTGTGATATTTTCTTCGCTCTGATTGGTTGTTAAGACTCCACCGATTGGTTTTAGGACACTCCACCGAAAGGCGCTCTATTAAGAATTAGAAAACCGTTTCCAAGGAACAAAGTTCAATTGAGCACCTTGCAGTCTTTATTTGCTTGCTCGTCCTTAATTAGGAAGTAATTCGGCCAAAATACCATCTTTATCGAACTTGAGAACTCTATACGGTGTGTTCCTGCCTTATAACTGGTTCGTCTAACTTTTTCTCGGGAAATAACAGTTCAAAGGCATCGTGAATTTCTGGTATCATATCGGTTGTCGTCATATTCCGCCGGTACTTAGCAAACGCTAGTCTGTTGCAGGTCCTTGTTAGTGCACAGGCCCCATATGCTGCTACCAGAGATCGACCATACGAACATGCTCTGAGAGAAGAAAGGAAAAGACAACTTCTTATTTTGTTAACAGTCTTAGTTACCGGAGACTTACCATTTACCACTAGCATCATTTTTTTAAGATGGCCTCTTCTTAGAGTGTACGGATCAAAGTCAGTACCTAAGCAAACCATACCCTGGCCCAACATTAATCCCAACTTGTGATCAGTTGACTGTTGCTGAGTTGGCGGGGGGGAGGGGGTAGGTGCGCAGTTGCTTACAACTGACATTGATCTGGGTGTAACATACTTTCCCTTGCAAAGTCTCCTTGTTCAAAACCTGCCATGAAAATGTTTTGAACAACAACGGGTTTGTCATGGCAAAAACTAGTCACATTTTCAAACAACATTCTCAAAGATAACCATTCCTGGGGAAATCATATCAAGGAAACCTACTCGCCTATCATTGGCTGTCACTGCTTTGAAGCAGACTGAATTCAAGTAAACTGTACCTTTCCTCTTTGCTCATTTTTTTGAATGCCATATCTGTCCAATGGAAGAACACACCCATGGAGCCAGATAGTAGGTCACCCTGACCTCCACAACGTCTATTGCTACCTTCTGTTCTGCAGTTTACAACTATTTAGTCATAAAAAAAACATGCAAAATGAATTATTTTAAACATTTTAAAACAAAAAAATAAGGATAATATAACTATAGAATTATTTTTAAAGTTATTAACAAAGAAATTCTGGAAACTCCTGTGGTTTACTTTCTTAACTTCATTCATCAAACTAGCATTTTAAAAACATCCCTTAACTCCAAAGATAATAGGAGCAGTTCTACTTTATGTTCAATCCATTTAGTTTATTGCAGATTACTAAAAAAAGGCTTTTGTTAATGTTATGTCATGGTGACAACCTCTGCCTTATAGGTTTGCATATTCTCAACACCTGCCTGCAAGATGAAGCATGGCAATTATGAGGAGAAGATACATGGAAATCACACAGAAAAGTCAAAGGTTTCAATGGGAAAAATGTTGAGAATTCCCCCTGCCATGCTTCACTAAAACAATACAGAAGGTTGATGTAATTCACACCGGAAAAAGTTTGTATTTGATAGTATAGTTAATAGGTGGCTGGAGAAGTAAGTTTAAAGAGGTGTCTTTACATCAATGCATAATTTTTTTAAATGGGTGAATACAGATGTGTTTGAAAGTGCATTAAGTGTTCTTCTTCAAATTGTAGGAGATCCAAGTGGAGACTGCAAATGGGAGGTCCATGACCCTATAAACAAAAATTTTCACAGATACATGCAAAATTGTAATGAAAAATGAACACAGGACTTATGGGATCTACACTTACCATCTTTCCCATCTGCAATGATATCTTCTTGCCCTTTGCGGCATATGGTAACTCCGCCTAACTCGCGGCACAACTGTGTCACATGACTGGAACAGTCTATAGATGGGTCAGGTTCACGACCAAACTGCCACATTGGAATAATTAAATCAAGGAGTGGAAATGAAATATAAAGGTACTTCAAAGTTAACCCTTTAACTCCCAAGATCTCCTGAGTAATTCTCCTTACTGTCTGCCATACAATTCATATAATGTTAGTTTGGAGAATTTGGAGTTGGATCAACCAATAATCCCCTAATTGATATTTTTCTTTATTCTCATTACTTGTCTGCTTGCTATTGTACTAATAGCATAAGGAGAAATTCTGTCTCGGTCACTGGTAGGACTTAATCAGTAGAAAGTCCCCCTTCCTGACCAATCAAAAATACTTCTTACAACAAATGATTGACACCTTGACCCCTTAGAATGATTAGCATCTATTTTCTCATTACAATATTGCCCCAAATCATACATATAGGTCATGAGAATAAGATCACCCACTAAAAATGATCTTGATTGTTAAACAAATTCTCCTTGTCAGCACCTTAGGAAATGTATAGAGAACAGTATGGAGAATATGCATAATGATGTTAGGGTGCAAAGGATTAATGGGATCTCAATTTAAAAAAAAAACAACTCACCAATGTGCTGTATAGTCTTGTGAATTCCATAGCATTTGGTGTGAGTATTGCTTTGGTATAATTCTTGATTATGTCTGGATAGGATGTAACCATGTAAAGCCCATCCTAATACAAATAAAAATGAATAAAAATTAATTTGTCTCTACTCTAAACATAAGAAGTAGATGTCCTGCAGAGGTTGTCAAAGCATTATGCTAATCCAGGGTTGGTGATTTAGGAGTTTACTGCACAGATGTATTGAAACAGTATACTCAACTGCATCTATGACTAGAAGTTTTTGCTGCTCCTTTGCAAGCTCAAGAACTCCCTGTAAAGAGACAATAAGGACAAAATAATTGAAATACCAGTAAGTCAATTGCCAGAAGGATTCTTTCTAGACTAAATATAATCATAATGAGCCTTGAAAACTATATCATTAGAAAGCTCCAACTTCATTTCCATTCAACATTGGGCTGTACCACTGATTAATTATCTGTGGATGGAAATCTGGTGTAACCTTTCTTAATTAAATCAAACTAGAATGCTACTGTGCCAAAAACTTGGAGTTTGCATGATTCCACTGGCTTAGAAACTCATCATGGACTTACCTTGACATTTTCAATGATGGTTGGATTTCTACCCATTCCTGGGCCAACTACAATGCAGTGAAGTCTTGGAAGCCAATCTTTCACTTCTTTTACAGCTGTTTTTCTGTCCCTGAATGTAGACATTTGGCAAACAGAAATTCTGATGTCAGTTTTCACTGCCAAGATCTTATTAGCAATTCTCCTTACGGTCTGCTATACAATTCGTGTGGTGTTAGTTTGAAGAATTTGGCAGTTGGATCAACTAATGATTCCCCACTGGTAATCTCCATTCTCACCACTTGTCTGCCTGATAATTTTTAACAAGAAATTCTGTTTTGGTCAATCCTAGGAGTTAAAGGTTTAAAACTGATAAAAGATCTGGAAGAAAAATTTTCAATTGTATTTGTAAGGGCACTTGTTGGAATGGGTAAGAAGCTTTTGAACACTGAAAAGTAGAACATTATTCAATAAAAGTTTCTTTATAGGAAAGGGGAGCCATTGAGAGGAGGTTGTTTAGTGAAAGCATTACTGACATTACTTACAAAACAGGATGGACAATAAGTTCAGGGCTGTATGACTTAATAACCACAGAGGCATCACTTGTACAGAACACATGGGACAAATCTGCACCCTACAAATTGAACAATGGAAGCTTGATATTTTTTGGAGTATGAGAGAAAAATACAGGAAGTTGGGCACATGTTTTTCAAGTATTTCAGTGGCTTACACTGGTAATGTAAATTAAAAGCCATTAAATTTCATTTCTCTCTTGAAAACCTCCTTATAACTTTTCAAGAGGTTGAGTTCTGGGGGACTTTGGCTAATATTGATTAATGTAAAAAATACAATTTTTAAATTAATTTTATATCAGAGTATTCATTACAATGATTTTAAACTGTTAAGGAACTCAAAAGAAAGACTGGAATGTCAAAAAATTAAGACATTAGATTTTACTTGGGAGTTTTTTTCTCCAGATGCTTGTGTTTTTTTTTCATGCTTAGAGTTTATCCTTGATTGCTTAGTGACCTAGATTTTGCAAATTTAAGACTATTACCCTGCAGTTTGAACAACCTATCAAGAACAACCCCCTTTGTGGACATATCTCTATCAAAGGTTGAAGTTTTCAAAATTAAGACTCACAGCTTTCAAAGCTGATATTGCTGCAAAGTAAGGTGCACCTGTATACCTGCAACATGATTACAAAACATTCAAGTATTAATCAAACTGTGGGGTAAAAATTAGTGCCTTACAAAGCGCATCTAATGAGTAACTTCACAAAAAATCCATGGGTTAGTCGTTAATCTTCATTTGGAAACTTCTAGGAATGAGATGTTATTTTTCAGAGAGATACCACAAGTGGTAAACTAGAGGGCACTCACCTATTTCTCCAGTTGATTATCTGCTGCTTAGCATGGTTTGGTGTTTGAGGAGTGTGGTAAAAGGTTTGTTTAAAATGTGAGACTAAACCCAAACTTAATATGCAATGCACAAATGTTACAGAGTCAAGGTAAGATGAAATTTGTAGTTTTCCCTTTAAACTTCTACTGCATGAAATACTGTTTCGAGTACATGTAACACCTGGAATTTTTCTAAAATTTGGGCGAGAAATGGGATTAAAACACTCCCCCTCTCCTCCTCCTTTCCTATGCTACCCTCTTGGAGATCTTGAATTTTCACAGAAGGTGGACATACTCGAGCAGCTGGGTCATGAAAAAAGGACTTAACTCGGTAATAAAAGGAACGGAATTTTACTTGAACAGAGGTAGGGATTTAAGGCCTCAGGGCACACCCCGAGCTCAAAACTAATTTCAGTCGCCCCCTCAAGCTGCAAAGGTGGTAGGGAAAGATTAAAAGCTCGAACAACATAGTACCGGATTTAAGAGAATTTCTCAATAATGACTCATAATCAGTAATCTCTGAAGGCCAGGATTATGATTATCTTCATCAAACTACTTACTCCTGACATCCGCCTATTATCCCTATTCTACCCAGGTGTCCTTTGTGAGAGGAATTCACCAGAGCAGGGATAGTTTCCCGAACAACCTCCAGGCAACTACATTGTCTCTTTGGGGCTTTGATGTGAGAGGCATCTGTTGCCGATCTGAAACGATTGTTCGGCTGGGTTTCTCCTCCAGCAAAGGTACTCCGCCTTCCTGACATGACAAATCGAAATTTAACAACCTCAGCAAACCTTGAGTGTCTCCTCGCTACATATGAGATTAAGCTTCCCAGAGAGCCGCACTTGTACGAAGCCAGCACTGACATGGGCAATGTTATTGACAGAGAAACAGCTGGGTACTAATATCAATTAGTCTACTTTGGTGATGCTTATACCACAGCAATAACCATCCAAGTCCGCGCAAACAAAATGGCGCACACTTGAGCTTCTAGATCTCAATGCTCTATGTTTCCGCTTTATGAACGGCTATGGCATTACTTGACCCAAAATCGTATTCTAATAATGTGCTAGTAGTCGGAGATGGTAACTTTTCATTCACGGTTTGTTTGGCGTCAGCGTTATCAAAGACATCTGTGAAGATCGTAGCGACATCGTTAGACTCGCGCGCAGCTTTGGCAAGTAACGACTTCGCTCTGGGAAACATCGCGAAACTGTCCTCTTTTGAAAACGTCGAGATCTTGCACGAGGTAGATGCAACAGATCTTTGTCAAAAATTTGGCTCTAGAACGTTTGATCGGGTGATCTTTAATTTTCCACACACTGGTGGCAAATCAAACATTGCCAAATCGAGAGATCTGTTGGAGCGGTTCTTTGCAAGCGCTGCGCACCACGTGGAACGGTTCAAAGGCGATATCTGTGTAAGCCTTTGTCAGGGTCAGGGAGGAACGCCCTTAGACAATCCAAGAAGGGAGCTTGGAAACTCTTGGCAAGTTGTTTACCGAGCTGCGAAAGCTGGTTGGTATTTTTTTGTTGTTTTTTATTGACGAGTTCGATCAGCTTTTAAGAAGCTCTGTCATTTGGAGATTATTTAAAATTGATGAGCTAGCTAGCTGATCGAATTGTAAAGATTAAGATGCGAACGGCCGGTGAATTCAAATCTGGAGATTTTTCTTTAGTGCCAGCTGCCACCACGAAGCCAATCAATTTGACCTGCCCCATCAAAATACCTTCTGTGATGTCAACCTCAAAAAGATTTCCGTAAAACCCATTACTATTCTAAAACAAAGCCCTGGTCCCAAAGTCATTGTAATATTTTCGCCATTTTTCTTCATCCATGAACTGTGTGCATGATGAAGTATAGGGCTTTATGGAAATCTTCCATGAACCTCCCAGAAAGGTTCTGTCAACGGGAGGGTATCTTTCGATGTGGTTGTCGGGATGAAGTTACACCATACCCTTAAAGTGGAGTGTCGTGAGGGCAGTAAGTTATGTTTTGATAACCAGTATTAAAGTCATGATATCAACCAGAATCACTTGTAGGCCCAACCTCTTTACTGTATTAGAGTATTTTTTCAGTTATCCTTGACAATTTGCTGGTGCCCAAAAATATCATGCAATAACCATCACTCCTGGAGGTGGCTTGAGCCAAGACCTTTTAACCTGTGTCAGTGACTCTAACCATCGCTCTTTCCAGTATCCACACTTTAATCTGTATCATCTTGTTTATCCACAACTAGGTCTGATTTTGAATGATGTGTATCCATTCAAAAGTGAAGATTATACCTCTTACAGAAGTGCAGGCTTTCGTGGACAGCTTGGGAAAGGTTTTCATACTGTAAATGGGCTCACTCATGTGTTTGTCCATGGAGTGCCACTGGAACCAATTCCAGACCTAGAGTAAGCTCCCTCATAATACTATTAACCACAAAAAGTATCCTGGTACCTCACCAAAGATCATGGTCATTCTTTAATTTTTAGCTTTGTTTATGACATGAATAGTATTAGCCAAATCAAATTTCCACTCGGTCAGTAAAATAAATCATTTTGCATTAATTGCAATTCAAAAAGTTAGATTTTATAGCTTTAAGTGCAATACAGAATGCCTACTGATTTAAAAGCCACACTTGTTGTCTTTCTTCTAATGTTCCACAAACCATTTATATATTTGATAGTGTCACCCATACTTGTATGGCTATCTCATCTCTTGATAAGAAAAAAGTTTCAGACCTCAAAATGTCTCTCACCAATTTTTTTTCTGCACATGTATTATATTTTTGGTTTTATTTTGGTTTCTCTCTTGCATTAAGGTCTTTCATCTCAAATTACAGTAGCATTGTGGACAGTCTTTACTCAGTGGGTGGTCTCATTGGTGTTCCTAATAATCCTGTTGGTAACTTGGTAAAAAAACTTGAAAGTTTCTTTGGAAATTACAATATTTGTGACCTGACTGATGGATCCTGGCAAGATTGCTGCCAATCAGAATATGTAAGTGATTTGACTGAGGAAGCAAAGAAATTGAATGTCAGAGAAGAGGCCACAGGGTTGACGCTGGAATATTCGAAGATCTCTTTTGCAACCAGAGTTGTTGAGAAGCTTCAAAAAAACTGTCATTCCTTTATCTTAAGTGGCACTGAGATTGACTTCTTTCTCCCTCCATCATCTCGCACACACCCTGTCAGCCACAAACTGGTTGCAGTACAGACTTTCACAGAACTCATAACACCATTAAAACTTCAGAGTGTTGTGAACAGTGTGCTAGAAGCATTTGTTGAAGATATTTGCTCTCGCATCAAAGACTTAAGAAGAGAGAGTAGTTGTCAAGGTGTATCACAGACAAATCCCCTCTCTACTTCAAGTTCAGTAGAGTCAGAGACAACCCAGTTAAAAAATGGAGTACAAACAGGATTTCTAGATGTCAGGTGTGCAGGTGCTGCAAGCATTGGATGTCATTGTAGAAACCAAGATGGCCGAAAGAAGTGCATTTTTTGCAGGATGGAAAAGCATTATTTAGGACATGATATCTCTCCACAAGTTTGCATCAATGACCTTATACAACCCTCACCAAAGACTACATTATATCATAAAGACATGCTGTTAGTATCTTGTGGTATTTTAGATATTAGCAAGTTCCCAAAAGTTTGTTGTGGGTGGCTCATGGAAGTTAATATTGACAGCTTGGCTTTAGCTTTGTGCAACATTCCTGACATACGACTGCTTTGGTCAAATGATCCAAGGATTCAAGAACAGTTTTCAAGCCAAGAGGTAAGGGTTCTTATCAATTCATGTAACAAATTGTGTAATTTAATTAGTGTACAGAAATTCTCTGTCATTTTTTGATCAGTTATTTTCGTTCAAACATAAGAGGAACCCAAGTGAGTGACAGTTCTATGTGCCTTTTTAAACTGTATTCAATCAGCCATTATGGCCATTTCTGTGGTTTGCCCTCTGAAGGAGGTCACGGGTAAAATGTTTTCTTTGAAAAGTCAGCATTGCTTTCTTGAGAAGAAAAATAGTTATTTTTGGACTTACCCTTGGGAACTCTTAATTGAATGGGTCAATTTCTGATGTTGAGTTTGACCATATGTGGAACTTAACTGGACCTAAGTGTAAGGAGAATTCTGTGTCAGTCATACCTGTAGCTGATCATGCTCCTCTGCCATGGTGTTGTTTCTCTGTTTACAGTCTGATGCCTTAGCATTTGTTTGAATATCTGTGATTCTGTTATTGGGTTCAATGTTTGACTCCTTTAGAGGTTCAGGTTCTTTCATGATGCGGTTGGGGGATTTGGCAATGCTTAGGAGCAGTTCACTTCTTTTGTGCATGGTGACTTGTGTTTCTTGCAGTTCATCTTTCTAGATGCATTCTTCTCATCTCTGTAATCCATTTACAATGTTAGTGCTTGTAGGAAGTAAATCGCTGACGCAACAATAAAGGGGGTAAGTTTTTACAGAAACTGTGGTGCTGCTCAGCAGAAGAGTATAACAGTGTAATTTAGTATTATCAACTGAGTTGAAAATGTAAATTAGCCACTGTAAAGAGTTTAAAAGCTGCCCATTGTCAATGCTTAATTCTATTGCTGCAAGCAAAGCTAGAAGAGTAATGCATGATGCTCTGAAGTTTGAAGAAGTGTCCTTTACTACTTCTTTACATGTAGGTTGATGAGTTTCCCAACCTTGGTAAAGAGTTTGTTCCAATCAGTCTCTTTCCTCCGACATACATTCATGACATAAGTTTCTGGATTACGGAGCAAATGACGGAACAGCAGTTCTTCCAAGATATTTATGAAGTCACTCAAGGAAGTGTTTGTGATGTTTGGTTTGTTGAACGTTATCATGATACAGAACAGGACAAAGTGAGTTACAATTACCGTATGATGTACAACTCATGTGACAGACCATTGAGTCATATTGAGACTGTAAAAATGCAGAACTTGTTAAGAAGAAGGCTTTTGAATTGTGACTTTCCACTCAAATAGGTATTTAGGTTTACTGTGGTGTTGTAATTTTTCAAATTGATGTTCGTGTAGGACCAGCTTTTACTTTGATCATTTTTTACAAATGACACATTTACATGTAAGTGGAAGTGTTTATGAAACTAATATTATGTTTCATGACTATTCAAGAGCCACATTTTCAATCCCTATTAAAGCCTGAATTTCATCAATTGTAATTTCATTTCATTTTACATGGGAAGACTGGTTGTCACCTACACATTGTCAAATTGTGATTGTAATATGTTCTGCCGCCTTGCAACTTACATTGTAAGTAAGCAGGAAACAAGTAAAAAGAAATTTATATTTTAAAAAAAACATAACAATGTACTCTCTTGACATGACAAAGTGTTTATAATGATGTATGTTAATAGTGCACCTGAATGATGTGTTTGACATTCATTGTCTGTGTTAACTGTATGAAAATTCACCCCAGGAATTCCATCCAGGTTGTAAATGAAACTTATTGTCTTCTTACCATCTCTGTTTTAAGCATGGCACTTTCACTTTCAGTATGCTTTCAGTTTTATTCTCACTAACTTAAAGGTATATAGGTTTGATTATATAGGGACAAAGTGTATGCTAACAAAAAAACAGAAGAAACAGAATATGCACAACCTACAAATGGTATTAGCCTGTCAAGGTAGGGATTGACTGATGACCAATCATGCTTGAAGATCTTTTTTATATGTAGTTTTGATTCCTGTGCTTTTTAAAAGCATGCTTACTTTAAGGCTCAGAGCTAGACTTGCAATTTCATTCATGCTGCTGTCAATCGTTGACCAGAATTAAAGAGTTCTATTCCCCCATCCCATCCTTTCTCAAGAAATGACCTTTTGCATGTTGCATGATGGTGCACCTGTCTACCAAGAAGTCTGCAACATGAGACATATAGTTGGCAGCGTGAAACAGATATGCAGTTATCCATCTCCAACTCTATGGTTTGCATGTTGTTGCACTAGCATCCCTAGCTCACATCTCCAGAAAAAGCAAAAGATTAATTCATGAAATCTTCACATGCTGTGTGACACAGTGTTAAGTTACACAAGGAACCATTGAGAGTTTGAATGCTTTACAAGGAATAGTAAAGAGAAAGAAATATAGTTGATTAACAATGCCAAATATACAGAAATATAAACATTCAATGTGTAAGATCAATGAAAATTACTCACTCCTTGTGTGTCTGTTGTGTGTCTGTTGCGGAATATGCCTAGTTTGGAATGTTTAGCGTTTTAATCAGCCATATATCTTTGTCCTTACTATTCCATGTGATGCATACAAATTCTCAACCGTTCCTTGCATAACTTAACACTGCATCACACAGCTTGTGATGCTTTCATGAATTAATTGTTTGCTTTTTCTTGAAATGTGAGCTTAGGACAACTGTGTTTTTCAAAAAGGGTAGGGAAAATGAAAATGCTTATAGCAGGGGTTATTACTACATATCTGTTGTGTGCATATCCTTCATTTACAGTATACTTAAAACCTTACTAAAAGTTTCATGCAAGAACATGAATATTGCACAGATATTGATGAACTGCAGGGATTTCTCCTGTTACTTCTAAATGACATTGAAAAATGAAAAGTAGATATAAGTATTTTTGTGTTTGCTTTCTCCACAATTAACAAACGTAAATTAAAAATGTAATGAGACTATCACCCAGATTTTCTTTGAAACACATTGTCACCATTAGCTAATTCATCAATGCCTGTGTGATATTGGTCACTTGGGAGTACAAATTCTTATTTTATTGAGAAGATGAAAGAAAGAAATGGGAAACATCAAATTAAGAAGATAAATTTTGTGATCCATGTGACCCTGTCATGCTCTTTAGTTTTATATGCAACAGCCAAGTCTGAAGAATGAAAGAGTGTTAATTACCTATTCATTTATTACTTATTCATGATCTAAGATAGAAATAATTAAGCACACAGCAAACTTACTTAATTAATCAAAACTTGTCTATGGTTCACCCAAAAAGAATAACAAAATAAACATTCATAAGCTGCGTTGTGAATTACTCGTAAACTTGCAAAAACATTGTGCTATGAAGTAACATTAACATTGCTATAAATGATCAAACCAAAAAACAAAAATCAAAACCATATTCCCACTTGACATAAAAATGATCTAACTTCAAGGTCGGCAAATAAGCTTAGATAAAGAATTGTTACAATTACTTGGTCTTGCTCAGACTTGGCTGTCTAATGGTTTACTATCATATTCAGAAAACAGTGAACTCTGAAATTATTTCTTGTATTTCTAGCCGTTTTGAGTGAGATAACTAAATTTTTAAATTGAACAGTAAATAACTTGTAGTTTTCTAGTTTTTCCCTGCTTTTTGGTGGAAATGTATCTAACTTGTCATCACACAGTAAGCATTTTGATTATATTTCAGACCTAACCCTAAGCATTTTTATTATAAAAAAAAAAACAATGTAAAGTGACAAATACATGGCATTCATTCATGGTCAATACCTTAAATACTTATCATGACTTCCAAGTAATTTTGCGACAACCAGGACTGGCATGTCATTTTGAAAATTTTGGGGCTTAATATGGCCAGCTTCAAGGAATTGTAATCTAGCATGATAACAAATGCACAAGAAAATTCGTAGAGTTACACTAAACATGAATTTTGTTATGGCTTGAGAGAATGTGATCATATTTTAAGGTCATGAATGAATGTCATGCATTTATGCAGCTGTCAGACTAGAAAGCCAAACTTAAGAATTATGATAAATGTTTACTTTACAAGAAAGAGACTAATTTACTAATCTACTAATTAAATACATAGCAATCCTATAACAATTAAACTAGCTTGCAAATTTGAATTAAGGCTTATGCAGACAGCTCTCAGCCTTGTGTAGTCAAAGCAATACTATCACAACTTGGAAGTGGTGATAACATTGCTTAGTTTACACCAGGCTCTATGATGGCTGCAACAATCTACAGATCTTTTGATAATTAGATTTCATATGACACCACCACCCACTGCTCAGTTCATGATACATGTACATGTATTTCAAGGTAGTTATTGTGGTCTGTATGGAAGAACATGTCCATAGATTTTCTTAACTCAGTATTGTTGACAAATTGTGGTGTGTTTTGGTAAGCTATTTTGTTTTATAATGGTGAGTACTTCCTTGATACAACAGCAGTTATTGTCTATGATGCAGTATGTATTACTAATCCATTCTATGGGTGGTGGTATCATATTCTTGTCAAAGATCTTTGATAAATTGTTATCAGCCACTGTAGGTCCCTTTTGAGAATTCCACACTGATATATTGCAGGTTTTGATCAAATATAGCCCATTACAAGAGGAGCAATATCACACACTCAACAAGGTGTAATTTCCTTTCTGATTTGTTAAAAAAAACCAACCAAACAAACAAACTCTGGACCATAAATGAACCTGTGTGTGTGTGTGTGTGAAAACATAGGGCTGAAAGAAGTCATGGAATTCTCAAAAAGGCAAATTTGGATTTTCTAACACTGTTAGTATTACTTTCCAGTGTTAATCGCTTTCAAGAATTTCAAAGCTTTCATGAAGCTTTGCAATTTTACCCAGACAATGATTGCAGGGATTTAAAGAAAAGGTCCCAAGTGAGTCCTTGTTTCCATTCAACTTCTTTGATCATTTCATGCACATATAATGCAACCTGGATGCTGTTGCAGAATTCCATCAGAAGTTACTTGGGCCTTTTCGCCAAAACACCTTATATTTGATAACTGAACTATAGCCTCTGTCACCCAATTTCTCAAGGTGAGTGCAAGGATGGAATGTTTGGTGTTAGGCTGGGCTACAGACACCATTTCCATGTTCTGTTTGAAGTAGTCATAATTTTTTTATGACCAGCATGCATCTTTCTACCTTTGTGTAGTTTTCTTTTGATGCATGTGTGAGGAAGTAGGAATACTAATTCTACTTCTTCTCTGTTGTTCACTTTCTCTAATGAAGTGAAAGATCTACAATCAAGGCTTAAGGACAAGTCACTTCATCCTGTTGTCTAATTTTTTTTTTTTTTGCTTTTTTTGGCAATCATGCAAGAGTGGTTATAGATTTCCTAATCTAAGACATTTTTCTATCTTTCATTTGTCTTTTGACCTCTATAAAGGAGCTATGTCACACTGTTTTCAAGTTGCTAGCTGTGATAAGCAGAATTGCTTTCATTGTTTAAAAAAAAACAGTCAGTCAAATGTAACTAGACCAAAACTGAAATTGTCAGCTGAAAAGTAACAAAAAGGGTCAAAGATAGAACAAAACTTAAACAGATTGCAAGGAAAGACTAGAAAAAAAATTAACTTGTTTAAAGTAGTGGCTTCTCATAGTGGCCTGCTTTTAAAAGCTGATTTTTGTCTTCAAATCATTTTATCTAAAGACTGTCACCATATCTGAATCCTGGCTACGATTTCTCTACTAAAAGGTTGGTTGAAGGCTAACTTTTGCATGAAATGTAACGTAGCTCCTTTTAATTATGAACTTTACTACAGATGGAGTATTATTAAAAAAAAAATTATAAGTATTATAAGTGATATATGCTGTAGACTGGTATTTACAGTCAATCCTCCAATAACAGCTAAAGGGAAGAAATTAAAAAATCAGAACATACTTGCCAATCAGACTCAAACCAAAATCAGATTTTACATCCACTTATGATTTTAATCAAATGGCTGGTCAAGCAACTCGAATCTTTTTACTAGTAGCTAAAAAAAAACCAGTTGAAATGTTCAGATACTGACATGGAGGAGGAATAATCAAGAAACACTGACTCGGGTAACTGAAGGCACTAATAAATAAAATCAATTAACAGCGATCATTGAAACTGTGGTCAAGAGTTTATAGTTATGGTAATTTTGTAATGTACATTAAATGATTTAATGTATTTTAGATCTGAATCTTCAGTTTTACTCACCAGATGCAGAAAACCTTTAACTGGATTCGGATGGTCTGGCAGACTGAAAGCAAGTATGGAAATGGAGATGAGTGATGTATGCTTTGTGTGATGATCTTCATTTATTCTGTTTGTTAAAACTCTTGAAATGGGTTTTACATAACTTTAAAATTTATTTTATGGCAGTATCGTTAGTGACTAAAACTGGGCAAAGATCAAACCAATGTGTGTTGTTAAAAACATGACTGAATTTTAATGCTATGAGGCTAGCATAACTCTTCATGAACCTAGAGTAAATTGCTGCTGTCAGCAAGAGAATGTTGTCAAATGAAATGGTTTTAATTACATAAATGTGAGCAGAAATGGATATTATTTACCCATATTGGTATCAACATCCTTTGAATAGTTCTCCCATACTCCAGTGTCATTCTTAAGTGGTCCTGGCAAACTTCCCCTGGTGCACAACGAGGCTCCACATGTACTTGGACAACAGGACTAGGAATTCTATCCTGGCTCAAGGACATAACGCGGACCAATGGAACCTGTTTAAAGAGAGTGAAAAACAATGCCAAATCAACAGACGAAAAGAGACAATTCCATGGAGTTTAAAGCATATTTTTGTTCAAAATTCTAATGTTGATTTAAGTGTTCTTTTATGGAGCACCTTGTTGTTTTCATGTTTGACTGACACACCTGGAAAATTTCGTGTTCCTCCCGCAGTCGGAATCTTCTCTGTACTTCCCTCCGCAACTCGAATTTTATTTTTATTTCTTTGTCCAAGTACAGAGTGTGGAAATGTCTATTTTCTTCTTGGGAGGAGTACTCATCACCAAATGGAATAACTTGTATACTGGGGCGTTGGTTTCGTTGTAGCAGCCTTACATTCGAAGCCACTCTGCCCTATATTAGGGATAAAACGAATATTAAATCTTCCAAAAAAAAAACTGCTCTATTTAAACATAGAAATCTGAAAATAAGCTGGCATTACAGACAGAAATTTGTTACCCTTATAATTGAATAATCATTCCATTGAAAAGTTGGTGACTTTTGGATTAGGGTCTAGCCCTTGATTGTCACCAGATTCATTTTCTGGTACGAAAGAAACTATCTTTCTGGAACCCAAATTAAATTGCAAGTGCAGGACGTCAAGTGGGTACCTGCAAGTTGTCATTAAAACAACCTGGCCAAGCACTGTGTGACAATTCTTCACTGAAGTGAAGGTGAATAGCGGTGGATATTTAACATGCCGCCAAGCGCCGCAGTAAATATCCATTCCTTTCTTAACATATTTTGTATATATTACACAGAAGCCAAAAAAAGTAGTTTTTTCGTGTTAATATACTACAAAGTAGTTAATAAAAATCATTACATTTTGCGCTGAGTAATTTTTTACATTTTGCGGCGATTAGTAAATTTTGTGGCGTAACACTGGCGTTTCTTCTGAAAGAAACGTGGGTACCCATTTCTTGTGTTGGTGAGCCAGTTGACTTTTTCATTCCATTGGAGTGAAAAAGAGGAATGGTTCCAAGCTGGAATAATTTTAAGAGTTTTCTCTACCTGCTTTGACTGCTCCACACAGTATACTGAATAAGTAATTACATCAAATGGTTGATGATCGGTTTGCAGCACATAGAGTGCCAATTGTTGTGGTTGGCATGGGTATGGCACTGACGAGTCTGAAAAACCTACAAGTAAAATGATAAAGTAAAGTAAAATCATAATAATTTCGACCAGGTGCGTTAATCAAGAGAGATGAGGAGATGGTCAACGCTATAACAACAACATCGACATCCGTTACAGCAACTGTAACAGTAACAACTGTTAACACTTGCAACAGCAGCAGTAGCTGAAGGATTACAGCCAATTTCTGTTCCCTCGGGCACCAATTTACCATGAGCGTCATGGACAAATAATGCATTGTTTAACGACTAATAATTTGTGAACGTTGTAGACTTTCAAGGCACAACCTCTCTCACGCTTTTTTAGGATATGTTTGTAACTTAAAATGCCTGCTGTGTTTGAGTGTGCACTTTGAAATTACTTTGAAAAGTTGATCCTGGTTACATAATACTAAAACGAGTTCGGTTGAAGAGTGTTGAGGAAAGACGTTTTAGCACTTTTGTCAGTTTCGGATTGTTCTGTTAAACTGCAACTGCGAAAAAGGAAGCAGTGTTGCCAACTGTGAATACCCCAAAGAACTCTTATACAGACCTAACCCTTACGGAAGTTAAGTTGATGTTCAAACTTCTGTTTTCGATGACAGTCACAATTCTCAAAGTAACCACCATTTCTTACTTAACCAGTTTTCATCAAGTTTAATTTTTCACTCTATCATATACTATCATGCAAAGAATCAGTGAATTGTTTTACTGCAGGAGATATTTAAGATAATTTTTGAACAACAAATTAGTGCTTTTATATATAAGTTTAAAACATTTTAATTCATTGTGAAAGTCAATCAAAAGTTTCTCTTGGATATGCTTCAGTGAAGCAGATTTCAATAGAGCAAACGTCAAAAGATTAATATTTCGTGGAAACAAGATACTTACCTTCCACTGGAATGTTTCCGCTTCGGATCACAGGGCTTTGAGCGCGTATGTCTACATTCGCGCTGTTTGTTGTTGGTTCTGCTTGAACCTCACGAGATGTCTCGTGGGTTTGTGGTACCGATTCCATCCCTCTTGCAAGAGTCAGATGAAGTGCCTCACGGTTAGTAGCCGAGACTGTGATGGATTCTTCATCCGAAACCCTGTCAGAAGTTTCCCCACTCTGACGAGTTTTTGCACTATATTTTCCACAAAAAGGGCATCTATCAGTTCTTCCGTAAGCAAAAGCATTGTTGCCGCGATAACAAACACAGTGCAATCTTGATGCCCCGTCGTCAAAAGCCTCGTTTGGTGATCGCCTCGTAGAAGAGGAAGGTTGAGCGGAACCATCTCTAAGATTACCACGATCACTTTCGTTTTCATAACTCGCTATGAGTTCTTCCTCGGATACTTCATTTGCTCCATTGGAGGTTCCATTGTTACTCTAAAGATAAATGAACTTATTTAGTAATTTTATCTTCCTTCTTGACTATAAACTGGATAGATGCCTGAAGAATGTTACTTCCTTCTATTGCACTTTCACTTTCGACACTTACAAGGTGCTCTATGAAATATAAGGCCCTAAAGGCACCAGTTAAACATCCAACATCACTGTAAGAAAGAATGACTTAGATCCTACCACAATTTGCTAACTAGGCAGCCTTAGTCGAAAGAACTATGAGACATCTCTTCGTCGAAACACTTCGAATGTCGATGGCTCGATGATACTAAAAGGTGGTATGTTTCGTAACCTTGAGTGGCTTTCGAGAGACTGTGTGCGCAATTTATGCACTTTTGATTATAAATTCTTCACTGGTTTGAAAGACAACGTAACTTGGGACAATATGGTGCAAAATAGATGATTAAAACACCTACAGTTAGCGAAGTATTCTGTGTTTCTTCCGGATTCATTCTCCCTTTTTGTTTGCGCCTTCGATCTCAGTTTCATTTGCTCTTCTGTATTAGACTATCACGTCATAATTTCATTCCTTATCACACGAGTTTTGATTGGCTGGCTTTTTTTTTAGCTTGAAAGACATTGGTGGAGCGAAATAGAGATCAGAAACAAAGAACGGGAAAACCCCCTTTTGAAAGTGAAAGACATACCAAGGCTTTCCGGGTAAGAATTGGTTCAGCGAAAGTTCTTCAGACATTTCCGGGTTTCACATCTTTCTTTGCAGCCGTGGTTTTTTTGCATTATCAAAATAAGGGAAATGTGGATTCACCTTTTGGAACTTTACGTTGTCATTTCTCACCTGGTAAGGTTAATAAGTATTTTGTCTCTTGACTAGAAAGTGTCAGAACAGGCAAGGGAGATACGTTGATCTCACCACAAGTAGGGACGTTTCAGTCGGGTTCAGATTGTTCTGGAAATTATGCTGTTTCACGAATATCTCAACTAGAGGTCCCACGAAACCTAAGTACATAAAATTAAAGTAGTTAAAATCAATTCTGATATGATTCATTGCATCAATATAGGTATCTGGGCAACTGTCCACCTACCTCTCCCCTAACCTAACAATAGTCAATTGATAACAAGGTAGGGTTAATGTTGGGTTAGGGGAGGGGTAGGTGGGCAGTTGCCCAGATACTGGTATTGATCCGATCCACTTAAATACAAGGTATATATTGTAAAGGGGGTTAGTTTCTAAAGAAACTGGTGTTGCGTCGGTAGGAGAGTACAACAGATAGCTCTCTGGCAGTTTTAAGCCTGGCTTAGGAGGGTAAATTGCGTTAAAAAATTAATTGGCCATATCTCTGCAAAAATACAGCCGATTGCGCCGAAACAATACTTTCCGTACGAAAGTTTACCTTGAGGCCATAATTCTGACCATGAAGGTCACGTGTTGGGTCACGTGATCTTCATCTCTCAAGCAGTTTTTAACGGAGTTAGTAAGATATACACAGAATCGTTACTGACCAATGAACGAAACAAATTCTCAGTAAAAATTGCTAGCCATCTACATGTGGACTGAATCCCCTTCGTTCCTTCAGAAAGAAACTTAATGGCATTTAGGTTAATAACTGTACTTGTCACATCATTCCAAACGTGAAGAAAAAGTTTGTCAATACCTTCTTCTATTTTTCAAAGGGCAATTGCGTGAAACGAAAACATAGGCACCGGCGGCCGCGTTATAAATACTTCTCTTTGAGCTACGAAAGATGCTGTCATGTTGTTTCTTTTCGATAATAATACATATATCAGACTTGACTATTACCTTATACCGCTGTCTACGAAGGCGCAAATCAAATATGGCGGTCAGGGTCATTCAGAGGGACAATCACTGCGAAGTAAAGTGATACTGCCGTAATAACCGACAAGTTATTATTTAATGTTCTAGTACAGTCTGTTTGCGACTTCTGTAATTGTAGGGATACTGGAATACTTGAATTATGGTTAATGATTTGAGTTTGTTGTTGTTTTTTTTTGCAATTTCCACGCGTGCAACGCATTGCATGGCTTGTGGCTTCTAGTGGAATCAAATATACGACAGTGGGCTTTAATGTAAAAAATCTTAAATGTTTCTCTTGCCTTGAATGCGAATTCAATGTACCAACGAATAACAATGTTAAGCCGCAGAAGGACGGGGAAGGGAGAAATGACTGCTTGTGATAGCGCCCTAATAGTTTCTAAAATTACTTTCTGCACTTTGGACTTACCAAATATAATTTTTCAAGTACTGAACTGAGTTCTTATTAGTGCTAGCAGTGAGAAACAGGGTGAAAAACAAGGAATTTCAAAATCAAACTCTTCCCTTCAATCCATCTCGATGAAAGATGACTTGCATGCACACATTGCACTAATTTCCGGGCCCAGTTGCTGGCCTCTGACAAATTTCGTGAGGTACGCAAAAATGCAAAAGGAAAGAAAAATAGGAATGAGTCAAAAAGACGAAGAAGCATGATGTCGTTTGACAGTGGGATTAACATGCAGGTTTGCTCATATTTAGCCATGAATGGGATGCAATTTCCCTTGCCAAAAAATAAGAAAAAAAATAACAAAATGTGATATTGAATCAGAAAAGGCATGCAAAAGCTGGCAACTGGAAGAGGGGTATTGGCTGTACATGGAACAGAGTGAGAGTAGACACTGATGTATTTGATAAACAAAAGAGCAAGCCCTAAGTTGTTCTACACACCAGCAAATTAAATATGGTGCCTGAAGATTTCACTGTCACTTTGTACACTTACAGACACTTAGGGAGTACATGTGCACCCCTCTCATACGGTTAAAAGATCATTAAAAAAAACGTCTAACTCAGGCTAATGACCAAATTGAGTGTCATTCTTAGTCAGTTATATAACTTGTAGTTACTGATCAGATGGCAAGCTTAAACAAGAAAAAAATAAGTCTTTTCATTGCAGAAAATTCAGAAAGTTGAAAGTTAAACCACCTCAAAACATTCACCAGCTCCTATTGCCATCTCTTGATAATTAGATGACACCTATGTAGCCAGTCCAGTCACATGTAAGCATTTCCTTGATGGTCTGTTAGTTAATATTTAATACAGGATTTATATCTTCCTACTTATTCTGATTCTTTGCAACACTTCACCAGATTCCAGTGTTATTGGATGTCAACAGAATTTGCTGTAAACAAAATTATATTAAACAATATTGTTAAGTATGATTGAAAATGTTGTTTGTTTGTCATGGGCATATCACTAGCCTTTGAAATGAAAACGTAAGTCGATGTTATCAAAGGTTTAAGCCGAGCACTCATTTTGATCGATTCCGCAGCCAAAATCTATTTTTCGCCTTACATGTAAGAACACATCTGTTAACGTATAGCTCTCATTTTCCCTCATTAATTCGAAACTTATATATATTGTAGCTTAGTTAATAACCTATCTCCGTTGAAGCTGGCAGGACTCACAGCACTCTCATTTTAATTTGCTTAGAAAAGTATTGTACTGCGGATCACTAATAAATTTATAACTTGGGATTGAACGTACCACGGTATTTAAATTTGAAAAACAAACAAATCTGTTCTAAGCTATGGGAAAGGTTCCTCACCGGGGTTTATCAATTTATCAATCAAAATGCATTTCCCTCGAATTAAACACTCTTAATTTGGATGTACGTACGCGTCAGTGTATTATTAGCTACAGCAAATTAGAGCTAATTTCTCGAAAACAGCACAAAACCAACACTCACTTCAGCTGTAGACCTGACATCTGCGAGAAAAGATCGTCTTCTGAAATATTTAGGCTAGAAATTGATCTTAACTTCATCGGAAACGTAACCGTTCTAATGGAAAAACGGCCGCCATGCCACTAACCTTGAAACTCTGCTGAGGGTATCGAAACAAGATAGGACTCAGGTCTTAAAAAACTACTTGTGAGGGTAATTCAGTCGTATCAACTGAGTCATCAGCTTCTAAACTCTTTGCGTGGCATATATTGTAACCTGTTTTAAATTCTAGGAAATTCATTTTTGTCAACAGACAAAAAGAGAAGATTTGTGCAAGCTTTAATGTATGTTCATATTCTCATTGTCAGGTCAGCAAATTGCATTCTCTTCAGGTGTGCCGATACAATCAACAAGCAGTAGAGACCCCAGATGGTAGTTTCGCATGTGTGAATTGCTTGAAATGCCCCCCGGGATCGGGTGTAACGATCCCATGCGGTAACAAGATATCCCACGGTGCCTCTGCCAAATGCCAGACTTGTGCCCCAGGTTATTATTCTGAATTCTACTCATCTGAGAGCTGTAAGCCCTGTTCAACTTGTGGCCCTAATGAAATCATGGTAACAAGATGTAGTAAAACCTCAAACACGCGATGTAAATGCAAGCCATGCCCAGAAGGGTATTACCAAGACCAAACCTTGTCCAAATGCCTTCCTTGTTCAGGATGTTGCTCAGGAGATTTGGATATGGTGGTTCCATCGTGTCTCAAGCAAGGAATGCCTCGCACCCAAGCATGTAGCTATCGCAGGAAAAAACCCTGTTTGGCGAAGTGCTGGTATGATGAGATTACAGTTGTTAGGAATGATGGCGAACAGATCTGTTTACCCTGTCCTGCTTGTTCAGAAGAATTCGGTCTGACCAAACCATGTGGAAGTTTCGTGACTGATGGTGCAATACCCAAGTGTGAACGTCCAATGGTAGGGAAAACATTTGTTAATCAACATGGTACTTTAGAGTCATGTAAAATCTGTGCTATTGGCCAAAACATTGTCGCCAATTGCTCAACCAAATCGGATACCATATGTGGTGGGTGCGAACCAGGATTTTATTTGAATGACCAGTCAAATACTTGTGAAGAATGCTTCTGGTGTTGTAACCATAACGATAGAAAGAGTTTTATGGACTGTATCAAAGAGGTAATGATGTTGAAAGAGCCTTTTAGTGGGCTTGGACTTCATCTGCTTTTTTCGTTCATTGCTCTGAACGGTCAATCTGGTCAGTTGCAAACTGCAAAACAAGAAAGCTCTCTGGTGGAATATGTCAAACTTGATGCTTTCACAGCCGCTTTAATAGGTCTGTGTGTTGCCCTGATTGTGTATCACATCTCTAAAAGACAAGGGCAAACTTTGAAAGGTAAAGGTCAATGCCCATTCTTAAATAATCTTGAAACAGGACACAGTTTATCATTGGAAAAGAAAGACCCTTCTGAAAGTACAGAAACCACTCAATCCACACCCTCAGGCGAGTTAAATAACTAATTATTTTCCCTTTGTATATATTGTTATATATCTCAAGTACTTGCGATCAGCACTCGTATCTCAAAATTATTGTTACAAGCGTTTATGATAGTGGCTAGGTTACCTTTAGTAGCTAATTTTTTGTTTTGTATCTTATTAACTTATTTGCTATTGTTTTAAGCAGAGCACCTCATACGTGTATGAAGTCTGGTGATCACATGTGCATATAAAAAAGCTACCCTCAAGTTGCACATGTGCAGATTTTGATAATCAATTATTATTTATCATTATTTTTGGATCTATTTCTTAGGTATTGAGAAAGTGGAGTGGGAGCATCCAAACCGATATGGCCCAGGTCATGTGGTGTTTGAAAAGACAGGGGTAGAGGCTGTTATCCTTGAGAGTATTAAGTCTAACCTTCAACAAGTGCCAAGCGATTTGGTGTTACATGCCACATCAGATAAGCTGAATTTACCAGGATTACTTAAGGATGGTGAATTTCCACTAAGTCCAGCATTTTATCTTGTCACAAGGAACAAGTTAACAGGACCCCTTGAGCTTCAGATACCTCATGGTGCAAACATGGTGCTATCTTCTAATAAGTGGAAAATCATTTTGAAGGAGTTGAAAAATGATGTATGGGTTGTTGTAAGCTATGTGAAGGGTAGTGGAATAAAAGAATTCTTCCCCAAAAGCAACCATGTCAGTTTTGAGACAGATCATTTTGCAACATTTGCAGTGATTGGACACTGTGAAGAACAGTCCTTACCAGTACTCAAAAGAATGAAGGTCATGGCATTTTGTAGTGACACCAGAGTTGGAGAAGACCTGGTTATGAGGCTGTATTGCTTTGATGATTGTGAGTGGTCATTTGAGGTAAGCTCTTGGGAATAACTAATATAGTCTAAAGATCCTCATCTAATATTAAGCAATAAATAGACAATGATTCAATTTATTCTATTTCAATTTACAAAAAGATCTCTTTGGGTCATAAAATTTCCTTCTATTAAGAGTAAAAATCCTGAATTAATCAGAGGCTAGGTATTTTAATCTATGTGACATGTTACCAAGTTCTCAGAAGCTTTTTGCACATAACTGATGTCTTAGTTAGAATTTATCATGTAACTGCAGTTATTTATAATTTTGATGTTAAATTTGTACTGGTCTAGTTCATCAAACATCCTACCTCCAGTCATGGTTAGTTATTTTATAACAGTGTGATCTGTTTCTGTATTAATAAATTTGATAAAACTTGTTTGACTTGACTCCACAGAATCTTTTGAGGGAGGAGAAAAAGAAAGGAGGACAGTTTATGTCATCAGTGGAATCTCTCGATTTTTCTCTAAGTCACAGAGAAGATGTTGAAATTGTTGTAAAGGATGTTGATGGCTGGAAGCTAAAGAATGCTTGCCCGATGGTATTTTGCAGACTCTGTTTGAGTGCTACGCAACAACAGTGCAATTTTTTTAGAAAAGAGGAAAAATTTAAAGGATGATTCAAAGATCTTAATTTTTTGCACTTAGTAATTGAATTTTCTCAGATCCCTGAAAGTGTTGGTATCTCTGGGTGATTTTGAAAATATTCTTATTTTTATTCCTTTATCTAGAAAATGAGCTATGCATCAGTGAGGAACTCTTTCAGTACAACTCCCAGATGCAATCTGGTATTTAGCCCTGCATCCAGTGAAAAGAAAAACGGCTTTTTTTCCACCATTGTTTTGACTCAGGCATCCTCTCAAACTGTAGTGTATGCAATCACTGCTATTAAGAAGGTAGGTGACTGTACATTTTAGGTGGTACATTTCGTGGCTCAAAATGATTATCAATTTCAAGATGTGAATTTGCAGGTGACTCAGTGGTCTCATTTTAATATATTTAAATTTGGATCTGGTCATTTTTTTAAAAGTTTTTTCCTTGCCAGGGTCATATTTGGTGTTTAGCACCAGAAACTAATAATTTAAACTTAAAGGTATAGATGCGTTGATTAAAATTGTCAAAGTAAATCCACAACACCAAAGAGAGTTCACCAGCAGAGTAATATTAGTATCAGCGGGCTTTCCTGATCTTTTGGATCAAGAGATATATCAACTTAGAATAAAGCTTTAAATATTTGTTTATTTTGTAGGATCCAATCCGTTATGAAAACCAGAGCATGTTTCCAAATGCTGTGAATGGTGACTTCTTTGTACTTACTGAGGGGTAAAATAGATGAAAGTCAGTTATGCTTTATGTAATGTTTTAAAAACGAGCAGCAGTGTTTTATTGGGTTTAAAAACACAAGGCAGAGCCTAATGGTTTTAGAGCTGATAAAATACATGCTGCGAGTTTTTTTAACAGCTTCAAAACCCATGCCTCTCTAGAGATTTAGATAAAGGTGACGTGATGTATTAAAGGTTAATTACATTTAGAAAGGGAAAGTGCCCCATGTTCAGCTGCTGTTAAAAGTTCAGATAGTTTTTATTTGAAATGCCACCCAAAACCAAAAAGTGCTGAGGAAGGGAGGGAGTTCTTGGATAGTTCTATTCCAAAATCTACACAGTATGCCACAAAGTGGCTTAAGAAAATATTTGGCAAGTGGCAAAGTTCAAGAAGAAATAAGGACGCCAACTTTGAGGAAAGAAGATTCAAAGTCGAAGTGGATAATGTTCACAGCTTTATATAAAGATAGTTTCAATTCAGAATAAGCAATAATTGGAATTGCCTGCACATTCAGCCCCGCACTCCCCTGGGACTGAAATGAAAGCCACCACCAGACTTTTCAGAATGATCATAGATTACCAGGTATAAAGGGTCATACACGAGATGTTTTAGTAATGTTTTGATAGGCTGTTGGCCTCATGAGTTTTAATAAAAGTATCAATAATTAGCTTATACGGAAACTAAAACAGTAGATAGTGTTAAAGGGGCATGCTGATTGATGACTCAAAGTGCACAAATCCATCGTTATTCACCTCTGAGCAATATGCTCAGGATTTGTCCCTGAAAATATCGTAATTGTTGCAGGAATAAATAAGTTAAAACAATTTATTGTTATATGTTCACAGTGTTTTAGTATACACTAAAACAACTATTCATCTCAGTCAGTGGCTTGCAGTGGATACATGTATTTGCATTATTGTTTTGTGGCTCAGTAAATATCTACCACTAACCACCTCCACTTTGGTAAATAGTTGTTGAATATTCTTTTTGAATCGAAAACTACTTAGAGTGCAGAGAGTTATGTGCCTGAGGAGAATTAATGTTTCCCTCCAAGTAATCCACTAAAGAGTAAAAATTATTTTCAGAGGATTTGTTCCATAGAGAAAAGATAACAATATCAGTTTAACTGATGCAGAAAGTCTTTGTTTGTTGGCCATGTTGCTACTTTCTTCCTTCTTTCAGAAGGAAATCAAGTCACAAATATGGCAGATATCACTGTTACAAACAGTAGAAAGGGAAAAGAGCAAGACTTCACTGACTGTATTGTTCAGTTAAAAAGCTTCATATTAAACCTGATGGTCTTCAGAAATTATGGGTTTCAAAACTTGAACTTTAGCCATCATGAACTAGATGTATTACACTGAGTGTATGTCATATTGTCTCTATTTGACTGTGCAACTAATGCAAACTAAGAACTTAGATGAAAGAGTGTTTTTGAAAAGTGAACATGATTAGTTTTTACACAGAAAATTGAGTGTGAGACTCTTAGACTTTTAGATCTGAAACTCAACTCCTACTAAGTATATTTAGTTAATATTCTTACATCATAAGTAGTAGTTTGCCATCAAAAGTGTAAAGGGTATGGCCTATTAGGTTCTGAACATAGGATATTGTACGTTATCTATCTAAAGCTAATGATTGTACAGATTAAGTGGGAGTGATCACTTGTATGAGTAATGTTTGATAACCACAAAAGCCAGTGTGATAAAGTATTGTGCTAAGTGGTGAAACGAACAATGAAGAGAGCATTCATTCACACTATAAAGTAATTTTGGGTTGTTATGTTTATTCTGATCCATTCTCAAGAACGGAGTTCTTGTTTGGCGAGCATGACGTAATTAATCATAACTGAAATTTCATCAATATGGTTACATTCACATTTACTTATTTACTCTCTGTCCTCCATGTAACTGAAAACGTTTCAACACGAGACGTTTAGTAGCCTCTTGGTTTTCTCGTTTTTGCTTCAAAATACGTATGAAAATGTCTAGAATATTCCCTTTTCTAGGTATTATCATGAGCAATCCATCAATGCCCTCAAATGGGCGAGAAAAACTTCTCAGAAATGCCTTATCATTAGCAGTCAAGATGTTGCATTGGTTGATAGGCTCAGGATTTTGAAAGAGGTTCCCAATAATGACGCAAAATCAGTAATCTCTGAAGCCCAGGACTAAGATTATCTTAATTAAACTCCTGACATCCACCTATTATTCCTATTCTACCTTGCTGTCTTTTGTGAGAAGAATTCACCAGAGCAGGGAGAGTTTCCCGAATAACCTCGAGGCAACTACACTTGTTTTTCTGGGGCTTTGATGTGAGAGGCATCTGTCGCCGACCTGAAACGATTGTTCGGCTGGGTTTCTCCTCTGGCACAGGTACTCCGCCTTCCTGACATAACAAATCGAAATTTAACAACCTAAGTGGACCTTGAGTGTCTCCTTGCTAAATGTGAGATTAAGCTTCTAAAACTGCCGCCCATGTACGTAACCATCACTGCCATATAAGTAGAAAGCTAGACTCTTATTTGGTGATGCTTAAACCACGTTAATAACAAACCACGTTCGAGCGCGCAAACTAAGTAGCGTACACTTGAGCTTTAGATTTCAACGCTCTGTGTTTCCGATTTATTAACGACTATGGCGTTACTTGACCCAAAATCATATTCTTATAATGTGCTAGTAGTCGGAGATGGTAACTTTTCATTCACGGTTTGTTTGGCGTCAGCGTTATCAAAGACATGTGTAAATCGTTGGGATATCGTTTGAGTCGCGCGCAGCCTTGGTGACTAACGACTTCGCTGTGGAAAACATCGAGAAACTGTCCTCTTTTGAAAACGTTGAGATCATGCACGAGGTAGTTGCGACAGATCTTCGTCAAAAATTTGGCTCTAGAACGTTTGATCGGGTGATCTTTAATTTTCCACTCACTGGCGGCAAATCAAACATTGCCAAATCGAGAGATCTGGTGAGCGGTTCTTTGCAAGCACCGCGCACCACGTGGAACGGTTCAAAGGCGATATCTGTGTAAGCCTCTGTCAGTGTCAGGGAGGAACGCCCTTAGACAATCCAAGAAGGGAGCTTGGAAACTCTTGGCAGGTTGTTTACCGAGCTGCGAGAGCTGGTTGGTATTTGTTTGTTTGTCTTTTTTTAAATAATGAGTTCGCTAGGCTTTTAAGAAGCTCTGTCACTTGGAGATTATTTGGTATTGATGAGTTGGCTAGCTGATCGTTTTCTCACCAGATTCTCCTTACTTACTGCAGGAGAGTGCTATTTCTTAGCGATAAATCAACGCACTGTGAAGGTTAAGATGCGAACGGCCGGTGACTTAAATTCTGGAGAATTTTCCGTAGCGCCAGCTGCCATCACGAAACCAATCAATTTGACCTGCCCCATCAAAATACCTTCTATGATGTCAACCTCGGAATGATTTCTTTAAAATCCAATACTGTTATAAAACAAAGCCCAGGTTCCAAAGTTTTTATATTGTTTTCGCCGTTTTTCTTTATTCAAGAACTATGTGTATGATGAAGTATAGAGCTTTACGGAAATCATCCCTGAACCCTCACAGAAGGTTCTTCTGTCCATGTAATGTGGGATGGCATTTTTTGATGTGGTTGTCAAGATGAAGTGACGCCGTACCCTTTAAGTGGAATGGTGTGAGGACAGTAAGTTATGTTTTGATAACTGGTATTGAAGTCATAATATCAACCAAATCATTTATGGGCTCAACCTCTTTAAAGTAATTTTCAGTTATCCGTAACAGTTTGCTTGTGCCCAGTGTCCCATGTGAGTGTGCGAGACATTAAATTCAATTTGGTTTCCCAAAAATACCATGCAAGAACCGTCACTCCTGGAAACGGCTTGAGCCAAGACCTTTCAATCCTGTGTCAGTGACTCATGGGTAAGTCCTCCAAGCCATTTTGCAAATTTTTTAAACTTATAATGTACAGTATAGGAATTAAAATTGTCCTGACACATGTTATTCAGATTCAAGAATAGTTTTGATTCAGTCACAAGTAAGAACCATTTGTTATAAGTTGTTGAGTTCAGTAGTTTCAAAAATTATAATCCTTAAAACAAGGTCAGATGCAAAACCTCTAGTTGTAAATGAAATTACTTTCATGAGTGACTAAATTCATTTTTATGTAAAAGGCTTCTTATTCACCCTTGTTCTAAAACAGTGGCTGAGGGAATTGTTGAAATGGCATATGACAATTTTGGTCAATAATGGAATTTGTGTAATTAACATTGCACAGCTATGCAGGGCGTGAAATTGCGCCTAATACAGGCGCCAATGCAACTAAATTTTTTACTTTGGCGACCAAATCCTGAAAATTAGTTGCCAAATTGACGACTAGAATGTTTCATCATAACCTTACCTAGAGATATAGAAAATTAAAAAGATTTGCAAAGATAAATCTGCAACAAACTTCCTTATTAAATTTGTTTCTAAAACGCAGCACATGCATCAAGATCGATCACTAGACGCCATCTTGGATTTAGGTGAGCTTGAACATTGCATATCATCTATCCTAGTGTCCACTTTGTAGCACGTTAAAGATCTTTTCCCTAACTTAATTTCTAGAACGATGACAGCGTAAAAAAAAGGGTTTGTTTGTCTTTGAAAATGGCGACCAACTTCTTTTGAATTGGCTACCACTTTGAAGAATTTAGGAGCCAAGAGGCTATCAGAAAAAAAAAAAAAAATTCACGCCCTGCTATGTATGCTTTTTCTAAGGAACTGATAGTGTTTGTCTACGATTCAGCTAATTTCCATATGGAAGACATATAGGGTAACTACCACTCATCTTTTTGGTGTTTGACTAAGTCATACCAAATGGTACTTCTTTTGTTGCTGTGATGTTTATTTCTTTGGTCTTTTGTTTCAAGCTGTAGTTCTGATAAAAATCTGTGTGCATTGTGTTTACATTAACTTGTCAGTCGTGCACTAAGGGTCAGTGTGAGACTTTTGATTCTTTGCCATCTTAATCTCTGGCCTGTCAAGGGAAATAGGGTAGTGGTTGTAGTTCTTCATAGTTGTGGTCTAAGGATATGACCATAATCAACAGCAGTTGAATTTTTGTGTGAGGTGCATGTGTCATATTTTTCATTCTACAAGAGTCACATGTGCTTTACGCTTCCTCTTCTTTCTTTTTCATTCAAAAAAGGCTATATAATACTGTAAAAGAATCGTGTTGTATAAAAAATAATTTCTAATATTGACAACACAAGTTACCTTTGATTGGTACCCACAATCCTTTTAATTATTATAACTAGTGATTTTGTAAAATTTGTAGGAGTATTAGTTACTGATATTTTAGGTGGATGGGTTGTCATTGGGAAAAGAGTTTATTCCATTCAGTCTCTTTCCTCCAACTTACATTCATGGTATAAGTTTCTGGATTGCTGAGCAAATGGCAGAACAGCAGTTCTTTCAGGATATTTTTGAAACCACTCAAGGATGCATTTGGGGTGTTTCGTTCCTTGAAGGCTATTATGATACAAAACTGGATAAAGTGAGTTACAATACCATATGGTGTATAGCTCATGTCACCGACCATTGAGTCACATCCAGAGGGTACAAATGCAAAATTTACTGAAAAGAAAGCTCTTAAATTGTGAGTTTCTACTTTAATAGTGACTTGATTAAAATGTGCAATGTATGTGGTATCATTGATGTAAACATCATAACAAGCTTATGACAAATGCAAGATCTTGGTACCTGTGTACGTAAGCAACTCACATCTGTGCTTCTATGTAACAGCATAAAGGAAACAATCACCCCCTGAATGTTATTATACAATGTATGTTATGTTTGTAGTGGGCTGGCAGCATTAGGATCCCTAAGCAAAGAAGTGCACAGTGTTGCATTCCAAGTAGAAACAATCAAACAAACTTTGATGAGCCACTGTTATGTTTTATTTAATCCTGTTACTATTTGTCAATGTTGCACAATATATGCTTATGTCACATTCATTGTATCAAAAAACCAAATCAAGAAATATACAACTTGTTTTAATCATGTGTTAAAGGAGTAGAGGGACTAGGTGAATGACTGTTTAAAGTAAGTTTTACCAAAAAAAACAAACAAATAAACAAACAAAAACAACTATCACAGGCCGAGAAGCACTCAAATATTAGGATAGTTAGTAGAGTTTATTTTATCAGCTAATATGAAAAGACAGTTCTATGGAAAGCCTCATTTGGAAAGACCACTATGGAAAGGCAATTCTCAGTAGGAAGCTCTGTAAGTTGATCATCAGAAATTAAGGCACTAGTGTAAGATGAAGTGGACAGGCAAACATTCAATACCTACAAAGTTCTCTTGTTTGATTAATTTTCAAATACTTATTTGTCCTGATGTCCCCTCCCTCCAATTATTGTAAAATTCTACGATGATAGTAAGGCTCAGATTAACAGGTCTTACATCCATGGAAAAATTGATTTAAGTCTTGCATGCCTAGTCATCAGCTCTTTTAACACATGGTAATATAATCCTAACTGTATAGACTTAACTGTATAGACTTAACTGTGTCTATTTTTCATGAGAAATGTTAAAGTTATTATTTATCCTGGATTGTTGTACAATATGATGAGAATTAGGAATTAAATTAAATTACATTTTTTGAGGTTATGAATGCCATGTATTTATGTAGCTGTCAGACTAGCAAAACCAAATTTGATTATAGTAAATATAGTCCATTTTAAAGTTGCATGCTTGGTTGCCAAGCCTTTTAACATGAGTGAGGCTAAGGGTGACCTTGTTATGATACAAACCTTGCTACTTTTTAAGTTTATATTACTTACTTTGTTATCATGCTAACTAGATACTGGTCTTTATCACAACAAGGTCACCTTCAGTGAAATCAAATCAAAGGCCTGGAAACTAATTACATAACTGTAAAATGGCCTATTATTCTTAGCATTTTACATTTTTCAAGGTGACTGTTTATTAATTGGACTAATAATATCAATATTCTAAATAATCTATTTATAATATAAACATTTCAATTGGAGGCTAGGTAATTGCTGACAGCATTTTTCTTGGTGTATGCCAGAAAATTTTGTCACCCTTATTTAAGAGTGGCAAAACTCCCTAGAATACACAAAGCTCGTAGTCATCTCAACAGCTTTGTAATCTTCAAAGTCCACTTTCACTGGTTATGGTATTTCTGTTATTGAAAGCTAGCTGTTTGACTTCAGAGAGCTTTTACCAATGACCATAATTAGTCAGCAAAATATGTTTCCAGTGAAAGTGTATTTTGAAGGTTGCATTTATGTAGTGTATAAATGACTTTAATGTGGCTGGTGACAATGTGAAAGTTGTTTGATGCTTGGATCATGTGTGACACCACCACTCTATATAAGTTATCTTGATCATACAGATAGAAATAAACAATGTCCAGAAGAACACGACTAAAAAGTCATTTTTACGAAGAACACTTGTGGGAAATTGTGTGAGTTAGGTGGAGAAGGATGGAAAAACTACTGAAGAAGGCTTATGTGTAGGTAAATTTTCAGAAATTAAAAGAAAGTATGCTTCATTTACAAACAAGATGAAAGAAAAGGTAGAAAATGAGAAGAATGTCCGTAAATAGCCATTTTGCAGTTGTGTGCTTACTTGCTAAGCCTTTGAACAGGAGTGAGGCTAATGGTGACTTTGTTATGATACAAAAATTGAGGCTTTTCAAATGTAAATTTCTTAGTTGTTATGCTATCTCTATCACAACAAGGTCAACTTTGGCCTCATTCCAAATCAAAGGCTTGGCAACTAAGGACACAATTGTAAAATGGCCTATTTGATGCATGAAACAGTTATTTCTGATATCAACTTAGTCAGAGTGGTAGTGTCATATTCCATCAAACATGAACAACATAAAATTGTCAGCAGCCACTTTTAGGTCCTTATTAAGAATTCCACACTTTGTGTTATGTTTCATTTTAAAGAGTCTAGATCCATTGATGCCTAATAGGCAATGGACTTTTGTGCTTGTTCTGTGAACACTTAAAAATTTTGAAAGTAAAAACTGAATTTTCAATGTAGAATATTCTTTGCTGTGTAATCAAATAAGGTAAAGACTGAAAGTAGTGGAATTCTGAAAAAGGTGGGTTTACTTCTAACAGATCTGTTGCTTTTCAGCATCATTAGGCTCTATCTCTTTCTGAGGGGGTTCATTAGGCTCAAAGTGAATCAACAATTAACCCCCACTCCTTGTTTCATAAGCAAAACAAAGAAGTTTGGGGAAGAATTCATCCTTTTGATAGATGTCACTTAGCCTTTCGCTAGACACCCTGTTTTGTTTATTGCCCTAAATCATGTCAGGGCCTTCTCTGTGAAACTCATGTACCTGAGGTAGTCTAGTATTGTAAGTCACTATAAAAGTGATCTCCCTCTAAACTAGATTTAAGCAGTGCTTTACTAATTGTTTTCTGGTATCTTTTAAAGATGGGATTACATAAGTTGAACATGAAAAAAGATTTATAAGTTATTTATACAATTATATATATATATATAGCAAACAATTGTGATAGAGGGCTCTTCGCCTGAGTGTCGTCAAACCAAAGTTAAAGTAATCACAATGGCCAAGCAGAGTAATAGGAAGCATGGTAAATAGCCAGTGAGAATTTAGAGTAAGACAAAGCAAACTCCCTAAGGGCAAAAAAATGCAAGTCACCAAGTTATTACTGGATTTGGTTTTGCAAATGAACTGTTAAAAAGGGTGCAAGTTTTTTTGACCTATCACAGCAGAGAAAAGGAGCAAAACCAATTCAATCTTGGATTACTTTCAACACTCAATTGAAAATCGCTCCACCTCTAGAGCTAATTTTTTTTGTTTTGTTTTGTTTTTTTTGGGATGGTTTCCCAATTTCATAGTTCTAAGAAATCAATTTAATGTTGCTAGATTATATCACAGCTAACCTACAAAGTTAACGTAATTATTTAAACTGACATTTTGATACCCTGCATTCATTGTGTAAATAATGCTTGATTATGAGGGCTGCTACTGCAAGTTTTGACTATATGTAATCTGTTTATATGCTAAGCTATATTTTACAAAAAATTCACAATGGCAATTGATACTAAGTGGTAATATTAATAGTCTATGACCTGCTGGTGGACTTCCTAGGGAAAGATGAAGAAAATTGTAGAAAAATCTATTGCATGAAAATGAGCTGGCTTAGACAAAGGATTCCATGAGTGCACCACGAGCAATAAGGAAATTTTCAAATCTGGGGTCATATTCAGGGCATAAGTTTGCATTGTTTACTGCAACATTGTAACCAGCATGATTACAATGTTTATTAATTGGACTTTTTGCATAGTGTTTTTTTGTTTAGCAAGTTTTGCATGCATTCATTTGTTACCATAAGTTAAATTGCAAATACATACTGCCAGGAAAAAAAGTACATCAAGTAAATAACATCCAAGAATTTGGCAACTATTGAACCTGAAATTGGTTAAGAATGGCACAAATTTTCCTAATTCCACTGATATCATTCAAGGAAATTTTTTCCCAGCAAGTAGATTCCATCTGGATATTCTTAGTGAATGTGTTAGAGTGAGAACTTGCTAATCAGAGAAAATCAAAATCACTAAAATGCTACTCATGGCAACATTATTGTTTTTTATGATAAACTAGAAATCATGGGGTTGCAGTTCTCTGTTACTGATGACTAATCAGTCCTTTGGAAGATAACTTATTATCTGATTACTTTGTAATTCTATACACCTGAATATAAGCTGGAAAAGCTTGAACAAGAGGGTTTGGTTACAGTTTACTCAAATTTAAACAAAGCAAAACTATTGTATTGTGTGCAGTCTTAATCCAATAATTTGAGTTGAGTTTTAATCTGAATCATTAAGTTTACTCACCAGGCACAGAGGCATTTTTTACTCTCCTTGATCAGCTGGCCTTGAAGACTAAGGAAGAAAGAAGAAAAAATTATTACAGAGCAATCCGTTCCATGTGAAATTACTCATTCCACTCCATCTATTTTATTAAAAAGCAATTACTAATTCCCTTACTTGATACTTAATTTTGTTTTAATTTATTCAATAATTAAAACGTTGATTATTCTCAAAATATTCCTACAAAGGGATTAAAAGTAATATAATTATGTGACCTCTTCCTAGTAGATAGTTTAGAAAACTTTGTAAGGTCATTGTCAGCCCCTCTACAAGGTTTCAAAGGTATTTTGTCTAGTAGTGACAGAATAGCAGAGAAAGCTGAGGTGAATTCATACATATACTTTAATAAACATGGTTATAATTACCCAGATAGGAATTAACATGATGTGAATAGTATGCCCAGTGTTGATTGTCATCTTAATGTGATCCTGACAAACTTCCCCAGGTTCACAAATAGGCATCACGCAAACTTGAGCTACAGAACCAGGAATTCTGTTCTGGCACAAGGACTTTATACGTATCAAAGGTACCTGAGAATGTTTAGGAGAAGTAAGTAAAAAATATAGTTTCAGTGAATTATTGAGGTTTTTCCCTAATGCCCACTCTGTTTTATGGGGTGTTTCTTGAAATCACAGAAACAATTGTATTAGTCAGCTGTCTACTTTGTTTTGGATGTAGCTGTTGGTCAGTCTTTGGGGGGGCAGGGATCTGGAAAAATTTGAGAAACTTAGGTCTCTACACTCTGACCTTGTTAAAGACAAAATATTTGTTCTTGCTATCCTCTTCACAAAAAAAAAGTGTCAGAGACTGTTGCATATCAACCCAAGGAACCAAGTCTTACATAGTTTTACAGGTTATTTTGAATATACAAAAAGAGTGTATATAAAATCCTAGATTAATTATTCATGTGTTAAGCCAACCAAGGTAACCCCCCCCCCTTCATTGTCAGTAATATTTTATTCACTTACTTCCCTTTCTTCTAGTGTTTGCAAGATCCCTAAAATCAAGATACCACCCAACTTAATGAGTGGTCCTTTTTCCTGCTCATAACATTTTCTTATGGAATATTTTACTATAGTTGCTTTACCTCGAAAGTGTCCCCACGCAGTATGAATTTTCTTTCACATTGTTTCAGCAATTGAAACATAACTGTAATTTGTTGGTCTACATTGATGGTGTGGAGATGCTTACTCTCTGCTTGGGTAGAATGTTCCTCACCAAGTGGGACAACCTGAAATCTCATTCCCAGGTGTTGCTCCAACTGTCTTACAGATGAAGTTACCCTCCCCTAAGCAAAGGGGAAAAATCATTGAAGTTGATTTAGTACATGTAGTTCAAATCAAAGAATGAGCATTTCCTGGTAGAATTTGTCAAATATGTAAGGTTATTGAGCTGATGGTTAGTACAATATCTCTCCATTCATCAAATATTTATTGGTTTCAAGTGTTAATAATGATGGGCAGAAAATTCAACAATGCAGTGATGGTATCAACCTGGCAGCATATATACTGGTAATGGTTAAGAGTGCTGACCTTATAGGGCAATAATCCAGTGAGCTTCACATTTAAAGAAGTTGGTAGTAAAAATTACTGGCTCTGAGACTGACTCCTTGAGTCCACTGGGATTGCAATGGAGATAGTTTTTTTTAGCTTTGCCCAATTATACTATGTTAGTGTCGTATTAACAGTTTTCTATACCTGTTCCGAATATTCAATGAAATGTAATGAAAATAACATTTCATTAACATCTATATGATCTTGTTTCAGCACAAAGAACTTCAGAAGGAGAGGTGAACATGGTACTTGGACTGATGGGTGTGAGGTGCCTAAAAGAACAATTAAGCGATTACATTTTATATAACAGGTACATGACTACATTTGTCAATCATAAGGAAATGGTCTTGACAATTGTAATGTCGCATCTTACAGGTGATAATTGATAGCATCGTTCTAAAGTAACACAATAACAAGTTTATCAACAACGACAATAGAAGCAAAAAGTTTTCATAATATTTCCCTATTAAGCTCTCACAGCATTGTCACACAATGTCTTAATGTGTCATAAATTATTGTTGTTTATGTTGTTGTTTTGATATGTCAATTAAGCTGGTATAGATTTCTCCTGTTTTGGAGCTTTTCTTTGGATCTTTGTGTGGATCAATCCAAAAATGTTTGAAAATTCTGTTTCAAAAACTTGCATAAGAACTAAGTATAATTTCGGAGGCAAGAGGATGCTGAAGCATTTCCCTGATTCAACCAACCAACTTAACCCTCTTAAGCATCTGCTATTACCTTCTCAAAGTGGACTTAGCGCCTTGCAGCTGTAGATGTTTGGATGTTAAACTATACATCGGGGATACTGCTTTTTTTCTATTTTAAAAGAGTGGTAATTCTGCTTGTGTGAATTTATACGATTACTTAGGAAGTTTAAGCTGTATTTTATTCAGGCTACTGAGTATGATTTAAGTCAAATCTGACTTGTGAAATACAGACAAAAAAGCAAGATTTAGAGGGGCATTTTTTGGTACAAATAGTATAGAGAAGTATTAATTTTATTTATCTATACAGCTGTTATTTCCATCTTAAACTTTATTCTCCACTCTGAGGACGTTTACTCTCAATTGCGAGTTAATCATCAGTAAATGTTTAGACTTATTAGGTTCTGGAGGAGACTACGGAATAAATGCTTTAGAAGCTATTACACCTTCAAATCTTTATTAGATTAGCCATATAGCAATGCTAGCAAAGTAGGTAGATGATTTGTGTCCATAGTAGTGTATTGAATAGTATTCGGAGTCTTAATTTTGTTTAATGGTGTTTTGAATCTCGGAAATGTTACGCAAATAGCATTCCTTATTTCTTCGAGAAAGTAACAAATCAGGTGAATTATGGCTCACAACGCGTGTTGTGTTACTTACTTTCAACGGGAATTTTGATTCCACCTTGTCCCTCCTCACATGGAAGATCTGTATCTACGCTCCCATTTTCTTGTGTTGAAGAAAAAATCTCATCGTCGAGAGATGCTTCGGATGGAACAATGACTAGTCCTTGTACCAGACTTGAAATTAATCCGTCAACATGGCCATTTGCTGTTGCGCCCGGCTCATTAGTCGCTGAAGTCGTAGCTTCTTTTACAGTTTTGTCGATGAGTTTCCCACAACGGGGGCAGATGGCTTCATTCACATCAAGTAAAGGGGTTGTTTCTTCAGGGCAGACGCAAAATTCTGTTGGACTGAAGCCGGATGCGCCTGGTTGTGGAGAATCGCTGATGTTTCGCGTTATTTCATCTTGAACAACATCGTTCCTATCGTCAAGGACGTCATCTCTTTCACTCCTTGCTTCATCGCTGCTCTAAGTCAGAGAATAAGCACTTTGAATCACTTTTTCCTTTTGTTTTGTAATGAAAGTCAGTTTCCGACGTCTGTGCAGAAGTGCTTCGAAAGTGAAAGTTTCCTACAAATGCTTCATCCCTCTTATTTATGAGTGCGTAGTTCAATGGTTCTTAATTGATCTTAACTGAAAAAGAAACTTCATACACAAGGTTTAACCGATATTAATATCACTGGACCTTTCTTACCTCGCTTCGTCTGTCCTCTGTATCCATTTTTTAGCACTTTCGTTTTTTCTCGCTTTAACTAATCGGTTTCCTAGAGAAAGGGGAAAAAGGCTTAATTTGTATCATTTATACAAGTTCCCTCCCATTGGCTAACTTGTTTCCCTTTCGCTCATTGGCTGAATAAAACAAAGGTCGGGGAAACCCCCTCGAAAACGAAAGGATAGTACTTAGCTAGTATACTTCCTCAAAGAACAGCAAATTTACAGTGATTCAATTCCTTCCATTTTCTAAGGGAGATCTAGCAATCAGTCGAAACATATTCATCGGGTGGCGTTAAAACAAATATCCACTTTTGTAGGTTTTGGTCGATATATTTTTTTATTGGTAAAGGGTCATCACCGTCTCTTCAAATCAACCGAATTTCTGCATTTGTAAAATCAAGGTAGCCGTTACCTTTGGCAGTCAGTTGAGGTCAAAGAAATGGAAACTTGTCAACTTAGACACTATGTTTTCTTCTGCGTCTTGGTAAGGTTATTGTCTTATATCATTTTATGACTTACAACAGTGAGATGTTAAGCGGAAGTGAAAACCTCTTGATCCAAACAGACTGTTAAAATGTGCTAGTTATGTTTATTGTACTGTTTATTGTACTTATTTTAGGTGTAAGGGACCCAAAAGAAAAAAAGGTTGCCTTGAATGGCAAGAGTACGTCAAATTTGATCAGTACCAATTCGGTTAAGACTGAGTCTGAAGTTTTCAGGATGCACCAGCCATTTGTACTTTTAGTGCGGGCGAGTTAACGTTATATATCGTCTCTCCGGACGAGCACTCTCGCCAAAATTACACTTGCTCCGGAGGCTATGAACTTTTCATGACCGTACTCTTTGGTGTGTTTCACAGATGTAATAGCCCGCAGAGCAGGTGTAATTTTGGCGTGAGAGTGTTTAAAAGTGTTTTAAATTTCTTAGCTAAAATTATGGCCGTCATCTTTGATTTTAATGGCAGCGGAAGGCTGGGGAGAGAAATAAATTTGAACTAAGGGGGCGGTCGACGGTCGACGGTCGAAAATAAATAGAGGAGTGGGGTTAGGGGAGTGTAGATCTAACTGCAAGTCAAACATGGCCGGTCGGTTAAATGATTGCGAGCTTATAAGATAAGCTCGCTTTAATGACACGTCTGCACTGCAAGCTACAGATTTAATAGTTATTTATGTTGTTAACGTGCTTCTAAACGAAAGGAAACTGGAATGCGAATGTCAACAAACAGAAAAGTTAAATCATATGAAATTTAATCTTAGAGAAACCTTTGTTTGTTCCAATTTGTGTCCCTCTGTATATAGGTCAATCAAGCCAATGCAGCTCAGGTTTGCAGAGATGACCAACATGCGGTAGAACTGCCGGATGGTAATATCGCTTGTACAGATTGCATCAAATGCCCCCCAGGATCGGAGGTAACAATCCCTTGCGGAACTAGGAGGGCCATCGACACCTATGTTGAGTGTAAGGAGTGTGCCTCTGACTACTACTCTGATTCCTACTCTTCCGAGAGTTGTAAACCCTGTTCAACCTGTAATCCAGATGAAGTAACTATAAAACGATGCACTAAAATCTCAAACACTCACTGTAGTTGCAAGCCATGCCCAGATGGGTATTACCAAAACCAAACTTTGTCCAAATGCCTCCCTTGCTCAGGATGTTGTTTGGGTGATTTGGACGTAGTTGTCCCACAATGTCTTATGCAAGGGATGCCTCGAACTCAATCGTGCAGCTACCACAAGAGAAAACCCTGTTTAGCAAAGTGTTGGTATGATGAGATCACAGTTGTAAAGCATGATGGCAAACAGATCTGTTTACCCTGTCCTGTTTGTTCAGACGAATTTGGCCTCACCAAACCATGTGGAAGTGTTGTAACTGATGGTGCGATACCTAAGTGTGAACTTCCGATCTTAGGAGAAACCTTCGTCGATCAGCAGGGTGTTCTACAGTCTTGCAAAATTTGTTCGATTGGTCAGAAGGTTTTAGCCAACTGTTCCACCAAATCAAATACCATTTGTGGTGAGTGCATGCCAGGGTTTTATCTGAACGACCACTCAAAAGCTTGTGAACAGTGCTTCTGGTGTTGTGGTTTTAGCGACAGTCAAAGTATCGTGAACTGTATAAAGGAAGGAATGGCGTCTTCAGAGAACTCTCAGGGGCTCGCTATTAAGCCTCATATTCCATCTTTGGGCTTTAAATGAACAGTTTGGGCAGCTGCAAACTGTAGAACAAGAAAACTATAAGGTGAACTCAATCGAACTTGACAAGGTGACAACATTGATTGTATTGAGCATATGCTTCTTTCTGATTTGGGTTGCCATTTCAGTACCATTATCGGAGGGCAACTATCAGTATCCATTTCCAAATGAAGAAAACAATTGTGAGCTGATGGAAAAGAAGGACTGTGCTGAAATTACAGAAACTTCTTCACTTGCAGGTAAGTTAAGCATTCATTTATGATCTCTAATTGGTATTCATTGCTTTATGTTTTCAGTGCCTATAGGCTTAAAACTCTTGTGTATAGAGTACTACACCTAGCGTTTTAAACAAAAACAGAGTACCCCACTTCTTTTCACTTTTTGTTTGTTTATTTGTTTTTGTTCTCTATTTTTTATTTGTTTTGTAGAAAGGACTAGAAAATGGAGTCTTCCCATGCTGTTTTTCTGAAAAAGCTACCTTGTGTTTACGATATACAAATTTTATGCGTATTTTTGCATATGTATATTTTATTTCGTAGGTAGTAAGGAGCCAGAGTTGGAGTGTCCAAAACAACATAGCCCAGGTCATATGGTATTTGAAAAGACAGGAGTTGAGGTTGTTTCTCTTGATAACAACAGGTCTACTCTTCAACAGTTGCCACGTGATTTGGTACTGCATGCCACACCAGAAGGGCTGGATTTACCTGGATTACTTGAGGATGATGAATTTCCACTAAGTCCAGCATTTATTTTTATTTCAAAGAACCAGTTGCTGGAACCCCTTGAGCTTCAGATACCTCATGGTGCAAACATGGTGCTTTCTCCAAATAAGTGGAAAATCATTTTGAAGGAGTTGAAAAATGATGAATGGGTAGTAAGTTATGTGGAGGGTAGTAAGTCATGTGGAATAAAAGAATTCCTCCCCAAAAGCAATCATGTTAGCTTTAAAACAAATTATTTTGCAACATTTGCAGTGGTTGGACACTGTGAAGAGCGATCTTTACCAGTATTCAAGAGAATGAAGGTCATGGCATTTTGTAATGACACCAGAGTTGGAGAAGACCTTGTTGTGAGATTGTACTGCTTTGATGACTGCGAGTGGTCATTTGAGGTAAGCTTTTGAGGATAAAAAACAGATTTTCTCCTTAGATAGGACTGAATTGACAATAGTAAGGGCATTGAATTTCTCCCTGAGTTTCAGCATCGAAGAGACCAAAAGATCTCTTTCATATATAAATTTTTTTTCAATTGTTCAGTAAGAGGACAGGTGTTTCAAACCTTGTGACATCTTACCCAGCTGTGGCAATCTGTTTTTGTACATAATTGAAGTCTTAACTAGGATTCTTAAGGTATTTACAAGGATATGTAATTTAATTTTTAATTTGTGCCAGTCTAGTTCATAAAGAATCCCAACTTCCAATCATGGTTACTTATGTTATATAATTTTGTTAGATCTATTTCTGTAAGTAATGAATTTTAACAAAATTGTGTGACCTTTGCTCCACAGAATGTTATGAGGGAGGAGAAAAAGGAAGGAGGAAAGCCCATGTCATCAGTTGAATCTCTTGATTTTTCTGTAATTCATGGAGAGGATGTAGAAATTGGTGTGAAGGATATTGATGGCTGGAAGCTAAAGAGTGGTCACCAAATGGTATTTTGCAGTCATTGTTTGAGTGTCGTGCACCAACAGAGAAAGATTCTGAGAAAAATGGAAACTTTCAAGCTTCACTGAAGATCTTAAAATTGTGAACTTGATAATTAACTTTCTTTTCAGATCCCTAAAAGTTTTGCTATCTCTTGATGATTTTGAAGACATTTGCATTTTGTTCTCTTTTTTTTTTTTTTAGAAAATCAGCTATGCATCACTGAAGAACTCTTTCAGTACAACTCCCAGATGCAATCTGGTATTTAGCTCAGCATCCATGGAAAAGAAAAGCAGCTTCTTTGCTACTATTATTTTGACTCAGGCATCCAATCAAACTTTGATGTATGCAAGCACTGCTATTAAGGAGGTACATTTTACGTAGTACATTTTATAGCACAAAATATAAATATATTTTAAATTTCAGTGAATTAATCTGCAGGAGACACAATGGCCTCTGTTGTAGTCTATTTTAATGAGGATTTGGTCACCTATAGTTAGTCTTCTTCTTGCTTGGGGTCATATTTGTGTTTAGAACCAGAAACTAATAATTTATCCACAACACCAATGAGAGTTTACCAGCAGTACAGTTACTGCCAACACAGGGTTTTTCTAATTTTTTTTGGATTGAGCGATATGACAACTGAAAGAGCTCTAATTTTCCATTTTTTCATTGTAGGATCCAAGCTGGTATACGAATCAGAGCTCGATTGCAAATGCCATGAATGGTGAGTTGTTTACACTTACTGAGAGGTGTTAGGTTTTAGTAGCCTTCAAATGGATGAAGGTCAGTATAGCTGGATTGAGTCGTAAAGTTGTCAGTTATTATTCTTTTGAAGTAAAAAACTACTTGAAAATGCAAGGAACTTTGTTCCTGTAGGGGAACTGATGTTTTCTTCCCAGTAATCACAACTATTACTTTCTTCCTTCATAAGGAAATCAAGTCACAAGTATCGCAGATATCACTGTTGTAAAGAGTGGAAAGGGAAAAGAGAAAGGAATTTCTGACTGCATCATTCAGTTGCCAGCTTTATACTCAACCTGAACTCAACCTGATAATCATCAGAGATGAGGTTCCATTGAGTGAACTTCAGCGTCCATAGACTAGAGGCATTATACTGTGTATATTTCCTTTTGTTTTAATTTAATCGATTGAGTAAGACAAAAAACCAAGATAGGGATCAAATCTCGCTGACATATTTCACAAAAATGTTCAAAAAGGTAAGTAAAAAGTTCACAGATAATTTGGTACGTTAAGGGATCTTAACATCTGAAATTCTCTCACCCCTAGATGAAACTCTTTGCCAGGTATTTTAATTCATATTACTTCGTTAGTAGTAGTTTATCTTAAAAAGTGTTCAGGATAAGGTGTTTGAAGTCCTGAATAGAGGATATCAGAGGTTGTACATCTTAAGCTAATAAATTTTTAAGTAATATGTACAAAGCAGGAGTTATTGCCTGGTTATTAATGTGTATAACGACAGAGTGTTGTTTCCTGTGAAAAACTAGTTGTGATGAAACATTGTGTCGAGTAGTGAACAACCAATTTTTAAAATGTATTCAATCACACATTAAGTCATTTACTCTCTGTCTTTCTGTGTAACTGTAGACGTTTCAACACTAAACGTTTGGCAGCTTCTTGATTTTCTCGTGATTGCTGCAAGATACGTATGAAAATGTCTAAAATATTCCCTTTTCTGGGTATCATCATTAGCAAGTGATCGATGCCATCTGATGGACGTGGAAAACTTCGCAGAAATGCCTTATCATCGGCCGTCAAGATATTGTATTGATAAAGATAGGCACATAACGATGTAAAGTCCCCAATATTGGCAATAAGATCTACGTGACAGCTTTGAAGGGCGTCTCGGTCCAGTTTTGGCATACCCGTAACTTTGAAATGCGAAATGAAAAGGATCAGTGAACAATTTTTTTTAAATAAACACAACTATCCTGCCATCTATTTTTCTTTCTTTCTATCTATCTCTCTAGCTAGCTAGCTAGCTATCTATCTATCTATCTATCTATCTATCTATCTATCTATCTATCTATCTATCTATCTATCTATCTATCTATCTATCTATCTATCTATCTATCTATTTATCTATCTACCTACCTACCTACCCATCTATCTATATATATATATATATATATATATATATCTATCTATTTATCTATCTCTCTATCTATCTATCTATCTGTTCGACTGTCTATCTATCTATGTATGTATCTATCTAAAGTATCTATCTATCTACCTTGATATTCCCACATAACAATTTAGCTTTTCTGTTCCCTGACCTAAGTGCTTGATATTTGGCAAGTCAAAACACCAGAACCTTACTTGACTTGTAATTAAGACCTAGCTAAAGCTCCACAGGGTAATCTTATATCACAAAAATTCCAACTGGACTTGTGAATTAAATTTTAAGTTTTGTACCTGAATAGTTTTGACTCTCAAGGCCATCGGTTGGCGTATGATGAACCTAAGAATACAGAAAGTTACCTTTATTGATTAGTGCTTTCTGGGTTTTACACGCGATTGTGGGAGGTTAAAATCATATGATTGTTAACCAGGAAGTACCTCTCGTGGATTGTCATAATCCAACAGTACTAGCAGCAGTTAGCACTTCAACGTGTTGTAGGAAGAGAAGCTCTCTCTAATGCCGCATTCACACCAAAGCTTAAACATGTTTAAAAGTTGTTTTGTTAAACACAGTTTAATTTTTTTTTTTTTTTTAGAAACTATTTAACCGAATATTTTTGACTTGAATGTAGCACATTGGAAATGCAAGTTAGCAAGTACTTGAATCCAATGGAAAATCAAGTTTTTCAGTGCTCTGTTTATAATTTTCATTCAATGAAAACTAGTTTAACAAAACATGTTTTGCTGGTGTGAATGGGGTATTAGACTCTAAAAAACGTTTTGCTGACTGAAAATCATTGGGTTCTTTATGTTGGTTTCTTTTGTTATTTACAACTTGAAACAACTGACTATCTTAAGAGGTAACGCCTCCAGTCGCAAGACCGCTGTCAGTAGGGAACTCTGAAAACACTACTAAGAAGATCATGAATAAAAGCAATTGATTGATTAATTGATAAACAGTTGTTAATAGTAATTGAATAAAATATTGTTATGTAAAGCCAAATTGGAATGGTAAGTGCACTCGCAATTTTTAATAACGAGGTTGAGAATGAAGAGAGGAATGGGAGATTCAATCAATACGAACACAGAAGTTTTATTATTAAGACATCACTAGTACTAAAGCCATACCTTGGTAGGAATGAGAATGACCAGTCTCGCTTTTCCACTAAGCAGTGCCATCCTGACTCTGTCTTCACGAAGAGTGTTTTGCTCTCCAACATATGTAGTGACCAGCTTGACACAAGCGCCAGGAAATAACCTCTCCTCACTTTTTGCAAGTAGATGTTGGACGCCAATGGTGGTTGGCTATTAAAAAAGAATCGATTCCCAGATTTTTCAGCCAAACTTGCACTTACGGATTGCAGAATGCAAACAGGGTGCCCAGCCGACCTATTTTCAGAAGAGTTGTATACCGTAGGTTCTATGGTAGAGTCAAACCCAACACTGAGCAGGTTAATTACAGTGGGTAAGCCACTATTAAATTGTATTGTGGTTGTCAACCCCTGGCCCTGGATAAACCTGCATCTCTCTATGCGGAGTTAAGCACTTACTACTAACCAGGGTATCCAAACAAATTTATGCTAGAAAGTAAATTAGAATGCAATATTATAACTCAGACCGAAAATTTTTTTAGGAGAAAAAGTGTTACCTACCGCAGGACTGACCAAGGCAAAACATTCGCCACAATCCATTTCAGAGATGATTGTTACCTCACTTTGGATTGCCATTTGAGGATGATAGGCGAACAAGGATCCTTTCTCATCTATCACAGCGATCTCAGTTCCTTCATAAGCAGCTGCTTCATTTTGGGCGATTTTGTGGTACACCTGGGAAATCGAAAGACGTGTTGTCATATATGAAATGCATTAACCACCAAAAGGTTGGTGTCAATTTATGTTTTCGTTATCTTGAATCAAATTTTTTTTCAAGTTCTCAACCCAATATTTAATAGTGATCTGATAACTCTTGTGAGGTTCTCTTGACCAGTATTATTAATTTCCCGTTTATGTAATTAAGTGTACTCCATTGTAGGCGTCGTAGAGTGTCGAGAAGCAACTGTGCGAGTTTGGATTTAGTAAGCAATGTACCTCACGTTACTCCTTTAACTCCCAGAAGTGATTAACATGTAACTTCTCTACGTAATATCCGTACATCATCCAGCAAAAAGGTTACGAGAATACACAAACGTATGATGTGGAAGTTGTTGTCTTCAATTAACACCAAATTATCCGAACTAATTGTAAAGGAAATGTATAGCAGCTGTAGGGGAGAAATGACAGTCAGATCTTGGGAGTTAAGAGGGTTAACTTTTTCGTTTAGGTTTTGAGAAGACCTGGAATTTTTTAACTAGACACTCGGTATCTTACCAAATCGAATTTTTCCCCTGGAATAAAATAGACGATATGGCTTCGATTCTTTCCAGAGAGAACTCCTCGCTTGAATACTGCTATGAAGCACGACAGACATTCGTGGGTCCACTTCAACTCCTCTAAAATAACAGAAAGAGCAAAGATGTCTGATCCGTGTTGATGGAAGTCAGTTGAAATTTTTATCGGCTCAGAGGGAGTGATAAGGCAGAATATAACTCTTCAGACAAATTGTACTTGTTAACTTGATTTCTCTACTATAATTGTTACATAGACCACCTACCACAAGTCTGGCATACGTCGTTTTTTCCGTTTTCGTCATTTCCTTCAGTTGGAGTTTTAGAAAGTTTACTTGAGTACGTGTTTGCCTTTCCTTGACTTAAACTTGCTTCAGAGCGCTCCTGTAGCGGTAAACCAGAAGCGTTTTCATCTCTCGATAAGCTCAAATGTTCTAGAGACAACGTGTCCAACTCGGCAGATTCCTCATTCAAAGGAACCAGGTGTGTGTTCTCCGTATCTTCGTTATCTTGGAAAATTACGCTTTGCTCCCGATTGTCTGTGCATCTCCTTTGCGAGTGTGAGTCGGAAGGATTCGAAATAAGATCTCCGTTACATAGTGGGCATAGAATGATAAACTGCACCCTAGAAGGAATCTGTACAACTCCACAATTGGCACAGTTTGCGTAGACAGCCTTCCCATAATCAAACTGTTCGTTTCCACTCATTTTATGGAACAATCTTCATGCCACTGCGATCTTTGAATTGAATAGCATTCAATGAAGCCACCGTGACTTCGAAAAAATAAAAAATTTGCACGCTAAGCGCATTTTTTAATTCCTTTTCCGGACGTGATGTAATCTCGCGGGGGATTCCCCGACTACTCTTATGCAAATTTTCGAGACAACGCTTGGGGTAAGTTCGCGCACGTACAGGAGTTGCCGTCGAGGAATCACGTTGATTGTTCACATCTTCAATTATAAATTGTAAGTAATGAAATCTAAGCTGCAGAATACCTCGCCACTCATCTACAATTTATTGAATAAGAATAACGTTGATTGTGTTAGGCCTTCTTTTCGATTTCAATGTAAATGAGGTGGACCAAAGTGGCAGGCATAGGGTAACGCGTAAAGTAACCGTCGTGATGAACACAGCCCTACCTCAAAAGCGTTTTAAATGTATGATGTTTACGTTAAATTTGTTATAGTTCTGTTAAAAGAAAATTAAAAATACGACATTTGTTTGTGTTATGAGTAACTTACATTTTAAGCATTTCGTGCTGAAAAAAAAAAAATGCGAGGAAAATTTGCATAAAATTGTGCTGCGTAATCACATTTTTGAGATGTGCTGAGTAAGCAACTGTAGAGGGATTATATTAACGAAATGTCTGATCCCACCGCTAATACTTAGTGTACATTGTTGTATTAAACAGAGTTGCGTTTTTACAGAGGCTGTCCTTTCTTTTACAGGGAGTTTTCGTGGTCTGAGCATGGCCAAGACATCGCCACTTTCCTTGTTCCCGTTGGTTGTGAGTATTTCCCCTTGATTAGCCTTATAGTTAACGTTCCTACAGATATATGTGGTGAACTGACTCCAGAAAGACTTAGGAATAAAAGTAGTTAACAGGTATCAGTTGCGACTGCAAAAACTCTTAAGTTAGGCCAACTAGTGAATTTGTTGATCAGTTATATATGCTGTTGGCAGAGTGCATGTCAGATGCCTCAAGGTTAGGCTAGATAAAGCGAACAGTACAATACACTTCTCATCTATTTTGTGACAAAGTTGCATCATTATAAAATTTTCCTGCAGTCTGTTTATTTCATATTTTGTGCTTTTATCTTCCAGCTTATATTTCTATGCTCTGGCAGTTATTCACTTCGGTGTAGGTACAACCAGTTTACAGTTCAAGATGTGATGGGTAACTGGTCATGTATTGATTGCCCCAAGTGCCTTCCTGGTTATGGCTTGACTCCACAATGTTACAGTAAAGTGAAATATGGTACCCGCATTGAGTGCAAAAAATGTGAGCTTGGAAAAACATATTCTGATGCTCATAATACTGGATCTTGCATTTCATGTGGAATTTGTGCCAAACATGAAAAAGTCCACCATAAATGCAATTTGACATCAAATTCAGAGTGCGGAAAATGTGACAAAGGCTTCTATAGTGAAGGATTAACTGGAGATTGTAAGCCATGTTCCTTTTGTTGCTCATTTCTTCCCAACCACTCTGATATAAGCAATAGCGTGAAAGATGAATGTAAAAACATGCCATACTATCAACGATGTGATGCCAATGTTATCAATTGTCAAGTACCAAAATGTAGAGATGATCAATACCTTGTTGTAACAAACAAAAGAGGTGGTGTGCGATGTGTGAACTGTAAAATTTGTCCAGCAGGAACATCACCTTCTATTCGATGTGGAAATGGAGATATACTAGAAAGTATTGATGAAGTCAAATGTACGAGCTGCTCTCTTGGTGAAACATATTCTGAAAAGCCAGGTACACACCCTTGCAAGCCATGCTCAACTTGCTCATTTGGACAGATAGAACTGACAACCTGTAATCTGACACATGATAGGGTTTGTGGAAATTGTGACAAAAGATTTTATAGTATAAATGGAACAGAATGCAAGCCATGCTCTGCCTGCTGTGGTGATGAACAAGATGTTCAAATTCCAGAATGTGTGAGACATAATATGCCAAAGAGTATGCAATGTAGTTATACTCAGAGATCCATCAAAGTATGTCAAGAACAAAGCTCAACTGAGATTGTCATTCGACAGAAACACACAATCACTACAACATTATTGATTGTGATGATAGTAGGGATATGTTTTGCAGCCATGGCATCGGTGGGGTTGGGATACTTGAAATACAAAAAGAATAGAGATTCTCTCAGTAGAATTTTCTATACTCAGTTGCAGCCATCTTTAGAGGAAGGTGAGGTTTCATCATCAGGATATAATATTTAATCATATATAGCTTAACTGAATGTTTGCTTGGTGTGATGTAGTCAGCACCTAGTTTAAGGTACCTGTGGTGAGTAATATTTAATATTTAATATTACTCCTTAAGCTTGTCATGTTATTTTGCTTTTTTTAGTGCCCCAAGGCCAGAGTCTTTTAATGCCATTGGAGGAGCCAATAGCTGATGGAGCACAGGAGACTTTATCTTTTGATAAATCAGGTGTTTTAGTCCAGTTCAGGGATGCAAATAGTTTCTTCAATGATGCTCAAGGAATAAGACTAGAGATATGTTGGGATATTAACAGTATCAAGGTGCCACTTCAATCTGGTGAAGTGCAGCTTAGCCCTGTGATAAAATTTCATCCTTATGGGGTGCAACTATCCAAACCAGTACAGGTCAGGATACCACACAGTGCCCTAGTGCTTTTTAGTAATGGCTGGGAAATCAAATTAAAAAGCTCTAGACCATATAATGAATCAATTGAGTGGAGGGAGGAAACTCTGTTTGAAGTACATAATAATGAAGTCAGCTTTCAAGTGGATAATCTTAGCTCCTACGTAGTCATTGGTACATCACTGGCAAATGACAAACCAACAAAGAAGCGCCTTCAGTGCGCTGTTTTTGGTGGAGAGGGTACAGTTGGTGTGGACTACACAGCATACTTATATGTCTTTGATGACTGTGAGGCATCATTAGAGGTACCAATTATACATTTGTTTATAGTCAATTCATACTTGAGTTTGTTTGATATATTTGAAGGCCAAGGTGTATGAACATTATTTTCTAAACAGAGAAGGCTTGTTTGAGGGAATAAGTCTCATTAGAGACAGGTACTTGTGGGTAAATATACTCTGCTAAACTGCTGATATGCTAGTATTTCACTCCTCTTAGGATGGAGAATGTGAGCAAGCATGGGATTAATCTGAAACCAAAATATAATTTATCCATATAACTTGCCTCATAACTCTGTAACATAACCAGTACTGGATGAAAAACAGGAAAAAAATGTAAACCACACAATACTCATATGAAAGATGAATCTCAATTTGTTTGTGTATGGTTTTTTAATCAATATTACATGATTGTTAGAACTTTACACTGTGATTGCTTAATTTATAAACACATATTTCATTTTTCCAGAAAATCATGCAAGAAGAGAGGTCAAATGGAAGAATCTTGTTAGGTTCCCCCCAGTCTCTCTATGTCGAAACTGTGATGATCAAAACTGATATCAAGATTTCTGTAAAAGAACCAGTTGAGGGGTGGACTGTCGGAGACATTAAACCAGAGGTAACTCCACAACTACAGTTCACTTTCTCTATTACTCTACTTTTGTTATTTTCTTAATCCTTGTTTAATGGCCTCCATGCATGTATTTTCATACATCCCTTTGAACCCTTTCCCACTCCTTAATTTTGGATAAAAGTGGTACTTGTATTGGGTTTTGTAGATGTTTTCTTATTTAAATAAGAAATTACCGTAAAGGGAAGAAACCATCATTGTGCATTAAATGATTAAGTGTGTTTTTCTGTGCAATGGATACACAAGAATTATAATCAACTGAAAGTATATGTAAAGGTACTAGATATTTTCTACTATGGAAATGTGGCAGCTGTAAAGAATGAAAAGTGCAATTAAAGAAATTGAAAGGGGAAGCAGTTGGTTGATTGCAGAGGATGATATGTAAAAGGACTGTTACTATATTGTACTATTGATCATTTGTGTTAATGTTTCCATTTGTAAATAGAGAAGAATGAAATCTAACCTGACTTATTTGCTTTTAATAACACAGAGTATTACACAAAAGAGTGTGAAGGAATCTTATCAAACAATACCTAAGGCAGAAATACTTTTTAAACATGACAATGGCCGCAACAGAGATTTCCTTTGTGTATTTGAACTAACCAATGAAGAATCAACAACAACCATTTGTGCAGTTGCCTCAATTAAAGAGGTAGGTGTCATTTTGAGGTAAATTATTAATTTAAAAGTATTATTCATAAAGCTTGAAAAAAAATTGGCAATTAGTTTAGTTAACATGATTCTTACTTGGAAACTAGAGCTTTTCTTCTTACTTAAACTTTTTAACTCTCAGTTTCTAAGACTTCTTGTGGGCAGTGTGTAATTTGACTGATGTGTAATTTTGAAACCACAATGCAAAAACAAACATTAAGCCTCACTGATATCAAGTCAGAAGTCAATGTTCCTTTATTTTCTTTTGTATGGGTCATAGCATGATTATATGTAATTTTAATTAGTAGATTGATAAATTTTGAATGTTGTTTTTGAGTGTTCTTGTAGCTTGGTCTAACATAATTATAACTGCCTAACTTTCCATGATTTTAAAAATGTACCTATTCCTTCAGGACCCATTTAGGAGGTCTCAGGAGCAGCAACCAAGCTTCAGTAGTGACCGCCATTGTTTAGTGACAGGCAGGAACTTGTGTGGTAAGGCCATATGCTGTGGCGTCATTGGGCGTTCTAAAATAACATGAATATTTTTCTCAACATCAGATAGAGTTAACCCTTTAATTCCCAAGGTCTAGTTGTTAATTCTCCCCTCTAGCTGCCACACATTTTCTTGTAAAGCTAGTAGGTGGGAAAATTTGGTGTTAGATCAAGATGACAGCTTTTACCCATAAATTTGAGTATTCTCATTACCTGCTTGCTGGATAATGTATGAATACTATAGGGAGAAGTAACATGTTAATCACTTCTGGGAGTTAAAGGGTTAAGTGTGTTTAACAGCCGTTTTTTGGTCACATCGCGCAAATGCGCTCTCCCCTCCTTTCTCCTCACAGTATTTCATTCTTCATACTTTTTTTTGGGAGGGGGGGGGGAAGTATTATCTCAAACTGACTGATAATTGATTATTTCAATTTAGTGAACAGTATTACCTGTGCTACACTTCATAACCAATAAATTTGTTTTGTAGATCCAGTGATTGTTAATGAAGAAAAGGCGTCCCTTCGTCTTGAAAAACTCCCAAAAGAAGTTTTTCGTACTGTTTGCGTGACCCTGGATATGCCCCTTAAAGGAGTTGGCAACTGGCGACATGTTGGAGCATCCCTTGGATTCAAGGAGCAAGAAATTCAGCGTTTTAGAGATGAGATGTTAATTCCTGAAGGAAGTCCTTGCATGGTGATGTTGGAGGCGTTGATAGTCAAGTCGCCGCTTTTTACAGTCGCAGAATTAGTGCAGATCCTTCAAGCAAGAAATATTCAGCGCTTCGATGTTGTAGTAATCCTTGAACCTTATTTATACGAGCCAATCCTTGAGGACAGTCTTGCATGAAAAGTCCACTAAAATGTGAATTTACACTAGCACTTTTACGTATAGGATATTAATGAAATTAAACTTATAATTTGGTTGTGGTTTAGTTTAGCATTTGTAATGAGAATGTCTCTTAAGCTTTGGGATCTATGGTGAGAAAAAATGAAAAATGGAAGTTCGTATCACAAGTTAAATTTCCTTGATTGCCGTCAATTTATTGCCAGTAGCACTTCAGTGAAATACAGGCTATAATGATATTATAAATGCCTAGTATGCATATAATTTAGTAGTGTGAAACGTTGTACACTTTTCTGTAAGACCAATGGTTATGAATTCAGAGTTGACAACTGTCCCTGCTATGATATTTAATAAGTGAATAATTCCCACAGTAATGTTCCAAGTTAAGCAACTTACACACACACAGTAAAATATTAGTGCACTGCTTTTGAAATTGTCCGCCTTACATATCAGCTGATTTAAAAATAAGAAATATTAAACAAAAAATACGAAGAAAAATTAAAACAACAACAACAACAACAAACAAACAAAACTATGGAAAAAGAGTGAAAATTGAATAACAGAGAGAAACAAAATTTCCAAAGCACGATGCCTGAGCTGAAAGACATTACTTCCTTGGGTCTTCTATTTCTCCGATAAAGTCCTTTGCATTCATAACATTCCATGAAATCCTTAAAATCGATGTCTTAATGTCCAATTTAGACCACACTCACACAAAACGGGTCCTTTTATCACAGCTGCTTTGTTTATATATGTAATTATGGAAAACACACACCGCCGCAAATTTCATCCCAAGCCAATTTTTGCCGAATGGACTTCAGTTACCCTAATATTCAGAAACGCTGATTCGTTATTACACTCTTTGCTCTGAATTTCGCCTGGCGGCGTTAGTGTCTCGTATGATTTTCGTTTCATTTCTCATGTTGAAGGATCGAGGCTGCTAACTCTTTGCAAGGGCTGTCTAAACTTATGCCCTGTCTCAACACACATCAGATGTGAAATTTTCCTTGGGCACCGTTAGCAGTTGAACAGGGACGGTTTCATTTTCATTTTGAACGCCGCGCAGAATAATAACGACCTACGCGTTTTCTTTAAATTTAAAGGTACGTGAAGGAATCACAAGAATTCTTGAAGGAAAAGTGCTGCGTTTGCGGTTGGGAAAATCCCGCCAATATTTTATCGGTTTCTCAGTCACAAGAATATCATGTGATGACAATCACCCTTCAATGAACTGATCGCATTTCATTTGATTGGTTGCAGGCGCACGTGAATGAAATCAATGACGTAACGTTTGTAAACAAAACAGCTAGCGTATTTTTACAGAACCTACGACGAAAGTCCACCGTCTTTCTTGTTGAAAGTCTTCGTATTCACATCGCCGTGAATTTGCGAATTCAGCGGAAGATCTTTTTACAGAAATGCTAAATGGATGTTTCCCAAGCAAGGCCTTGGAATATACATTTTTAGCCGTCGCTTCCGTCGAGATTTCGAACCCTCTGAAGAATCATGACGCAATACGAGAAAATGGTACAATTTGTTATTTCGTTTGCTTGTTTGTAACGATTTCTCTCGCTTTTGGATTCAGCATGCAAACTTTTGAGCTTAACGCAATATTTTCTTTCCAAACGTCTTCTCTCTGGTACAGGAGGTTAGCGTTGAGAAGAGATACGTCATAAGACACCGACCACAACGATCCCTCGAAGAAAGCAATCATTGGTCTTTTTATCGAAAGGTGAGCGACTTTTTTTAACTCTTCGGTTCTTAAAAGGTCTGATATAGCTGATCTAAACGTTATCTCCTCCATGTTGTGACCGTTTTAAGTCTGCGTAATATTGCATGCTTTACTTACGTAGGCGTGTTGGAGGCGTATGACGCCATATAAGCGAATGTGCTGTCATAAGCATATTCCTGTCAACAAAAGATTACTCTTCTTCATCTGAGGTTTTACATGATGTCGAGAATGTTTCAAGCGAATGATGTTACGATGAAATAAGCCTAGGCTTTGAAACTACGCATTCGTGCTTCAGAAGAGATTGAAAATTTAAAGCAGGGAAGGAAATTGTTTAGGACATAAGTTAATTTTTGACCCATTGTGCTAAAAAGTGCACAGTCATTTAAAGCAAGAATTCGAATTTGACATATTCTTAAATTTGCATATAATTTTGAGTACAACCTACACAATCTTCTCTTGATTTTTAATGGTGTTGTTTAGATTATAGTTAAGGATAGTGGGTCCACAGCTGTTTATAGTTGCCTATTTGATCAATTTACAAATAATTGTATGTTTGGAGATAAAATGACACAGGGAATATGGTTCATTTTGTACCACAGAGCTATCAATTATTGGATTTACTTCACTAGTTTAAATTCTGGTTACTTTTAATTTTTGCTCTCAAGCTGCATGATATTCTGTATCAGTATAATAAGTTCAATTTCAGTTATCAATTGTTCCATCGATATCACTAATAAGTGTTCCTTGTATGCATCATTGTATTGCATCATCTGCATTTAAAGTATTGTTCACAAAGTTAAAGGAATGCCTTGAAGCATAATTATTGCATCATCTTTACTGTCACTTAAATTGTCTGACATCGCCTTTTTAAGTTAATTCACCTTGAAATGTGTAAACAAAAGATTATTTTGTTTCATCCAAGGTTTGCATGGTATTGAAAATGCCTGAAGTAAATGTTACATTATAATAAGTCTAAGCTTTGAAATTTCACAGTTATGTTTAAGAAGAGACTGGAAATTAAAATCAGTCAAGAATATCATTCAGGACATTAAAATTAATTTTACTAAAAAGTTCACTGTCATTTGAAGCAACAATTCTAATTTCAGGTATTATGAAATTTACATATGATTTTAAGAAAAATCTACTTAATTTTGTTTAATTTCTATTAGTTTTAGCTAGATGATAGGTAGGGTTATAATTATAGTTAAGTATTATTCACGAAGTTGAAGAATGCCTTGAACCATAATGCATCATTCTTTCTGTCACTTAAATTGTCTGACACTTTTTGTTGTTGTTCCGTCTTGAAATGTGTAAATAGTTAATTTTTTTAAAGTTTATGCAAAGAAAGTGTTCTATTATTTTAAGTGTTAATAAAGTTAGTTAATTGAATTTAAATGTTGAATTCAAACTCTGTTTTTTTGCAGGTTTTTGGAACATTGCTTGTTGCTGGCTTACTTTTCCATGTAACATCTGCAAAGGTATATTTATACATAATATTATAACTTTCAGTAATATAATATAATTGCCAGTGAGTTGTGGTATTGAATGGGGTTATATGTGCTTTATTTCATGCAGAAGGAGTGTTTTGGGAAATGTTTAAAGAGAGAGCATGTTTAATCTACATGTAGCCAATTGGAAAGATTTAGAACTTTTAATCACATAATTTCATTAACATCAATAATTTCACTTTCAATTTTGAAAAATATTCAAAGACCTCAAGCCCTTATGCCTTACCATTAATAATCTTTTTTTTTCACAAAGTTATCTTGGAAAAAAATTGATTTTGAGAAATCATAATGAAAATACTATCAACAATTGAATGAGCTAAATTTCTTAATTTAAATGAAAAATGTATATATCATACATAAAACAAAATGTGTCACTAAATACCAGTAAGTAGTGTTGTAAGTGATGTCCTAATAAAAGATATGCAGTCAGACTTTCAACTTGAGTAGACTGGTTAGTTCTGACTTGTTATAACATGTCATCACATACATTACATGTCACATGTCTAATTTATGGTATGTTTATGAATAAGATAAGCGAGGCATAAATTAGATGTTTTACTTGTAAATTATTCTAAAGGAGTTTTTAACTGTCGATGAATAAAGTTATCAATCAATCAAACTTTTCCAGTTTATTGCTGATGGGGGGCAGGGGCAAACAGTCCCATGCTGCATGTTGCTTATTTTATTATAAATTATTAATTATGTATTTATATATATTTTTTCTCAGCAAGAAGGAGAGATATATATTCTCAGGGACCCTTTGAGCTATTCCCATAAATTTTAATGTTTCAAAGAAAAATCTGAATTGAGGTTCAAGTAACATTTGCCTTTTAGCCTACAAATCCTTGCAAGAAAAGCCAACACTGGGTTGAAAATGCAGATGGTCCACCACAGTGTATAGATTGTCAAGCTTGCCCTCCAGGCCAGACTATCTTACCAGAATGTGGAAATTCAAAGCCATTAACATCTGATACAACAGTGTTCTGTGTTCCGTGCCAACTGGGAAAGTCATTTTCCAGTGAATTTAGCACATCTGTCTGCATTCCTTGTTCATCTTGCTCCAAGGACCAGGTGGTGATGAAAAACTGCTCACGTCAAGCAGACACTGAATGTGCAAAGAAATGTTACAGCAGAGACAGGTACATCATGTAACAGCTGTACTTGAATGGGGTGAAGGGAGGTGTCAGGGGGTGCTTGGAATTACTATAATTCCAACTTAAAATCTGATTAACTACAGAATTTTCCTAGTTTGGCTTTGATTTACATTTAAATACCTGGCATTTGTCTATTGGTTAGATAATTTTAGTGAAACTAGCCTGATAGAAATTAATTGTTGTTGTTCAGGGCTTTAATGTTTCCTTAATCATGGCAGCAAGTGAAGCAGGGATGGCACATAGGATGGTGCAATTGGAGTTTTCTCCAGTCATCAGGTTTTTCTATGGGTCCTTCAGTTTTCCTCCCTCTGCAAAAAGCAACATTTCAAATTCCAATTGACCTGTAAAGAGTAGGCCATAGCTAGATTGCCATTTATTTGAAATGTTGGACAAAAATTTTAGACAAATCAATGCTTCTAGTTTTTTTAATTCTGTCATTGACATGATAACAGGAATGATGACACAGTTGTTCAATTTTCAGGCAAAAGGCTGGCTTATATGTTTTAAAGAATGGATATCATAATCCTTGAAAAAATGAGGGGGTTGACATTTAATATTTTACACTATCTGTCAGTCAAAAAAGATAATTTTTTATTCCTTACTCTTCCCTTTGAACAGGTATTATGATGAATCCAAAGGAGATTGCCTTAAATGCTCCAGGTGCTGCAATGATGATCAAGATGTGGTGGAGAGTGAATGTATAGAAAAGTTGGGATCTCAATCAAGCATGATCTGCTCTTTCCACAGCAGTGTCAATAGATGCAATATTAAATCAACCCCAACATTTGGACCTCAGTCTACCACTGAATCAAGTCAGAGTTCAGCTGCCACTACATCAAGTCACATAGTCACTGTAGCCTTAACTAATACCAGTGCCAATGTGGATTACAGATTAGAAAATATAACCCATTCTGGGGTTTATAGTCGGTTTGCTTCTAATTGCAATGACTCTTGTAAATCAATTACAGTCACTGTGGTGGTACTGTTTCTGGTAATTGTGGGTGGAATTTACCTAACATGGTTTTGCAAGTTATGGTCACCAATGCATAGTCGTGTTGATCCAGGTAAATCTCAGTCAAGAATCTTACATGTGGTGTACTAGTTGTCAGAGACAAAATCAATATATTAGGGAAGATTAGGTATGATTTTTATGTGACAAAATCTGATCCACTAAAATTGTCACAATTAACTGTTGTTGTGTAATATCTCCTGTACACGTTAATTATGACTTTGTGAGAAAAGAAATTTTGCACTCTTTAACAAAAGTTAGGTGCTGTCTTTACAAGCAATCACTAATATTATACTCGGGGGATTTTTGGATGTGGTTAATGCATTACAAATTACTTTCAATGTATAGTCAACAATTTTTACCATACTGCCAACAGATGGGGAAACAAACAAGAAGAAAATTGCCAAGGTTTATTACAATTCTAGATCAGCAGCAGTTGAATTTTGTGAACCACTGTTAGAGGTAATGAATGTATGAGTTAGTGCCCAGGCAGTCCACTTTTAGATGAGCATGAAGTTCTTTAATTTTTAACTTTCTATTCCAGTTGGACAGAGAAAATATATGGTAACCTCTCCCATTTGAAACAGAAATGTTCTGAAGTTACAGTACATTTTGTAAAAAAATGTGGCTCTGTAAGTCCTTTATTATCCAGAATGGTTGTGTAAGTCAGGCCTGCAGTAAGGAATTATATCACAGAAACACAATTGAAATAGTGCTCTTGTTGTTCAAGCCTAATATGGTGCAATAGGGATAAAATGAGAAATGGTATAAAGTTAAAGAGGAGCAAAGCAAATTGTAAAATGGGTCAGTCTGACCCATTCATTAATTTTGTTTCTGAATTCCACTTTATTTTATTGTGATGTCTGGATGCCTGTAATTAGTGTCTACTAGTGAGGGTGCTTGGCAATTTTTTTGCTTCAAAACTATACTTTTTTTAGGTTTCACCTTTAATGGGTATAGTTGTACTCGCTTTGATAGCTTATACATGATATAATTATCTATGCATGAGCCATTTAGGATTTATATTAGTTATGGTTTACATCGTAGGGTGATGGAAAGGTGTGTACAAGCGCTTGCCACAATGCAGAACAGTTGGTGAAGTCAGGTAATTATTATGCTTGTCATGCCTACAGTCTCACCAGTTTGAAAAATGTTAAGTAAATGGACTAAATAAATTTTGACATGTGAAAGGTGAAAATTTGAGGCAGTATTTTTACAGGAAAAATGCATTTTAAACATTTGCAGAAATTGAGGGCTGAGTGGGTGAATGGGCTTGATCCTATTTTTAAGCCGCAATTAAGTAATTACAGGAGTAACTGCTACAAAAATAAAAATTCCAGTGAGAGTACCTGACTCTAAAGTTCCTTTGTAATTTGAAGCCCTTAGTTGTCCCAAACATGAATTGAAATTAATTCATTTTGGGAAAATTTTTTTTTTAAATTTTTGGTGTGTGTAGTAGAAAAGAATATATCATGTAAATAGTATATTGAGCATTATAGTCTAATAACAGTACCTTTACACGGGCTGTTACATATGGATTCTCTTATATATTTTGTCATGTTCAATCTGTGTTTCAGATTCTAAGCCAATAGGAAGCTTATTGGACTCGAGTGAACTGGAAACAGTTTGCGAACTTTTAGACACGCCCATTGGAGGAAAACTTTCCTATGAGACAATTGCTAGGTTTTATGGTGCCAGTTACTTCAAAATAAAAGCGAAGTTTCAGGATGGAAAATCGGAAGCAGTAATTGCATGGTTGGCAAGTGAAAGGCCAGAACTGACAGTTAGGGAGTTTGCTTATGTGGTGGAGGAAAAAGCTGGGAGAACTGATGCTGCTAATCTGTTAAAAGCATTTGATGCAAAGGTCACCATAAAATCAACTGATTTGTGAAATATGTATTTAGTTGTTATTTGACATCACCTAACTCAATAGTTTACCACTAAAATTTCTTTGATTTTTGTAGGGATTAAGTTGAAAACGCGCACGTGATTTGTCAGCGACTATAGAAACAAATACTACAGAGGGTGTATGTTTGCTAAGAATATGAGAGACCTGAGATTCTATTCCCCAGGACCCCTTAACATGAGCCCCCACTTACCAGACTGGCCTGTTAGGCATAACAAAATTTGCCTCCATTTTGAATGCAAAATCTCAGCCTGGTTTCAAACGTAGCTGAGATTTAAGCACTGTTACATAACGTTGTTCATATGAGAAATTTTATTGTCGTTACTGTGTGATTGTGACGTGGTTATTTAAAGTTTCATCCCGTTAACTGAGGTGTGGTTACTGATATGAGGTAATTGGTGCAACAATTATCGTTCATAGTTAACGTGTCCATCTGGTGACGGGGATACAACTATTCTGCACAATGCGAACACAGCTATATTTCTACAAAGAAATAATTTTTGCAAGGATTTTTCGTAATTTTAATTTTCTATCTTATCAAGGAAAGGTTTTTTTTTCTATTTTTTAAACTAAAAGTCTGATTTTTTAAGATTTATTTCTAATAGTAACAACGAAATATCTTTAGTTCAATTTTTCTATAATAAAACTATGATATCTGTTTTGATATTCAAAATGTTATTGTAATTGTTGTCGAGTTAAGTATTATTTCTGTTACGTATTAGTCTTTGTTTTCGTATTAGTGACGCTTCGATATCATATGTCAGACCTCGTGCGTTGTCGTTTGCGGTAGATAGTTTAACAAGAGAGCTTATTGCGAGTGTTTCTGCGTTCATTGCGACTCATTCAGGCGTTACAGAGAGGACAATCGGTAAGCTACCGTATTATTGTATTGATTTCCTTGTTTTCTTTTCCTGTTACCGAATGTTGCATTGTTAGCTGTGTTTGCGCTCGTGTAATTAATATGTATTCGTGTCATAAAATAGTTATTTAGTTTCAGTCCTTTAGTATCGCTTAGACTAGGTTTTTAATTGTATTTTAGTTTGACGGTTTTGGACATCAAGTTACAATTATTACGAATAAACTACGTTTGGAATTATAATTTGTCTTTGGTGTCTCGAATCAGTATTTCGCTCGACGTCCTCGCATTAAATCCTGTGTATCTTTGGGACATTCCGACGTTGTTTCGACGCCTGGAGCTATAGTTATGTTACCTATCTTGAAAGTCAAGCACCATTTGCAGTCACTGCGGTATTGAAGAGTGTATCTTTTGTGTAGGCTTGAATAGATCTGTACATGTTTAAAATGTCTATGTTATCACGTGTATTATATGTGCCCTATCCCTTATGGATGCTGTCTATAGAAAGAAACCAATTTTTACTTTATTCTTCTATTCTTCTATGTCCAGTCTTTAAATGAACGTTGTGAAGGTTTTGAAGTTCGAATCTCCCAATCAGAATGAAGATCACAGCCAAGTTATTTTAACTTAAAAGTTTTAAATCTTTTTGTAAGGTGAAGAACACCAAGGATTTTTTCGTATTGTTTTAGAATATTTAAATATATAGGTTACCATATTCAAATTTTTGTCGTTTTTACTAACGGAAGATAATATTAAAAGTAGCAGATTTTCAATTGAACTTTACGTCTTAATTATCAGATGTTAAATAATTACATGCAATGTTTGATTTGTAAGTATTTATGCGTTCATTATATCTCTAGTAGCCAGTCATTGTCATGCATCGAATGCACCTGTAGAAATATATTGATAAAGACTTGTAACAGTGTAAGTCTTTTTAAGTAGATGATCACCTGGTGTCAGTTCACTTGGAACATCTAAAATCAACAATGGTGTATGTATCATTTACTTTTAATAAAATATTCTCATTTTATGAATTTTTCTTTGCCTACGTTTTCAGTCTGAAGCACTGGGGAACTATCAAATACTTCACTGTTTCATTGCATAGCTTTATTTGTCTATTTTCAATCTCAATCATCTAATCGTCATCATCTTTGTCTCCTTCATCATCACCTTTCATCATTATCATTGAGGACAGGATACGAAGGCAAATTGTTAAGGCAACTGTGTCTTAGAATTTTATTGCTGATAAGAAAAGTATAACAAAAAGGCTAAAACAATTAAAGCTAGCTGCCACCTTAATGACCTCTCCCAACCAGCGGTATATACAGTGGTAAGGAGGCACCCAAATCTAGTCTGATCTTTAAGCTCTTAATCCGACACATAAAATCTTGCCCTTTACTAAAATGCAAAATACAAGATAGAACAAGAGCCCAAAATGTTAACTAATGCATATATAGTTCCCTAATTGCAAAATGAGTATGTGTAATTTCAGCCAAAAGGCAGTTTGAGCACTGAGAAATACTCAATTTCTAGATCTCATGATCGAAACAAAACAAAAACGAAGTGAACATCTAAGATTTGTAATCTAAACGAAAAAATGTGCTCACAAGTTACAAATGACATTCACCTACTATCGTAAATAAATATTTCTGCTGCCAGGTTTGTTCACAAAATCTCAGTAAAATATTTGTCAATAAAATGTCTAGTGTAAGAGTTAATTTGCTATCATGAGACATTTATTGTCATGTATTTTTGCAGATATCAGCTTCTAACTTAGAAACAAAAACCAGCTTGCCACATCGAATACCAAGAACCATTACAAGAAACAATTATACATTTAGGTGTAAGGATAATATTTTACATTTTTGTTATCCTGGCAGCATTATATAAGCCTGCGCCTGCACAGTGGATAATTCTGCTATTTACACTGTACATAAGCACATCATACTAGTAACAAACTCGTCTAATATGCTGACTTTTCGAGGGTCAGCCCTTCGTCTTTTAAACTATTTACGGTGTCCAATTTACGTTATTAACTCAGCTGATAATTCTAAATTACCCTGGTATACTCTCCCACGTACGCAGCACCACGGTTTCTTTAGAAACCATACCCCTTTATTTATTTGTCTAATATGCATCAGACTAATTTAAATGGCTATTGAAATTGTTTTCTACCATTAGTCTTTGGTAGATGCATACATCTCAGGTCATGTGATGCCAAACTAATGATACCAAGAAAGTGTTAGGGAAAGAAGTTCTTAAGTGAAATGAGTTTGTTTTATTAGCTTTAATGTTATTGGAGAAACGGGAAGAACTTGAAGAAAGATAAAATAACACTAAGTCCATAGAGTATAAAGAAGACGCTCAATCATTTGCAAAACAAACTGAGCTGAGGCTAAAAGGTGAAGTACATGTAGAGTCAAGGCTAGTTTTATTTAGAAACCAACCCTGATTTTATGCTAAACTCTAATGAAAATAGAGTTATCAGAACTTACTCATCGGTACATTTGAAGTTGCTTTCCTAGTATCATTAATTTAACACCAAATTATAGATAGTGTATAAGCTCATCAAAGCCTTAAAGGTAAAAACAAATCATAGCTTTGTAAGGCCCTTATTAAGAATTCCACAGCAATTCATCCAAGAGAAAATTTTAGAACTAATACATTTGCAAATATGCAAAAAAGTATTATGAATGATAGCTATCAAGAATGCTAATGTTAAACATTTATCGACGTGGATAAATGTAATATGGTGCTTCGGCAGTCAATAAGTTCTGCAGAGTGGCTTCAAGTCTTTTAAAGATTAGGTAGACATATTGTTTTAGAATTTTCTCGATAGATCTATATTTACTTCAAGAAAACATCTAAAAAGTTGTGGAATTCCGAAGAAGGGAACTTAAAAAAGTTATTTTGACTACAATATATACTTAATCATACAACACTGCTTTTCAGCAACATTTCCTTACTTCTGTGGAGGACTATCAGGCTATAGCTTTGCTTAAAATTTTTCGCCCTGTACGATCCAGTGGTGAGCAAAAATTCAGAAATTGCTCGGGTAAACTACAAAAAAATAAAAACGTAAAATCAGCTTTTACGCAAGAAAACCTGTTCTGCCAGAACTTGTCCTAGTCAAGTAGCATGAAGTGTCCATATGTGTATTAAAACTCTCCCTGGGTGATATATTACCTCATTACATGGCTAGCTATGGTATTGTTTCTTAAAAATTTACAGGCATCTTTTTATGGTCCCGGGTGAAGAGAGGAACTGTGAGAGTAGAGTGTCTTTCTATCCCACTAACACAATACAATGACCCAACCAAGACTTAAGCCCACAGCTTATCGTGAGGAGTCCAGTGTACAGCCAGGCCATGGCATCTCTCACCCATAGAGTATGGTTGGGAAAAAAATCCGTTTAGGTATGAAAACAGTAGGTGGTAAGGGGTGACCCAACGGTATGTGGGCCAAACCCTGGGTCGGGAGATACAATGTCAAGCTCTGACCAGGTCTTTTAGTTCCCCTCTGCCCAGGAAAAAATGAATCCCACCACTTTAATGGACTAACATTCAATCTTGTAGGAGTAGATAAAGTTGTGGTTGCTTTATACCACAGGAAATGAACTACCCCTCTACATCATTGCCTTACTTGATAATAGTAATAATAATAATAATAATAATAATAATAATAAATAATAATAGTGATGATAGTAGCATTGATTTATTAGTGGACAATCTACGAGGTGGCCCTTCCTGTTTCCAAGTCGAATTGGATGTTGGAAATGTTGGTTTTTGAGGAGGGAGGAAAACCAGGGGAAACCCCCCCCGGAGCAAGGACGAGAACCAACAAAAAACTCAAACCACATGTAACACCAGGTACTAGAATCGAATCCAGGCCACAGTGGTACCGGTGGGAGACGACTGCTCTCACCATTGCCCTATCCCTGCTTCCCGCACCCATGAGCTCATGATTGATAGACAAATTCTAAGTAACAACATGTTTAAAATAAAATACAAGCAAGGTAAAAATTTGGTCTGTAACACTGTATACTATTGGTAAGTATCAAGAGTATCAAGAGTTACAATGCCAACTTAAACCAAAGTTTTGATTTCCATTCACCAACCATAGGTTTAGCTCGAAAACAGATTGAGAGGTTAAGAAAAAAAAATCTTAATGAGTTAAATTACTGTAAAGTGTAATTTAATTTTTGCACAGTGACTGATTGTTAATGAAGTTATGTTCTCAGAAAAGTAATCGGTAGATACCAGGAGTATTTCAGAGTATTTCCATGATTTCATCTCTAATCAGCTGCTGTCATTGAGCTCTGTGGAGGAAAATGTTCAAGATTAAAGTAAGCTCAGACAATAGAATTGCGACTCAGGAGATGCCATAATTGGAGCTGATATTTGAACCGATAATCAGAAGTCACAATTTACCTTCACGACCATCCTATAAGTCTTAAATTACAATACAATTCATAAAGAGAAAGGAGGTTTGCATCACAAATAAGCAAGTTTTCAAAGCTCATTAAAAACAATATTTTAATTGATGGCAAGGTGGTTTCACGACTAGAAAAAAAAAATAGAAAAAACATATGTACATGTAGGCGATACGCATTCATTGGGAAAATTTATTTTGCCAAACCCACCAATTCTAACAGTCTGCATTCCTATTACCAAATGCTTGCTTTGAAAAGTACCATTCTTTAAAATTCATTTTGCTATCATTTTGTTGTTACCGTAAAATTTATATTCAAAATTTTTAGTGTTACTCTGAAAGGAAACGAGACTTACCCAAAATGCGATGGAAAAGTACAGGGAACACCGTGTCTCTGCATCGATGGCTAAGGTGATTTTTCCATGTTCTTGACAAGGATTTTCGGATTCACCAACATACTGGAGTCGGAAATGGGACTTGGCTCCTGGTGCTACTCGGTTTTTACTCTCACATTCAATGTTGGCAACTCTGAAAACCTAGAGAATCAGAAATTCATAATCGTTAAAATCGCGAAGAGAAACAATCCTCTGTTGAAAAAAGAAGATTCACTGAAATAGTGATCGTTCAGTGAGTTGGAGTGTCCAACAAGAACTTGCCATCTATGTAGTAAACTATGTTTAGGTTAAAGGTTATTAAAAAATTGAATTGCGAAAAATTTAACAGTGACTTAGGGTATAATCTGAGACTTGAATGAATAAATTTTTGTGCTTCAAGTGAACTCACAAATTCTCGACGTCTTGCATCATCAGGAGTGACAAAGTTTTGTTGCTGTTGATCCTCAATTTCAAATGAAACTCTGATTTTCTCGTGAACAAATACAGAATGAAAATCTTGGCCTTTTCCATGGTTAACACAAAACGAAATTTGTCTTGTTGAGTAACCTTGCTCGGTTCCCTCATCTATGTAACTTTGGCAAATTGTCTCATACACCTTTAAGAAAAATAAAGATGTCCAAATGTCAAGAACTATTCAACAATGAACACTTTCAATTGAGAAGGAATTCAATTTACTTCACTCACCTGTTGCTCTTTTTCAGGGATCATATAAAGTATGAACAACTTTTCTTTCCTTTCTTGGTGGGTTCTTTCAAAAAGGAAGAGCACCACTGTTAGTCCAGGCGATGGATGCTGCGCCGAATGGTGACACACATCTGCGGTGGACGTGAAATAAAAAGAAATGTATTATAATAGATACGGAGTATAAAAATACGGTCATAAAAATAGTGACTAGATGTACAGATTGTAGGGGTTTTTTTCTACTGAACAACTTTTCTATCGTGTTTTACATGGCCCAGTGTTGTAAACGAAGTAAACCAGATTTTAAATTGAAGACTATTTTGGAAGAGTGAGCTCGAGATTCGTTGATTTGGACATGTACAATTAGACGAGGTTTGAAAGGGCTTTAAGTCGAGGACTAATTTTACTGGCTGGATAATGATGCGATAAACATACTTCTCACACAGACAAATCAAAGTCGTAAATTCTCCAAAAAAAATAGTCATAATAGCAGCACAATTTACACACGGTCTTTGAACACAAGAGCTCAAACTTATCGAACTTACTTATTACAGGGATTTTCTTCCGCTGAGGTTCAGATGACACTGTTGGCGAGGATGGTGCTTGCGTCGAGTCGCTGCAGACCTCATCTTCAAGGGATATACTGGGAAGCGACGGCAAATGTCCGCTGTACGACTCAGGAACAACGCTTAGCAAGGTTTCTTCCGTTCTAGTTGGATTCAGATCGGATGCATTGGACTTTCCTTGCTGAGTGCGGTTTCGAGGTTCCCCTTCTGAACCACAGGAACACAATGCACTTTGTTCTCTTGATCGTTCTGAAAGCTCATCTCTATGTGCAGTCCTGGTCCGATTTTCTTCCAAGTCAGAGTCACCGTCAGATTTCCAATCTGCGTCACTCCCTATGGCAAGGAGCCCCTGGTTGTTATCTTCGCTTTCTAGAGACCGATCCCTATTTCCATCGCTCTACAAAAAGAAATGAACATTGCTGTTGTAGTTTTCGGCTAAACGATCTTCTATTTATATCTAAATAGCTAACGATGGAAAACGAAAAGATTTAATGTGATTGATGTGAATAAGATAACTGTTTCGAAAGTGAAGTGGAGAACAGCGGATAAAATAAACCGATAAATTGAAAGTGGAGAGGGAACATTGCTACCAGAGCTAGGAATTTACCATATTGTCTCTATTTGCATCCTCTGCGGCCATTGCTTTACTATCTTTCCAGGACCACAATTCATTGATCTGCCGGTCAGAAATTGAATGATATATCACTTTCAGGATCACAGTGACGAAAACGACGCCAAAATTTATTCACGAGACGTACTCATCGTCCCTTTGATTGGTTATCACCTTCCCACGATTTCAATTTGATTGGTTCGACCTGGGGAATCCCCTCGTCTGGAAAAATTTCGAAAATAGAATTGTTACCGTTTACTTCATGGACAGAGGTTTCACTTTCGAAAGGTAAGGTACAGAGCTTGCTATTCTATGGCATAAATTTGGTCAGCATCCTTAAACGGAATTAGATTTAAACAATACTGAAGGACACAAGTAAGATCTGTAGCGTACTTAACCAAAACGACATAATTTCCTTTGATTTTGTACATTAATTTGTGGCTTTTGCTACAGGTATACCGCAATCACGTCACTGTGACACTCAGCGTTGAAAATTTAGACTTTGAAATGGGAAGCATCCTCTTTGTGATCGCTGTTGTCTGCCTACTGGTAAGTCGTTATTTGTAGTGAAATTAGAAAATTCGATGCCTCGATGGTTCTATGATGCTCGAACTAACGAAAAAGTACTTCCTGTTATGGATGTTGAACGCTTCTAGATCAGCCGAACAAAATTCAACTGCCAACCCTCTTCTGCTCTCAAATTTCCGCGCAATAAACATTCGTCACGCGCGTGACTTCCTAGCAATATGCGGATGTTTCATCTTTCACATTGCACACCTACTCAATCACGGTTTGTTCAACTGCGTTACCTTTGTTTTTCAGTAAGAGTCACATCACAAAGTTTCATATTTTACAACATGCATACATTTTCTTCCAAACTCGTGCACCTCTATCTACCTCCGCTTTCATCACGTTTTAGTCTTCCACCCACGTTCTCAATCCCATGACAATATCAGCTTCGCTTGCGGGCGGAATTTGAATTTAATTGCATCCACTTAAATCACGGCTAAATTTAGAGTTTCAAACCTCATATACGAAAGATTTAAATCAACATCTATTTATATCTACTTTCAATTCGGGGTTTGTGGGTACCTTTTTAACTTTGAAGCTCTCATGAGCGACATAGCATTTACGCCATGGTCATCTCAAATTTTCAATTTGTACATCTCACTCATGCGTTAATTTCAAAACAGAATAACGCAATAAATACGGGAAGTTTCATTATCTAATTTAAACAAAGCTAAATACTTACCCTTGCACACTGCAGAGTGTTTACGTTTTTGCATTTCTTGATGAAAATCTGGAGTGAGAGTGGAAGCAGGAGGACGCGTCGCCGAGTAGTAGGCAGGCTGCACTTGCAACCTGGTCTAAATGTACTGGGTCGAGTCTTGCAAATAGCCAACGGGTCTGCCTTCTAAAAGTTATGGTTTATAACCATGTCCTGTTGCATTTTTTAATTATTTCTTTCACTAATTTGATTTGTCTCTTGGCCTTATGTACCGTATGTACAGCCTTTGTCGTGCAAAGGGTCAATATATCCTTTCTACTTATATAAAGATTATTTTCAGAGCTAAACATCCTAAACAGCATTTATCTCTTCATTAACATGTACACCATTTTGACGTCTAGTCCTCTCTTATAGGTTACGTCAGTGTCTTCAGTCATACTTTGTCAAGAAGACCATCATGGACATGGTTGGTCCCTAGTACTTGACAGCATTACAACTCGAGCATTTAGCTTAGGATTCAGCCTTCTGATTCTTTACCTTGTGTACAGTATTTTTCCATTTGACAGCAGTTTGGCCGACAGAAACCAGTCAGCATATCGTTATGATCCTACATCTAAACAAAGAATACTAAATGCACAATCTGGTGAGTGTCAAAAAGACACCAGGATATTTATTAAACGTACTCAGTCACTTTTGCATGATAAAGAAATTTAGAATTTTAATATTATTTTTATTCTGTTAGTCTGCAAGAAGGACGTACTTTCTGAATATCCAGTGCAACGAAGCGCTGACCATATAGTATTTCAGAAGACTGGGGTAGAAGTGATGGAAGTGAAGGTTGCTAATGGATTGACACTCACCAACATATGGATGCCGGGAAATGTGATGTTGCAAGCTTACACTGAAACAATGCTGCCGGACCATCTACAGGAGGACGAATTGCCTCTAAGCCCTGTGTATAAATTTGTATCAAGTGCTGTGAAGTTGGACAGACCTCTTGAAGTTTGGATACCTCACGGTGCAAACATTGTTTTAACGGGCGAAAACTGGAGTGTAATTTTGAAGGAGTATCAAAACGACAGTTGGTTAACTGTTGGCCAAACTAGTGAAAATATCAACACAAAAGAATCAAAGAACTTTGTCTGTAAAAGCAATCATGTGAGATTCAAGACTGACCATTTATCAACTTTCAAAGTAACTGGGAAGTTTAATACGTCTCAGTCGACTTTGGTATTTAAGAGAATGAAGGTGGCAGCATTCTGCAGTGAAACAAAAGTTGGAGAAGAACTTGTTGTGAGGCTTTACTGCTTTGATGATTGTGAATGGTCTCTCGAGGTAAATGGTTTTCAGTTTATGATAATTTAGATCAGTGTAATTGTGCACTCTGCTTCATAACATAACACGACAGTATGGAAGAGGAATTTGGCATACAAAACTACTGCTGCCAAACAATAAGCATCTCATGCAAACAGTATCTCAACCAAAAATGTTTTCTGTTTGTTTTACAGGGTTTGTGATTTATGATTGGACCTTGTTTCATCGTTTTATTTTCAATCAGCAATACTATTTTCTATTTTTTGCCTTGGAGAAAGTTTTTGCTCAATCCTGAGTAATTTGAAGTTAATTGTCTTTGTTTATTTTTTACCCTTACAGAGGATAATGGGAATGGAGCAGAAAATCGGAGGAAGACTCATGTCATCGATCGAATCTGTCAGCTTTTCTGTTACCAGTAAACAGTGCGTTGACATATCTGTTAAAGATCTTGCAAGCTGGCAGCTGAATAAGGCCTCCCCACTGGTATTGCCAAAAACTAGTCACTTGCTTTCTTGGACAGACCGTCCAGTAAAACGGTGTCGTAATCTTAATTCGATTTGTCTAGTTCTGGTCTTTGCTTCGATTTGATCTGGTTTGATTTTGATTATATATATATATATATGAAGGAGAAATTAGAAGAGAGGTGCAGTAAATAACAGCTATTGTCTGTCAAATTCTGTATGTTTTGCACTTTCTCGATAACTCGATGTGAAAACAGGCTTCTTATCTCACGTAACAACTTAGCTATTTGTTTAGTTATTTTTCGCTGTGTTAATTCCCTAAATTTTCAGAAGTTTAAGAATTTTCTCTTGAAATTCGGACACTAATTCAATTCTTCCTTTCTTTTTTCAATTTTAATTCTAGAAATTCAGCTTTGAATCATTGAGAAACTCATTCAACATCATTCCTCGGTGTGACCTGGTATTTCAACCTAACAGGAAGACACCAAGCACTAGCATTTTCGTTGAAATGGTATTAAATCATGAACCATCTGGTGAAACAGTGATCTATGCATCTACATCACTAAAAAAGGTATAAAAATATTTAGCCTAAAATTTAATTGTCTTTTCTTCTGCGGTCCGACGAACTTTTCTGAGTCCGGCCCCGCGAACTGACGCTAACCGATGCAGAAGGGGAGTGTGGCAAAGAAGGATATAAGGCGAGATAATGCAAACAAGCGTTAGGACTATACTAAGTATCTTTAAACGCATTTAACTTTGACTCAAAAAGTTTTGAATTTTGACTTCCTAGAAACATTTGACTTGTACGTGACACTTCATTTTGTGTTCGTTTCCTTTATAGGGATACTAAGATCTTAGGTGTCTCAGTTTTTTGAAAATAGATCAGTACGTATCCTATTTTAACGTCAAAACAAATGAGCTGTTTTGCCGATTTTGCTGATGTTCAAATCTGGAATAATGCACCATCAGGTTTGGAACAACAGCGCCCGGAAAATTACTAAACTAATGAGTAGATCCTTTTGGTAATTTGTTCTTTATATTGTCACACTAAATTTCGTAGAAACCTGAGATTAACCATTTGTTTAGTCAATTTGGTATACTTAGCCATGCTGATAAATCTCTATGTTTTTTCTGGTGGAGATTTTTAGGAGATCCTTTTGTGAGAGCATACGAGCATGAGCAAGTGGAAGAGTAAGAGGTAAGTACTAGACGTATGGTTGACGTAAAGTTGATTTACATTATGTTTTAACCGAGACTTCTCCCTTCTTTTCTTAGGTCACAGACGAATTTTTTGCAACGATAGTGGTTAAACATTACAATTTATATGAATAGTTTGGGAACGTTTTTTAGAAGGACAATGAATGGTCCAATCATAACTGATAACAGGAAAAATAATAAGATAGGAAATCTTTAGTTCAGTAACCTTCAAAACTTCGTTTTCACGGCATAATAGTGTAGTTTCTTATCTCAAAATAATACAAAGAAACATTTCAAAATAGTTTAATATTTAGGTATTGGTGATTAAGTATTGTATGGCAACCCAAGTTAAAATAAGCCTTTCATCTTTTTTAACATTTTTTATATCTCAGCCATAATCGCATGCTAAGGCTCATTGCAATTATAGACAAGAGTTTAGTTTACAGAAGGGTAAACGGTAAGGCCAGAGTTGAAGCCTGAAGGTCAGTCCTACCGAACTGATCGCGCTTTCAGTAGCATGAAGTGACAAGGAATATTGTTGTCCCTTCTTAGAAGGGTTGCTTGTCCATCTATTATGGAGTTGCCCTTCAGCATTTAAGTCAACAGGTTGCCTTGACAGTTATCCTGTGCCCATCCATACTACTAGGTAAGGGAAGAGTGTGTGCGCTTTTTTTTTAAGACCACCCCTCACTCATCTGGGTAGCGCTAGAACCCGGGCGTTTCCATGTAGAGTACTCTGGAAAAAAAAATTTATTCCTCAGCAGGATCAAGTGAAGCTATTTGCGACAAATCAAATCAGTAATGAAAGTTACATAAATAACACCTGTCACTTTGCATTGATTCATCGATCTTGCCTTGCAAAACACGGAAATGGCGGTAGCTTGCAAGTTCTCCTGTCACCAAGGTATTTTATATTACTTAATCGCGCCTGTGTCTGAGACAGGATAATGTATATTTCAAGTCTTTGGTTGTACAAGACTGGAGAACCTACAGCATGAACACCCTAAGCCCAAACAGGTGGAGAAGTTGATAATGAACAGAAGTGTCAACTTCACCCAATGTCTACAGTAGAAATCAAAGCAAAACTTTTCAGGGAATTATCAAAACTTCAAGTCACTAATACAACTCAGCGGAAATAACTGTAAAAATACAAAAACAAAAAAATTATTTTTAATACTGAATTATATTTAGCATTGAAATAATCCGCTCACAAAAGCAAACTATACTTTTAATCAATTATTCTTTTCGTAAATTTACAGCCCAAAAAGCTTAAGTTGCACAACCACTCATATAACACGAAAAAATAATTTTATCCTCTTCTTTAACAACAGCAGAACAATCACTCAACTTGATTTTAACTAAACAATGAAGATATTTGGTGAAAATACAAACAAAAGCCACCACGAGGCCCCTTTAGAGACTTGTATATTTGTTCTTAGTCAAAAGTAATTACTTAAGTAATTACACAATTTTTTACAAACAGCATCCTGTACACATGGTAGCCTTAACCATATATGTTCCAAACTTAACACTTTATTCCCAGAAGTGATTACCACGTAACCTTTCCTAATAATACCATACATTATTCAGCAAACTCAAACTTATCAGGTACAAGTTGTTATCTTGATCTAACAACAAATTCTCGTCCCTAATTTACAAGGAAATGTCTGGCAGCTAGAGAAGAGAATTGCCAATCAGATCTTGTGAGTTAAGGGTTAATCATGATATGCATGTACGACAGACAGCACATTGCCTAAGACACCATCCTTGCCAATATTTCACACGACACAAGTATAACAATATATAAATATAAAAATGTATATTGTTATTGTATTTTTTTTTGTAATTTTATGTAGGGAAATAAAGTTAGCCAGTTTTAAACATGAAATCTATCACATCAGTTGTGATCAGCATTTCACGCAGACTATTTACATAGTTTCGTGTAATTATGTTACGACTACTAGGCTTATCCCTTTGAGGATACCTTAAAGGAATAATTTTAAAATTAATTAATCCGCATTCTCAGAAACATTGTCATAAAACATTATATTTGTGAATACCGTTGGGTGCGATCGGCATTTCGCGCAGAATATTCACACAGTTTCGTGAAAATCTATGCCTTCATTGCGTAAAAGTTACGTAAAAAGGACGCAAAAAAATATAGTAACTAGCAGAGGGATAATCAGAACTATGATTTTTTGAAGAAGTGCAGTTTGAACTTTAATTAATGGGGAACTGAAGGACTGATAGGGGCAAATTGTAAGTATCATCGTTTTGCCCCCGCGTTCACAAACGTACACTATTGTAATTTTTCCCTTATAATTTTTGTAATTGACTATATACATACATAAATACATATATATATATATATATGTTCGACCAGATCGGATGTAGTGCAAATACGTTCTCGAATCCTTGATTCCTGTGGTTGCTCATCAACTATACCTGTGTCTCACACGTAGGAGCAGAACAAGCTGAGTATATAATACAGTATCGTTCTAAAAGAACATTATTTTTCAAGCATCCATACCCTGATTTCAAACTATAACTGATGTGTAAAGTTTGTAGATCATACTTTAAAAAATGTTACATTAATTTAGTGAGATGGACAAAAAGATGTTGATGTACCTGTTAGGAACATTTCACACACATAGCTGGGATCAAACCGTCGCTAGAGAATCAATCCTTCGTGGTCAAATGCCTGTGCACTAAGGCAAAAGTGCACAAGTAATGACGCAAAGGAATAAAGTAAGGATAATCTAGCACACTCTTTTCTTGACAGCTGAAACAATCGTAAAAACGGCTATGAAAACACTGGCTGCCCTAGGCTTGTTCTCCCCATGAGAACATTTTTTACGTTTTTTTTTTCTTTTTAAAGGTAAATGATATAAACATCATTGAACTGTAAGGCTTAGTTATCATTAACTGAAGACATACACAATAAAAGTGTAAGTAAAAATACTTATTAACAAGTAATGTGATAAGTGGATCTGCATGGAATTAACAGGTCATTATCAGTGTCGTTTTCTCTGCAAAATGGCAGCGGCCTCTTGGTTTTCTCGCTGACCTCTCATTATTTCAATAACAAGGTCCAGGATGTTCCCCCTGGTCTGAATTGTACGCAACACAAAAGCGTTCTGGTCTCTTTTACGTGTTATATTCTGTACCTCCTCCAAGTCCCCAATGTCGAAGATCTTGTGTTGGTAAAGGTGATCACATAAAGAGATTGGATTAGCAATATTCTTTAGAATAGAAACATGGCAGGAACGCAGCACTTCCCTGTCTTCGTCGGGCATGGCAGTAACTGGAGATTATGAGGTTAGGGAATTAGAATTGTCTTAAAAAACAGTTTGTAAACTCCAGTTCAGTTGAGAGAACCCAACCTTCTATCCATCATTGGAGTGTTTATATTTATGGACAATCACATACACCAGTGTAAAATTGGTGAATTGTCTTAAGTCTATACTTGCAATTGCATACTTATCTAAAATGCTTACTCTCTTGGACTTAGGTTTAAGGTTAGGGTTAGGGTTAGCACAAATTATCTTGCTAATAATTTCAATATTTCCACCTCAATAAACAAATTGGTTTGCAAACTGCATAGCAACTTGTTAATAGTGAACACCAACGAGTCATACACTGATAAATTTTTTAAGTGCTCGTAGGATTATTTAGGCCCCAATAAAAGAGGTTTTTATGACATGGAAGTTTCTTACATGAAGGTGAATGTTTCAAACACAAAGCAACTAGTTTTTTCAGAAATTTCTAGAAGTTCGAGTTCTACTTAATGAATTCACACGAATAGCAGATGGACTGTATTAATCGAAAAAAAAAAACTGAAGTTTACTCCAAAATTAATCTGTAAGATGTTATTACCTGCATGTGAATTATACAGCCAAGGTGATATACTTGCTTCATAGTACTGAAAAATAATAAGACAGAACCAGGTAAAAATATGTACTATTTCTGTTTATAGGGGTATAAGTTGAATGAATAATCAAGACAAAATGTCTTTTCTTTTCATTACATGAAAAGACATCCAAAATAAAAACAAATAAAACATTACTCTTATGGGTTACAACGTTTTTCTAAAACCAAAAAAAATTTTCAGAACAAGTTACCAGTAGCTGGCATGACTTGGAGCACACAAACAGATGATCATATCAACAATAATCAAAATTAATATCAATAGCAGAATGAAAAATCAACATAATAATCAGACATGATAATGAAAGACCACTTCTATAATGGAGCTTTTCAAGTTGAATACAATCGAGAAGGAAACAAACATAAATTCATGTAACTAACATTCAATTGTCTGTGAGTAGTGATGTTACGTTCTTCACGAATAATTATTACGAAGACAGAGCACCAATGGTAACAATTAACATTCAACAGTCTAAGCTTTTTAATTAACTCACCGCTATGGGAAGCATAAAATGGAAAGATTTGCCTTCCGATTCAATTCTTATGCGAATGTTGTCCTCAAAGAGCTGGTCCTTTCCACCTGTACATCTGGTTAGTACTACAGCTGAAAATTCACATCCGACGCGATCTTTACTCCTCGATAGGATCTCAGTGACATTTGCACTTATCTAAGAGATACAGTGTTGGTAAATGTGTCATAAAAAGACAAGTTCTGGACATACCTCGTAAGTTCTGGACACAGCTCGTAAATCATATATTTATAGCCTAGTGAAAAACTGGTGAAAATTACAGAAAGCAATAATTAAAAAGAAATACAAAAATGCGACTTCAGACTGGTTTTTAGCCGGAAAGTCACATCTTATAGTGATTATGATTATCACTACCAGAATATTAACTTTACGGGTTAGATATGAGCATAAAATTTAAACATCCAAACAAACCTACCTCAGACGGGGAAACAATCGAGAATGTTTCACCACTGACCATTTCAAAGTGAATCTTACAAATGCCATCGATCCAGATACGATGAAAAAGGAAATTTGGTTTCAATTGTTTTTCTTCAGCCATCGGGAACTCTGTGCCATGGCAAACAACATCTTCGTATTGCTTAATTTTCGGATACTTCTCCAATAAATTAAACAAATGCAATTAATTTAACAAATATCGTTACGAGCAGAACAGTCGAAGGAAAAAGAATCTATATTTGTCAATTTTTAGAGAGAAAGTCAAAAGAGAAAAAAATTATTGCACATCTTAGAACAGCTCTATAAATGAAAAATATTTCACACTCGTCGTTAACTTCACTCCACTGTAATGGATGTATATATATATATATATATATATATATACAAGTGGGGTAGAGTCTACCTTGGCATAAAGTGCTCAATGCTGTGGTAGTAGAGCTAAGCATACATAGGTTAAAGAATTAAAGAGGACGTATCGATTCTCTGTTACTCTGAGTTTCGCGCCTAAGCGCTCGTCAGACAGAACTTTTCTGTACACCTACCTTCTGGAAGTCATCAACAGGAATGATGTAGAGTGCGTGGCTAAGATCATCTCTTGCGATGATTCCTCTTTTGACGATGAATAAAAAGCAAAGTTTTGAAGGAATCTTATCAAACAATACCTAAGGCAGAAATACTTTTTAAACATGACAATGGCCGCAACAGAGATTTCCTTTGTGTATTTGAACTAACCAATGAAGAATCAACAACAACCATTTGTGCAGTTGCCTCAATTAACGAGGTAGGTGTCATTTTGTGATAAATTATTAATTTAAAAGTATTATTCATAAAGCTTGAAAAAAAAATTGGCAATTAGTTTAGTTAGCATGATTCTTACTTGGAAACTAGAGCTTTTCTTCTTACTTAAACTTTTTAACTCTCAGTTTCTAATACCCCATTCACACCAGCAAAACATGTTTTGTTAAACTGGTTTTCATTGAATGAAAATTATAAACAGAGCACTGAAAAACTTGATTTTCCATTGGATTCAAGTACTTGCTAACTTGCATTTCCAATGTGCTACATTCAAGTCAAAAATATTCGGTTAAATAGTTTCTAAAAAGAAAAAAAAAATTAAACTGTGTTTAACAAAACAACTTTTAAACATGTTTAAGCTTTGGTGTGAATGCGGCATAAGACTTCGTGTGCACAGTGTGTAATTTGACTGATGTGTAATTTTGAAACCACAATACAAAAACAAACATTAAGCCTCACTGATATCAAGTCAGAAGTCAATGTTCCTTTATTTTCTTTTATATGGGTCATAGCATGATTATATGTAATTTTAAATGGTAGATTGATAAATTTTGAATGTTGTTTTTGAGTGTTCTTGTAGCTTGGTTTAACAGAACTGCCTAACTTTCCATGATTTTAAAAATGTACCTATTCCTTCAGGACCCATTTAGGAGGTCTCAGGAGCAGCAACCAAGCTTCAGTAATGACCGCCATTGTTTAGTGACAGGCAGGAACTTGTGTAGTAAGGCCATATGCTGTGGCGTCATTGGGCATTCTAAAATAACATGAATATTTTTCTCAACATCAGATAGAGTTAACCCTTTAATTCCCAAGGTCTGGTTGTTAATTCTCCCCTCTAGCTGCTACACATTTCCTTTTAAAGTAGGTGGGAAAATTTGGTGTTAGATCAAGATGACAACTTTTACCCATAAATTTGAGTATTCTCATTACCTGCTTGCTGGATAATGTATGAGTACTATAGGGAGAAGTAACATGTTAATCACTTCTGGGAGTTAAAGGGTTAAGTCTGTTTAACAGCCGTTTTTTGGTCACATCGCGCAAATGCGCTCTCCCCTCCTTTCTCCTCACAGTATTTAATTCTTCATACCTTTTTTTGGGAGGGGGGGAGAAGTATTATCTCAAACTGATTGATAATTTCAATTTAGTGAACAGTATTACCTGTGCTGCACTTCATAACCAATAAATTTGTTTTGTAGATCCAGTGATTGTTAATGAAGAAAAGGCGTCCCTTCGTCTTGAAAAACTCCCAAAAGAAGTTTTTCGTACTGTTTGCGTGACCCTGGATAGGCCCCTTAAAGGGGTTGGCAACTGGCGACATGTTGGAGCATCCCTTGGATTCAAGGAGCAAGAAATTCAGCGTTTTAGAGATGAGATGTTAACTCCTGAAGGAAGTCCTTGCATGGTGATGTTGGAGGCGTTGATAGTCAAGTCGCCGCTTTTTACAGTCGCAGAATTAGTGCAGATCCTTCAAGCAAGAAATATTCAGCGCTTCGATGTTGTAGTAATCCTTGAACCTTATTTATACGAGCCAATCCTTGAGAACAGTCTTGCATGAAAAGTCCACTAAAATGTGAATATACACAAGCACTTTTACGTATAGGATATTAATGAAATTAAACTTATAATTTGGTTGTGGTTTAGTTAACAAGGTCACTGCTTCAGAGATCGATGTTAAACTTAAAGTTAAGAAAGATGTCAGTTTGAAGAATAAAGTCAGTGCATAATAGCATTTGTAATGAGAATGTCTCTTAAGCTTTGGGATCTATGGTGAGAAAAAATGAAAAATGGAAGTTGGTATCACAAGTTAAATTTCCTTGATTGCCATCAATTTATAGCCAGTAGCACTTACTTCAGTGAAATACAGGCAATAATGATATTATAAATGCCTAGTATGCATATAATTTAGTAGTGTGAAACGTTGTACACTTTTCTGTAAGACCAATGATTATGAATTCAGAGTTGACAACTGTCCCTGCTATGATATTTAATAAGTGAATAATTCCCACAGTAATTGTTACAATATGTACGCGATTACATGCGCCATCAATGTCTGAGGTCGAGTTACACATTGATGGCGCATGTAATCACGTACATATTGTATACATTTGGTCGACATGTACACATCGAAAGTGATCACAAGCCACTGGAGATGATTCTACAGAAACCACTCGCTCGAGCGCCTCGACGCCTCCAGTTAATGATGATGAGGTTACAGAAATACAGATGTAACTCGACCTCAGTCTAGTTAGACATTGATGGCGCATGTAATCACGTACATATTGTAACAGTAATGTTCCAAGTTAAGCAACTTACACACACACAGTAAAATATTAGTGCGCTGCTTTTGAAATTGTCCGCCTTACATATCAGCTGATTTAAAAATAAGAAATATTAAACAAAAAATACGAAGAAAAATTAAAACAACAACAACAACAAACAAACATACAAAACTATGGAAAAAGAGTGAAAATTGAATAAAAGAGAGAAACAAAATTTCCAAAGCACGATGCCTGAGCTGAAAGACATTACTTCCTTAGGTCTTCTATTTCTCCGATAAAGTCCTTTGCATTCATAACATTCCATGAAATCCTTAAAATCGATGTCTTAATGTCCAATTTAGACCACACTCACACAAAACGGGTCCTTTTATCACAGCTGCTTTGTTTACATATGTAATTATGGAAAACACACACCGCCGCAAATTTCAACCCAAGCCAATTTTTGCCGAGTGGACTTCAGTTACCCTAATATTCAGAAACGCTGATTCGTTATTACACTCTTTGCTCTGAATTTCGCCTGGCGGCGTTAGTGTCTTGTATGATTTTCGTTTCATTTCTCATGTAGAAGGATCGAGGCTGCTAACTCTTTGCAAGGGCTGTCTCAACTTATGCCCTGTCTCAACACACATCAGGTGTGAAATTTTCCTTGGGCACCGTTAGTAGTTGAACAGGAACGGTTTCATTTTCATTTTGAACGCCGATCAGAATAATAACGACCTACGCGTTTTCTTTAAATTTAAAGGTACGTGAAGGATTCACAAGAATTCTTGAAGGAAAAGTGCTGCGTTTGCGGTTAGGAAAATCCCGCCAATATTTTATCGGTTTCTCAGTCACAAGAATATCATGTGATGACAATCACCCTTCAATGAACTGATCGCATTTCATTTGATTGGTTGCAGGCGCACGTGAATGAAATCGATGACCTAACGTTTGTAAACAAAACAGCTAGCGTATTTTTAAAGAACCTACAAAGAAAGTCCACCGTCTTTCCTGTTGAAAGTCTTCGTATTCACATCGCCGTGAATTTGCGAATTCAGCGGAAGATCTTTTTACAGAAATGCTAAATGGATGTTTCTCAAGCAAGGCCTTGGAATATCCATTTTTAGCCGTCGCTTCCGTCGAGATTTCGAACCCTCTGAAGAATCATGACGCAATACGAGAAAATGGTACAATTTGTCATTTCGTTTGCTTGTTTGTAACGATTTCTCTCGCTTTTGGATTCAGCATGCAAACTTTTGAGCTTAACGCAATATTTTCTTTCCAAACGTCTTCTCTCTGGTACAGGAGGTTAGCGTTGAGAAGAGATACGTCATAAGACACCGACCACAACGATCCCTCGAAGAAAGCAATCATTGGTCTTTTTATCGAAAGGTGAGCGACTTTTTTTAACTCTTCGGTTCTTAAAAGGTCTGATATAGCTGATCTAAACGTTATCTCCTCCATGTTGTGACCGTTTTAAGTCTGCGTAATATTGCATGCTTTACTTACGTAGGCGTGTTGGAGGCGTATGACGCCATATAAGCGAATGTGCTGTCAGAAGCATATTCCTGTCAACAAAAGATTACTCTTCTTCATCTGAGGTTTTACATGATGTCGAGAATGTTTCAAGCGAATGATGTTACGATGAAATAAGCCTAGGCTTTGAAACTACGCATTCGTGCTTCAGAAAAGATTGAAAATTTAAAGCAGGGAAGGAAATTGTTTAGGACATAAGTTAATTTTTGACCCATTGTACTAAAAAGTGCACAGTCATTTAAAGCAAGAATTCGAATTTTACATATTCATAAATTTGCATATAATTTTGAGTACAACCTACACAATCTTTTTTTGATTTTTAATGGTGTTGTTTAGATTATAGTTGAGGATAGTGGGTCCACAACAGCTGTTTAGTCGCCTATTTTATCAATTAATAAATAATTGTATGTATGGAGATAAAATAACACAGCAGATATGGTTCATTTTGCACTGTTGAGCTGTCATTCATTGTACTCACTTCACTAGTTTAACTTCTGGTAACTGTTAATTTTTTGCCCATAAGCTGCATGATATTATATATTAGTATAATAAGTTCAATTTCAGTTATCAGTTGTTCCATCAATATCACTGATAAGTGTTCCTGGTATGTATTATTGTATTGCATCATCCACATTTGAAGTACTATTCACAAAGTTGAAGAAATGCCTTGAACCATAATTATTGCATTATCTTTACTGTCCCTTAAATTGTCTGACATTACCTTTTTAAGTTAATTCACCTTTAAATGTGCAAACAAAAGATTATTTTGCTTTATCCAAGGTTTGCATGGTATTGGAAATGCCCGAAGTAAATGTTACAATATAATAAGTCTAGGCTCTGAAATTTCACAGTCATGTTTAAGAAGAGATTGGGAATTAAAATCAGTAAAGGATATCATTCAAGACATTAAAGTTAATTTACTAAAAAGTGTACTGTCATTTGAAGCAACAATTGTGATTTTACATGTAGGTACCAGTATTATGAAATTTACATATGATTTTGAATAAAATCTATTCAATTTTGTTTCATTTTCATTAGTTTTATCAGAATTATAGTTAGGGTTATAATTATAGTTGAGCATTATTCACAAAGTTGAAGAATGCCTTGAACTAAATTGCATCATTCTTTCTGTCAGTTAAATTGTCTGACACTTGTTGTTGTTGTTCCATCTTGAAATGTGTAAATAGTAAATTAAAATTTTTTTTAAGGTAATGCAAAGAAAGTATTCTATTATTTTAAGTGTTAATGAAGTTAGTTAATTGAATTTAAATGTTGAATTTAAACTCTGTTTTTCCAGGTTTTTGGAACATTACTCGCTGGCTTACTTTTCCAAATAGCATCTGCAAAGGTATTTTTATACATGATATTATTGCTTTCAGTAATATAATATAATTGCCAGTGATAACTAGAGCAATACATGAAGAAGGTCAACCTCAGTTACTAAAACTGATTATTTTCAAACTAGTTTCAAACAATTATCTTAAACTGAAAAATATCAAAAAACTATTGCGAGGTTGATTTTGTTGCAAAGTTGTGGTATTGAATGGGATTATATGTGCTTTATTTTATTCAGAAGGAGTGTTTAGGGAAATATTTAAAGAAAGAGCATGTTTAATCTACATATAGTCAATCGCAAAGATTTGGAACTTTTAATCACATATAATTTCATTAACGTCAATAATTTCAATTTCAATTTTGAAAAATATTCAAAGACCTCAAGCCCTCATACCCTAGCATAATTTAATAATCTTCTTTTTCACAGAGTTATCTTGGAAAAAATTGATTTTGAGAAATCATAATGAAAATACTATGAACAATTGAATGAGCTAAATATTTTAATTTAAATGAAAAATGTATATATCAGACGTAAAACAAAGTGTATTTATTACTAAATACCAGTAAGTAGTGTTGTAACTGATGTCCTAATTAATGATATGCAGTCAAACTTTCAACGTTAGTAGACTGGTTAGTTCTGACTCATTAAAACATGTCATCACATACATTGCATGTCACATGTTAATTTATCTTATGTTTATGAATAAGATAAGCGAGGCATGAATTAGATGTTTTGTAAATTATTCTGAAGGAATTTTTAACTGTCTATGAATAAAGTTATCAATCAATCAAAGCTTTTCCAGTTTATTGCTGATGGGGGGCAGGGGCAAACAGTCCCATGCTGCATGTTACTTATTTTATTAGAAGTTATTAATTATGTATTTATATTTTTTTTCTCAACAAGAAGGAGAGATATATATTCTCAGAGACCCTTTGAGTTATTCCCATAAATTTTTATGTTTCAAAGAAAAATCTGAATTGAAGTTCAGGTAACATTTACCTTTTAGCCTACAAATCCTTGCAAGAAAAGCCAACACTGGGTTGAAAATGCAGATGGTCCAACACAGTGTATAGACTGTCAGGCTTGCCCTCCAGGCCAGACTATCTCACCAGAATGTGGAAATTCAAAACCATTAACACCTGATACAACAGTGTTCTGTGTTCCATGCCAACTGGGAAAGTCATTTTCCAATGAATTTAGCACATCTGTCTGCATTCCTTGTTCATCTTGCTCCAAGGACCAGGTGGTGATGAAAAACTGCTCACGTCAAGCAGACATTGAATGTGGAAAGAGATGTTACAGCAAAGACAGGTACATCATGTAACAGCTGTACTTGAAGTGGCCATGGAGTGAAAGGGGGGGGAGGGTGCCAAAGGGTGCTTGGAATTACTAAAATTCCAACTTAAAATCTGATTAACTGCAGAATTTTCTTAGTTTGGCTTTGATTTACATTTAAATACCTGGCATTTGCCTATTGGTTTAGGAAATTTTAGTGAAACTAGCCTGATAGAAATTAATTGTCATTGTTCAGGCCTTTAATGTTTCCTTGCAGGAATGGCACAGGGGTGGTGCAGTGGAGTTTTCTCCAATCATCAGGTTTTTCTCTGGGTCCTTAAGTTTTCCTCCATCTGCAAAAACCAACATTTCAAATTCCAATTGACCTGTAAATGGTGGGCAAGTGGAGCCACTTAGTTGGTTGTCCATTATTAGATTGCCATTTATTTAAAATGTTGGGCAAAAATTTTAGACAAATCAATGCTTCTAGTTTTTTTTAATTCTGTCATTGACATGATAACAAGAATGATGATGCAGTTGTTCAATTTTCAGGCAAAAGGCTGGCTTATATGTTTTAAACAATGGATATCATAATCCTTGAAAAAATGAGGGAGTTGACATTTAATGTTTTACTCTATATGTCAGCCAAAAAAGATAATTTTTTATTCCTTACTCTTCCCTTTGAACAGGTATTATGATGAATCCAAAGGAGATTGTCTTAAATGTTCCAAGTGCTGCAATGATGATCGAGATGTGGTGGAGAGTGAATGTATAGAAAAGTTGGGATTTCAATCAAGCATGACCTGCTCTTTCCACAGCAGTGTCAATAGATGCAATATTAAATCAACCCCAAAATTTGTACCTCAGTCTACCTCTGAATCAAGTCAGAGTTCAGCTGCCACTACATCAAGTCACATAGTCACTGTAGCCTTAACCAATACCAGTGCCGATGTGGGTTACAGATTAGAAAATATAACCCATTCTGGGGTTGGTAGTTGGTTTGCTTCTAAAAACAAGGATTGCAATGACCCTTGTATATCAACTATAGCCACTGTGGTACTACTGTTTCTGGTAATTGTGAGTGGAATTTACCTAACATGGTTTTGCAAGTCACGGTCACCAACGCATAGTTGTGTTGATCCAGGTAAATCTCAGTCAAGAATCTTACATGTGGTGTACTAGTTGTCAGAGACAAAATAAATATATAAGGGAAGATTTAAGGTATGATTCTTATGTGGCAAAATCTGATCCACTAAAATTGTCACAATTAACTGTTGTTATGTAGTATCTCCAGTATCTCCTTTACATGTTCATTATGACTTTGTGAGAAAAGAAATTTCGCCCTCTGTAATAAAAGTTAGGTGCTGTCTAATTACAATTATACTCGGGGGATTTTTGGATGTCCTTAATGCATTACAAATTACTTTCAATGTATAGTCAACAATTTTTACCATACTACCAACAGATGGGGGAACACATAAGAAGAAAAGTACCAAAGTTCATTATAATTCTGGATTAGCAGCAGTTGAATTATGTGAACCACTGTTAGAGGTAATGAATGTATGAATTAGTGTCCAGGCAGTCCACTTGTAGATGAACATGAAGTTCTTTAATTTTTCACTTTCTACTCCAGTTGGACAGAGAAAATATGTGGTAATCTCTCCCATTTGAAACAGAAATGTTCTGAAGTTACAGTAAAAGACATGTGGCTCTGTAAGTCCTTTATTATCCAGAATGGTTGCATAAGTCAGGGGTGCAGTAAGGAATTATAAGTATCATAGAAACACAAGTGAAATAATGCTCTTGTTGTTCAAGCCTTATGGTGCAATAGGAGTAAAATGAAAAATGGTATAAAGTTAAAGATCTAGAGGAGCCAAGCAAATTGTAAAATGGGCCAGTCTGACCCATTCATTAATTTTGTTTCTGAATTCCACTTTATTTTATCATGATGTCTGGATGCCTGTAATTAGTGTCTACTAGTGAGGGTGCATGGCAATATTTTTGCTTCAAAACTTTCCTTTTTTTAGGTGTCACCTTTCATGGGTATAGTTGTACTCACTTTGATAGCTTATACATTATATAATTATCTATGCATGAGCCATTTAGGATGTATATCAATTGTGGTTTACATTGTAGGGTGATGGAAAGTTGTGTGTACAAGCACTTGCCACAATGCAGAACAGTTGGTGAAGTCAGGTAATTATTATTAATACTTGTCATGCCTACAGTGAACCTGAACTCTTCTCACAAGTTTGAAAAATGCTAAATAAATGGACTAAATAGGTAAAAATTTGAGGATTATTTTTACAGTTCATTTGTAATTTGAAGGCCTTAGTTGTCCCAAACATGAATTGAAATTAATTCATTTGGGGAAAAAGTTTTTTTTAAATTTTTGGTGTGTCTAGTAGAAAACAATATATCATGTAAATAGTATATTGAGTGTTATAGTCTAATTACAGTACCTTTACACAGGCTGTTACATATGGATTATCTGATATATTTTGTCATGTTAAATCTGTATTTCAGATTCTAAGCCAATAGGAAGCTTATTGGACTCAAGTGAACTGGAAACAATTTGCGAACTTTTAGACACACCCATTGGTGGAAAACTGGCCTATGAGATAATTGCTCGTTTTTATGGAGCTAATTACTTCAAAATAAAAGCAAGGTTTCAGGATCAAAAATCAAAAGCAGTGATTGAATGGTTGGCAACTGAAAGGCCAGAACTGACAGTTTGGGAGTTTGCTAATGTGGTGAGGACAAAAGCTAGGAGAACTGATGTTGCTAATCGGTTGAAAGCATTTGATGCAAAGGCCACCAAAGAATTAACTGATGTGTGAAATATGTATATAGTGTTTATTTGACATCACTCAACTCAATAGTTGACCACAAACTTTATTTGATTTTTGTAGAGATTAAGTTGAAAACGTGCATGTGATTGTTTAGTGACTGTAAAAACATATACTACAGAGATGTATGTTTGCTAAGAATGTGAGAGTGCTCAGAGGACCCCTTAACACGAGCCCCCGCTTACCAAAGTGGCCTGTTAGGCAGAACAAAATTTGCCTCCATTTTGAAGGAAAAATCTCAGCCTGGTTTCAAACTCAGCTGAGATACAAGCACTGTTACATAACGTTGTTCATTTGAGAAATTTAATTGTTGTTATTGTGTTATTGTGACGTGATTGTTTGAAGTTTCATCCCATTAACTTAGGTGTAATTGTTGATATGAGTTAATTGGTGCTGCAACAATTATCGTTCATAGTTATGAAATGAATTAACGTGTCCATCTGGTGACGGAGATGAAACTATTCTGTACACTGCTAAAACAGCTCTATTTGTATAACGAACTCAGTAATTTTTGGAACTATTTTTTAAATTTTAATTTCCCATCATATCAAGGAAATACTTTTTGGTCTATTTTTATACTAAAAGATTTATTTTTTAAGGGTTATTTTTTTTTATTTCTTAATTTAGTTCTATTTTTTAAATTATAAATTTATGGTCTGACTGATAATTTTCTGTTTATGTTATGTATCTTGGAGGTCAAGCACCATTTACAGTCACTGCGGTATTGAAGAGTGTATCTTTTATGCAGGCTTGAATAGATTTGTACATGTTTAAAGTGTCCATGTTGTCAAGTGTATTAAACGTGCCCTATCTTATGGATATTGTCTATGGAAAAAACCTTAGCCTAATTATTACTTTAGTCTTTCATGTCCAATCTTTAAACAAACGCTGTGAAGGTTTTGAAGTTCGAATCTCCCATCAGAATGAAGAAACCTCATTTTAGATCTTTTTTTTAAGGTGAAGAACACCAAAAAAATTTTTGTATTGTTTTAGAATGTGTAAATATATAGGTTACCATATTCAAATTTTTGTCGTTTTTACTAATTGAAGATAATTTTTAAAGTAGCAGGTTTTCAATTGAACTTTACATTTTGATTATCAGATGTTAAATGAATACAATCTTTTGTATTCATTCCTCCATAAATTGTATGTATTTATGCGTTCATTATATCTTTAATAGCCAGCCATTTTCATGCACCGAATGTACCTGTAGAAATAAGTAGATGAAGACTTGTAGCGGTTTAATTCTTTTTAACTAGATGATCACCTGGTGTCAGTTCACTTGGCACATCTGTGTAAATCAACGATGGTGTATATATCATTTACTTTTAATAAAATATTCTTATTTTATGAATTATTCTTTGCCTACATTTTCAATCTACAGCACTGGGGAACTATTAAATATTTTACTGTTTCATTGCATAGCTTTCTTGTCTACTTTCAATCTCAATCAACCAATTTTCATCATCTCTGTCTCCTTCATCGTCACCATTTCATAATTTTCACTGAGGACAGAATAAAAAGGCAAATTGTTAAGGCAACTGTGTCTAGAATTTTTATTCCTGATAGGAAAAGTACAACAAAAAAGCCAAAACAATTAAAGCTAGCTGCCACCTTAATGACCTCTCCCAACCAGTGGTATATACAGTGGTAAGAAGGCAACCAAAGTTAGTCACTTTAAGCATTAAATGCGACACATAAATCTTTCTCTTTAATAAAATGACAAATACAAGATAAAACAAGAACACAAAATATTAACTAATGCATATAGTTCCCTAATTGCAAAATATTTATAAGTAATTTCAGCCAAAAGTCAGTTTGAGCACTGTAAATAATCCATCTCTAGATCTCATGGTGTAAACAAAACAAAAACAAAGAGAACATCTGAGATTTCTAATCTAATTAAAACGTTTTCTCACAAGTTTCACAAGGCATTTCACCCATTATTCGATATTAAAATTTCTGCAGCCAGGTGTGTTCCCAACATCTTAGTAAAATTTTTGTCAATGAAATGTTTAATGTAGGAGTATTTTGCTATCATGAGACATTTCTTGTTATGTATGTTTCCAGATATCAGCCTCTAACTTCGAAACAAAAACTACCTTGACACATCAAATACCAAGAACATTACCAGAAACACTTAATATACACTTAGGTGTTATAAAGGAAAATATTTTACATTTTTGTTATCCTGGCAGCATAATGTAAGCCTGCGCCTGCACAGTGGAGAATTCGGCTATTTACACTGTACATTAGCATGAAAACGGTTAGTGAGATGGGGTAGCCCTACGGTAAGTGAGCTGAACCCTGGGTTGGGAGGTACACTTTCAAGCTTTGGCCAGGTCATCTTGTTCTTCTCCGCCTAAGAAAAAAATGAGTACCACCAATTTGTCGGGAAAGCCAGAAAACATGCTGGGGGTTACCTTTAATGGATTAACATCCAATCTAGTATGAGCAGATAAGCTTGTGGTTGCTTCATACCACAGGAAATTAACTAACCCACCATATCATTTCCTTACTCAATAATAATAATAATAATAATGATTATAATGATTATAATAATGATAGTAATAATGATTTAGCAGAGAGTAAGACCGGATACCCGGAGAAAAACCCTCGGAGCAGGGACGAGAACCAACAACAAACTCAACCCACATACAACACCAGGTACTAGAATCGAATCCTAGCCACAGTGGTGGGAGGCGAGTGCTCTCACCACTGCGCCATGCCTTCTATTCGTAAGTATCAAGAGTTACAATGCTAACCTCAACCAAAGTTTTAATTTTCCCTTCACCAAGCATAAGTTTAGCTCGAAAACAGATGGTGAGGTTTAAAAAAAAAATTGAATGAGGTAAACTATTGTAGAGTACAGTGTAACTTAAATTTGGCACAGTGACTGATTGTTTATGAAGTTATGTTCTCAGAAAAGTAATCGGTAGATACCAGGAGAATTTCCATTATTTTCACCTCTAATCAGCTGCTGTCACTGGGCTCTGATGAGAAAAATGTTCAAGATTAAAGTAAGCTCAGACAATAGAGTTGCGACTCAGGAGATGTCATAATTGGAGCTGGTATTTCAATCGATAATCATGACACAATTTACCTTCACGACCATGCTATAAGTCTTAAATTACAATACAATTCATAGAGAGAAAGGAGGTTTGCATCACAAAATAAATAAGTTTACAAAGCTTATGAAAAACAATATTTTAATAGATGACAAGGTGGCCTCACGACTTGAAAAAAAAAAAATAGAAAAAACATATTGTACATGTAGGCGATAGGCTTTCATTGGGAAAATTTATTTTGCCAAACCCACCAATTCTAAAATGCTTGCTCAGAAAAGTACTATTCTTTAAAACTCTTTTTGCTATCATTTTGTTGTTACCGTAAAATTTATATAAAAAAATTGTTAGTGTTACTCTGAAAGTAAACGAGACTTACCCAAAATGCGATGGAAAAGTACAGGGAACACTGTGTCTCTGCATCGATGGCTAAGGTGATTTTTCCTTGTTCTTGACAAGGATTTTCGGATTCACCAACATACTGGAGTCGGAAATGGGACTTGGCTCCTGGTGCTACTCGGTTTTTGCTCTCACATTCAATGTTGGCAACTCTAAAAACCTTAAGAATCAGAAATTCATAACCGTTGAAAAGCACAGTGCGAAGAGATATAATCCTTTGCTTGATATCAGAAGACTCACTGAAAAGAGTGATTGTTCACTCTTAATCCTAGAAATTTACGAGTGACCAACAAGAACTTGACATCTATAGAAAACTGTGTTTGGATTAAAAGCTATTAAAAAATGAATAACGAAACAGTGAACTATAATAAAAGGTGTAATCCGGACTGAATGATTTAATTTTTGTGTTTCAAATGTACTTACAAATTCTCGGCGTCTTGCATCCTCAGGAGAGACGAAGTTTTGTTGCTGTTGATCCACAATTTCAAATGAAATTCTAATTTGCTCGTGAACAAATACAGAATGAAAATCTTGGCTTTTGCCATTGTTAACACAAAATGAAATTTGTCTCGTTGAGTAACCTTGCTCAGTTCCCTCATTTTTGTAACTTTGAAAAATTGTGTCATATACCTTAAAGGAAAAAAAAGACGTCTAAGTGTCATTAACTATTCAACAATGAAAATTTTCAATTGCGAAGGAATTCAATTTCCTACACTCACCTGTTGCTCTTTTTCAGGAATCATATAAAGTAAGAATAACTTTTCTTTCCTTTCTTGGTGGCTTCTTTCAAAAAGGAAGAAAACCACTGTTAGACCAGGCGATGGATGCTGCACCGAATGGTCACACACATCTGCGGAGGACATGAAATAAAAATAACGTACGTAGATGCAAATAAGTCCTTCCAAAGATACGTTCATGAAAATGGTGATCAGATATACAGATTGTAAGAGTTTCTTTACACTGAACAACTCCTCTATCGTGTTTTACGTGGCCCAGTGCTGTAAACGAAGAAAAGCAGATTTTAAGTTGAAGACTATTTTGGAAGAGTGAAGTTCGTTAATTTGGACATGTACAATTATGCGGGTTTTAAGTCGACGACTAATTTGACTGGTTGGATAATGATGCGATAAACATACTTCTCAAACAGACAAATCAAAATCGTTACTTCTCGAATGAAAAGAAAAGAGCAGTACAATTTACGCACGCCGTCTTTGAACACAAGAGCTCAAACTTATCGAACTTACGTAGTACAGGAATTTTCTTTCGCTGAGGTTCAGAAGGCACTGTTGGCAAAGATGCTGCTGTCGAGTCGCTGCAGACCTCATCTTCAAGGGATAAACTGGGAAGCGACGGCAAATGTCCCCTGTACGACTCTGGAACGGTTAACAAGGTTTCTTCCGTTGTAGTTGGATTTGGGTTGGATTTATTGGGTTTTCCTCGCTGAGTGCGGTTTCGAGTTATCGCTTTACCGCATAGCCTACAGACCATTTCAGGAGTTCTGCTGGACGTTAAAGTAGGTTGCCCTTCTAAACTATGGGAACACAATTCACTTTGTTCTCTTGATCGTTCCGAAAGGTCATTTCTATGTGCTGTCCTGATCCGATTTTCTTCTAAGTCAGAGTCGCTGTCAGATTTATACTGTGCATTACTACCTATGGCAAGGAGCCCCTCGTTGTTATCTTCGCCCTCCAGAGACCGATCCCCATTTTCATCGCTCTACAAAATGAAATGAAAATTGTTGGTTTAATTTTTCGGCTATACGATCTTCTATTTATATTTAAATGGAGAGCTATGGAAAACGAAAATATTGATGCAAATAAGATAAGTTTCGAAAGTGAAGTGGAGAACAGCGGATAAAATAAAACTATAAATTGTAAGTGGAGAGGGAAAATTGCTATCAGTGCTCAGAATTTACCATATTGTCTCTGTTTGTATTTTCTGCAGCCATTTCTTTCTTTCTTTTCAGTATCTTTCCACAATTCATTAATCTGCTCAGCAGAAATTGAGGGTCACAGTAACGAAAACGAGAGCTAAAATTTATTCACGTGACCTACTCTTCGTCCCTTTGATTGGTTTTCGATTACCCACTCGGGGAATCCCCATGTCAGAACATGGGGTTTTCCCTTTCTAAAATAGGATTGTTACCTTTTAATTCATGGAAATAGCTTTCACTTTCGAAAGCTTGCTCTTCTGTGGCATAAATTTTGTCAGCAAGCTTAAACGGAATTAGATTTAACCAAATACCGAAGGACACAAGTAAGATCTGTTGCGTACTTAACCAAAACGACATAGTTTCCTTTGATATTATACATTAATTTGTGGCTTTTGCGACAGGTATACCCCAATCACGGCACTGGGACGCTCAGCATTGAAAATTAAGACTTTGAAATGGGAAACATTTTCTCTGTGATCGCTGTTGTCTGCCTACTGGTAAGTCGTTATTTTGAGCGAAATTAGAAAATTCGATGCCTCGATGGTAAATTCGATGTAAATTCGATGCCTCGATGATTCTTATGATGCTCGAACTAACTTAAAAGTACTTCCTGTTATGGATGTTGAACGCTTTTAGATCAGTCGAACAAAATTCAACTGCCAACCCTCTTCTGCTATGTGACGTCCTCACTTTGCACATCTACTCAATCACAGTTTGGTCAACTGCGTTACCTTTGTTTTGCAGTAGGAGTCACATCACAAAGTTTCATGTTTTACAACGTGCATACATTTTTCTTCCAAACTCGTGCACCTCTATCCACCTACGCCTTCATCACGTTTCAGTCTTCCACCCACGTTCTTTATCCCATGACAATATCAGCTTCGCTTATCGGCGGAATTTGAATTTGATCCACTTAAATCACGGCTAAATTTATAGTTTCAAACCTCATATACGAAAGATTTAAATCAACATCTGTTTACTTCTACTTTTAGCTCGGGGTTTGTGGGTACCTTTTATCTTTGAAGCTCTCACGAGCGACATTGCATCTACGCCATGGTCATCTCAAATTTTCAATTTGCACATTTCACTCATGCGTTAATTTTAAAACAGAATAACGCAACAAATACGGGACGTTTCAATATCTAATTTAAGCAAAGCTGAATACGTACCCTTGCACACTGTTGAGTGTTTACGTTTCTGCATTTTTCGGTGAAAATCTGGAGTAAGAGTGGAAGCAGGAGGACGCGTCGCCGAGTAGTAGGCAGGCTACACTTGCAACCTGGGCCCAGTTGTTCAAAGGCCGATTAGCCCTAACCCAGGGTTAAATTTTAATCCAGCTTTCTTTATTTCTTTATTCAAAAGTCTTTTAGGAAAAATGTTCACTATTCTTTTTAGAACATCTAATGATCAAATTGCAAGCAAAAAGATTTGACCTGAATTTTCTCTTAAATTTTTCAGACCTGAAATTAAATTTCACAACAACCGGGGCCTGGTCTAAATGTACTGTTCGAGTCTTGCAAATAGCCAACGGGTCTGCCTTCAAACAGTTATGGTTTATAACCATGTCCTGTTGTATTTTTGAATTATTTCTTTCACTGAACTAAACATCCTAAACAGCATTTATCTCTTGCCTAACATGTACACCATTTTGATGTCGAGTCCTCTTTTATAGGTTAAGTCAGTGTCTTCAGCCATATTTTGTCAAGAAGACCATCATGGACATGGTCTGTCCCTGGTACTTGACAGCATTACAATTCAAGCATTTAGCCTAGGATTCAGCCTTCTGATTCTTTACCTTGTGTACAGTATGTTTTCATTTGACAGCAGTTTGGCCGACAGAAACCAGTCAGCAGACCGCTATGATCATAATTCTAAACAAAGAATACTAAATGCACAATCTGGTGAGTGTCAAAAAGACATCAGGATACTTATTAAACGTACTCAATTACTTTGACATAAAGAAGTTAAGCATTTTAATATTATTTTTATTCTGTTAGCCTGCAAGAAGGACGTGCTTTTTGAATATCCAGTGCAACAAAGTACTGACCATATAGTATTTCAGAAGACTGGGGTAGAAGTGATGGAAGTGAAGGTTGCTAATGGATTGACACTCACCAATAGATGGATTCCGGGAAATGTGATGTTACAAGCTTGCACTGAAGCAATGCTGCCAGACCATTTACAGGAGGATGAGTTGTCTCTAAGCCCAGTATATAAATTTGTATCAGATGTTGTAAAGTTGGACAGACCACTTGAAGTTTGGATACCTCATGGTGCAAACATTGTTTTAACAGGCGAAAACTGGAGTGTAATTTTGAAGGAGTATCAAAACGACAGTTGGGTAACTGTTGGCCAAACTAGTAAAAGTATCAAAACACAAGAATCAAAGAACTTTGTCTGTAAAAGCAATCATGTGAGATTCAAGACTGACCATTTATCAACTTTCAAAGTAACTGGAAAGTTTGAAACGTCTCGGTCGACTTTGGCCGTTAAGAGAATGAAGGTTGTAGCATTCTGCAGTGAAACCAAAGTTGGAGAAGAACTTGTTGTCAGGCTTTACTGCTTTGATGATTGTGAATGGTCTCTCGAGGTATATGATTTTCATTTTATGATAATTTAGATCAGTGTTATTGTTAACGCTACTTCTTAAAATAACGCGACATTATGGAAAAGAAATTTGCGATACAAACTACTGGTGCCAGGCCATGTGCACTCGTGCAAACAGTACCTCAACCAAAAATGTTTTCTATTTGTTTTACGGAGTTTTTGATTTATGATCGGGCCTTGTTTCATCATTTTATTTTCAATCAAAAATATTGCTTTCTGTTTTTTGTCTTGGAGAAAGCACAATCCTAAGTAAATTGAAGTTAGTTGTCTTTGTTTATTTTTTACCGTTACAGAGGATGATGCGAATGGAGCAGAAAATTGGAGGAAGACTCATGTCCTCGATCGAATCTGTCAGCTTTTCTGTTACCAGTAAACAGGGTCTTAACATATCTGTAAAAGATCTTGCGGGCTGGCAGCTGAATAAGGCCTCCCCACTGGTATTTCCAAAAACTTGTCACTTGCTTTCCTGGACAAACCGTCCATTAAATCTGTGTTATAGTCTTAACTCCTACTTGTGTAGTTCAGTTCCTTTTTTTTACCTGTTTCTATTTTTATCATTAAGGCAGAAGAAATGAGAAGATAGGCGCAGGAAATTACTATCAGGGTCATATTTTGTATCTTTTGCCTCTTCTCGATAGCCCCGCAGCTCATAGAAGAAATTTTCTCTTTGTTTATTATTATTATTATTTTTTTAGTTCATTCCTTAAATATGCCATAAGCGTACCAAGAATTTTATGTAAACTTCTGACAAGAATTTAATTATAAATCATTTCTTTTATTATAACTCTAGAAATTCAGCTTTGAATCACTGAGGAACTCCTTCAACGTCATTCCTCGGTGTGATCTGGTATTCCAACCTTGCAGGAAGTCACTAAGCACCAGTGTTTTTGTGGAATTGGTTTTAAATCATGAACCATCTGGTGAAACAAGGATTTATGCATCCACATCACTGAAAAAGGTAAAGAAATATCTAGCCTATATTTTAACTTTCTTTCCTCTTGCGTTCTGACAAACGTATCCGAGTCCAGCCCCGCAAACACTATTTCTATATATTTTCTCCCGTAGAGATTTTTAGAAGATCCTTTAATGAGAGCATTTGAACATGATGAAGTGGAAAAGTAGGAGGTAAGTATTAAAATGAGGTTGACGTGAAGTTGATTCATAGTGTTATAGTTTAACCATAACTTTTTTCATTCTTTTCTTAGTTCATTCTCAAAAACTTCCCGACGAAGATGATTAACATATCACAATACTGGAAATATGAATATTTAGGAAACGTTTTTTGAGATGCACAGTGAGCGGCCAAATCATAACTGATTGAGGACTAGAAATATAATATTATAGGAAATTTTTAGTTCAGTAGACAACGTTTTAAGCATCGATCAACGTCTGCTGTTTATGATACTTAAATATCAGGAACTTCACAGCAAAACAGAAATGTTTTTCACAAAATAATCCGATGGCACATTTCAAAATACTTTCATTTTTTGGTAATGACGAATAAACCACTCTATTTTAACCAACATGAACGTACATTTTTTATCTAGTTTAATAGTATTTATATCTCAACCAAAAATGTATGCAAGGGCGGGGAAAACAATTATATCAAGAAAAGGATTTATTTACAGAAGGGTAGAGTGCGGAGTCAGTGTATACTTCTCGATGAGGAGTCCAGCACACTAAGTCCATTATGCTACTATACCTCTCCCTTGCTTTGTGTTCAATAAAAAAATATTCATTATAAATCAGCCTACATTTTGCATTGAATACTTAACCTAGCCTTGAAAAACATTGAGATGGCTGTGGCTTGCACTTATCATTGCAGCCAAGGTATATCATACCACTTTATAAGGTTTGCGCTTGATACAAGTAAAAATTCATAATTATCAGGGAATTACCAACACTTTTACTCACCAAAGCATTTAATAGCAACAAAAAAATCATGTTAATACTGAAATGAATTTACGATTCAGATAATTAGCTATCAAAACCAAACTGTATTTTATTCAGCTTCAGCTAATGAATTCATTACAATCTAACAGCTTTAGATAAGAAAAAGCATTTCTCAAAATGTGCGATATTTAATTCTTTGGCATGTGACTGTCAAATGCATCAAAATAACTTTATACAACTTACGCTGGTCCACGTAACCTTGCATGCCTGCACGCCTAATCGGCAAGTGGATAAGGGCGCTCGTTTATCATTGCAACTGTTAATAACGAATAATCTTTATTTTGGATGTTTGGATATTTGCTAGCGGAGACAGTTGCTAAAAAACAGACAGTAACTCTATAACAACAGAAGAACACTTTTCCAGCTTGAATTTAGATCAAAACGAGGATGTCGAACATACTTGACGTCACGTTTAGAATTTTGTGAAAATATATACAACAGGCTCCATGAGGACACGAAATAGACATGTATGTTTGAACTTCGACCACTATCTGTTACCCGAGGCTACAGTCTCCCTCAAAGAACTCTATCTAAGCATTTACAGACTGAGAGTTATGTCTCGCTATGAAATATAAAATTGCTTTGATGTCAAAACATCACATAACATATGAGAACCTTATCCATATATACCTGCCATAAACCTTCTAATGCCAAAGGCAGGTGATTAACCTGTAACTTCTCCCCATGATATCCATACGTCATTATCCAGAAAACAGGTTATGGTAATAGTCAAAACTTCTCAGGAAGAAGTTATCTTGATCTAGCCACAAATTCTCGTAACTGGCTTACAAGGAAATGTATGGTAGCTAGACGAGAGAATTAAAAATAATCATATCTTGGGGCACATTGCCTAAGGTTCCAAATTTACCAATCTTCATACAACACCAGTATGACACATTATAATCTCCATTTTTATATTGTAACTAGAATAATAAGAACGAACAGTACCCATCGGTCCTGTATGTCTCTGAAATCGGATTCTTGTGCACCAATTAGCTAGATATACTGTAAACAAATACAAACTCAAAGAATTGAAAATAAAAGATTATCCACAGAACTGCATTCCTAAGCAGCTGGAACAACCGAGCCAGTAAAAGCGGACTACCTTATTCTCCCTCGAACAAATTTTGTTTACTGATTTTTTCGCACAAATAATATATTTTTTAACTTAAAGCTCGGTAAATATTATTTACAGGGCAGAGCTAATCTAATTAAAAGTAAAATTAGTTATAAGCCGGTAGAGTCGACCTTCATTTGTCATCATTGTTGTGACCAGCTGCAAGGTGCCTTTTGTTCAGTAAAATGGCGGCCGCCTCTTGGTTTTTTCGCTGGCTTCTCATTATGTCAATGATAAGGTCAAGGATGTTGCCCCTCGTCTGGATTGTCCGTAACAAAAAGGCGTTGCGGTACCTTTTCACTTTCATACTCTCTACCTCTTGCATGTCCTCTTCATCGAAGATTTTGTGTTGGTATAGGTGATCACACACACTAATTGGGTCACCAATATTCTCAAGAAGAGAAACATGGCAAGAACGCAGCACTCTCCTGTCTTCTTCGGGCATGACAGTGACTGGAAATATAAAAGTTAGGCAATTAGAATAGTCTTAAGAAAAAGTTTATAAATTACCTATCAATAAAGACACCCCGACCTACTTGCAATCGCGATACTAGTGTCTTTATTTACTGTGAATGACACATACTGACGTAAATTAAGGTACGTATCTTTATGCTTACCTAATAAACTACATATTTTTCCTCACTACCTTACAGTATAACTTATTCACTAATAATTAACAATAGTTACTGCTTAAGTAACCCACATTTGTTTGAGAACTGTAAAGGAAATAGAGATTATCAAAGTGTCATAGACTGATACATATTTTCATTGCTGTAAGGATTATGTCTAGGGTCCTGGGTGGCATGGGGATTTCATGGTAGTTTCTCACATGATGGCTATTGTGTTCAAACACAAAGCAAATCATCTTGTCCTGAGATGTCTAGTAACACAAATTCTACTTCAAGATTTTTCCAAAATTTTAAATGGAATGCTTCAGTCAAGCTTGCTTCACAATCTACATGTAATCTCTAATTACCTGCTTGTGGATTGTACAGCCAGGGTGATATATTTGCTTCGTAGTACTAAATCAAAACAAGATAGAATTTGGTAAAATATGTAATATTTTTTATGAAGACTTTGAGCATTATAACATTTTGGAAATTACTTTAAGACGAGTAGAGTTTAATTTATTGAACCAAATAATGATGCAAAAAATGTAATAACTATTATTTCAGTCTTTGCTAAGTTATCAATAGAAGACATCTTGAGACACATGAGACTTTACTTGTTAGAACTTTTTGGTTTTAAAAAATAAAATAAACGAAATTGAATCTAAAACCATGATATGTGGGTGTATAAAACTAAAAAGGTATCTTCAAGGAAACGAAAGAAAAAAAAACTCCGTAAGACTACAAATAGTAAATTTGCAGGACAGGTACCCAATACCTGGCATGACTTGTTGCATGAAAATTTCGAAAAAGATGCTGATAACAATAATGCTTACATTACAGTACTTATATGATAAGTATGATTATAATATCATTGTAATGATATTGTTACTAATCGACCTCTCAGTTTGAAACCGTCTAAGTAGGAAACAATCATGACTCTCTGCAACTAACTCACACATGATTGTCTGTGAGCGGTAATATGTCCTTCCTCGGGAAACACACAAATGGATGTCCATGAAAAATTTTATACCACACGAGGAATTTTTTAAGACAATGCACATTTATAACAATAGCTTACCGCTATGGGCACAGTAAAATGTAAATTTGTGTCACCAGATTGGATGTTTATGCGGATGTTGTCCTCAAAGAGCTTGTCCTTTTCACCTGTGCATCTTGTTAGGACTGTTGCTGAAAATCCACACCCAACCCGATCTTTACTCCTTGAAAGGATTTCAGAGACATTTGCAACTATCTGCAGGACACAATGTTTACGAATGTGACTGAGTCAGAGAAGTGCTTGACAAGAATATATAAAACTACAACTTTGTCAGAGTGTCAAAACTCTACATCTCTTTTTCAAAAACTTACTAATAGGTAAATATTACTGACAGCAAAAGAAAGACATGAAATACTCAAGGAAGAAATATAAACTTAAAAGACAAATTACAGTACAGTAGAGGAGGTAAGTTTCTAAAGTAACAGTGGTGCTGCGACAGTGGGAGGGTATACCAGGGTAATTTAGTATTATGAACTGAATCGATAACGTAAATTGGCCACCGTAAAGAGTTTAAAAGCTGACGCTCGAAACGTAAAATTCGAAACTCTTTACGGTGGCGAAATTACGTTATCAACTCCGCTGATAATACTAAATTACGCTACAGTGTAGTAGGGCTAGGTTTAGTCAACATGTTTTCACCAGATGGTAAGTGCTCAGGACTTTGATTATATTAATGTGCTAGATTGTATGAATAGAAAATAACTGATCTAATTACTGAAGTCATTTATCCAAAGTAACTTACTGTAGGTGGGGAGACAATTGAGAACATTTCACCGGTGACCATTTCAAAGTTAACCTGACAAATTTCATCAATCATAATGCGATGGAAAAGAGCTGGTAACATTTTTGTTTCTTCCATCATTGGGAACTCTGTGCCATGGCACACAACACCCTCGTATTGCTTGATTTTTGGGAACTTCTGCAATTGATCATAAAAATATGTTTTGAAAAGCTAATCTCCAGGAGAAACAAGTTCGAAATAATCTACTTAAGAAAGAACCTTGCGACAAATGTTTGCACAGCCTTAAATTTCAAAGTTCACATGGCTCAATTTAACTGTAGATAAATTAAAAGAGCACATACATATATGCATACCTCCTGGAAGTCCTTAAGTGGGATTATGTAGAGAGCGTGGATTAAATCATCTCGTGCAATGATTCCTCTTTTACACAGAAAAATCATACAAAGTATTCGGAACACATTGCTTGATCCTGGATCTCCTGGTAATTGACAAAATTAAATTTTCCTTTACAAATTAATACTATTGCATGTTTATTAATACAAATTAAGTTTATTAGGTGTATGACCTGCCCACATGACTCCTACTACCAAACATAATCCGAACTTTGGACTTTAGTGCCAATTGTCTCTCAGAAAAACATAATGGCTATTGGTTCGGACTCCAATGCCCAACTGATTAGCATTATACCTACTTCACTCCTTCTACACACCCACATGAATGCTCTTCTGTTTTCTCGATCCATAAACCTTTGAAGACTATTCGGATTTGAACTAGGAACTACACGGCCTGAAGGGTATAATGTCCCCTCCAACTGCTTGTGTGATTTCTGATGCGATATTCCGTAGGCTAAGCACAATTCAGATTAAAATGTAGCCATTTAGTTGGACTTAGCGAAAAGAAATATTCAATTTCATTTACAGACAGAATCGATGGAATCGAGGGAATCGATGGAATAATGGTCTTAATAAAAAAAATTAAATCGTTGGTGATACATAGACAATTATATTAGATTTTCCCCTACTACAAAATCGTTGCGTATCCTTACTCTCTGGGCGTCGAGTTGAAGACACCAATACGCCGTTTTGTTCCGCGTGTATGCTACAACACTCCTGTTGGGGAGTAGGTCTGCTCTGTAAGGATGCATTTCGAGTGTGTTGTTCGGACGAATGTGCAGATTCTAAGACTTCTTCGATCTGATCATGGGCTTCTGTTTCTCCCAGAGGTCTCCTAGAGTCTTCCACGAACTCTGACTCAAGAAGTAAATCTTCTTCCCTGCCATCAGTGCTTTTCCGAACTTGTGTGTGATGGCAGTTACTGAAGTGTCTGCAATGATGGTTGGCTACCGTAACCGGCGACGGAGCGAGTGCCATCGGAGAGGGACATGAAGTTAGAGTTGAGGTTCTTTCCCCCATTGTCTGTATCCCGTAATCGTCGGCAGCGTTTCTAGTCAAAGGATTGTACCTGCTATCCATTGCTCTGCTTTAGGGATACCGATGGTACAGCAAACCACCGAGATATGCCCCTATGCGGCGATAAGTTATTTTATATTTTCACAACATGCTCTGTAAGCACTTTCGTTTCCGTCGAACAGAGTCTTTTCCAGCCATTCAGCGTTTAGAGTGTTAATAATTTATTATGAACGGGATCATATGATTGGTTGTGGGTAGCTAAGTTTGAAGTTTAATTGGAAGGGGAATCCCCGCACTCCTACGAAGTGAAAAGATTCGACGAGTCGGGGTGTTGGCATTGTAGTCGAGTTCACCGTTGCTGACAAGACCGCTCACCTAACTTTCCCTCATAACGTTGTCATGAAAAAGACGTAAGTACCTGGGATTCAGTATTCTTGCTTTGCATGTGTCACGCTGTTTCAGCATGTATTTTAAATGCGATCTTCTTTTGGATTTCGATCACGTCACACAATTTTAAGTTATTGATTCCCGTCAAAATCATTTGAATGTTGTAGGTTATTCGCAAGGCACAAAGGCAATCAAAACTAAAGGACAATTGTAATGTTTAGCTGAGTAAGCAAAATGGATAAATCTTTCCTAATTTTCTGAGCGTTATTATTTACCTTAAGAATGTGCTTCGCCTAGCACTTTCGATCAATGACGTTTGTTTACTTTACCCAATTTAGGCCTGGTTAAACACGGGATTAAGTAAGCCGACCCTTCAGCTCAATTGGTGGCGTTTTCTTTAAATTTTACCTTTGCAGATCTGAGAGACCAAAGAATGTACATTCTGAGCCTCTATTTAATGTGTTCATTCCAATTTCTCTCCATTAAAAATGTGAGTAAACCGTTATTCTTTAGGAATTTTCAAAAAATTTAAATGAATATATTTACGAAGTGACAGTTGCCGCCCGTCTCGGTCAAATTCCACGAAATTCTTAGAGATAACCCCATTGCATTACAATGACCTTTACAAACTACATTGGATCATTTCCTAGAAAGCATTGCCAGTGATAAAAGACACAGCTACGTGATTATTTACCAGACTAAACGGCACAGAAGTGGACCGTTGAAAGCAGGGTAAAGAATAGAGCAGCTTTGCTCCTAAAGGCTTATCAACAAAGACAGATCTACAGATATCCTGACATCTCCACCTGATTGGCGAGCTTAGAAAGATTTCGATGTTCCTCACACTGAGGTTTAGGCACCAATCTTTCCTTAACAGCTTCTAAATTAAATTATAGAGGGTCTTATAATACATGATAATAAACATCAATTTTCTTTTTATCAGGTTCATACCGTCTGTAACTATGACGAATTTGAAGTCGAAGATGTGTTCAAACACGTTTCTTGTCAAAAATGTCTATCTTGTCCTCCTGGAATGGGTCTAACACCACAATGTGGCAGTTTTGTTAGTTATGGTGAAAAAGTTAATTGTGAGCCATGTGAACCTGGAAAATCTTACTCTCCATATAATGATAGCAGTTCATGCCTGTCATGTGGAATCTGCTCTGACCATGAAAGCATCAAGAGGAACTGTTCCTTGACGAATAATTCACAGTGTGAACATGGCTGTGGCAAAGGGTTTTACTTTGAAGAACTCACTGGAGATTGTAAGCCTTGTTCCTTCTGCTTTTCATATCTTCCCAATTGTAACATAAAAAATAGTGTGAAAGAAGGTTGCAAGGACATGCCATTTTACAGACAATGCGATGCCAATGCGATTGGCTGTCAATTACCAAAATGTAGAGAAGATCAATCCCTTGTTGTAACCCAAGAAAAAGACAGTGCATACTGTGTGGATTGTAAAATCTGCCCGGCGGGAACATCACCCTTTCCACCATGTGGAAATGGAATTATAATAAAAAGCATTGATGATATAAAATGTATTAAGTGCTCTCGTGGCAACACGTTTTCTGACAAGCCAACTAAGCAAACTTGTAAGAAATGCTCCATTTGTGCAGTTGGACAGAGAGAACTGACACCCTGCAATCTGACACATGATAGGATTTGTGGTAAATGTGACAAAGGATTCTATGGCAGTAAAGACACAGGATGTAAACCATGTTCTGCTTGCTGTAATGATAAATACGATGTGCGCATTCCTGAATGTCGAAATATAGCAAAAAACAAACAGTGCGGCTATACAGAGCGATCCATAACTGTGTGTCAGGAACAAAACAGCTCTAAGAAAACTTCTACAAAGAAATCCTCTATCATTATAATAGTTTTGACTGTGACGACAGCACTACTATTTGTTGTAATCTTAAGACTGGTGATTATAAAGCGCATCAAATACTGCAGAAAAAATAGGCGTCAAAGAACGGACTCATGTACTGCGTTGCTGCCATCTGCAGACGAAGGTAAAGTTTTAATCATTACCTCATATTGGGATTCAGTGATATCGATTTGAATTGAAATGGCCAATTGATAAACAGCGATGAAAAAGGATTAAAAAAAGATCCACCAAGGACCTTTCATCACAAAAACAGAAAGCTGAAGACTTCAAGATTAACCCCTGGGTACTATGAACTTAAGAATCATTTTTTTTTTAATAATTCGCCCACCAAAAAAAGGAAATGCAAGATTGTATACAATCATAAGAACACCATGATAACTACTACCAAATTTAAAACCTATCCTCTTCCTTTCTTTAGCACCACGGAGTGAATTGATAACACTGGAAGATCCAACACCACATGGATCACAACAGACATTACATTTTGATAAATCAGGTATCTTGATCCAATTCAATGATGCAAATTGTTTCTCCAGTGATTGCCGAGGAATACAACTAAAGATATGTTGGGATGAAAATTCTATACCTCTTCAGCCTGGTGAAGTACAGCTTAGCCCTGTGATAAAATTTCAGCCTTATGGGAAGCAACTATCCAAACCAGTGCAAGTCAGAATACCTCATAGTGCTTTGGTGTATTTAAGCAATGGCTGGGACATCAAGCCGAAAAGCTCTGTACCACACAAAGGCTCAATTGTATGGAAGGGGGAAAACAAATTCCAAGTCCACAATAATGAAGTCAGCTTTCAGGTTGATAATCTTACCTCCTATGTTATCATCGGTACGTCACTTGATAACGGCAAACCAACAAAGAAGCGCTTTCAAGGCGCTGTTTTTGGTGGAGTGGGCACAGTTGGTGTGGACTACACAGCATACTTATATATCTTTGATGACAGTGAGTCATCATTTGAGGTATCTAGATAACAATAGTTTTTATAAACTGAGAACGTTAGAATTCCCTAGCCTTTCCTCCTCTAACCCTCAATGAGTGGCTCTGACTAGCCTCCACTGGGTACACAAGTATATTAATTTTCAGAAAACAACGATAAACGCTCTTTCATCAGGAAGTGGCGAACAAAAACAGCTTGATAAAAATCTTTTTTTTTTAATTGCAATAGGTATCAAAGTGAGATGTGGAAACATTCCAAGGAAACATGCATTCACATTGACATTGAATCTTAAGATAGGGTTAAAGATATACTTCTTTTAATTAAATGATTTGTTTTGGAAATCTTCCAGAAAATCATGCAAGAAGAGAAATCAACCGGTAGAACCCTGCTTGGTTCCCCTCAGTCCTTTTATGTCGAGACTATGATTGATACTAAAGTAAAGATCTCAGTCAAAGAACCAATGGAAGGATGGATTGTTGGAGAGATAAAACCAGAGGTAGTTCTCAGTAGTGTAGTGTATTAATCAACCCTTGTCATAACAAATACGTTATTAATAAGGCATAAATGTAGCTGCACTAGTGAGTTGTAATTTGTTGCATGTAAGCTTTCTATGTTCAAACATTCAATTCCCCTTGATTCACTTCTCTTGTCACAGGCTAAAGTGTACTAATAAAAAATGGGTCTAAAAAAAGTTTTAAAATTGTTTAGAAAATAATAATTTTGAAAACTTTTTCAATTATTTTCAGCAAAAGTAATGGCAAATGGAATGATATTAAATTCACTGAAAATACCAAACAATGATATTGATGATATTATTAATAGTAATAGTGATACTACACTCTGCATTGAGTCAAACAAACCTGGTTATATGAGAAGGTGAGCTCACTTTGTTGATTTGTCCAGTTTACCACAAAGAAATGGATCAAGATATCTTGAACCATGCCTCCCATTAGTTCATTAGTGAGTTCTATTCTGCATTATCAGTTATTTGAATAATTATTGATTTTGGTTGGGGAACTGTGTCAGTTCACAAAGAGATTAGAAGTCCTTTTTGGTTGTTAATCAATCTGATGTAATATTCATATGGTATCTGACTTGTAGGCTTTACTTTAATCACACAGTTCATTACACAAACAAGTTTGAAGGATTCTTATCAAGCAATACCTAGAACAATAGTAAAGTTTAAACATGACAATGGCCGTAACAGAGACTTCCTTTGTGTGTTTGAACTAACTGCAGAAGATACCACAACATCGATTTGTGCTGTTGCCACAATTAGAGAGGTAAGTGCTTTTTTCATCAATCTAAATTAATGCAACTAAATAATAATTTGGTTAAAAATTAATTAAATGTAATTGTGATGAATGGATTTATTAGCCAGCATGATATTTTTATCATACAGTTGTATGCAATGACATTTGTGGCAATTGGTTTTGAAATTCTGAAAATCTTGAAGTCTGATGTCCTAGACTTTATATTCAAAGGCTTAAGATATAGTCATGAAAACAAAAAGAAGACTGAGATATGTGATACATGTATAATGGACTGAACACATTGCTCAATTACACTATTTTCATTTTTGTTTCCTCCTTGGCAGGATCCATCTGGGAAGTTTCAAGAGCACCAACCAGGATTTGGTAATGGCAGTCATCAATTTGTGACTGGGAGAAACTTGTGTGGTAAGAACACAATTGTTTTGACTTTTTTTTTCCAGGATTGAGTTATTGGTACTCAAAATCACTATTTAGCTACCTTAGGATCCCAGAGATAATTATTTCACTTCTGCTTGGTCAAAAAAATGAAATTTGGAAATGCAGTTTTGTTTTATTAAAACTGAGTACAGTGTATCTCTGGACTACAGAGGATACATTTTATCTTCAGTAGCCACAATGTAGCTCTGTTACAGTTTTGATTTATCATCTAATCAAAGGAAACCTGTATGAAGTGGTTTATAATAGGTATATTCATTTTCACATACACCCTTGTCAATATAGACCAGTCTTATCAAGCTCCCTTTTTTCATAATTTCCATTGTAATTACTAGGTTATACCTTCTATAGTAGAGGCCTCCATGCTCAAGAGGTAAAAACATGTTCAAGAGAGATTTATTTTTGAAAAAAAATTGTTGTAGAAAGATGTAAAAAGCAAAATTGGCTTAGTCTGAATATTGGTTAATTAGGTACATGTGGTTTTTAATGTTGTTGAGAAACTGGTCTTGAGAAACTGGTCTTCCTGTAGGAAGAGATAAACTAGCTGCAAGAGAAAATAATTGAAAGACAGAGACTCTAATAGAATCAAAACTCAAATTCAACAAAATCTAACACCAGTATCAGTTAGTATACAGATGGTCATTCTGCTGTGGACCAAGAAAGAACTCTTCCTTTCCACAACAAGAATAGCCAATTGAGCCAATTAAGCCTAGTCTTTGACAATTTACAATACTCTACCAAGGTTCTAAAATTTGGAATTCTCTCCAAATATCAATCATTAGTTTGACTTGCTTTTTTATTTTTAAAAGAAAAATGATAAATTTTTAAAGTGAAATGAGTGCAAATTGGCTAGCCACACATCCACATCCACAACCGAGGTGGCCTCACCTATAAGCCTGGTGGTTTCTTGGAGGTTTTCTTTACTCTACCATACTGTTAAATCTGTATAAGTATTATATCTTTAGTGGCCAATAAATAAACAAATAGATGATGGTGATGATGGTGATGACAAAAATGGGGGTTTCCTGTGACTAGTTACAAGTGTGAAACTTGGAGGGAAAGCTCAGTTTTTCAGTGTCTACTTAAGATCTTAAGAATGTACCTCAATTTTTTTTTGTAATTTGTGCTTTTTACATTTTTCAAAGACAAAATCGTTACTTGCAATGTAACTTACCACCCAATAAGTTGCCTTGATTCAGCTGATTGATGCCTTTGTACTCTCTTAAAGATCCACTGATCGTCAACCCAGACAAACCATCACCTTGTCTTAAAGATCTTCCAAAGGAGGTACTTGAAACTCTTTGTGTGAAACTTGATATGCCCCTGAAAGGAGTTGGCAATTGGAGGCATGTTGCAACGTGCCTTGATTTCACCGAGGAACAAATTCAGCGTTTCCGGAATGAAATGTTGACTCCTGACGGAAGTCCTTGCACTGTTATGTTGAAGTCACTAGTGAAAACGTCACCACAGTTCACTGTGGCAGAATTTGTGCATATTCTACAAACAAGGAAGATTCAGCGCTTTGATGCGGTGGAAGTTCTGGAGCCTCATTTACACAGCTGTTGAGAATGACCTGCACAAGAATCGAGAGACATTCTCGATTACTCACATTGTAACGGACTTGTCGAACTTTTTGGCTTTTTGCGCCGATTTGCTGTATCAGATTGAAATCACTGTCAAATAAACTAACAGATTTCTAAAGCCTCTAGCATAAACAAAGTAATTGTCTAAAAAATAAGCCAGTTGCACAATTGGAAAATGAACAGTTTTAAAATGAACGAAATATTACTTTATAAAATATTAAAACCGGCCTCCTTTAAAAGCCAATTCTTTGGCAAATCTATCTTTATTTCCCTGCCAATATCACGTTTGCCAACTCTCCCATATTATCCGGGAGTCTGCTTGAAACAAACCGAGTCTCCCGGTCTTCCGTACCTAACATTTTTCAAAAATCATCAGGTTTCGTCTTAAATCTTATGGTTCTTGTTTTCATTTTCTTGTCAATTCGTTTTCTTGTCAATTGCACTTTGCTTCTCCCTAAAATCAATTTTTTGAATACTCCAGTATCAACATTTATCCAACTCAGGGTTTCCTAATCGACACGCTCGGACATCTCTGACGATTAAAACCAAATATGTGAAATCCACAAAAATTCCAACTTCTCCTAACTGTTCCAAAAACAACTCTTGGCTCGTAGTGTACTGGATAAAAGTAAGACGCCACGCTCGTTAAATATATACCGGTTTGAGTTATACATCGGCACCTACGTCGTAGGGAAGAGGCAGAAAAACTTTAAAAGACAACTTGAATAACAAAGGAAAGGTAATTAAGGATAGAAAAAATTACAACTTATGTATAATTTCTTGGACACGCAACCACACGTCATAAAAAAGAACTAACGAAATAAATTTTGAGTGCGTGATCTCAAACCAGAGCTCACAGATTTTGGACTTTTGGACATACGTACATGTAGTGTTGGGGGATATGATATTTAACGCCATATCTTCGTCTCAAAGTCCATTCTCTGATGTATCCCAGAGTCCCTTAGTCTAAATGTAACTCTAAACACAACAAGAGTGCCCAAAGTAAATTTAACTCCTGAATGCTTAACGTAATTTATCTACATGGATACATGTGATTCTCTAACAATACCTCATTCCCCACGATATGTGTTTTTAGTTTTGAGGCACAAACATAAAAATTACAGGAATCATTAATAACCATACAAAATATTGGTAATCTTGCTCTTGAGGTTACTTGAGTGAACTGTTCTGCGCATTACAGGTTACGCAGTGCAATACAAGGAATCATATTTCTCGTGGCTTCTTCCCGGTCCCGTGTTTTGGGTCCAAAGTACAAAAAGTCATATTAAAGTTCTTTTGAAGACAACGATTCGACACAATTCAGAAACTACGGGAGCTTCACAATATCTGGTGCTGTTCTTTGATTCACACGGATTTTTTGGCAAGATTCGTGCTACCATTTTCAACACGAAATCACCGTCAGCTACCGTCAATATCAGCGCCTGTCAAGGCAAGAGGGATTTTACTCTTCTTTTATCTCGCTCGATCTCTGGCCCTGTATCGGGAAAGAGTTTTTGTAGTGCACCAAGATCGTGCTGTTGAATAATGTGTGTAAACATGTGTGTGGTTTAATCACTTCGTTTTCCTTTATAACAAAGCGCCTCGAAGAATTTGACGCGAACTTCAAGAATGCCTGTTCTTTTCGAAGAAGGCGAAGAGAATTCACGGCCATTCAACGGGCTCAGAAGAATACATAATCAGTCTCAACAGCCGGGAATTTTCCCGCCAAATACCTTCTCTATCACAAGCGATTCATGTGACTTTCTTTGTGCCCTTGGGTGACCTTGAAATCAAAATAATACACACTTTTTGACTGGATGGCCAGACATAAACAAAATAGAAGAGCCAATCAAGGTAAGCGTACTATAATGTAAACAAACTGTAAATACCAAAATTCGTTTCATTCACGTATCTCACTCTTACTACGCGAGGTTTGACATTTAAATTTTTTCTAAAAAGAAATTTCTTTCTGTACTTCTTCGAATCTTCGTGAGGCAAGTTAAGAATCATTCCAAAGAAGTATGCGACATGGATTTTTCACAAGCTTTGCGCTTGATGATTTCTTCCTAACTGTCACTTCGGTGGAGATTTCTAACTCTTTGAAAAACCACGATGCACTCAGAGAAAATGGTGAGAATTTTGTTGCGTCTTTCCTTATGCAAAGATGAGTTTTAATTCCTTCGGAAAATTTGGCCTGCAATAACTCAGAAAACGCAGTATTTTTAATTCTAACGGCGACTTCCTTGTTTTCCCAAACAGGCGGGTAGCAGAGAAAGTTACTACGCAATACCCCTGAGATCTACACGCAGAGATAATTTGCCCTCTCAGTTTAAAAAGGTAAGAAAATTCCTCAAGAAGTTTTGACTATTATTTGATTTTCCGTCGTTAAACACCATCAAACAGTTTTTCTGCGTGTGCCATATCCTAATTTCGTCAACTTGGGTTTATAAAAAGTGTATTTTGTCGCCGAATGTTACAAAAAATGTGCTGCGTAATCACTTCAATTCGCAAAAATGGGTTCCTCAGCCCTAACGGTTTTCTACAATAGAAGAATTCTACATGGTTGTGACTGATTTTTTTTATCTTGAGGGAGTCTGTGGTAAACTTCACCCTGTTCATAGATAATTTTTTAAAAGACCTTGGTACCCGACAAAGACGGTTTTATATATTACAGGCTTAAATCACAACTGTCGTTTGAGTTGTTTTAGGTACATTTCGATACGAAATCGAAATGATTTTTCCTCGGCAATTCACACAATACCAGCTTGGAAAATGCGACATTCCCTATCAGAGATAAGTGATCAAAACCGTAGGTTTGTTTCATCAAAACGATCGTGCCTAAAATGGTTCATGAAAATAAATATTGCATCAGCTTTGTTCGTATTTAAATAACGTCATGTCATTACCAAAACAAAATTAATATTCATTGTCTGAGTTTGGTAAAATGGTAGAGTATTCAATAACGCACATGCACCTGAGCAGATATGTTTAAACATTTACAATCATTCCTGATAATTTTCTTTGGCAGTTATTTGGGATAATAGTTGTGGTCTTCTATCTTCTTCCCGTGGTTTCTGCAAAGGTTAGACTTTGTGGTATTTATAATATATATATATATATATATATTACTATCTTTGTATCTAGAATTTCATGAACATTATTTATTGTGTGTGTGGGCTGGCAAAATTTTCTCTGCTCTTTGGTCAGCAATCCCCGAATATATTACATAACAAATTTAAAATCATGTCATTAAGGCAGGAATCTAACCACTATACTTCTAGATACACTAAAGTTTATCATTCTAAGCTATAACAGAAAATCGATAGGAAAAGAACAATTCTTCGTTTTATCTTCAATATCTCCGCTAGTATAAAAACAGAGCTTACTAAAACATTCACTCTGGAAGGGAAAAAATACAATGATATAACTCCTTTGGAAAGAAAATTGTCTTCATTAAGCTTTTCAATTTCGAAGTACATTTATTCGGTAAATTCTGGCCAAAGAAACGTCAAAATAATTTGGAAAAACAAATAACTCCGTAGACCACCGTCACTTTTCAAATTTTTGGAAAATTTAAAATTTTTCCTTGTTTCACGAGGAAATTATGACCTCAAAACCCGATGGAAATTGGTCATATCAAGAATAACAACAAGGTTGTCAATGGTGGCGAGTGTTCACGTTACTGGCACCGCTTCTTCCGCTCCCTTTTACTCGAAAAAATTACCATAATTTAAATCAGTTGGGTTCCAAGCTCTCTTAAAAGACTAAGGACATACTTCTCATTAAAAGAAAAGTAAATCCTTAACGTAAAAATGGTGATATGAAAAGCATCGATTCCCATATGTTTACATTTGTCAAATAACGTATTGCGAAGCCTCATAAAAGATGGTTTACCTCAATTCTTTGTTTTCCATTTCCAGCTACGATTCCAAATAACCTTTTCAAACAATTGAAAACCCTTTTCGGTTGTTATTATTCTCCAAAACCATCTTCAGAAGCTTTGAGAGTAGGGGAGTACGTCCGATCGTGATCCGCCATAATGAAATGTTCCAATAGCTGATGTTATGTATTCATGTACGCCTCATTCAACTGTCCAAGCTCAAAAGATAACGATCTATACGACATAGCAAATAATAATTCCTTGCTCTACATTTGCATTTGGGGGTTGGGGGAGACAAAGGTTCTAGATATATTTTATCTCCTACGTAATAAGTATACCTTTGGCCGAGGAGTAATTAAGCATTGATTCACTGGAATATTACACAGCTTGAAGATTGTCAGGATAACTGGTAGAACAGGCAGAAAATATGATCACTTCTCGATTCAATTGCGTGGTGCCTCATGCACCTTGAAATAAAGAAAAATGATACCTGTTCTGCAAAAGTGTCATTATGCAAAACAGACATACAGAACCGGATATTTGCTTTAAGGCAGTTTGTAGATGACAGTTAAATGACAGTTGAGTGTGGCCTACATCACCAGTGAAGTGGACCATTTTTGATTTAACTCTGAAGGATGAAGCTCTTCCGCTTTCGAAGCTTTCAAAGCCGTACCGTTAATATAAGAAACTATGTTGATTCATTCGCAGAATCATACACAGGAAATTTCCATTTAACCCCCTGCACTTCGTGTTATTATTATTACAGTTATTTGATCAAGAAAATAATGACGAAACAATAGCTAAAATTTTGACTAAGGCTTTCCTTAACAATAACATGGAATTATGCGGGAATTCCTTTCCTCATACTCTCAGTGAGTATGTATGTATGTACTCTCAGTCAATAAATGTGAAACTTTATTCTTATTTCTTTTATTTTTCTAGCCGACGCCAGGTCAGCAAAGTCCTTGCGAACCAACCCAACACTGGGTTGAAGACGAAGATGGGTCACACCAGTGTATAAATTGTGGAACTTGCCCGCCGGGGCAAGGTCTCTCAATAGAGTGTGGCAGTTCTAAACTGTTACCTTTTAAAACCATGGTGGTCTGTGTGCCATGTATCGCAGGAGATTCATTTTCCAGACATAAAGATTCTTCCAAATGCATTCCTTGTGCATCCTGCTCCAAAGGTCAGGTTGTGGAACAAAGCTGCTTGCCAGAGTGGGATATTAAGTGCACAAATAAATGCTCCAGCAAGGAAAGGTACAAATATTAAAACAATTATACATAGGTTGTTCCATAGAATGATTATTTTAAGTGTTATAACTGTGAAATGAACATCTATCAGCTTTTGCTGATAATCTTGTTTAAGCAAAGTGTTTAGTTTAATGCTGAGATAGGAGTAGACTTTGGGGAATATTGAAGAAGATCTGAAGATCTTTATGTAGTCGGCATGCGAGTGATGATGTTGAATTCCTTATTATTTTACTGGTTAGGTATTATAATGTGGACATGGGAGACTGTCTCAAGTGCTCAAGATGCTGTGGCGATGATAGAGATGTGATGGTAAATGAGTGCAAAGAGAAGTTGGGAGACGGCTCAAACATGATTTGTTCATTTGACAGCAGTGTCAACCGCTGTGACCAAACAACACCTCAACTAACACCCACCATCAGCCATGTTGACCCCAAACATGATGGTCCTTATACCACTCAAAAAAGTAATCATTCCATTCAAGCTAAGGATCAGGACTATTTGGCAGCAATCGTTATTACAGTGGTGATAATAGTTGTTTTGGCTTTTTGCCTTTGTTGGTGCTTTTTTAAGAGGAGACTGACGCAGATGTTTATTTGCTGTAATACTACTGTTGAGAAGGAAGACCATCACAGTTCATCAGCGATGGAGGGAAAGTTAACTTCTAACCATAAAGAACAATCTGGTAAGAATGCGAAGCTTTATTCTGAATTCGCACTGATAATATTTAGTTTTGAAATATTGAGCTTTCTTAAGCTCAAGAACAGAATTGATAGAAGAGGATCGTGACTGAGACGTACCAAATTGCAGAAACACTTTTAATGTGTCAGAATCGCTTAAGAATCATTTGCCTTATCGTGTCAACCCAACTACCCTTAAAGGGACCCAAAACAAAGATTTCTGCTTTTGATTATTGACTTCCATGCAATATCTAAGCTTTGCTATACCCTTACTGGTGGTTTTACGCAATGGACCTGCACTTTATCAAATCTATAACATTCTGAAGAGATATGGACTGAGGTAGAACTCCTTCAGGGTTGGTTTCTTTGCGCTATGCTGGTATATATTAATTACTAGATGCAATGATTAAATCCTTTTCGATTTTTCTTATAGACGACTCATGCGGGAACGTAAGGGAAACTGACTCATCGAATAAGCTTGGAAAAGCTTTGACAGACTCGGAGGAACCCTTGCTGTGTTCAGAGGAGGTAAATAAAAAATAATTATTGTTTTACTCGTAATTTATAGACATTATAAGGTAAACTTTATTACTGGTAAATTAAGGATATGTCGCAAGGTTGGGTTGTTATTTACAATGATCATTCCCGGTTGATGTTGTAGTTTAGGAACCTTACATAAATCCGTCAAATCATCGCGTAAGTCCAAAACGCATTGAACATTGCTGTGATACATAGATTTTGTCAGAAATCAAAGCATAATTAAAGTATTACCAAAGATAGATAAATTGATGTTAAAACTGAGTCAAGGTAAGTTTCAATATGCACCTTAAATAATCCAATTTTCAGAGTAATCCAAGACATGCCTGAAAAAGAGTTAAAAAAATCTGTCTTGCACACTAGTGGCACACTTCGATGTCCTATCTGAATGAAATTATATTTACAAATACTTAATAGTCAAAGTTTTTGTTTCTTTATTGCCTTAGGGTGTTCTGGAAAACTTGGACGACGCTCAAACCAGTAAAACAAAAGGTGTGATTGACGTTCAGTTTTGTTCGCAATTTATACTAACCCTCAATTGTGTTTTGGATAACTGGAATATCTCTTGACTATCACCATACCATCATATAACACAAGCCATCGAAGCCATCAGGGATAAGGCAGTCTTATCCTAAGCTATTTCTTTGAATTATAGGTCCGAGTTTTCTCATCTTTGTGATTTGTAGGAGCTAATAGTTTGAAATAATTAAAAGTTTGGACAAAGTAAAACCCAGAGGACGAGAGAAATTCCTTTAAACCTTTCTATTTTTGTTAGAGTGTCATTTATTTATTCTCGAGTTCAAAATGAAACTGTTAGATTGAGAAGTAAATCTAAAAGGATGATTTTTTAAGGGGGGGAAAGCCAAAAAGATAAATCCAGTTATTAGAGATATACTGCTATCGTGGTGGTTATAATATTTTCTCTGTTTGCTTGTCTCTCGTCGGTTTAGATTCGAAGCTACTTAGCAGCTTAGTGGAGGGTGAGTCTTACCAGTACTTAAAGAAAGTCTGTGTGCGTTTGGACACAACCATGCCAGGCGTTGGTGACTATCGTGATGTCTGTTTTCACTACGGCATTAATCATTATGAGATTGCCTCAGTGTATGAGAAACACAGCGATGGGCCATCCAGAGCTCTAATCGGTCACTTGGCAGCTACACATGTACAGCTAACAGTAGCTGACTTTGTGGGTGTGGTAAGGAATGTAGCAGAGAGAGATGATGTTGCTAAAGTTCTAGAGGAATATGATTCGCAGAAGGAATGAGTGACAAGGGTTTTTTTTGGAGAAACTTACTCCCGTTATTTTAGGTAGTTGCACGTATTTTGTTAAATCGTTTCATCTTGTTAAATTTTTTAGGGGTTAGGTTATAATCGGCATGACATAAGTTTCATCCATGGGTTGCTAAAAATTTGAATACGAGAGCTGTCTACATTTTATAAACGCAAGCTCCAAATGCAAAAGTTCCAGTAAAAAAACTGTTAAGAACCATAAAATCATTTTGGTTGGATAATTTTCATAATTTATATTTCAAGAAACATGTTAATTGTTATTTAATATTTTGTTGTATTTTGTTAAACCAAAAATATATATTTTTAAATTTTTGTTTGTATTATTGGAAATACTTCGTCAAATATCTCAAACTTTGAGATTTTTGTTTAGTCCTTTTTTATTGTTGTGCAATATTTAAGTATGTATTTGTTCATGAATCAATTGTTAATCCAAGTTAAAAAGGCAAGGAGAGCTCAAACCTTTACTATAGATAATGTGTTTGGCTTTAATTTAAACTTTTAAGTTATGATTAGTTTTTTCCATTTCTAGGTGGTAACGTTTTCTTTTTAAATTTTAAAAGAGAATTTGCAGCAAAATTTTTAATTACTCCTCCTTAAGTTGTATTTTTCGAAAATTTTAATAAACTACTAATTGTGTGCTAATTAGGAAAAGCAAAAAAAAACGCAATAAAGTTTTGTAAAATATCATTTGTACGTAGTTTTCTATCTTTTTTCACGCATCATTTGTCTTTTTAACATGACCCACATGTTTTTGTTTTCATTCCCTTGCTTTCATTCTTGATTTTAAATTTCTCTCATGTCTGCCTTTATCTTCTGTATTCAGTTTGCTTATTAGTGTTGCCAAATATCAACTTATAATCAAATGCACTAAAGAAGACACTTAGACCGGCGAAACAAACCTAACCAATCACTGATTTTCTGTAAATAATTTAATAGGAATAACAATGATCACAAGTCAACAAATGATAACCGCTGTAAACTCTCATCAGAAAGTTAATACATGTCAGGGGTGCCGAAGGCTAAAAATGCCAAAGAGGTACAAAGTAATTATTACTACGGTATTCTGTTTATTGAGGAAGCAACAAAAATTACCGAAGACGCAACAAATTGCAACAGAATATTTTGTTAACGATTGCCGTCTTCATTTATCCTTTTTTACTTTTTTCTTCCCGTCGGTTTTGAACACTTGGTCTTGAACACAAGTCGATCAGTATCACAGGAGGAGTTAATGGTTTTGTCGGCGAGACTGAAACAAGGAAGATATTAATTAACAGGGAAATATAGTTTAGAGAAGTTTTCCCTTCATGGTTAAGACTCAAAAGCTATTTAGGATTGGGATTTGGTCACAAATTTGATCCCAAAAAGTATAAATTGAGGCTTAATTTTCCAAAAAAAAAACTTTGAGCTCTCTCCACCTGTATGATCCTCTTGTAAAGAAACTGATGGCTAAGATTTGCGTTGATCAGAATAATGATGTCTGATAGAGGACTGAGTCAACGACAGCTGATTTGTACCATTTGGTTAAGAGGTAGCAAAAACATAATACCAATCATCATCGTCATTAGCTTACTGATTTTCGCTATATTTCTCACTGCCGATATCAGTATTATCCTCATAATTTTCATCATCATTATTAATATTATTATTATTATTATTATTATCATTAGTTTTACTTGAGGGAGCAATGGTTGTTGAGCAGTAAATTACCAATATTGGGAGAAGCATGTTTTGAGTTATTTCCCCATATTCCATTGTAATCCTTATGTGTTCTTCGCATAATTCACCCACGGGACCAATAAACTCTACAGTCAATGGTGCTTCGGCCCCAGGCGTCTGCATAAATGGCTGACTCATCCACCGTATCTGATGCACAGTTATCATCTAAAAAGTAGGACGTTGCAAATAATGTGAGATAACTCATACGTATACAGTAGCAGTAATAATATTACATTACTGTAGTGTCGCTGGAGAAACGTAGTATCATTCTTGTTTCGGAGTTTTTGGGAAAAGTTGCGTGTCCACTATGAAAAAACTGAAAGGACGAAAATGAAAACAGCGAAATAGGTGATGTTCTGGCCTCCTTTACTGCTGGAAGAAAATATGATCAGAGACATACATTACCGTGTGAAAAACTACTACAAACATTGAACAATTATTCACACGAGACTTACTTGTTCCGCCATATCTGGGTAAATTACTCTTAAGTTCCTTCGTACTTGCCCCAGCAATTGGAACTTAATTTTCACTTGGTCTTCTATAAAAGCATTAGTAAACACAGTAATATTAGTAGCACTTACTTGCGAGCCATTGTATTCCACACAAAATAGTAGGTGCTTAGCGTCCAATTGCGCCTCTGTTCTGTTGACGAGGGCATAGATTTCTCCCTATTGAGGTAAGATATTGAGATATAAAGCAATCTTTTCCGTGGCCAGATTGCATGGTGAGAAAGCACAAATTTATCTCACGAAGAAAGATCCAGAGCTGTGAAACGCTTTTGACATAGCAAGAACATTGGAGACAGAATCTTGACTTATTTCATAAAATAATAGTATCTCAGAAAAAATATTGGCTGATTCCTCCAAATACCCTAAAATTAAAAGTTACATCTCATCAGTATATATTTTTTCCTGAAACAAATACAAATTCACATGACTTTCGCTCAGAAACAAGTTTAGAAACTTGATAATCTATCTGAACAGTAAATTGTAATAAATCGACATAACTTGAGGGCAAGGGGAATGAACTGTTAGACTAGTTTTTTATTTTCTTTTCATGGCAATTTATTTAAATGCAGGGAAATGCGATGTAGTTATATTTTGATAGGGTGATACTTCAGATTATGTGTAATCATAATCATCAGAGACGCTTTAATAAGCGCTTACGTCTTTGGCTAAAAAGTCAAAGAAATATTTTTGAGTCGTTTCTGAACTGGTATTACCCTTCAGTTTATTATCCAGCACACAATAATTATTACTCAAATTAGGATTAAAATAGATATCCCTCCCATTTTCATTAACATTCATTAAAAGAGGCTAAAGTTATTTTACCTGAGTTAATCCTTCGGTGGCTAAGATGTGCGTTGAAACCACCATTTCATCTGCAAAACGATGTCGCCTTACTAAGAAGAATATGGCTGTATTGATTCCCTGGAACGGATGTTGCATCGATATGCATTCTTGATGGTGCTTGGCCTTTGATCCCGTGACTACTTGAGCCTAATTCTTAGTTTGCATCCAAATTGTTGACTGGCTCCCTCTTTTGAAACACACTTTTAAATTGGCTCCTTATGGAGTTTTCATTTTGTACTTCGTATGGGTTCTCCAGCCACTTTTACCATATGAAGCTAAAAAAATGTAGTGCATGCAACAAATTTTTTTGCCAGCTAAATCTCACTTTCCTAATAATTATTTTAATAACACTACTTAGAGAAATAAACGGACCAATAGCTTACTCCAGGCAACCCTCATTTCGTGTTTTAAACAAAGAAATTAATTGATTTTTGCAACCTTCTTTCTGTGCGTCATCGATTTATTCAGAGTAAAGTGAATTACAGAAGAAATCGATAAACATTCGCCGGGACCAAAAATTTCGTCAGATAGTGTGATGTGACCCAATTAGGAAACTGGGACGGTAAGTGTTTATAGGTGGTGTAAAGGGTCATACTGTGTACCGCCATAACCTCTTCACAAACATGTCTATTCAATAGCTCTATAGGCTTTGCTTAAGCAAAGTAGCTAGAAGAACCGCCTCAAAGTGCCTAAAGCTAGTAAAGCCCCTCAATGCCTAGAGTGGTCGTTGCATCAAATCTGCCATATATTAAGCTTTGCACGAGTACGTATGATTATCGCAAATACCTTCGCTCCCAAGATATATTTCCTTGGTTTTAAAGCAAATGAAGTGGGATTACACGGACTGATAAAAAGCGTCCCAAAAATCGATCACCTTAATCGCCGTCAATGGCTAATTACGCGGGCTGTTCTGCGGTTACACCATGCAATACTAGGAATCATATTTCTCATTGCCTCTTCCCGGTCCCGTGTTTTGAGTCCAAAGTACAAAAAGTTAATTTAAAGGTCTTTCCGAAACAGAGACTCGACACAATTCAGAAACTACGAGAGCTTAACAAAATTACGTGCTGCCTCTTAATTCACAAGGACTATAACAGAACTTGCAAGAATTGTGGGACCATTTTCACGACGAAATCACCACCTTCCGCCATCGTCAATATCAGCACCTGTCAGGACAACAGAATTTCTACTTTTCCTTTATCTTTCTCGATCTCTTGCTCAAGATCAGAGACGAATTTTTTGTTGAATACATAGAGCGTAAAGGATGGGAGAACTTTTGATAGATTTATTGATTACATGTGTCTCTGCGACCACATTCGCCTCGAGGACTTGATCGAGATCTTGACGAATAGGTTTTCATTCCAGCGAAGGCGAAAAAGTCACGCTAGAATGTAAACAGTACGGAAGTATCCAGAATCACGATCTCATCTGCTGAGACTTTCTCGCCTAATTAGGTATCAGTCATAAGATGTTCATGTAAATTTCGGGGGTGCCCTTGAATGAACTTGGGGCTAGGATAATACACTTTTCATGAATGGGTGACAAGCCATAAAAGAAAAAGTGAAGAACCAATCAAGGTAAACGTACCATTACTGATGTAAAAGAACTTAAATAAATCCTCTGTTCGTACAACTGACAGATCTCGCTTTTACTCGGTGAGATTTGACGTTTCCTTCACCTCTTCGAACAGAAATATGCAAAATGGGTTTCCAAAGAGCATCGAACTTAAGGGTTTCTTTCTAGCAGTCATTTTGGTGGAGATTTCGAACTCATTGAAAAACCATGATGCACTCAGAGAAAGTGGTGAGAATTTCGTTACGTCTATCGTTGTTTGATTTTATTCAAGAAAAATTCTTAATTCTGTGGGAAAATTCCCAATTTAGCCTTTAAACCTTAGATTGACTATACTATTTAATTCTTTCTTCGCTCATGTACAGCTGGATAGCACTGAAACTAATGACGCAATACGAAAACGACCGCGCAGTGATCTATTGTCTCTTCATCCGAAGGTGAGAAAAATCAATAACCTGTTATGCCTTTTCAATTTTTTTAATTGTCGTTAAAAAGAACGAAGCACTTTTTCTACGTGGGCCAGTTTAAATTGCTTAAATTCGGTGAGTAGAAGGTCAGCCATCATCAGTAATTAAAGGGGAAAAGCGTTGCGTAATCACATCTAAGCGATTAGCTCATGGTTTGCTAAGATGGAAAAAAATTCTGATTGCAGATGAAGTTTCATTTTGAAGAAGTCCATAGTAAGACTTGGCTTATTCATCTTACAAGGGATGATAACATTTTTATTTAATCTTATTTCATCTTATTTCATCCTAGATGATGTGTACAACAACTACGTCAAAAGCGGTTTTGACAGCTTCATGCGTACACAATTAAAATTTCGCAAATTCTACTTTGATGTAAACCTTGATCTCTTTTTTCTTATCTCGCAATTTGCAGCAAACTAGCTCGACGAATGCGAGATTCCTTCTCAATATATGTAATCAAACGGTAGATTTTATCCATCGAAACGATATTTCTGACACCGGCTTATGAAAGTATTGCGTCACCCTTGTTTAGGTTCGAATAGCTTTACGTTTTAAAGGAATTTAAAAAATATTCACCGTCCGAAATTTGGCAGAAAAAAAGATCAGTCATGTAATTGACTTAAGTAAAACCTTTGCACATAACTATACTAAGGCGTTACTAATCATTAATTGTAATTTATTTTCACAGTTATTTGGGATCATAGCCGTGGTTGTCTTTAGCTTTCCCGTGGTTTCTGCTAAGGTTGGATTATATTTACTGTATATGCATAATTATTACATACCTTATAGATACTTAATTTCGCGTTTTTCGCGATTGTCAAAAGATCGCTAAATTATAGCTCGCGAAATTTAAACACGCAAAATGTCATAACAACACTTATTCCCTGTTATTTCGGAATTTTAAAAAGTTCAGACTTTTTGACAAATAAAATGAAGTCGAGAACGCTTGAATCGCAAAATTTAATGCTCTATTATGATATCGCGAAAATAAAACCCCACAAAATTTTGTCTCGCAAAACGAACGAGTTGTTATTTTTGTAGCTAATATTACATTCTTTTAATCAACACTTATTAAACGAGAAAAATCTCTCATGCTTTGGGTATAGTTCCCTCTAAATATGTATAAAAAACAAATATTCAAATCTAGTCCATAAGTCCAGAATCTAACAACCGCTCTTTTAGATACAAGAATATTCCTCATTCTAAGCTAGACCAAACAATAGATAACAATTCCACCCGTATACATTCAACATCAAGAAAGGTACTAAGAGCAGCACATACTACAATATATTATTAGGAAGGAAATAATAATATTATGTTTCCCTGCCAATTTTATTTCAATAAACTATACTTTTGAAACTAATTTTAGTACTCGATAAATGTAGGCAAGTGAAAATTTCAGAAATGTCTGTGTAAAGCCTCTTCTATGCAGAGTTTTGGTAACTGCCATCATGGTAAATGCCATCATGTGTGACTGAAAGCTATAAAATTACGGTGAATCTTGAAATAACTACCAGGTTTTCTTTACAATGAGATTCTTCGGAAGGGTATGTTGGGAGTCACTCTTACCTATTCTACTCGATTAACGATTTACGATTTACGATTTCATAAGAAATAAATGAGAATAAGAAGATCTTAAATCAAAAATTATTTAGCACTCTCAAACAGGTTAGTAAATACTTCCCATAACAAAAGAGAACACGAAATTTTCCCAACATATAAATGGTGATTTGAAGAACATCGCGTCTCTTTTCATGTATGTTACAAACAGAAGAAAACACGAGCGAGGCCTCGTTGGAGATCGTTTAGCTCAATTCTATGGCTAAATTTCGAGCTACTTTTTGAAATGATTTAAAACCTGATGGTGGCCCTCCAATCCTCAACAACCCAAGCTCTGAAAATTTCTCAGAGGATCCGCCATTTTGAATTTGAGTGTGGATTAGGTCCTTCCTTCGTATAAGGAACATTTAATTATCCAAACAAAATATCGCCTGGTGATTGGGTAAATATATCAAGGATAGAAAGTAACACAGATTTGGCGAACTCTTTTTTTTCTTGTGGTTACTGGCAAGACCTTTAACCTAGTAAAAAATTTTTGTTTGCGGCATGTGGTCGAGGAAATGCATGCGTGAAGCGAGCGTGAAGGGCGAGTCACTCCCGTGAGTCCGTGACGCCTGTTTTGCAATGCGTCTTTGTCATCCTGGATTCCTTATTATATTCTGCGACAATTAGATTGGGCTTACATGATATAAAAGATGAGCCGACTGTTGCTCAAAATGGCGAAGCTAAGTCGAGCCAACTTCTTGCGGGTTTTGATGCTTTCACCGCCGTTACGACACAAAATGCAAATATTTTGTGTCGTAATCTTTCTGACAGTTAAAATGGAAAGGACTGCCACTCATTTATTGTTACTCTTTTTTATACGTTTTCTTTTTCCTAGCCAACGCCAAGCCAGACAAATCCTTGCAAACCAACTGAATACTGGGTTGAAAAGGAAGATGGCTCACAAGAGTGTATAACATGCGGAACTTGCCCAGAAGGACAAGGTCTCTCAACGGAATGTGGGAGTTCTGAACTGCTGCCTTCTAATACCATGGTGAAGTGTTTGGCATGCACCAAAGGAGTTTCATTTTCCAGATATGAAGATTCGTCCATTTGCCTTCCCTGTGCATCATGCTCTAAAGGTCAGGTGGTAGAACAAAGCTGCTCTCCCAAGTGGGATGTCAAGTGCGCAAATAAATGTTCCAGCAAGGACAGGTACAATTATTATTACAATTATTCATTAATTGTCCCAGAATTGATCATTGCAAGCGTTTTAATTGTTAGGTGAATATACTCGGAGTCTTTGGTGATTATTTTGTACGTGCAGTGTGTAGTTCTAATACTGGAACAGGCACAAACTGTGGGAATCGTTAAAGATAACTTACCACCAATACTGATATCTCTAAGCCATCATAATATTTACAGAAAATTTATGTTAGTTCTGTGGCGTGCCAGCGATTATATAAAAGTTATCACTATTTCACTGGTTAGGTATTATGATATGGACAAGGGGGACTGTTTTAAGTGCTCAAGATGCTGTGGCGATGATAGAGATGTGGTGGTAAAAGAGTGCAAAGAGAAGTTGGGAGATGGCTCAAACATGGTTTGTTCATTCGACAGCAGTGTGAACCGCTGTGGCAAAACAACGCCTCAACCAACAACTATCATTAGCCATGTCGACCCCAAACACGATGGTCCTTATACCACTCAAAAAAGTGATCATTCCACTAAAGCGAACGATCGGACGACAACTGTTATTCTTGTGGTGATAATAGTTGTTTTCGCTTTTTGTGTTTGTTCATGCGTTTTCAAGAAGAGACTGGCACAGATGTTGAGTTGGTGTTATCGTACTGTTGAAGTGGAAGACCATCATGATTTATCAGTCATGGAGGACGAATCATCGACTGACGGAAAGGGTGGTAAGACTGTGTAGCTTTCCTTTGAGTTCGTTCTAATAGTGTCCATTATTCAAATATTGACCTGGATGAAACTCGTGAAAAATAATGTTAGAAAGTCTGGCCACTAAGATGTACCCAATTGAACCAACAAAGCTCTCAGTATCTCCATAGAATTCTCCTCTCAAAAGTGATCTTTTAGGGTGTAGTTTCATTTAAGACGTCGTCGGTTGATCGCCTAACAATATTCAAATGTAAGCATACTTCATATAGCAACATAGGAAAAGTAAGCATTCGGGAACAACATTTCTCTTTATCTCTTTTGCTAACTACAACAGTCCTCGAGATGCAGGTTGATTAAATTCCACTCACTTTTGTAGGTGATTAACCCTCTCTTGTCAAACTCATTAATCAAACCGACTCTGTGACATGCCCCAGACTTTGCGTTGGCAGATACTGATTCTGTTACATTCATTCATGTCTGAAATGCTTCCTCCAAGCCTGTCACATTCATAGTTTTGTATATTATGATCTTTCCAGTAGAAAATGCTAAAGAAAACTTAGAAGAGAGTGATGAGTCATATGAGTTAGGAGAAGTTCATTCAGTTGCAGAGGAACCCCTGTTGAAAGAGGTATGCAAAAGAATGTTTTTCTACCTTAAAGTTCATCATAGGTTAAGTTTACACGCGTTATATTAAGCCCTTCCCGTCAAATGCATAGCTATTGGACCTCTACGACCAGTTCAATCGTCAAGCATATTTAGAACTTAAGCATTGCTTTGAGTCTGAGGCATTGTCAGAAATCGAGATACAAATGAGGTACAACTAAATATGTGAAGATATTAAAATTGAGAAAAGATGTGCTTTAACATATGCATGCTCAATGAAAAATTCAATTTTCCAGAGTACGTTGTAACTTATGAAGGAGCCGTAAAATTGCCCTTCATTTATGCTCAGGTACACACTTTAATGATCCTCTCAACTTAAAGAGTTTGAAAATGGTCATAAATTAATTTTAGTTCCTCTTTGTTAAAGGGTATTCCCGAAATCTTGGACGACACTGTAACCACCAAAGAGAAAGGTGTGATAGAACTTCAGTTGGAGAGAGACTTTGAACTTACTGTCAGGGGAATTTATTGTTAATCGGGACTTTTAAATTCTTGATTTTCACCAACCAAAAGCCATTGGTGCCATAAGGGACAAGATAGCCTGATATTAATTTATCTGTTTGAGTAAATACTATTTAATCGGAGGTTTCTTATCTTCATGATTTATAACACCTAATAGTTTCAAATACTTTGCAGCGATTAAGAGTTGGAACAAAATGAACCCAGATAAAGGGACAAATTTCTTGCAAAAGTTCAACTTTTTGATAGAGCTGCTTCACGAATGGAGACCCTTAATAGAAAAGATAAAAGCTGAAAATGATTTGAGATATAGGAGTGGAAAACTCTCTGGGTGGTTGGAAGAAACATAAGATATTATTTTGTTTGGGGGGGAACCAAAAAATGAAATGTAATACGAGTAAACCCCTATCATGGAGGTTGTAATGTTGTCTATGTTTGACTGTCTTTCCTTATTGCAGGTTCCAAGCTACTTAGCAGCTTGTTGGAGAGTGAGTCTTACCAGTACTTAAAGAAAATCTGTGATCGTTTGGACACAACCATGGCAGGCGCTGGTGACTATCGCGATGTCTGTTCGTATTATGGTATTGATCGTTTTGGGATTGCCTCAATTTATGAGAAGCAGAGGGATGGGCCATCCAGAGCTCTAATCGACTACTTGGCAGCCACACATGAACAGCTAACAGTGGCTGAGTTTGTAACTGTGGTGAGAAAAGTAGCAAAGAGAGGTGATGTCGCAAAGCTGTTAGAGGAGTATGAAGAGGAGTTGTGAGAAAGAATGGCAAGGTTTTTTCATTACCGATAGTGTCATTTTCATTTCTTGTTCTACTAAATCAGTATTTGAGATCGTTGTAATTCTAAAGAGTTGCATTTTCTGATATGAATTTTATGTAGCCTCGGGTACTGAAAAGGACCCAAATTTAAAGGAGATGTCTTGATTAGCATGAATTCAATGTTATCTTCAATTTATTAATGATTTAAATGTTAGAGCTATTTATATACTTGCAAACGTAAATTTTAGATTACTGATTGTCTTGTTGTTTCACGTTGAATCGTTAACGAGGCAAAAGAGGGCAAACACCTTTTCTACGCTTCTTTGAGGCTAGTTACCTGTTACCTACCGCGAGGACACTGAATCCACCAGATAGTCCTTACCGGAAATGAAATCCCTACCAAGTAGTTTTTAGATTCTAGTAGTCTCCAATTAAGCGTCGACAAATCAAAACCATAACAACCACACTGGCCAAAAAAAAACAACGGTTATCAGAAACCAATGAGAACTTAAAGTAAACGCAAACAAACCACTTGAAGCGCGAGATAACGTGGGTGTCCGACTTGCGATTGGCTACTTCTTTGCATTTAATTGTTTGGTACGTTAGCGCACCGAACGAAGTAAAGCAAAAAAAAAAATGCAATCCCATATTTTTTTGACGATGATTAAACTGAACAAAATTTTCTACTTTGTTCTGTTGAGATCTAAGCACCATTAAGGCACTCATTTAAGAGCAATTTTTTTTCTCATTTTTAGTTATATTTTTTAAATCACTGGTTAGTTTTTATTTTTGTATACCGGAAACGCTACTTTTTTCGTTTTGTGTCAATGATAGAGTTATGTTACGTATTTAACAGTTAAAGATGTATTTGTGGTCACCCTTGCAAATGTTTCCGTGTTTAATTTGATTTTAAGGGAGCGGAGAGGTCAAACCGCATTAAAAGTTTCTTTCAAATTTTTCTATCCGCCGCTGAATCGATAAAGAACTGCAACCCGTCCGTTTACGTCAATTGTTTTTGCGTTTAAAATCTTATTTTGATTGATCTTCCGAGAGTCAATTTTCCTGAAACTTTTTTCAAAGTCTTTCATTTCTATCCGCCGCTGAGATAAAGATGCAACCCGTTGTCTGACCGAAACTAATTTTGATTGATCTTCCCTAATCCTCTTATTATATTATGAGGATTAATGTCTTCTTAATAGGGAGTTCAAAGGACTAATGATGATATTATGAATAAAAACTATGAGGGTACTTTTTACCTTTTGTTTTCTTTGCAACCAAATCTCTGATTCCACGTTGCGAAGTGTTTGAGAATCCTGCGTGCGAATTTACGGTTGATATCCATGAAGCCTGGAAATATTCGAGTTTTGATTTTTGTGGATTTTCCGGTTGTCCTTAATCCCCATTAAAAGTCCCCATAGGAAAAGAGAAAATTTCGCCATTTACCTTCAATTAAACCAGGGTGGATCAAGTGTCTTTCGTATTGAGGTCGGAATCGCTTGAAATGCTCATTCATGACTAATCTACCATGTAGCTTTCCTCTCTATAACTCAACAGGTTAGAAAATTTTACAATATCAGGGTTCTTTCCTTGTTCGCGTTGTACTCATCAGTATTAATTTCCAGAAATTTGGGCGATCTCGAACCATAATAAGTTGTTTTCTTAAACATACACGTGCTAATTCCCGTCTCGACATGGAGGCGACATGGGCTGCCGCAACTTCCTGCTTCATTTCTTCACATGCCCATGGCTAAACTTGGGGAAATTTTTCAACTCTTGATTACAGAGGAATTTGAACGTATCCAAAAAAGCCTTTCATTCCAAATTTGAAGAAAACCCATACGAAAACATGACTTCAAACGCTGCTATACATGAGTTATCCACTCATACGAAAATGCTTTCGGACACGTGTTCACACATACTTTTTGCCGCGGGAAATGCTACGGAAAACAGAATGTTCATTGGCGTGTTTAACCAAAGTTGAATATCGCGTTTTTCTGGTGTTAGCCGACCTGTGGTAACACATAGAAAATACTGTGTTACAACAACCTAGAAAGTCAGTGGAAACATTTAGGAAAACGGAATGTTAGCCCGGGTAATGCTTGCGCTGAAAAACTAGTGTCGAATATCACCTCATTAACCGCTTCAGGAAAACACTAAACAGACACCGTGATAACTCACGCTGGATAACCGATGTAGAACAAAACACAGTGTACAGATGAGTTTTCCAGGCCCTGGAAGCCCTGTCGTTAACGCTATGTGTTCCCATAGTGAATATGCCACGCGTTCTCCGCAAAAATGAAAACGAAATTTGAACGAGGCATTTCCCCGGTATTCACTGTTTGGTTAAATTGTGGGAACGAGGGATTCTTTTGCCGTGTAACGTTCAAGTTAAATAGATCGACTTCACATGTAGCGTAGCCTCGTGGAAATGGGAGTAAGATCCAAAATTCTCCTGCTTATGGTGTGGACGCGTTTCGATCAGAAATTGGAAATTGAGGGAGGATGTAAAGCAAGGCCTGGTCGAAAGAGTAGAACTGGGTCAAAAGAGAGTTGGTGGGGGTGATTGCGTTCGCATTCAATGGAGTCTTACAAATCCGTGCTAAATTCTGAGATTCTCCTTTCGATTGACTGATACCGCCTTCCAACCCTTTTTGTTTCACCGTGTCATGTTACCGTTGGGATTTCTTTGGGATGACGTCAATTGCCTTTTTTTGGCAGTATAAGATTTCCCACATGGTCTAATCCAGTACCAACCGGTAGGCATTTTGCTTGTCAGCATATTTTTAAACATCTCGCTACTGAGCGGAACGAATGAGCTTCTACCGATTCTAATCATTACAAGATATTATTCATGTATCAAAAGTCTCAATTTGTTCAGCAAGATTCGACAAAAAATTAAATGAAGACTGCACCGTAAGTATAGTGTTACTGTTCTTTCAAAAATCTCTTGATCGTTAAACGATTTGAAACCGGCATACTGTGACCTGTCTCGTTACACAGTATCTTTTCATATCTCAAGCTTTGTAACTGTGCAAATTGCTTTACTTGACGAGAGTTTGCTACTTCGGACATAATATCCTCGGAAACCTTGCCAAGTCGAGTGGACTGGAGAAGTGCTCCTGAACCATGTGCTCCGTTGGAATATTAACGAAGACCGTAATTATTGCAGTTGTGGTAAGTTCACATTCTGTTTATTCCAGGCTGGCAAAATTCAAGTGATGGATTAAATGCATATTGTTTCATTCAGATAGTTTGTGTTACAACCAGTAGAGAACGACGGAAAATAATTATTTCTTGATATTGCTACCTATGACATGTGAGGTAAATTTCATGACATAGACCGGTAGTATTGAGCAAATGAGATCGACTTCCCTTTTCCCTTATTTTTCCCTTTGAAATGCTAACTGTATACTGATTACCATGGATAAGGAAAAAACGCTGATCTGGCGGTAACTGAGGAGGTAGACACTGTTCCAATAAAAGAAAATAAAGGTTCCTTCTTTTTCAGCTCCAAGCAAAAGGCAGAGATTGCTTGGGCTGCAAAGGTGATGAGATCACTTGGCGTAGCGATAAACCAGGAAAGAAAAACACGTGTATACCGTGTATCGATTGCCCAGACGGAACTGAGCCGTCGATTCCTTGCGGAGGGACCGCCAAATATGGGACACACTTACATTGTGAGGCATGCAGGCAAGGAACCTATTCGGACAATTATGGAAAAGGGCCCTGTAAGCTATGCTCTCTATGCTCCGTTGGACGTACAGTGACAAGGAACTGTTCTGCGACGAAGAACGCTCAGTGTGGCTCTTGTAAATACGGCTATTACCAGAAAGTTGTCATCATGAACCTGCTTTTCTATTGCCTTCCGTGTTCTGTCTGCTGTGGGGACGGTAAAGATAAGGTAGAGAAGCAGTGCACAGATCAAGGGCTTCCAAGTCAACAACATTGCAAACTCAGAACCGCGCCCAGCTGTCAACTGTTGCAGACAACTTCAAAGATCACATCGAGCACTTCATTTCTAGGAGCAAATCATACGGCAAAGAAAGGAACAAGCCCAAAGGGACAATCAGAGGAAGCTTCTTCAGTTCCTTCATCAAGAACACCGAAGCCGTATGCAAGAACCACTGCCATAACCGCAAAACGACATGAAAAGTTAGCTGCTTCCCAGTATGGAACAAGTCCCGCCTCAGAAGGATTCCTCGGCAATAAATCAAAGGGATCTTTTTCCGATAGAAGTGTCGATATTAATAATGGCAATGGTATTGTCGTTTCTCCTATGTATGGGATTCCCGTTATTTTCATTGCAATAATTGTAATTGTTCTTAAGCGGAACAAGCTTGCAAGCTTCTTTGAAAGGACGAGGTGTGGTCCTATCCTGAGGTGTAGAGACGCTGAACTCGGTAAACAAATAGAGAGTACTCCGTTGAATGTTGTGCCATTAGGAGGTACGTGAATTTGCACTATTTTGAACACGGTCAAATGATGGCAAATTACTCAGTCGTTGAGACACTTTCTTAAAGGACTAAGCAGTCAGGACAAAAACGCCGGGGAAGACGGTGATTAAAAAAATTTATATATATTTTTAACAAGAATTTCGTGAATGGCTAGATTTGTGAACTAGTCTTTTGGCGCTAAGCCTCAACTTACGAATAACGTACGTAAACAGTGCTGAGTTCCAAATGGAAACTTAAATAATTTTTTGTCGAGGCTTCCGTTATCAGCTTTGACTCGTCCTTGGTGCAGTCGCTTTCGTAGTTTGCTTTAAGTCCCATTTTTGTGCCGCCAGCCAGAATTATTGGCGGAAAGTGCCATTTTTGTACCGCCAGCCAGAATTATTGGCGGAAATTAGACCTTTAATATCAATCTATAGGTACAGCTGTTTCATGTTTAAGACACAGATAATGACAAAGATTGCTAAAAGCGAGGAGTGGTGAACATGTGCCTTGTGTACGACTTGACAAAACGGGTTTCATTTCAATTATCAATTAAATGCTAACAGTGTAATATTTTCGTGATAGGTTTGGTTCTCAAACTTAGTTATTGAAAGAAAAAGTTACGTCAAAAAAGTAAATAAACATGTACGAATAAACCCAAAGGGAACGAAATAGAGGACAGTGTAAAGTAGGATTGGAACTCTTAAATTTGGTATAACGTTTCCTAGATACTCAAACCGTGATGTTTCTACGTGACCAGTTTCCCTTCCGTTTGCCCACTTAATGTTTTGAACGTAGCGTTCTTTTTCAGTCTAACAACATGAATATTAGTAATTTTTCTTTTCCTTTGTAGTTCTGGTTTCCTTAAAAGATTTGAAGTCTCTTTCACTTGACACATATACCAAAGTGTGGAAACGACTGGACAAACAGCCGGAAGGAAAGACCAGAGGTGACTTCAGAGATGTGGCTGTGCGGTTTTTGTATTTAGAAGAAGACATTTGGGAACTGGAGAAAGAATTTAAATCATGTGGCTCTGGAAGTCCTTCAAGACAGCTTTTAGAAGGTCTAGAAACTAGACGACCTGACCTTACTGTGTTGGAGTTTATCAAAGTTCTTCGGGAACCAAATATACTGAGGAACGATGTCGTTGAACTTTTGAAAGACTACATTCATAGATAAGTGAATTTTTAGACAGATAAGGTTCATATTGAAGAAAGGCGAAGAGTCGCGGCTAATGGCAACAGTTCGATTCCGGTTTAGTTTATTACTTCTATTGCATTTGTAATATGAGCGAGATCAATAAGGAACGGGTCACGACCACATACATTTCTCACTTTTACAATTCTAAGGCGGCCAAAGCTCATGACACAAACTAGATTGAGCGTCACTCTTACCGTTGCGAGATGAGTTGTGTTGCATGTAGCTTTGCAGGTTTTCCATCGGGACAATTTACACAGGGGCGGTTCTTTGTTGATAAAATGTTTTGCAATGTGTTTTAAATAAAACTGACTTCCTTTTTCGCCCTATTAAGGTGTCTGTTGTCTTTGCTACGTCTAAGGCCTCTTTGAAGCAGTGGCTTGTGCGAGTAAAAGCAACGTATGTCCTTGTTGCTCGTGTCCGCTGATTCATTTGCGTGACCCTTGAATTATATCAGGGTCCGAGCGGATAACGCTATTTAGTGGCTATGCAGCGGATAAATGTCAGCAACACTTACTGCGCTACTCACAGGATACACAGTTATTTGTAGCGTTATCTACCCTTCGAAAACCGGAGCCTTATGGTTAAACCTGATAAAACATTGTTTTCCGGGCGTCCCCAGCTCATCAGCGACGAAACTGATGCATTTGAAAATAACCACAGGCTCCCATTCCCTGTCCGAAACAGATTGAAAGAAAATCATCTTTTGTTCTTTTAAGACAAGGCTTAAAGCAAACTAATTTACTGAAATCCTTAAGTTAATTATGGCGATAGGTTATTAAAATGTCAGACGGTATAACGTGTAGGGGTTAATTAGTAGCTTCCTGCAAACTGTAAAACTAACCACATATCTACATCGTTTGCATACTTCACATTGCTTCCTGAGGCTTTGCACGAAATTCATATGGTCAAACCGGTTCAAACAACGTACCTTAATATACCACCTGGAGTGTTGAGGTCACATAGCTGTTAAATAGGGGAATCCCCAAATAATGCTCCGAAAACGCTGAACGTCTGGTGTGGTTTTAACGTGCGTCATTTTTATGTCGCGTAGTTTTATCATAGAGTGGTAGTCGTTCAAACAGGAAAGGATTTTTACCTTTTTTTCTCGGTGGAAGTCAGCTTGAGTTTGAGAAAGGAGAAAGGAAATCACGTTTCACGCTTCTTCAACGCGATGTCGAAGAGATCGTGGTTTGGTTACAACGATGCGAAGACAAAACGGTTCTTGATTGTTTTCATCTTCGGAACGCTGGTAAGGGAAACCTTTTAACTTAGCATGATCAATGCACGTTCTGACTTTCCAGTGTTCGTATAGTTATTTTTCTCTAATTTGGTTACGTTAATGAAATGATATTCGTTTTTTCGAAAAGTGGTAAATGGTGAAGTTAAATGTGCTTACGTGTTAGTTTCAGAAGAGTGATGACTCACGCTATTCTCAATTTTGATATACGACCTCAAAGATTCATGATTCGCGACATTCCTGTAAACAGCGACCGAATCATTTGTCCGTGGTTGTCTAGAACTCAATCATGACTTATCCAACTAGAAAAATGACGTCGAAATTTAGATTGTATGGTTTACAGTTCACTATGTTAGAAAAGAAAGTGCACAGGTAAAAGGTGTAATTGGCTTGATTATCTATCTTCAGGAAGTCCATTCACTTTCGTTTATCGTAAAAACTGACTAGACAGCATCACACCACGCAATTGAAATATACTGTAAATCATTTATGACCTAAAATTAAAAATATTTATATTTCCCAATCATACAGTCAACATATGTATCAGCGATCGTTCTTTGTAAGACTAGTAAATCTTAAAACACCCTTGATGATGACATCAGTTCATAGCAATGTTGGTGTCATATGCATATCCTGTCACAAGGTAGTCACGAGACTTAAGCTTAACTGCGACTTCACAAACCTATCCTTTTATGGTTGAAACTGATAGCATAAGGTTGGTATCGTAACATGTAACGAAATTGGACTTGGGCGCACGACTGTTTTAGTTAAGTGTCGGCGATTGTTCAGTCGTCTAAACTTAGGTTGCCAATGAAGCTAACAAAAAATACAAAATTAAAGCATGTCGACCTAGCATAGATCTTTAATGAAAGATACCGTATTTTCAAGTCATATATGAGTGAAGGGGTAAGTTTCTATAGAAACTGTGGTGCTGCGTCGGTGGGAGAGCATGACGGGGTAATTAAGTATTATCAACTGAGTTGATAACGTAAATTGGCCACCGTAAAGAGTTTAAAAGCTGAGGTTTCGAGCGTTATCTTTTCGTCAATCGCTCTGACAAAGGGCTAACTAAATTACCCCATATATGGGTGAGTAATTTTGGATGGGAAGTGTGCCAAACCTGATTCTCAACGACCAGCTCTTGACGCTACGAACATGAATGAAATCAGCATGCTCACCTTTTGTTTCATCATCGAGGTCTCCACGATATGGCATGTACACATTGTTTTGCAACATGATAGCCATCTCAGGATGGTTTTGCTGACCCGATGTGAACGCCGTTTTAGCTCCCACAAGTGAATTTTAAATCACGCAATCGTTCCCAGGAAAGAATGGAGAGGTGATTTATCTTTGTGAACGAGTCGCGTTCGAAGTATATTTTGAAGGGACAAAAGAGGGATGAAAAAACTTACCCAAAGAGTAGGCTACAAAACAAACGAATGAGTGCAATGTGGCCTGAACTCACTTATACCGCCAGGTTTGCTTCATAGAATTCTATGACAATCGGTTGATTATTTCTTGAATACATTCAGTTACATTCAGCTGGATTACAGCAGTTTCACAATATGAATACGATTTCAGCTCTTCCCTGATGGATACGATTTGAGTCATTCGGAATCTACTTTAAAAACGATAACTGCAATTGATTTATCCATATAAATATGTTTTTTCTCTCATTGTCTCGTATAGATCTGCCGTGTCGGAGGAGACTTTCCGTGCAAATCAGAACAGATACACTGGAATGGCACAACTCAGAAAAAATACAAATGCGTAGATTGTCCTGACTGTCCCGTGGGATCAGAGATTTCTGTGCCATGTGGTACATCAGTGAAATACGGGACACCCATTCATTGCGTTTCGTGCCAACTGGGTAAAACATACTCAGAAAAATATGACAAAGCGCAGTGCAAGGCATGCACAATATGCTCTACAGGGAAAGCACTGGTCAAGAACTGCACCCTGGTCTCGAACACTCGGTGCAGCACAGAGTGCCAGAAAGGCTTTTATTCTTTTCCGTTTAGTTTTGCCTGTTGGCCTTGCTCGGATTGTTGCCATGATGGTAAAGATGAGCTTCCAAAAGAGTGCAGCGGAAATTATCTGAAGAAGTGCAAAATGCGTTCATCGCCCTGTAGTTATGTGCGCAGCACAAATACCCCGGCCACAACTGCAAAGTGGATTCCCTGGGCTCCCACACAGATGTCATTGCAAAGAGGTACACCGACACCCTTTCCAACCACGAAAGGAGAAAAGGTCACATCGCCAGCATTTTCCACTTACTCAGTCGAATTTCCTAGATCTAGGATCGACCAATCCATAACCACCACCAAATCGACAAAGTCTCCGAAAGAGGGGAGTGGAAATGAAGTGCTCCTTATTCTTTCCGGAGTAGGCGTAGCGCTTGGAATTATATTCCTGTTTGCTCTAACAGTGGTAATGGCTCGTCATGGATGGTTCTGCAGGCCTTGTTTTCTCAGGTGGGGAAAATCGGAGAATTCAGTCGAGTTTCCACCGGCGCAAATCGAGATGAAGCCAGCTTCATCACAAGAGGAACTCAGGCCCGGTGAGCTCCTATATCGACCAAAACTGACTGAATAAACTACTTAGATTTATATATTTTTTTTTCACGAATCTAATATTGTTTCTATCATTTTTAGTTCTTGAGATTGCTTTGGCCCGTTCCAAACACTACTCCTCGTTACATGCATTAGCTGGTGAACATGATCTTGAATTACAATTGTGTAAAGCTTTCATCAGATTGATGAATTTTGTATTTCTTTGTAGACGATGTAACCTTGGAGGAGCTGGAAGAAAACAACTTGGATTTGTTGGATTGGGTTTGCACCCGGCTTGATAACGGGAAATCAGGTTTCCGGCAAGACTACGAGCGCTTGGCTGCTAAATACAAACTAATTTCCCCGGAAGTACGAAAATCCTTGAAAAATGAATTTAAAAGTGAAGGTGGAAGCCCCTCCAAGATGCTGATGAGCCAGCTGCAAAATTTGTACCCCAGCTATCCTGTTCGTTGTCTTGTAAGGATGCTGAAAGAGATCGGAAGAAATGATATAGCACAAAAATTGAGACCCTACATAAGGAAAAATGCGGAAAACTAATATTAGCGAATTGATGACTTTCAGGGAGCCCAACAATAAAATTAGCAAAGCTTTTCATAGGCTCTCTCAAGCGATAATTAATGGAAAGTGATGCTAGACTTGCTTTACATCAGACAACTTTTACAAGTATGTGGGATTCATAGCTGAATTGCAGCTATTTGTGTTGAAGAAGACTGACTGCGTGAATGAATTGATTCGTATAAATCTCTCTTTTTTTTAAGGCCGGGTTTCCTTCTAAATGAGCTAAATTGTCCACTTCACAAGTGTTTTGGATAATGTTGTTGGGTTGTAAGAAAAGGTTACACTTTGATCACACGCTGAATTCAAAGATCTCGCCCACTGGATTGTAAAGAAGTAAAGAAGTTTAAAAAAATTCATTATTTAAAGAACAAGATAATATCCACAATTTATATTCTGTTTACCTGCTGGTTAACAAGGGACAGGTAAAATGTTCCTAGAATTAAAGAATAATCATATTTTATTCTGAAACAATTTAATTTTGTTTACCTTCTGGTCAAAAATTTTCAGGAGAGACAAAGTACAAAGATTACTCAGAAAAAAAATTGAAACTAGAAAGAATTCCATAAGAGGATATTGTTTTGCTTAAAGGAGAATTGAAAAACTTTTCTGCGAAAATTAAATATTTCTCAATGGAACCTATTTGAGTGATATCCCTTAAGATATAAATTGTTGTTGCCCCTAAACAGCATTCACCTCTCAATTTTTTTTATCAATCATGCATAAATGATGAGCAGCTTTAATAGTTTGCAATAACCCAAGCTTTGCAACAACCCAACCCAGTTGCAAGACAGTAATTCACGATTCAGCTACCTCTTTTCTGACTTTTTCTACGGAACATTTCTCCGATGATAGTCGAGGTCTTTTCGATGGCCTTCGATGCGAAAAAATCGTGGGTATTGCACCTGATTTTGGCGTAGATCTGGGTTTCAAACCAAGAATTTCTGCTTTCAAGTCTCGTTCCAAGCAGTCAGGTGCGAAATGTTCTGAGCACAACCTGGATTTTTTCGAAACGAGCAGATCCGCTTGTGAGATCTTTGCCAGCCACTGTGATCATAGAGGTTCATCCCTCGGAAAGTAATGGTAGGATATACCAGTTGTGTACCTCTGAGTCGTTGTTACAATCGAACGCCGCGCAGTATACCATTTTTTAGCTCGAAAGTAGTCGAAGTAAATATAGTAGCGAGGGCTAGTCAATCGTCAAGAACAGATATAAGAATAAACTCAAACAACTCAGGCTTCTGTATTTGTACATCCCTTTTTGCGTGAGCCAAGAATTTGCCCATTATCGAGAACTTATAAACCAAAGTTCAACACGAATTTCAAAATTTTATTTCCTTTTGGACTTCTTGCGACATTATTAACAGCGTGCGTCATCGTACATACCATTGCAAAATCCAGACTACAAACGCGTTGCAAACTGATGATTTTAGATATATGAAATTTATATATTTGCACTGCGGTGAAGAAACGAAATTAAGAGATCCTCGCAGCTAAGAACACTACTGAAACGGGTAGTTGAAAATGGGACCTGAAAAAAAATTCAGGGCCGTACGGGATTTGAACCCATGACCTCTGCGATACCGGTGCAGCGCTCTACCAACTGAGCTAACAAGCCAACTGGGAGCTGCACCGGTATCGCAGAGGTCATGGGTTCAAATCCCGTACGGGCCTGAATTTTTTTTCAGGTCCTATTTTCAACTACTCGTTTCAGTAGTGTTCTTAGCTGCGTTGCAAACGTATGTTAAAAAAAGGTAAATAACAAAACCTGGGAAACAGAATGGAAGATGAAATATCTTAAATTACCAATCTGTAAGAAAAATTAAAGTGGAAAGCCTATTTCGAAAACATCGAGGTCAAGCCAAATATAAGAGATGCGTCGAAAATGATCTGGACATGTAACTACGTTTTAGAGACACGATTTTGCACTGGGATTTTTCGCTCCTCGGATTGGACGTTCGGAAATGGAGTGTTCAGGCTTTGGCTTTTCTTATGTAGTGGGTACTTTTCATCAAAGTAAATGGTCAGATAACAAGTGATACGCTGTGAAAGTAAGGTGAGTTATTTTCATTGAGAATTTGACGTATTGTTTTATTCCTTAGAGCGGTCGTAAACATTCTCATACAAACTCTTACAATTCAGCCATGACTGTTATTGTGCAAGATTATCTTCTCACAGCTGGAGCTTGGGCCGCCTGTTATTGAATAACATTGTTGTATGCCTCAGTTCTCTGATTCTGGCACCTGTTTGGCGGGTTTCCAAGGCCAGCAGCAAAGCCAATACGTTTTTTGTCACACTCTCAGATAAAGGTCGAAGACGGCCTTCACTTGAGTGAAGCTACTTGGTAAATGCCACTGTGGGCCATTGGCGCTCAGTAACCTTCAGCCCCATGTCAAACCGCTCTTCAGGTGTAATCTACAAGACCCATAATCCTTCTTCCATCATGCTCAGAGCCTAGAAGCTCGCGAGCTATTTACGTATGCTTTGGTGACGGTACCTTCAGTTCTGTTGACTTCTTTAATATGTTTGTTTTGACATGGTCAAAACATCGGAGATCGATACTAGTGTCACTTGAAGAGGTTCCATGAATTGGAAAGACCTTCTCAAAGACTGTTTCTAGAGAAGTTTCTCTTTCAGTTTCATTGCCATAAACAAACATTGGATGTGGGAAAGTTAAAGTTATCAAATACAAAGGTCCACAGTTGCAAGTCATATCGATACCGCATTGAGATTTGGGACTGCTTCCTGAAAAAAAAATTTTAACCATTCGATATGCAAATATTTTGCTGCGAATGTGTATGGGGAGGTATCTTTTCCGTGGCGAAGACCAAATGAAACATCTTAGGCAAAGTCAGAATTTTGCAGTTGAGTAACTAATTTGGTAAAATCGGCTGCTTTTTGTGGCCCTGTACTCCGACAAGAGTGACGTGCGTATACTCCGTTACCATCCGTCGTCAAATCTCCTTCACCAACGATGTTTAGATCGACTCGGTAACTCCGTCTGGCACCCTACTGCAAACTTTCTTGGCGTCAAAATTACCTGCGATGCAGATATCTATGACCTCTTTTGTTGAAAGACCCCTCTGAGAAACTTTAAAAACAGGTTGCCCACTTATCTTGAAGCCTAAAAAGACAAACGAAACACCAATCATAAGCAAAAAAAATCTTGATACTTGTATTTGCAGCCATTTTCTCTATCATTATGGGAAAATATATTATGCTTCGTGCGAAACTGTATTTAGAAATATCTTATTTGAACGTCTACCTATTATAAAACATTTATACAGAACCTCTTCTTAAAATGATACACGTAAGGTGTTTCAAAACCGTCTGTTTCTTTTAAAATCGCAATTCTGATCGGCTCTGGGCAGTTGAGAGGAGACTAAACTTGTGGTCTCCCATAACTTTTTTCCAACCTCTCAAATTCATCATCTAAACTGTAGTCTGTTGCCTTTACTTTTCATTTTTGTTTGTTTTTTTTTTCGTACTTTTCTAATCTTACTTTACCTTCCTGAGCTTTCTCAGAGTCGTCTTAATTGCTGTAGGGATCGTAGATATCATTGTCGGAGCCAACTTCGAGCTCATCATCGCCTTTTTTTTTTTTTTTTGTTTCTTTTGTCGTAACAGCACTAGCGATTCTATTTCGACGTCAGTCAACCTACTGGTTTCCAAATGCAAGAAAGAAATTGATTTGTTCAGTAAGCGCTATCATTAGTATGTAACAATTCTCTTCCTATGTGACGTGTGTATGCTATTCGGAAAGGCAATAACTCAGTGTTCCTGTTTTCTTAAGAATACTTTTAAGAACGACTGTTCAAAGTAAAGGAGGCACTAATAAGTTAGCTAACCTGCATAAGTCACAGTACAGCTAATTAGTGGAGAATTCTCGTCAGTACTAATGGAGGTTACAAAGGTTAATAACCGAAAACAAAAATTTCGTTTAGTTTTTTGGCACTTACGTGGACCTATTCGAGGATCATTTGGAACATGAAGGGATTCCGCTATCATCTTGGTTTTCCTCTTCCAGCTCGCGGGCTGCACTTAGGTTGACTTTGGTCTTGGAGAATGTATTCGTTTTGGCTCTACGTGGTCGAGACTATAAACTGCTCCAGTTTTTTGTAAATAGTGTCATCCGTGGAACCCTTAACATTCAGTTAATCCACAGGCTCATCTCTCCCCATGGACGCCAAACTGATGCTCACAGAATTTTTCACAGTTCCTCTTCTATCTGGCCTTTGCCATCTTTCTGTGATTTGGACTACGTCGGAGCCATAACTAACGCTATCACAATCATTAGAACAGGTAGCTTTTCCCTTCCTAAACTTTCTTTGGGACCGCTGTTTTCAATCGGTGAGCAATCACCTGTGAATGTTACAGTATCAAGTATGGCAACATGGAATTTATGCAGTTTAAATCTCGTGCATTTAAAATTCTAACTGACTCTGCAATAATCAGTCAGTAACTGCCGAAAAAAATTCAAAATTTTACCGTAGTGGAGTGGCTGGGGTTTCAGTGTTACTGCATTCGTTGGAATGTAAACCATATAAGCTTTTTTCTGTTCAGACATGAATGAGTACAGTTACATCTGGGATATATTTAACTTAATGGTTTGTACAGGAAAGTGCTAGTCTTAAAAGATGAAAACCGACCACTGATTTTACAAGAGACGCTTTAAAGTAAAGCTAAACCATGCTTTCAGTCAAACTGCATTCACTATAATGCTCGCACAGTATATGAATACCTGCATCTCGGCTTTAAGTTGGTGGTAATAGAGCAAGCTATTCTTACAGCTGTGTTTTTCTTAAATGATAGGATAGCATAACATTTCTCTCTGCTAATCCCAGCTCGTCAGTAGTCGAAGATGGAGAAACGCCGAAGTGAAAGAAAAATTATCTTGAAAACGAGCCTTCGCAATATCATCTGTTGGACAAACCGTTCAAAGTTAATTTTAAATATATGGATGGTAAATTTGCTGATGTTCTCTCCGGTTTAGGGGATACCCAGTTCGAAAGGGAGTTACCTGGACATCACGCTATATTGATCCATTTCCATTGTTACACTTTCGTAAAAGTAATAACAGAAAAGGATAATATTGTAATAATCATAAGAAATAGGACTGGTACTTTTCATATAGAGAGCGACTCCAACGTATTATTTTTTACACCTCTAGAAACCAGGCGCTCCATATCCAGCGACAGACTCCTTTGCATGCCGTTTCCTCTTCTTTTACCTATGGAAATACTATTGGAATGCTGGTGCCTTCACCACCAACTTCAGTGGGAACAGGATGAGTGCCTACAATAAAGAAGCAGTCGCTTCCTAGGCCTACTATGAAGACCAGTGGTTCACAGGTGTAGATGGCAACGCAGAAATCTTTCTTTGATAACATAGAAGATAAGGCATGGACGAGGTTAGTCCGCCCTTTTTGGGAGAATTC